ATAAGAACATAAAGCGCGGTCAACAAGAATTACGGCTACCTAGGCTCACCTCTCCATCACAGTGCAGGTAACACGACCCTTTATATACAGTCCCCTCCAAAAGTAATGGAACAGCAAGTTCAATTCCTTTGTTTTTGTTGTATACTGAAGACATTTGGGTTTCAGATAAAAAGATGGATATGACACAAAAGTTCAGAATTCCAGCTTTTATTTCATGGTTTTTACATCTAGATGTGTTAAACAACCCAGGACAGACCACCTTTTCTTTGAACCCACCCACTTTTCAAGTGAGCAAAAGTATTGGAACATGTGACTGATGGGTGTTTCTAGTTGCTCGGGTGTTGCCTTTTGGATCAATTGCAGAGACATTAAATAGTTCTTGGCTTTGGGTTTCACCTGTGCATTTTCTGTTAAGCAAACATGAAGACCAGAGAGCTGTCTATGGGAGAAAAGCAAACCATTTTGGTCCTGAGAGAAGAGGGAAAATCGATCAGAGCTATTGCACAAACATTAGGCATAGCCACTACAACAATTTGGAATGTTCTGAAAAAGATAGAAACTACTGGTGTACTGAGCAACAAACTTCGAACAGGTCAGCCTAGGGTAACAACAGCAGTTGATGACAGAAACATTGTGAGAGCTGTGAAGAAAAACCCCAAAACAACAGTCACTGACATCAATGCCAACCTCCACAGGGCAGGGGTGAAAGTGTCACAATCCACTGTTCGAAGAAGACTTCGAGACATGAGGCCATACCACAAGATGCAAACTACTCATCAGCAAAAAGAAGGCCAGATTGGATTTTGCAAAGAAGAACAGAGATCAGCCACAAAAGTTTTGGAAGAAAGTTTTATGGACTGATGAGACCAGGATTAACCTCTAGCAAAGTGATGGAAAGGCTAATGTATGGAGAAAGAAAGGATCTGCTTATGATCCAAAACATACAAGCTCATCAGTGAAACATGGTGGAGGTAGTGTCATGGCCTGGACTTGCATGGCTGCTTCTGGAACGGGCTCACTAGTCTTTGATGATGTAACTCATGATGGTAGCAGCAGAATAAATTCTGATGTCTACAAAACCATTTTGTCTGGCAATTTACAGAAAAATGCATCCAAACTAATCAGGAGAAGCTTCATCATGCAACAAGACAATGACCCAAAGCACACTGCCAACACAACAAAGGACTTCATCAGGGGGAAAAAGGGGAAGGTCTTGGACTGGCCAAGTCAATCACTGGACCTTAACCCAATAGAACATGCATTTTACCTCCTGAAGAGGAGACTGAAGGGAGAAACCCCCAGAAACAAACAACAACTGAAAGAGACTGCAGTAAAGGCCTAGAACAGCATTTCTAATGAAGATTGCAACAGCCTGGAGAAGTCAATGGGTCGCAGGCTCGATGCAGTTATTGCAAGTAAGGGTTATGCCACCAAATATTAAAATGTTATTCACTTTAAGTTAATTTAATAATGTCTGTTCCAATACTTTTGCTCACTTGAAAAGTGAGTGGGTTCAAGGAAAAGGTGGTCTGTCCTGGGTTGTTTAACACATCTAGATGTAAAAACCATGAAATAAAAGCTGGAATTCTGAACTTTTGTGTCATATTCATCTTTTTATCTGAAACCCAAATGTCTTCAGTATACAACAACTTGCTGTTCCAGTACTTTTGGAGGGGACTGTAACTTATCGGATTTCAAACTCAGTGCCCATGTGACCCAAGCCCAGCAAAACCAATAGCAACAAGACAAAAGTAATTGAACACAGGATAACGGATAAGCAAAGCAACATTATGGCTCCTTCAGCAACCAAGACACCCATGTCACTCAAATTTGCTTTCAGTATGCTCCTTACGGTATCCTTCAACTGCTCATCAGAAATGTTAATCTCATAGTGATCTGCTATTTTTAACAGTTGCTCCTTCGTCCAAAAACTCCTCAAATCTGCCACTTCAGCCATAGTCACCGAGCAGACCAGAGAAAACACACTAATAATCCTCCTCAATTTGGCCCAGACAAGTTTCAACGAGGTGCGCACAGGGTCACATCAACCCACAAAGAGTGCCAATCCCCTCTATCTAACTGCCTATCTGAAGACTAACTACCTAAACTCACTCTAGTCTTCATGCAGCAACAATGACGGGTACTTATGGGCTGAATACCGATAGCACAGAAAAGGCAACCATTACTGGGACCCCCCGAAACTACAGCAGTGCTCCCTAGCAACTGCTCGAACCACATTTTACTGCAACACTAACAGAAAAAAAAAAAAAACTTGATGCACCCAAAGGGGTCACGTCGCTTTGCCTAACCAAGGGAATTATGTACCCATACAGCATTTGCACACGAGTCAACACTTAATCTTACTCACCAAACATAATCCATACTAATTTACCTTAAACTCAATCTACCCTGAATCTCCCAGAGTCTAAACAAAATAATAACATCAAGACCTCTGTCTCACACACGCATCTCAGTAGTAATCAGGCTGACGTCAACTCATTCACAAATTTCTACATGCCTAGTTCAATGACCTTCTGATTTCTTAAAAGGAACAGACCAGCCCCCACTTTGTCACTACCCAACTCATGATCCGTGACAAAAAATGGGAGACGAAACCGTTTAATTTGAAGAAATTAAGGATTTATTAAATAATCAAACAATTAACCACAATGTGCAAAAGTTATGAGATGTGATTGTCAGTGGTATCAGTGTGTCAGCAGATGGATGAGTGTTCATGAGGAGTGCAAAATGTTGTATAGTGTAGAACCTAAACTAACCACAGCCAAAAACAACACAAACCACGAGGAGCCCAAAAGCAAAGAGAGAAAGACAGCAGATAAAGACTGGTCTTTAATACTCCAGGGAGACTGGCCAGGTGCTCTCAGTTTCATTAATTGACTCCACCACCAGGACCTGCAAAACAGCAAGAACAGCACACCAACAGCAGGCCCTGCCCAGACAGGAGGGCCGTCACATAACACACAACTTTATGCAGCACACTACTGTTCAAACATTGCTCCAAATGGTATGGTACCATAGTGTGTTCCAACACTACTTTTATGCAGACAGAGGGGGTTGTAAGTGATCAAGAAAAGTTGGGACACCTGTAGGAACTGGTAGCAGCAACTTTCAAGGCTTGATCAACCTCTTTTGCAGCAGAACTGCTTTAAGTTGTTAACCCATTTCTTGTTCCCTGAAAAAGGCCTTTTTGTGTAATTCTGAAATGTACATTATTTTTCAGTTTTGGTTAACCCTCCCTTTTTTTTTATTTAACTCTGGCAGTTCAAAACTTACCTTTGTACCCCTTTAAGCTGTTCATTGGACTTGTACTGCTTGAATTTTATTTTAAAAAAATGAAAAATTTGAGTGTTTTAACATTTTTGTTTCCTTTAAGCATTGCTCACCCATAAAAGAAACAAGCAGTACAATCTCTCAATGGTTGAAAGGAATAACTATTTTAAGCTCTTAAAAGGATAAGTTATTTCTCATAACACAAACTTGACAAGTTTTGGAAAGCATGGACTATTTTTTACAACCCCCTGAAGGGTAAGGGCATACAAAATGAAGGTTGGACTGATGAACAGATCTGACTGTCAGTAATTCTGTTTTTTCTTCTTTTCTTAATAATAAAGTTTTTTCTCTAAAAGAAAATAAAGAGATGGTTAAAAAAACTTTGAAATGGAATCATGGCAGAAGGAGGAGATCACAGTGCCCAAGACATCTATCGCCCACTCAGAGGACCAAGTGGGAAGAATGGGCATATTTTGGGTTTTATAAGAATGTGAAGGGATGCATAGTTGAAGACCGTAATCCTGTCTGCAGAACATGCAAAAGAAAAGTTCCTTCTAAAGGCAGCAACATCTCAAACCTAATGACTCATCTTCGTGGCCATCACCCGCAACTTTACAGCCAATGCAAGGTAAGTAACTGTTAACGATTTAGTTGAAATACATAGTGTGGGCACTTTGGGTTGAGGGAGAGTGCAATGTCTGTCTGTCTGTCTAACTTACTGACTTGTTGATAATGTAAACAGAACCTTCAGTGCCCATTGCCATGGAGAATATATGTAGCAGCTAATACTGTAAGAGCTGAAATAAACCTTAATTCACAAAGATATGGTGAAACAGTGAAAACGACATTGTTTAGCACTAGTTAAAAGCATCAAAATGCCATAAACTTAGATTTTTTTGCAGAATTTTACAGTGACTACATATATTACCATATATAATTAAATGAACATTGGAATCAACCAAATATGAGCTAGCTGCTTGATCAGCTAAATCGCGCTAGCAGATTACCACTAAACACTACCACTAAAAGCATCAAAGGAAAGGCATGCTTTTAATGATCAATTTAATAAATGTTTGCTGAAATAAATGACATGGTACAATAAGCATTCTACCTAAAGTAATATTCTGTATAATACAGAAAACCGTGATTATTTTGGTCACAAGAGGTGGAATTTTCATACCATTACATCCCTAATCACAATACATATCCAGTTCATTTTAGTCAAACATGCTGTCTGTCATTATAGGCAGTTCTTTTTGCAGTGTTTCTGTTTCTTTGTCTAAAGAGTTTCATAGGAAACTGAAAAAAAAGTCAAAATAACCTTTTAAATTAAACCATCTTTTTGCCCCTTACATCCAGCAATGAAGTTAGGCTCAAAATGTATTTTTAACATAGAGGATCAAGTCATCAACTTGTTAGGAAAAAGTAAGTTAACCTCTTAATAACACAATCATCTGGCTAAGTATATGTGAGGGAACAAGTTTTTATCTTTTGTGCATTTGCTGTGTAGGTGATGTCAGACACACAAAGGTCTAAAGCCCACTCTCTTTATCCAAAAAAGGATCTTTGACAGTAATAATATTTCCCCACCAGAAGAAAAAAATATTTGCTTTTTGCAAAATGCTGCATATCCTGTTTATAACATGGTATGGTTATGTGATTGCATGTATTGCTTTAAGTATAAATATTAAATGCAAAACAACAGAAAATAAGGGGGTGCACTTAGTTTTATTTCATACAATGCAAACTGTTGAAACTTTTACTTTTTACATATGAGACTAAACCTGCAGAGTGTGGTCATTCTGCAGACAGTCCAAAGAGATTTGCTTCCTAAGCTTACCCATCACTAGTTTCTGCTTTTTCATTTGACAAAATTAAACTAGAAGCAACAACACTCTTGGTTTTATGCGAAAGACCAAACCCTCTGCAAACTACATGAATCAGTGTTTCCTACAGCATAACAGTGTTATTCTAGCTATAATAACAAGTCTACACACCCCTGTTCAACTGCCAGTTTTGTTTTTCAATTGTGTTGTACAGGTTATAGGTCACATTAAAGGTGGAAGAAGATGTGAAATTATTTATCTTGATTTAATTTTTTTTACATGACAAAAACCTGGCAGCTGAACAGGGGTGTGTAGACTTTTTATATCCACTGTATATTGAATGTAGTATTACTGCACAGGAGCTTCTGGTTCAATGGACTTCGGCCACCTCTAACTCAGTCAAGAGGACAGAAAATTACCACTTTTTCCTGAAAAATCCTGTGTTCTATATCAGACAGAGCAGTTGCCATATTGCCTCCAAAACAAAAAGTGCAACAATGAAACTTTTTGCAAATTAGGAATCCAAAGAGTTCTATCAGTAATATTTAAAAGAAGAAAAAAAAAAACTCCTCCACCTTCTGCCTCCTTTTTCATTAACACTAGACATCATGGTTCATTGTTGCTACAACATTTACATCTAGATGATTGAAGTGTGATTTTCATTAATGATACATATCTTACTGAGCTGAATAAAATGGTGACAGAGGTTTGTGTTAAATAAGATGGAAAAGAGACACGGCAGACTGAAAAGAGGAAATCACACATTTTTATTGGAAGGCGTTAGAGAGCACGTACCCACCACAATAAAGAATAAAAAGTAGACCAGGTAATGAAGTTTGATCCCCTGCAGGAACACGAAGCCTGTCCACCTTTTTACACTTTTAATCTGGTGAACAATAATTTAATGTATCCATCCAAAATCATATTTCCTCAGAGTTTTATTCACATGCTGGGATAAGGAGGACTTCTCTTTCTACCTGCAGATTAAAATGACACTGATTTCTGAGGATGGCAGATTGACTCCCCTGAATGAAATGGGAGTGAAATCCTATCTGCTTTGTCCATGGACACAATTAGATTTTCATTAAGCTTTTGGAAATATGCATCTACACTCAACCTGATAAGGCTAATGTACATCTTTTTTAATGCAATGCTAAGGTGTTTCAAACACATTGTTCATGTTCTTGCTTCAACTCAACCTGACTCCACTTTAGAGGTAAAGGAAGCCTACACTTTTGGTAATTTATGCACAGAGTTTTCAAACCAAGTTACATCCACAGCAGGCACACGGGGGAATATTTTAGAGGTCATTTACAGCGCTGAAACATTAAAAGGCCTATTTCTGTGGTTTAATTTTCATATTATACACAGTGATGATGGGGGTAATGACAATTTTATCTCATTTTCATCAAAAAAGTCCTTTTTTTCCCCCCACAAATTTGAAAGAGAACCATGACCTTTTTTGGGTCACTATCATGACTTTTAATACTTTGTTATTGCTTTTAGTCTCATGACTTTTTATGTCATTCCCATAACTTCTTTTTCATAGCTTTGACTTTTTGTCTCATATTTGGCTTTTTTTATCATGTCTCTTCTCTCATGATCATGTCTATAATGATTTTGTAATCTTATGATTATTTCCTTCAGACCAATAACATTTAAAGAGGACATGAAACACGCCACATTGGCATCCTCACGTATTAAAAAAATCAATTAGGAGACAGTCTGAAATATGTTTTCGTGCAAAAAATCAGCTGTTTAATAGGAAAACCGCTTTCAAGAGTGTATTTACGACATAAGCACAGCGCCATCCTGAGTTTACGACAGTTGTGACGTCACGGGTAGTGCAGGAACAGAATGGTGAAATAGTAATTAGTGTACGTGACTCCATCGCTCAGCTGTAAGATGTCGGAGATGGATGTGGTGGCGGTCTATCCTTCCAACCCAATGTCGTATGCTTTTGAACGGTCAGAAAGAGACCATGTAAGCGAGAAGGAGAAGCGGAGGAGGAGGAGCAGTAGCACACACACACACACACACACACACACACACACACACACACACACACACACACACACACACACACACACACACACACACACACACACACACAGAGCAGCGATCTGAAGTAAACATTGATATTAACTGTATAAACCTCATCACCAGAATCTCACTTGATCAAACCTTCAGGAAATATTTCTTACCTTCACTCTGGAGTCTAAAACAGTCAGCATTATCAGTCATCCAGCTCCAGCAGTTTAATAATCCATCGATATTATTCACATCCCGTTTCTCGCGGTCAGCGCGTTTCATCCATTTGCAATGTGTGAAAAAAGTTTTAGTTCGCTTTAGCTTCAGGTGTCCTGACAGAGACCGAACGCAGGAGCATCTCTGGACCTGGTACCGAGTCAAGACCACAGGTCCAGACCGGCGGTGACTGACTCACCGCATCAAAACCAAGACGCGGTCCATGTCCCGGTGGGAGAAGACCAGGAAATAAACGACTGAGCCAGCCGACCAGAAACAGCGCTAAAAACTTTAATTTTTCATGCGAATGGATGAGACGCTGATCGTGAGGTTGTAAACGGGATTCAAACAGGATGTAAACGGGAATAATATCGTGGATTATTAACCTGTTGGAGCTGGATGACTGATAATGCTGACTGTTTTAGACACCAGAGTGAAAGTAAGCCTTTTTCCCCTCCGTTATTTTATGTCAGATCTCCCTTAAACAGTGGAGACTCTGGTGATGAAGTTTATTACACTTAATACCGATGTTTACATCTGATGGCTGCTGCTGCTGCATGCATGTGTGAGCTGCGGAAAAGCTGCAGAGAAACACCGGCCGTTTCAGCGGCAAATGATGAAAATGCAACGATTTTAAAAAAATTGATTGGAGCAGCCTGGCGCAAAACACAATACCCCTCCTCTAGTGAGTTTACTCGTCTTTGGCTCTCAATTCGCCATTTCAGCCATCTAGTCCTTGAGCCGGACCAGATGTCGGTACCACTTGGGTGGGCAAAACCTTACATATACTAAATTGTTTTTAGGGTCAATATAAGTAAATTAAAATACGATAGACTTTTCATAGGGGTAGCTTTTTATATTTTTTCTCATTTTGTTATTTTCCTCAATAGGCGAATTTTTGTTAACTCCAAAAGCAACACAGAAAGTCAAAAGCACATTAAAAGTCATACTCTTTTTGGGTCACACTGCTCTTTTCTATAAATGAATCAAACCTGTGTCTAATTAAATGAGTTGATGAAGTGGGTGTGGCCCAATTTGATGGTGGAGCAGTTCTTTCAGGTATAGTAGTACTTGAGCCAAGAACCAAGATTTCACATATCGGTACCACCTGGGTGGGCAAATTCTAGTTGTGATTTTTTTATTGCTATACATCCCTACAATAAGTTTTTATATGATAGACCTTGGTAACTGGTAGCTTTATTGTAGTTATCACTCATTAAAGTAATAGAGTGCAGCTGTTCAAAAACGAAAAATCGCCTTCCTTCAAAATTAGCTTTCTTTCATTTTAACCTCTCATTTAGGTGTGTTTGAACTATTGGCTAGCCATAGAGACTTGTAATAACCCCCTAAATAGTATTTCAAGCAATTTTTTAATACAGGTGTGTATATATAAGCTTCAATTAGCCAATTGTCAGGTCTAAATCAAGGTCTAAATTAAGGATATTTTTTGACTTAGAAGTAGAAGTAAAGTAAATGCAGACTAATAGCATTATAATAAAACAACCTTAATATGACACTGACATATTTTAAATGCAAGCACTCATTATACAATCATCCTGGCTGATGCAGGGCAAGAAGACATTAGCAACAAAATAAGATCTACTGATGTATACACTCTATACAATCATCTGAGAAAAACTCAATTCCTCCACCAAGAACTTGATGAGACCGGCTTTGTCGGCAGGGCTGCAGAGAAGTTTCCTCCACTGCTGAATATTGTGGCCAGAAACAATGTTTCTGAACTGGATCCCCATGTCTGCACCTCTGTTTAGTCTTTCTGAATTTTTGATTGACATGTCCATGTAAACGTCAAAGACAACATCAATCCTTTCACTATCACCACCTTCATGCAGGACCTTGGCTAAAGTTGAGTCCAGCCAGCTTCCACCATGTCAGGATTGCCTATTAATGCACCAGATGCAGTCTTGCAGTTGCTATCCTGCAAGTGTGTGAAGACATGCAAACCACCAGACTGCACCTGTCTCAGCCATGGGCTGAAGTGCACAAACCTGTGCAAATTACAAACTTGTGCCAACCAATACAGTGAGGAAGAGCCCCTTGCACACTTGGCAGACTCAGATGTAGAAGAAGATACAGATACTGATGTCGATTACTGATGTTGATTAATAAATGATGACCAAAAGGAGCTATGTTAACAGACCCACTGTGACTCAGTGACAGTATTATGTACTAAGCCAAAACTTGACAATCATATTTGCTGTCACTGTTCCTTATGAAAAGAATAGGACTTTAAATAGGATTTTGAGTTTTTCTCAGATGATTGTATAGAGTGTATACATCAGTAGATCTTATTTTGTTGCTAATGTCTTCTTGCCCTGCACCAGCCAGGATGATTGTACTGTATATTGAGTGCCTGCATTTAAAATATGTCAGTGTCATATTAAGGTTGTTTTATTATAATGCTATTAGTCTGCATTTACTTTACTTCTACTTCTAAGTCAAAAAATATCCTTAATTAAGACCTTGATTTAGACCTGACAATTGGCTAATTGAAGCTTATATATACACACCTGTATTATGATTATAATGAGTGATAACTACAATAAAGCTACCAGTTACCAAGGTCTATCATATAAAAACTTATTGTAGGGATGTATAGCAATAAAAAAATCACAACTAGAATTTGCCCACCCAGGTGGTACCGATATGTGAAATTTTGGTTCTTGGCTCAAGTACTAATCCTAATCTGCTCTCATTCAATTGTCAATACGCAGGCTACACCACCGATTACGTCATGCAAAGTGGCACTGCTTTACGGTTCCCCGCAGTGTCGCTAAAGTCAAACTTCTGTCACAGTTTTTTAGAGATGTAATACATTTTGAGAGTCATGAATACAGTGATTTGTGAAGTCGAGAGGCATTCTTAAAAATAATGATAACTTGGATCAGTGTTTCACGTCCTCTTTAATATTATGACATTACGAACAACTAGCTCTTGTAATTGTGACTCAGTCCAAATAATAGTCCAAATGCTGAATTAATATCCAAAATGATGACTTTTAAGATGGCTCTTGATTGTATACACAATGATTGCATAAAAATGTTGACTTCATTAAAGTTACAACCTTTATCTCCTTATTCTGATTTTTTTTTTTATAATGCCGAGTTCTTACTTATTTATGCTATAACATTGACATTTGATCCAACCAAATTTTATCTTTTTTTAACAGGTTTCTTAATTTTGCAACATATGACTTTATGTGTTTGTTTGTTTTTTGACTTTTCATTTAAAATGGGAACTTTTTATTCTTCAAATTGTAACGTTTATTTTAAACTAACGACATCTTACTTTATATTGAAGACTTTTTAACATTAAAATTAATCTCATCATGACTTTTTGTTTTATTATTATGACCTGTCTTTTTTTTAATCATAAAGGCAAAGCTTCATTTTTTTCCTTTTTTAATCACTAATAAAGGCTTCCATGGAAATAAGTTAAACATCCATTAATCATAAACTACAGTTTCAATCCATTTTTAATAATTTGCACAAGTGTAAATTAGAAAAAGTTAACTGAATTTAGATAAAGTCAGACTTTAATTCTTTGTTTTTATGAGTCACATTTAGTGAAATTAGAAATGGGCTTCACTTTGAGCACCAGACTCACGGGGGATCTGGTATATTGCTTTGGATCAACTGAAAAGCAAGAGGCAAGAGGCAAAAAAGCTTACAAGTTGTGTTCAGACCAAAAGTTTAGCAAGTTTTAGCTTAAAACATAAAACACAAACAGAAGCAAAAAAGTGCAACTTGATCAAAAATTTAAGTAGAAATGTGTCACAAAAGCCTTTTGTGTTGATATTCATCTGCCAATGCATCAAATATGGTGAATTTTAAAGCTGTGGGTGTGAATATGGTTTTTTTTCAACAAACTATATCATGATGCAGCTATTTCTGCATTTCTGCATTGTTTTTACCGTCTTTTCTCATCATGTGACAGAAAATCTATTTCATAGTGCTGCAGTGAGTCAAATTTCAGCAGGCATGTAAGTGGAAGACTGAGTAGAGACAGATGAAGCAGAAACTCTTCATGGAGAAGGAGGAAAAATAAATTGTCTCTAGTAATCACTGAAACAATGACTACTTGCAAGCTGTGTTTAACTAGCAGGAACGAACCAAAAAGATCCCCATAATAACCTTTAGTAAGAGATTTAAGCTGAATATTTGCTTCACTTTTAGTCTTAAAACTGCTTCAGATTTCTCAACTTAAAGTGTAAACACAAAAACATCTTCTTTTCAGGCTGTTTCTGAAGCACAAGAATGAGCAGAAACACACAAGTTAACTTTGGGATTAAAGCAACACAGGGCTCTGGGAGAGATGGGCCTGTAATTTACTGACACAAGGACTCACAGGCATATATGATGGCTAAAAGACATCTTCACGTGAAACATATATTGAGTGTTATCCTGGTAACACATCTTACTCACAGACCCTCAGAGGATACAGATGTGCAGTTGTTTTCTCGTTATTGCTATGCTCTTGACATTTGGCAGAATAAAGCAGTAGATAAAAAATTAAATCCTACTGTAAACATGGAACATGGCAGAGTTACAGTATCATATCTATGAAATATTGACAACTTCATCTTGAAATATGGAGGCTGGATGTGAAGTGAAAGCAAAAGGTAACAGGCGAGGACTCGAACCTTCACAGAGGACAGCAAGGCCTGTTTAAGACAAATGAACAACCCTGCATGCTGCATGGGTATTCTGGCAGGCATTAAACATGATATGTTTGCTTCATGGTATGAAAATATGAAATGTCTGAATAAACGATTAAATAGATTTCACAGAACTATGTAATCTCTGCCAAAATCCACCGAAAAAGGTGGAGGACTGTAAGACACTTAATCCAGAAACTAGAACACCCTGCAGGTGACTAAATTAGGCCACATGTATGTACCACTTGTTATAGGTTTTACTATAAGCTCTGCAGGCCTTATTATTGTACAGTTATAACTTAACGGGTACACTGAGTGTATCTACATGCAACATTTCAGCAGTAACCAAACAACAGTGCTGTGAGCAGCAGCCTATGACTATGGAGTCAAATATATACCATTAAACTCAAAGAAAACAAAGGATCAGCATGGCTGTGTTACAACTCACAATTCATAAATAAGACAGAAGAGTGGCTCTGTGACACACTCTAGATGATGAAAGCATGTCTATCACATAAAATGCTGGTTCTTAACTGGTCCAGTCCCCCTTATTTGACATCTGCAGCCCGAAGTACTGGAATTTCTCTCTTAAAATCAATGTTGTGGTGCATTACTGCCACCTAGTGTGCTGGAGTATGAATAACTGCGTTACATTTGCAAGTGCACTGCCTCACAGCCTCTGACCCGCCAATTGAGAATCAAAGACTTTCAGATGATTCAGGTGTTTCTGTCTTAGTTCAAACTCTTACATATTTGGAATCAGAATATCTCATGGGTTTGTGGACTGCTTCAGTCTGCAGCAGTGAAACAGGCGGTTGTGGCTTCAACATAACCTTCAGGAGCAGCTGCATGCGAATGTCTACTAAAAGTTCTTGTTTTTGTCACTTACAGGCTCAGATTGTCATTTTTAGTATCTGATGGCAATACCAGAAGGATCCCTGCAGAGAATGAGCATTTTGTTAGGATTTTTACTAAAAGTCACCAAACTTCACTGACAACACAGAAAAGATTAGAACAATAACAGAGGCTTTCATGCTATAGACATCAAGACAAGTGAAAAAAGTGCAGTTCCCCAAGTGTCCAAAAGGCTGTCTCTAAAAGCTAATGAATTCCTATTGGAGCCTGTGTTGAAATGTTTATTTTTACAGCAGAATGAAACATGTAGCTACAAAACCTGTCAAAGCTCTTTGATTTGTGAAATCAGTTAGGAAAACATTTTTATGTTTTGAGTATACCAAAGCACCATGAGGAATATTGGTTTGTATTGATTCTGGTGCCCCCTTGTGGACTAAGTGAAAAATGCCAAGGAGGACATTCTGAGGCCACTGCTATCTTTGAGCTTCATAACACATCTTCAGAAACCACTGAGTGATGTTTCTGAGAGTACAACCATGTTTCATTTTGTCTATAATCAACCTCTGCGGCAAACGTTAATTTCTTCACTGTTATTGTATGTTACATAAATACCAGGATTGCTCTGAACTAATCATATGTCCACCTAACTAACTCTTATGTACAAACATTGTGCAAAAACGACGCAGTTCAGACCTCCATAAAAACACTGTAATCTTTGACTGAACACTCAGTTGAAAGTAGTTGAACTTCTGGAACAGGTATCGCTTGTTGATGTCCCTTCACCCTATTGACCAATTTAAACCAAGAGGGGGTGGGACTTAACTTAAAGTTAACTGGAGTTTGTCAACACTATAGAAGATTGTGCAGAGGTGGAACTGACCACAGTCATGTTTTTAAAGATATAAAGTCTGAGCTACTGCTAACATCAGGACATGTTGACTTTCTTTTTTGAATACTCTTAACTAAAATTTCCCAAAATGGAAGCAAGTATGGAGCACACTGACCAATAAAACAACTTCATAGTCACCACTGCGAAAAGAGATGATGCTCAAAATGATTTTGAACTAAAAATATCTTTGTTAGGACACTTCGTATCACATTCTGAGCCTGTCAGAGACAGAAACAACAACAGCGGACACACTTTGATAGACCACAAGAATTATGCTGCACTCACTACAGACTGTTTCACTGCTGCAGGTTCAGAAAACTACAAAAGAAATTCTAATATTATTGTACCTTTTTCATCATTTAAACCCCAAATATGTCAAAAGAAAAAAAAGGACCAGGATATATTCTAGTCATACAATGCTAATCACAACATCATTAAATAAATACCTCACACACTTTAGCAGCCTGAAATCAGAGGAATACATGACATCTACAATGCTTCACAGGGTAAACACACATGCATGTGCCAGGCCACAGATTACAGTATGTCTCCTGCATCAGTGTGAGTATTTGTCGTGTTTGTGCGTCAGTGGCTTTACTTTTCCTGCAGCAAGGCGGGGATGTTTATGTTCCAGCCGATGGCCTGTCGGTCAAAGCCGCAGGTGAACAGGTTACAGGACTGGTTCTCTTCGTTCCAGGCTGTACAACACACCATGCGCCTGTGACCCTGCGCACACACAAGACATCCAGATTGTAAGTTTAAATGCTGCTGTTGGAGAAGTCAAATCATGAATATTATAAAGGAGGTGGTTGCAGTCCAGTTAAAGCCACACGCATTTTGGGCACTGCTGTTGTTATTTTATTGTTATTGTTATTATTGTTTAAAGAGTGAGAAGTCAGGGTACTTCAATACCGATAAGTTGGGTAGGAGTTGCAAATGACTACGATGGTCAGTTTGCTGGTCCTTTGTTGATATATTAAATGGGCTTTGAACTTTGGTGAGACTGAAAAATGGGTTTTAAAACTCTTATTGTTTTAAGTACAATTGAACACCGGGCAAGGTAATTATAGTCTTATCATAGCAGCATGTGAATCACAGGTAACCCTGTGCGAAATTCTCCCCAGAACCCCAGACTGAAAAAGTAAACATCACACCATTTTGACGATGCCTTGAAAGCAGGGATTGAAACCATAGACCCATTGGAAACATGTTTGCTGAAATAATAAAAGAACCGAGACCATTCTCCCATAGACTTCCCTACAGACAGTCTTACCCCCCAACCCACCCTCACATCCCAAAGAATGCAGTTTTACGGCACTTCCTTCATTTCTGGTGGATTTAGTCATCTATAGATAACTGGTTTTATTCGCACCATTCTGTTGCTGCGTGGAAGTCTGGCCAGTCTTACTCCATTCATGTCAAACAGTCGGACTTGTCGATTGTCATGTGGCAGAGCGATGATCCTTTGGTTGGCAGAGACGCTTATCCTGAAAGATATCAAGCCAGATCAGGTTGTATCTTGGTCAAAGTTTGTTCATCTATATTCCAAGTTTCATCTGCAGCTGGAGTCAAAGAATTAAGCACTAGTTTATCAAACATATGTTAATCATAAACACAACCTGAAGAGCAACATTCATATCTATGCCCATTTTAGATTTGATGCATATGTTTAAAGACAGGACAGAGGCAACAAAACGCTGAAAAATCTGAGCAATTCCAAAAAACATGCAAGGTTCATAAGATTTGAAGAGGTTCACCACTGTGTGAGAGACTGTGTGAGCTAATAGTTCAACAGTTTCAGAATAATGTTCCTGAGTTTCAAATGTGAAAGAGTGAGTGGATTTCATCATCTGCAGTTCATAATATCATTAAAAGATTCAGAGAATCGGGAGAAATCTCTGTATGAAAGGAACAAGGACCAAAACCAAGACTGGATGGTCCTGATCTGCAGGCCCTCAAACAGCACTGCATTAAACAAAGACAGGACTCTGGAGCAGAAATCACTGCATCGACTCAGGGTCACTCTTTAAAACCCAAGAAGAAATCAGAAATCAACATAATCCACAAACTCCGGCGACCTCTCTGCCCTGTGCTCTAACAAATCCAGTTTGACATTCTTTTTGGAAACCATGCACACTGCATCCACTGCTCTGGGAGAATGGGAGAAGCACCACCTGGCTTTTCATCAGCTTCCAGTTCAAATACTTCAGCAAGACACTGAAAAACCACATTCTGACAACAGGGATTACAACAGCATGGCTCTGTAGGAGAAGAGTCCTGCTGCTGAGAAACTGGTCTGACAGCAGTCCTGACTTGTCCCCCATTGAAAACATGTTCAAGCATCATGACACCAAAAACAGGACAAAGGAGACCCTGAACTGTTGAGCAGCTAAAATCCTCTACCAGGCAAGAATGGGACAACATTTGACTTTGACATTTTACAGCGTTGGTCAAAGAAGAGGGAATGTAACACAATAGGAAACATGACCCTGTCACAACTTTACCCAAACAGCCACAATGTGAATGAATCATAACAGCTTGTTAATAATCTGATTGGTATAAAACAATGAATTATGATTGCTCAATCCTCTAATTGACTGAGATGAAATTAGACTTTTTGGGGGGGTTGATAAATAATAACCATATTATTCTGCCACAAGTGCTCCAAAAATCCAGTCTCTCACACCTTGTCACTTTCCTCCTCTCACCCACCTGTTCACAGCTGAGTCAGTGCGAATAGTCGCGATGGGTGACCTCATGTTCTTCAAGTCCCACACCTTGACAGTACGATCGTCGCTCCCTGAAACCACATTGTCTCCGACTGTGAAGACCGCTGACGTCACCGTGCTGAGAAACATGAACACACACACACACACACACACACACACACACACACACACACACACACACACACACACACACACACACACACAGTCAGGGAGTTACACCAGAAATGCCACACTTTAAGCAACAGGATTCAAAGCAACAGGATTCAAAGAGGGAGAAGATTGGAAGGAACAAAAAAGATCTTTTAGTTCTTGTGGGAATAAAGTTGTGGAGTGAAGCCACGGGAAACAAATTCTGATTCCCTACTAGTCCAACAGCTTGAAGTTGTACAACAAATTATTTATCAAAATGTGCTGTTTCATCAGGATTGCTGTTCTATTACTTTTCTCTGTTGTATATGAATTTTTCGCATTGTAAGTAGCGAAAATCTGCAAAAATAAATTTTGCATTGAAGTCAATGGGACTGGCCCAAAAAAGGTCAATTATTGGAATTTTTAAACATCTACTGCTCTGGCTCCTTTTTTTTGTTTTTCTTTTTTGTATAAATAAATACTTGAAATGGGTATGTTAATTGTCAGTGTGTTTATTGTCAGTGTGTAAGAGAACGTGCATGCAAATGTTATGCACCTTTCATCCCTTCTATTAAGATAAAATATAACTAATACTGTTGAAAACTTTGCATAGTTCCCCCATGTTATAAAGTCATTCACCTTTTTTAAAAGGAACAAGCTGACAAGTGACTAATATTTACTGATCAAACAAGTTTAAAATGTTAGTGTTAAGTCAATAAAGCTTATGTCCCAGTGAATTTTTTGCACTTTTTTCTGTTTTTAAGAATCACACAGACTGAGTAGTCTTATTTCGATGTTACAAATTTGAGTTAATAAACTGAACGTTGAAATTGTTTAAAGTTTTTTGCAGATGTTACCTTAGCTCATTTTATTAACCTGATTTGTATGCAGAATCCTGGTGCCAGCAACTCATACAGATTAATTAATAAATATTATCAGGTTCTCAAGAGTGTTACTGAATATAATTGGTATGTATGTTTTCTGTGTCCTTTCACTTCAAGAAGCATTTTTTAATTCTTTTTTGTGTGTTTTATAAGGCATTTTGAGAGCTTTGTAAAATGTTGTTTTGAGGTCTCAGAAGTTTTTGTTTTAGGGTTAGGATCCTGGATGGCCAAACAAAACATTGTTGGGTATGCAGCAAAATTTTGTTTGGCCCCACCAAAACACACTCCAAGGTGTTATGAAAAGTTGGCTGAACTTAAAAAATTAACACAGTGTGATTCTTCATTAAATGTGACTCCCTGTTTAAAATCCTGACAGTCTCACCATCAGGGTGAAGAACAAAGGTGTGGACAGGATGACACATACGCTGCTCACTGTCACAGGTTTTTAGATCTTGATTTGATAGGTGACAGACTTGAAGTGTTGACACGCTGATGAAACTGTCTGAGCTGTTAAATCACAGAGTTCACTTTGTTCTCCTCTCTTTAACACTTTGCCTCATGTACTCTGTGAGTGTTTACTTTCATAATGACTAAATTAGAGATATACAGTTAGTGATGTGATTGTTTTTGTTTGACTTTTGTATCTCTGGTACTTTAGTGGTATAGTAAAGGAACTTTTGGTATAAACTGGTTTCAGCCCATCAGCTTTCAGGTGGAACCTCTTCAACATCATTAAATAATTGTACAAAATGATGAATTAAAGAAAAGTGCATGGGGATTTTTACAAGCAGATGTGAGCAGAGGTGAGTGCTTCTAAAATGTGTGAGTGTCTGTGTGTGTGTGTGTGGGGGGGGGGGGGTTATCTATTTTACTGAAAGAGTTACAATATATTGCAATGTATATGAGTTTTTTTTATAAAGCCCTAGATCAGGGGTCGGCAACCTGCGGCTCTGGAGCCATATGCAACTCTTTCTTCCCTAAGCTGCAGCTCCCAGTGGATTTGGAAAATAAATAATAAATATTTAATTTAAATTTATTTTATTTTACTATTTTTTTGTGTAATTCTAAATTCAAAGATTATATGCTCTTGTAACATTAAATAAACCATGTTAAATTTTTTTTATAGCTCAAAATATGCATCATAACTGCCGATTTGGGAAAACCGAAAACCTGTGTGAAGATGAATGTAATGTCACACAGCCTGGATGTGGAGACGCTGTGCTCTGAGATTAAGGAGCAAAAGTCACATTAAGCAAGTAAATTTCACATTTTAATCGGCTATTATTTCGGTTATTATTTTGCAAATATATATCTTACATTGTTCCGTGAAATTGTGTTTTTATTCAGCGCACACGCTTGTTGCGCGATTATCCTCTCTACTCCTCCGAGTGTGGCCTACATAGCAGGGCTCCAAGGGCAGAGCTTGCAGTTGTAAAGTAGGAAATCTCCCTGCGTCTGAGACTACCGTTTGGCTCTGCCAGAGATTCACAGTGATTTAAATGCAGAAATACTCAGAAATGCAATTTTGCACTTATCTTACTTATGATATGTCCTGTAGCATCAGGAAAATGATATATGAACGTGTAGACAACAAGAATAACATGATTTTCATTGAAGTGGGTCTTTAAGGTTATTTCAAACTATTTAAAATATTTTTGTTTGCCTACAGAAATTACATTTCTTTTTCTCTGCAGCAGTTCATTTATTTCATAAATGCAACTTGCTACAGTTTTTTATATACTTTGTATAAAGGTAAAAAAAAACCTGATATATTCATTGTTATCTTCATTTTAGATGTTGAAGAGGTTTTGTGGCTCCCTGTGTTTTCTTTTCTGTGGGAAACTGGTCCAAATGGCTCTTTGAGCGTTTAAGGTTGCTGACCCCTGCCCTAGATACAAGGGCTGTGAGGGTCCTTAGTTAATATGTTTTTATCACTATTTTATCTCTGCGCACTGTGGCTTAGCCTCTGCAGCTTTTTCTCACATACTGCTGCCACCATGATGGAAGTATCAACACTAGATCAAAAAAACTCCTGGAGGGCTCAGTTTACATGTCAAAAGTATTATGCAACTTAAGTGGAACAGAATTTAAAATATCACCCAAGTCCTTACAGTTTGAGTCAAACACTATAAGTAAAGCATACTGGTGCAGCTTATTACATTAATGCTCCATTTTGGAGCTTGTGGATCACCACAGACCTGTACATGAAATTGAATCATACAATTACACTGCAGAGCTGGTTAGATGGGTGATAACTGACTGCAGGCCGCTCAACACAGGGAAAGACCCAGGTCCAAAGGGTGCTTCAGCTTGTTATGTTTGATGCTGTTAACTCCTTTTAAGTCATGGTTTAAAATCACACGGTGTTTACTTCAATAATGAATCTGAAAGTCACGACCATTAATCACTTTACATTCATTTCATTCCCAAATCAAAACAGTGGTATAAAAAACTTTGCATGTTGTATGTTGCATCAAGTACTATTTAGAAATGGCAAATACTGAAATTTTAAACATGCAATTTAAAATGTGATTGATCACAATGGACTGTTGTTGGTCACATTCGGAGCAGAGGTTCTTCATATGTGGTCATCACCTCCTTCCCCTCTACCTACCTCACCCTCTCTCCTACTAGCTGTGATGCACTGCTCCACATAATAGCGCTGAGATCAGGCCTAGGTGATAATTTAATAGAACTCTAATATCTCCAATCTATTACTGTATCCTGAGAGGGTTTCAGTCTTTCCTCCATTTTCTTTCTGCTTGTTCATGGGAGGAAGGTTGAAAGGAAAAAAAAGGCGCCCTGATTATGACCTAGGATTAGCTTCCCACACACAAGCACTGTCTGGAGTTTCTTACTGATTTTGCTTGGTAAAACTGGCTTCCCTCTTAATTCAAATTGACACAGCATTAAGGGCTAATTAGTGGACTAAACTTTGTCCCATTAGAGGCAGAGGCTCGAGCAAACTGCTGCATCATTACAGAAACCCTCTGACATTGAAGAGAACAGCCCACCTGGGACTACAGAGGGAGGAGAGGTGGGTGGGAGGCGTAATCAGACAAGGTAATTGATTAAAAGGTTTGATTAAGGTTAAAGGGTTTGTAGAATAGGTGGTGGGGGTGGGGGAGTCAGTGTTACTTAACAGCCTCTCTGCAGTGAGTCTGACAGCCAAGGTCAAGACTCTTTATGATCTGAGACCTGAGGAGACAAAGAAATAGAGAGAATAAAAAGAGAATTGTGCTTCCCAAAAAGTTACGGTTAACTGAATTTCTACAAACTGAAAGTCCCAATTTCCTCTCAGACTGATGTTATTTATATACTAACTAGTCACAGAGTATTGCAGAATCTGTCAACCTAAAGGCTAAAACATACAGGATCCGTATTTAGCGCAAATCAGCAGCGTCACATATCATGCAGCAAATAGGTTTCCATTCTAATCAATGCAGCAAAGCATACGGGATGTGTATCAGCACCGACGCAGCATCGTATCAAGAGCAGCTCTGTTAAAGATACGCGATGAGTCAATTTTTGCTGCGCTACGCTTCCAATGCGCGTCCATCCACACAGAGAAGATCGTTCTACACAGGATGTCAGGCACAAAATAAAAATAAAACACCATATGTGGACTCCTGACTGTGTATCAGTCCATGTAGATGAGAAATCCTTCCTGGTTTTGGATTTATCAGTAACACGGAACAATCTGAAGGTCAATCCCTGATCCATGTGGACCCTGTCTGAAGGTAACAGCACAGCATAAAGGAACAGAGTTTACTTTATTAAACATGAGTAAACCTGCAAAAACACAAACTGGAAAATCCCGTTCCTTTTTCACATATAGTAGAGGCTCAACAGTCACTGAATTATATCCAAATTACCAGGAAATCAACCACAGAAAGGAAAAAAAAACTTGTTGTGAGCATGTTGTTTCCTCTATACTGAAACCAGCTGACCGGGGGGGGGCTGCACTACGCTGCTGCTACGCTCCAAATACGCTGATCCTGTATGTGATACCCAACGCTGCACTACGCTGCTGCTACACTCCAAATACGCTGATCCTGTATGTGATACCAAATGCTGCTCTATGGAGCAAATACAGAACACGCTCAATACAGATCGTGTATTTTTCGGCTTAAGACTGTCCATAGTATGAGGAGTGTCATCCAACTGTTTGAACAGGCATTACATTTAGCTTAAATTGATGTCTGCAAATAGAACCGTGCAAAAACGTGCAGCAAAATGTGAGTGAGTGAGTGAGGCTCTGCAAAGTTGGCTACTGCTCTGGAGAGGGGAAAATATCCTGCACATCATAAAACTCAAGGAAAAAAAAAAGAAAACAAATCCTGATGCAGACACCAGACTCTTAGAAATTCCCAATATTTTTTAGCTGACTTTTTTTCTCCCTGACTGTATCCCAAATTTTTCTAGCCAAAAAAAAAAAGCTAATGATACAACCTCTTTTTCACAACAAACTGATTTTACTCTATCCCTTTAGTTCTCCCAACAGCCACTCTGTCATTAGGAAAATGCTGCTAAATCCTCCATAATCTACCTATAACACACATTAATAGTTATTCATTATTCATTTACACATTTTCTTAAATTTAAAGGGACCTGATACAAAATAAAACAGAAGTGCTGGTGGAGACTGCAGCAGGTATATTTCAGGACATCATCCTGGTGCAGATTTCTCATTTTCTGTGAAACACAATCAGTTGTTTGTTTAAAGGGAAAAATCAGCAGAAATCATATGAAGACAATCGTGTTATATCCTTTTGAGCCAAACTTTTTAAACCTTGCAGTTCATCTATCTCACATACATCTGTGAGGTAAACTGCTGTTTGTGCTCTTCTCTCCGAGTGCCTTTAATGATTGATGGAGGAATCTCTGAATATCTCATGGATTATAACAATAGAAGGTAACTGCCAAAAAGGTAAAATGTAAAAGAAACTCATCAGGTAAAAAGGACTGAAAGATGTTTTTTCCAGCACTTTGTTGTCGTGCTGTGCTGCAGAAAAACTGACAGTCACTGAGGACCCGCTAAGTGCTGGTGTATTCCTCCAGAAAGAGGATGTCAAATCTGCGTACACTCTCTCTCTCTCTCTCTCTCTCTCTCTCTCTCTCTCACACACACACACACACACACACACACACACACACACACACACACACACACACACACACACACACACACACACACACACACACACACACACACACACACTTTCTTCTATCAGATGCTGACAGCAGCAGAGACAAACAGGACATGATGTTGTGTTTGGAGAGCGAATCTTCAGTCACTTCTTGTCTGCTCCCGGCTGTTTTACGACCTCATGTTTAGTTGTCATTGGTCTGTAATTACAGCCCCGTGGTGGGATGGAGGGTGTGTGCTGCACTTTTAGCTGCAGCGGTTCACTGTCAGAAAGTGTTAGCTGTAATTGCCCAGTAACGTCGGTGGAAATGAGAGGCTGTCTCCCCTCCAGCTCACAACCTCTTCTGCCTTTTTAACTGCTCACACTCTGCTATCTGCCTGTGGGGGTGGGCTTTATTTATGATATAATGTTCTAAAAGTCAAAAGTTAGGAGGGGAAGAGGCAAAAGGATGAATACCTGTTGTTGTAAGATCTGGCTAAACTTAAAAAGGTCTGAATTTGAAAACTGGCGTTTTTATATAAAAAAAAATTCCAGAAAGATGTACAGACGAATCCCAGAAAACATGGAAAAGTCTTTTTTCTTCTTCTTTTTGATCAGTTTGAGAAGAAAGTAAAAATTTATTGTATGCCATGTAAACTAAATTCTTGGCTGTTCACAGAGTGCTATATGGAAGCAGAGTCATGCCAAGTGAGTGAGGAATGGGGGACACGAAACAGGGAAGAGCTCAAAAAAAGCAGATTCAAGAACTTACAGGAGCTTTACAGGGACTGGACTGAGGCTGGAGTCACAGCATTAAGAGCCACTACACAGAGACAAGTCCAGGAAATGGACTGCAAATGTTCCTGCTGTCAAGACTTTCCTGAACCAAAACAACATCATAATAAGAGTCTCACCTGGGCAGAAAAACTGGACCGTTGTTCAGTGGTCCAAAGTCCTGTTTTCCGATCAAAGTCAATTTGGAATCTCATAGTGCTGGGCGATGAAACAATAACGATACAGGGCTCTCAAGTCTTACGCATTTGACCACTCACAAGCCAATCAAATAAAGTTTATGTACCAAAACAGCCAATCAAAAGTAGTATTGCTGTATTCGGGCAGATAGAAGACGGACACTCGCCGGAATGAAGCAGGTTTCATAAGGACGAAAAAGACCCGATGATTACAGTAAGTCAGTAACCTACACCTGCAGAGGCCTCAACACCTCATGACACATAGGGCTCTATTTTCGTGCCCCGCCAGCAACGCAGCGCATGCGAGGCATAACTCAGGTCTGCCGCGCCGACAAGGCGTTCCCAAGCACAATTTGGTATTTTGGTGAGCGGCGCAGCCCGGTGTAAGTATTCCCCCTCCCTAACTCAGCTCCTGCCAGCGGCATAAGTCGTAGGGAGGGAGGAGAGAGGGCGTGGAGTGAGCTTAACACAGCCGAGACCTGTATTGACCAATCACATCAGCTCCTCTCCTCGCATTTAAATTCGCCACCGGCGAGGCGTATTACAATTTTCGTGAAGTAGTCAAAGAGATCAAGAGATGGCTGAAGACAGCAATGCCACACGATGATGACAGAAGGCAGCCCCTCAACAAGTGTTGCTGGAAGCGGCCCACCTGGGACTACAGAGGGAGGAGAGGTGGGTGGGAGGCGTAATCAGACAAGGTAATTGATTAAAAGGTTTGATTAAGGTTAATATTATAATATTCGTATGTAGGCTTAAAGTAAATAACTCATCTGATCACTAAAATAAATCATCTGTTCAGCCGCCGCAGCAGCAGTTGCAGCAGGATGGGGAGATGACATGGAGACATGTCCAGGTCGAGCTGCTCGAGAAATAAAAGGAAGAGGAAGAAAAAAGGAGGGAGACGAATTACATATCTTGTTAACTTCATCATGTGTGTTTATTTACTAGATATTTAATTTAATTTAATGTGGTTTCAGCTGTGTTAATTCGGTCAGGTTGTGTGTCGAAATGCGTGTCAAACGCGCTCATCAGATCTGATATAGATCAGAATATATATTATAGATCTAAATGTGTGTGCTGACTCAGAATATTGGTTGTTGTTGATCATTTATTGCACTGAAATGTGCCTGACACTGTGGAAACCTGCCGATGAATCAGTGACGTATGCTGATACGTCGCCAGTCTACCAAAATACCACGAGACCAGCTGCACTCCGCCTGCGCTGAAAGCTGACCAGGTGTGAATCGGCGAGCTTTCAGCGCACTTTACACGCCAGCGGCGAGCACAAAAATGTCACTGCGCCAGTTGATTCTGTCGACACCTCCCCCTGCCGCGCCACCACGCCCAGCTTGGCGGACCTCGGTGCGCCTCAGTCCACTAAAATACCAAACTGGCTGTATGCCGGGCTTTGCCAGATGAAAATACACTGCGTGGGGTCCGCCACTGTCCAACCGTTTGCCCTCCACAAAAGCAGTGATTCCCTCAAAGTCCCCCTTTTTTTTCAAATATGTTCTTTTGAAAGTTCTGACACACATGACAATGTAATGCTGATGTACTGAAGGATTAAGTATCTCCATGATTGTAAAACCCATACTAAAGTAAAACACAGCCCTCACTTTAACAACTCTCCTCCACAAAAGGTAACTTTACCACGTTGTCCTCATAAGTTAATGACTTTATTCTTGTAAGTAATGACTTTAATCTCGAAGTCTTAAATTTATTTATTTTTTTTTTAAAGGGGCCCCTATACTCTGTTGTATTTATTGGATTATTATACTAATACATTATCTTCAAGCTTCGTTCACATAATATAACTGAATATAAAGGACTTTATTAATTGCACATCGAGTAGCATGAGATAGCATTAGCCATATTCATGGTAAACAACACATTAACACAATATAGCATCAAACTTAGCACCATAGGTGTCCAAACACCTACGGTGCGTTCACAAGCGTCGGACAAATGAAAACTTACAGTTAAACACAATATAACTGAACGGTATTTACTTGAAAACACCTAAACAACATGGGCTTTCAAACAGGCATTCTGCCATGTTTTGGTAGACTATAGGAATAGCCAATGAAAAGGGGAGTTGCTCCGGGTCTGAACCAATCATGTGCTGAATTAGAACCAAGTAACTGCGTCGTAGCAGACAGCAGCTACACCCAACCATAGCACTTTAACAGGTGAAGCTGACAGCACTGTTGGTGAGAAAGAAAATGAGTGCTACCCCCAACAGAAATGACCATGAAGGCTCAACAGATGACGACATCGTCGACAACACTGGCATTACAAAAACGTCAGTGGTGTGGAGGTATTTTGGTTTTTTGAGGTCGGACATGAAGCAAAGTAATGTGTACTGTAAATTATGTCGAGTACACGTTCTCACAACGTCGAGGAATACCTCAAATCTTTTTTATCACCTGAAGCAGCGCCACACGGCAAAGCATGTGCAATGCAAAAGGTTACAAACCCTGAGCAGAGTAAGGAGCCCATGGCGCCTGTGCAGCTGAAACATTCATTCCCTAGCGCAATGCCTTACGACAAAATGTTGAAGAGACACAAAGACCTCACAGATGCAGTAGATTATTGTATTGCAAAAGACATGCTACCAATAAACACTGTTAAATTTCATTTTTATATCATAATATATCGATATCGACTGATATCGTGATAAACTTTTTTCCATATCGCCCAGCCCTATAATCTCATTTTCAAATAAAGAGTCTAGAGGAAGATCAAAGAGGCCCAGAATCCAATGTGCTTTAAGTCCAGCATAAAGTTCTGTGACGATATGGGTCAATGTTATCCGTTGCTGTTTTTCTACTGTGTTTAATAATGTAATCAGCAAAGCCTAAAGTCTACTAAGAGGTTTTAAAGACCTTCATGATTCTTCTGCTGAGAAGGTTTTCATTTTCCAGCAGGACCTGGTATCTGCTTCCAGCCCCAAAACTACCAGGAACTGATTTACTGACTGTGGTGTTACTGTGCTTGATTGGACAGCCAACTGGTCTGGCCTAAACTCTGGAGATAAACTGTGGGATATTTGTCAAAAGGGAGATGAAAGACACTTGACCTAAGAGTACAGGCCAGCCGAAGGCCACGATGAAAACAAGCTGGGCTTCAATGAGACCTCAGCAGAGCTTCAGACTGATCGTAAACATGCCACATTGATGCAGTAAATCACTGGCGGCTAGTAATTAAAGTAAAAGTTGATATCCTTTTCAGAAGTCAGACTTCTTTGTATTATGAGTCAATTTTTGGATTAGTAAACATTTTCAGAATTTAAGGTACTTGATCTCAGACTTTTATGAGCTGTGTTACATTATTATCAAAACCAAAACATACTAATATGAAATAAACTGCACAAAAGTTTACCTTTTTTATTTATTTTTTTAGATTTTTGTAATTTGTTAATATGCACCAGTATTTGACCACTGTTATGTCATTGGCTGGTTCAAAGTGAAAGTTTTTAACTTCCAATTGTGATGTTGATTAAATGTCTATTCAAACCAGACTTTTTTTTTTTTTTACTTTATTTACTTCTGTCTCGACTTGTCAGTTATAGTTTGACACCTTTTTCCTGCACACATCAAAACTTTCTCTTGCTCAAATCCAGACCCCTGAGTTCAGTTTCTGTATTTTTAAATCAGCAAATTCAGATTTTCTGGTTTATAAGCTGAAAAAACTGTCTCTGTATGTTTACTGCTTGAAATATTTCTGCTATAATATTTCTTAGACCATTGACGGCCTTTTGGGAGGGGAAAAAGGAAAGGAGCTGAGGGGAGAAAAGAAGGAGGGCTAACAGTGAAACATTGCAGCTTAATCTCATTACATCCATTGTCTATGGAGGAGAATTAGAGTGGGATCTGGAGGAATTATACACATTGGGGTCGTACATAATGAGCTCTATGTAATCCCCACTCTCAGAAAAAAAGGCTGCCAGCCAGCACAGACATGTGGACATGCACAGGCACATACACACATACACTCATTTCTTCTGCCTTTAAAGAGTGCTGCCACTGCAAGCATCATTTCAAAATGAGCTGCTGCAATTGAGTGTTAACGAGTGAAGTGCCAAATTACGCAGAGTGAAGGATTAACGCAGAAACAGTCAGATAAATGAACAGGAGATAGAGAGAGGGAGAGAGAAAGAAAAGAGGGGAGAGAACAAGAATCAAAGCGTCACAGTGAGTGGAAGTGATGGAAATGAATGAGAGGCAAGTGGAGGATTTGACTTAGAGCAGAAAGAGGACTGTAGATTAATGTGGCACTGTAAAAAGAAATACAGCAGCAAGAGTAGGAGGGATTCCCAGAGCAGGGAAGTGTTACAGCACCACCCTGTGGATGACAGGAAGACTGCAGGAGCCTAGGTAAATATTACATCTAAAAACAGAAAAAATGATACTGATGATATCAAAGTGGCTTAAAGACAACCAGGACAGCATCAACATATTAAGTCATACATCTAACTCATGAAAGCTTACGTGTGGGGGATTCCTCAGGTGCAGTGTGTGTGCATATGTGTGTGTGGATGCTGTGGAACTTACTCAGTGTGTCCCTGGAAAACGTTGACAGAGTGGATGGACGGATCTCTGAAGTCCCACAGTCTGAAGGTGGTGTCTCTGGAGGATGTGACAACCAGGCGTTGGGTGGGGTGTGTGCAGCAATGAGTCAGCTCCTGATCATGACCTGCAAACACATGAGAGACTCGACAAACTAAGTGTCATAGTAACTCATTTCATTCAGACACTGTTGCTAAAGTAGGGAAACAACAAGCCAAAGTCTATCAGAACGTTGTTTTTTTTTAAAATTGTAGCTCAGGCCATGAGGAAACTCGTCAGCTTCAGGGTGAAGTATTGATACAAAGGAGAACTATCTGTCAGGTTTAGTTCTATTGGCTGGTTTTGGAGGTGTTTTTACTTTTAGGACGGCAGGAGCAAAGCATTAATGTGTGTGGAAGTGGTGAGGAGGGGTGTCATGGATGTGGTTAAGAGGAGGCAAAAGTATATTATACTCTTTAGAAACAATGAGTAGTGGACATATCAGTGTAATGACATGGAATATCAACAATGGCTGTAGCACACCAATCAAATATAAAAAATACCAACTTATCTCAAATCTACAGCTACAGATATTGCATATATTCAGGAAATTTAGTTGTAGAAGCACTAATTAATGGAATTAAAGTAGTACTTTGCAATTTACATGCTCCAAACAGAGAAAACACATCTTTCTTTTAGGAGGTCAATCAAATACTGGGAGATACAGATGGTCAGAATATTTTGGGTGGAGACTTCAATCAAGTATTTGATGATTATTTGCATTGCAATAAAATTGGAACAGGCACATCCCCCAGAGATAGCTATGAATACTTTACAGGAGGAACTGGACTGGGTTTGACAGATATTTGGAGACTCATCTTTCTTTCTTTCTTCTTTATTTGTCTCAAACTTTAAGAATAAAAACAAAAAAAAAAAAAAAAAAAACTAGAAACAAAAATGCCAAGCAAAATGATACATATGCACACCAAACAACTGTACATGTCAAAGATAAATTTACACAACATATGTATGTCAAAAACAAGCAGTTTGAGAAGGATCAGAATGAGGTAAGGAGCTTATCCTGTCCTGCCAGTTCCTTGCAAATCAGAGCCAATGATGAATTTAAAAAAAAAAAATGTAATAGTATAAATTACAAAGATCTGTATAAATATCTACATATTATACGTGATATCTGCTCAACACTACATATGTTACTTAACATGATCATTTGCATATTTTGATGATAATTAATGTTATTATATTCAGAATTAATATTAATTGTATGCAATCAAGTATATTAAGTAAAACACCATATTTTTGTTAGTTTAGTTTTGTTAGGACCCAGCGTGCCCCCTGTGTACAACCCCAGCAACACTTAAGCACATCATGGTGGGCTGTAAAACCAGCCTCACTCAAGGTAGATATACATGGAGACACAACCAGGTCCTCAGGTGTCTGGCTGACAAACTTGAGTGCAAGAGGGTTTCCATCAACGCCCTACCCACCAACAACCAGGATGTGCGGCAACACCCACCATTGTTTGTTCGGGAGGGGGAAAAGCAGAGAGCAAGGGTTTCACACTCTGACCTGGGCCCGCTGAATGCAGCCAGAGACTGGCAAATGCAGGCTGACTTGGATCGGAGACTCGTTTTCCCCCCGGAGATCGCAACGACCACCCTACGTCCAGACCTTGTCCTATGGTCTAACACCTGCAAGCTCGTCTACATCATAGAGCTGACAGTTCCTTGGGAGGATGCTGTCGAAGAAGCGTATGAACGCAAGAAACTTCGCTACTCCAACCTAGCGGCTGAGGCAGAGGACAGGGGCTGGAAGGCGTGGGTGCGCCCGGTGGAGGTGGGTTGTAGGGGTTTTGTGGCCAGCTCGACAGTGAAGCTCCTTAGGGAGGTCGGAATCAGGGGACAAGCTCACAGACAGGCCATCAAAGAGCTGGCCAACACTGCCGAGAGAACGAGCCATTGGCTGTGGATGAAGAGGAGCGACACCATCTGGGCTGCTAAGCCAAATGCTTACCCCTGGGACACACACCCAGGTCTGATCAACCTGTGGTGGGCCTACCTCAGCTGAGGGCGTCTTGTGATAATTGGCCGAAACGCCCCATGATCTGAGGACACAACTGATGATGTGTCCCAGGGAATAAGTATGGCTGTAAAGCATCAACTCCTCTTCCACTCAGGTATGCGGTCAGGTGCAAGCCTAGCTCAGGGAGGAGGACGCCCCTGCCATGCATAGTCCCGGGGATTGTACCATCTAGTCCTTTCATCGAATCTTACTTCTGGAAAAGATCCAGTGACCGCTGCGAAAGAGCAACTGACAATCAGGGAAAGACCAGATGACAGCCTGGAAAGACTGCTGACTGGAGGGAATAGACCCCAACGGGGCTGGTGTGGGTTAGCAACCCATACCGGCAGGACCCAGCGCTACATAGTGTTTCTGGTTCCACCCCTCATTGCTACGAAAAAGTCAAGGAAGAAAATACCCCCAGGGTCTGCGAGAGCGGGGGCGGAAGATGACCCAGTACGGACGGATCTCACGGTGACAGACAACGGAACGGAACTGACAACGAACGGAACCAGCACAGCAACTAATGACTCACCAACAGGACAAATGCTGCAGCGCTGCATCTGTGGCTGGTCAAAGATAACAACAGCGAGGGGCCTAAAAATCCATCAAGGCAAAAAGAAATGCCTCATCGAGCTCAGCAAGGGGTCCCGCATTGATTAGTACTTCTTAAGAACTAGATCAAATCAGTCGAATGAAGCCCGGAGGCAGGAGAACCCCCACAGTCCTCAGGGTATCAGCACCTCAAATGAAGCTCAGAGTCGCATAGACCCTCCAACAGTCTCCAACTTGGAGCCTAGCCAGCCACCAGTAGTCTCCAGCTCGGAACCCAGTCAGCCAGCAGCAGTCTCCAACTCGGAACCCATCCAACCAGCAGCAGTCTCCATCCCGGAGCCCAGCCAGTCAGCAGAAGTCTCCAGCCCGGACCTCAACCAATCAGCAGCAGGTTCCAACACTGAGCCCAGCCAGCCTCTGCCTGCAACAGAGAGAAAGATGGAAGGAAGGAAACCTCTGATCCTGTGGCCCAAATCCAACCAGAAGAGAGAGTGGGAGACCATTGACTCAGACCTGGTCCTTCTTTTAGAACAGCAGAAGGGTCCTGTTGAAAGAAAACTGGACAATATGGGTGCCGTCATTTACAGCTATGGCGCCGAGCGATTTGGGGTAAAGCACAAGGCACAGAGGCAGCAGAAAGGCCATCCAAACCAGTCCAAGTCCAGGAGGCAGCGTGAAATTGAAAGCTTGGTGAAAGAAAGAAGACAGTTGAGAAAGCTGTGGAGAAAGGCTACAGAGATGGAAAGAGAGGGAATTGAAGTTCTGCAGGCTGAAATAAAGCATCGCCTAACAAAGTTGCGAAGAGCAGAACACCTCAGACGACAACGCAAGAGGAAAGAACGTACAAGAACCCTCTTCTTTAGCAATCCCTACAGTTTTGTTAAAGGCCTCTTTGAGCAAGAGAAGAGCGGGAGCCTCAAGGTGCCCATAAAAGATCTGGAAGAGCACCTGAGTAAGACGTACTCTGATGATCGGAAGCATGAGCCAGTCACTATCCCAAACGACATGCCACCAATTCATGCACCTGAACACCAAATGGACATGAGACCCCCCACATGGAGCGAGGTGGAGAAGACTGTGAAGCAGGCAAGATCGGCGTCGGCACCTGGGCCCAATGGCATCCCTTATAGGCTGTACAAGAACGCCCCAGGAGCCCTCAGATACCTGTGGAAGCTGATGAAGGTAGCATGGAAGAAAGGTGTGATCCCGAGAGCATGGCGAAGAGCAGGAGGCATCCTGATCCCCAAAGAGAAGGACTCGTCATCCATAGGCCAGTTTCGTCAGATCAGCCTGCTGAATGTGGAGGGGAAGATCTTCTTTAGTGTCGTTGCCCAAAGGCTCTCTGCATTCCTCCAAAGAAACAACTTTGTTGATACATCAGTGCAGAAAGCCGGGATTCAGGGTTTCTCAGGATGTCTGGAGCACGCCAATATGATCTGGCACCAGATACAAGCTGCAAAAAAGGAACGGAGAGATCTACATGTGGTCTTCCTAGACCTCGCCAACGCTTTTGGGTCAGTCCCTCACAAGACCTTGTGGACGGCCTTCAACTTCTTTGGCGTACCAGGCCACATCACAGAATTGGTCAAGAGCTACTTCCAAGATCTCCAGTTCTGTGTAACATCTGAGGGCAACACCACCGCCTGGCAGCATCTGGAAATCGGCATCATGGCGGGCTGCACAATTTCTCCCCTGGCATTCGTCATGGCAATGGAGTTGGTCATACGGGCATCCCGCTGGGTAGTGGGAGGTGAGAGGACCAAGAGTGGCCTGCGTCTTCCGCCTATTAGAGCCTATATGGACGATATGACCGTCGTAACAACAACAAAACCATGTACGAGACGCTTGCTGCAGAAACTCCAGGAAAACATCCAGTGGGCGCGAATGGACTTCAAACCAAGCAAGTCACGCAGCATTTCCATCGTCAAAGGCCAACTGACAGGTGAGCGGTTCCACAACAGCGGTGAACCAATCCCAACACTCCTAGAGAAGCCCATCAAGAGCCTTGGACGATGGTATAATGCAGACCTCAGAGACACCCAGCAAATTGAACAGCTGCGGCAGGACACAGCCAACAGCCTTAGGCAGATCAACAACACTGCACTACCAGGGAAACTGAAGCTCTGGTGCCTCCAGTTTGGGCTGTTACCAAGACTTCAATGGCCGCTGACCATGTATGAGGTCTCTATACGCCATGCTAATCGCTTGGAAAGGCTGGTGAACTCCCATGTGAGGAAGTGGCTCGGACTCCCAAGGTGCTTCAGCAGCGTTGGACTCTACAGCGACGGAGCCTTGTCACTGCCCATCTCCAGCGTGGTTGAAGAGTTCAAGTGTGCGAAGGTGAGGCTGGAGATGTCCCTCACTGATTCCCGGGACCCTGTAGTGAGAGGTGCCCCTCCCACCTTGGCAACAGGGAGGAAGTGGACCCCAGCCACAGCTGTCCTACAGGCCAAATCTGCTCTCCTCCACCGTGATGTAGTGGGCCATGTCCAGCAAGGCAGAGCAGGTTTTGGCCTTGGAGCTGTAACTCCTCTCTGGCGAAAGGCATCTACCGCCGAGCGACGAACCATGGTCGTAGAGGAGGTGCGCCGACAGGAGGAAGCAACCAGACGATCCAAAGCAGTAGCACAAGCCAAACAGGGCCGCTGGATGAGGTGGGAGGGTGTCGAAAAGAAGAAGCTCACATGGAGCGCACTCTGGGGCATGGAATCCAACCGGTTGAGCTTCATCGTTCGAGCAACATACGATGTGCTACCATCTCCCATAAACCTGCAACAATGGTTTGGAAAGGACCCAGCGTGCCCCCTGTGTACAACCCCAGCAACACTTAAGCACATCATGGTGGGCTGTAAAACCAGCCTCACTCAAGGTAGATATACATGGAGACACAACCAGGTCCTCAGGTGTCTGGCTGACAAACTTGAGTGCAAGAGGGTTTCCATCAACGCCCTACCCACCAACAACCAGGATGTGCGGCAACACCCACCATTGTTTGTTTGGGAGGGGGAAAAGCAGAGAGCAAGGGTTTCACACTCTGACCTGGGCCCGCTGAATGCAGCAAGAGACTGGCAAATGCAGGCTGACTTGGATCGGAGACTCGTTTTCCCCCCGGAGATCGCAACGACCACCCTACGTCCAGACCTTGTCCTATGGTCTAACACCTGCAAGCTCGTCTACATCATACAGCTGACAGTTCCTTGGGAGGATGCTGTCGAAGAAGCGTATGAACGCAAGAAACTTCGCTACTCCAACCTAGCGGCTGAGGCAGAGGACAGGGGCTGGAAGGCGTGGGTGCGCCCGGTGGAGGTGGGTTGTAGGGGTTTTGTGGCCAGCTCGACAGTGAAGCTCCTTAGGGAGGTCGGAATCAGGGGACAAGCTCACAGACAGGCCATCAAAGAGCTGGCCAACACTGCCGAGAGAACGAGCCATTGGCTGTGGATGAAGAGGAGCGACACCATCTGGGCTGCTAAGCCAAATGCTTAACCCTGGGACACACACCCAGGTCTGATCAACCTGTGGTGGGCCTACCTCAGCTGAGGGCGTCTTGTGATAATTGGCCGAAACGCCCCATGATCTGAGGACACAACTGATGATGTGTCCCAGGGAATAAGTATGGCTGTAAAGCATCAACTCCTCTTCCACTCAGGTATGCGGTCAGGTGCAAGCCTAGCTCAGGGAGGAGGACGCCCCTGCCATGCATAGTCCCGGGGATTGTACCATCTAGTCCTTTCATCGAATCAACTTATATAAATCTTTTAATATTTCTCTATAGCCAGATTGAAATATTTCAATGTTATTGGACATTTTTAAAGTGACATCCAGGCTGTTCCAGAGTTTACCACCAGAAACAAAAATGCATATACTTTTGAGAGTTGTATGGACAATCAGACAGATAAATTGATGTTCACCCGATCCAGATTATAGCCCCCCTCTCTCGTTTTGAACCTTTTGTAGGTTACCAGGTAACTTTTTTCTGTTGCTTTGTACAGCACTTGATCTGTTTCCAATTTGACAATGTCATAAAATTTTAACAGTTGTAATTTCAGAAACAGAGGGCTGGTGTGATCTCTGTATCCAGTGTGATTTATGATACGGGTAGCTCTTTTTTGCAATGTGCATATCTATTGTAGATTGGCCTTGTATGTGTTTCTCTAGACTTCAACACAGACGGAGAGGTATGGCAGGATCATGGAGCAGTAGAGTGTGTGTAATGATTTTTGTGGTAATAAATACTTTCATTTACTGATGATTCCGATACTTCTTGAAACTTTTGAACACAGATATTTTATGTATGGTTTCCAGCAGAGCTTATGACCAATCAGAGTAGCCAAAAACTTACTTTCATAGACCCTTTCAACAATTACATTATGAATTAATAACTCAATGTTCATATCAAATTTTCCATTTCCAAATAACGAACTTTGTTTTACTTTCATTAAGTGATCAATTGTTTCTGGCAAACCAGCATTTCAGTTTACTCAATTTATTCTGGACCATTTTTACCATCTGCTGTGGATTATCACTAATGCACAAAATATTCGCGTCATCAGCAAACACAATACACTTAAAGGACCAGAAAGTTTAAATATATCATTGATGTATAAAATGAATAAACTAAGGCCCAGTACTAACCCCTGTGGGACACCACAAGTCATGTCTAAACACCTAGACCTGTCCTTGCCCACCTGAACAAACTGAACTCTGTTGCTGATGTGGCTCTTCAGCCAGTCCACAGCCACTCCCCTTATGCCATACTTCTCCATCCTGTAAATTAATATTGCATGATCAATGGTGTAAAAAGCCTACTTCAAATCAATAAATATTCCAAATGTATATTTTTTTGACTCTATGCTTGTATACATTTCCTCTATTCATTCCATTAGAGCCAGGGAAGTGGATCAAGCTGATCTGAATCCATACTGACTGTCCATTAAGATGTTATTTTTTTTATGAATTCAAACAGTTTGTTGTTAAAGAGTTTCTCTGGAATTTTTGAGAACTATGACAATAAAGAAACTAGTCTATAGTTTGTGAATGAATGTTTATCACCAGATTTAAATAGTGGAGTGACTAATAAATCCAAAGGAACGAGAAAACGCATTTTACTCACACTCTCATAAATTCTATTAACGAAATATTTTTTTGGTTGCTGGCTCGCTTGTGGACCTGGTAACAGACTGGGATACAGGAGTTATAGCAATAACAGCAATCATGCACTGGTCCAATCACATATAAACATATGTCCTACAAAAGACAAGCTTGGGAGATGGAGACTAAATACAAGTTTACTGCAGGATGAACAGTTTGCCACAAAACTGGGTGAGGACATTTTTTTAGATATCTATAGAGGAACAACAGAAAGATTAGCTACTGTTTGGGATGTTCTCAAGGCATTTATCATGAGGAAATCTATAGCTTATAGCACATGGAAGAAAAAGGACAATATGGAAAAGGAAATAGGTAAATTGAAGAAACACTTAGCTGAACAATATAACAAAGAATGTTTCAGAAAAATCATTAAACTAAAATTTTCGTTGCATAAATGTATAAGAAAATAGCAGAGTACCCACTATTTTGACTCAACACAAATTTTTATGAAAATGGTGAAAAAAAAGGATGATAATTAGCAAGGCATTTATATCACTTGGATTAGAATAACACAGCAATTGGAAAAGAGGATAAACTATTAACATCATCTAAGAAAATGGTAAAGTTTTCAAAAACTTTTCATGTTCGGCCAGTGATGAAGACTTGAACTCTTTCTCCTAGAAGGTAGAGTAACCACAACTTTCTCCAAAAGAAGAAGATAGTTTGGATGCTCCCACAACGGAAGCAGAAGTTAGAACTGCAATTAAAGGTATGAAAAACGGGGAGACATCTGGTGTAGATGGCTTTCTGGTGAAGTACTATATGAGGTATGCTGATGTTCTTCGTCCATTTCTCACAAAAATTTTCCTCCATGAACCATCACCTTACCGTGGTGGAGGAGTTTGCGTGCTCTAATGAATCTAGGGGCTATGCTGTCCCGGGCTTTTTGCCCCTGGTAGGGTCACCCAAGGCAGACTGGTCCTGGGCGAAGGGTCAGACTAAGAACGGTTCAGAAGACCCTTACGGAAACAACAAAGGGAAACAGTGTACCCGGCCCGGAGGGACACCGGGGCCCCACCCTGGAGCCAGGCCCGGGGTTGGGGCTAGCTGGCGAGCGCCTGGTGGCCGGGCCTGCACCCATGGGGCCCGGACGGGCTCAGCCCAAACGAGCCACATGGGCACTGCCTCCTGTGGACCCACCACCCACAGGAGGAACTTGAAGGGTCCAGTGCTTGACGGATTGGGCGGTGGACCAAGGGGGGGGCCTTGGCGGTCTGATCCTCGGTTGTGGAAACTGGCTCTTGGAACATGGAACGTCACCTCTTTGGCGGGGAAGGAGCAGGAGCTTGTGGGGGAGGTTGAGCGCTACCGACTAGATATAGTCGGTCTCACCTCTACACATAGCGTTGGTCCTGGAACCCAAGTCCTTGAGAGGGGTTGGACACTCTTCCACGCTGGAGTTGCTCAGGGTGAAAAATGGAGAGCAGGAGTGGGATTCTTGCTCGCCCCAAAACTTGCTGCGGGGACGCTGGGGTTTTCTCGGCTGGACGAAAGGGTTGCCTCTCTGCGCCTCTGGGTCGGGGAACGGGTCTGTTGTCTGTGCGTATGCACCGAATAATAGTTCAGAGTACCCACCCTTTTTGGAGACCCTAGGACGGACGCTTGACAGCGCCCCATCTGGTGACTCCATTGTTCTGCTGGGAGACTTCAACGCTCACGTGGGCAATGACAGCAAGACCTGGAGGGGCGTGATTAGGAGGAACGGTCTGCCCGATCTGAACTCGAGTGGTGTTCAGTTGTTGGACTGGATGTGCCCGATCTGAACTCGAGTGGTGTTCAGTTGTTGGACTTCTGTGCAAGTCACAGTTTGTCCATAACTAACACCATGTTCGAGCATAAGGTTGTTCATCGGTGCTCCTGGCACCATGACGGCCTAGGCCGTAGGTCAATGATCGATTTTGTATTCGTATCAGCTGACCTGCAGCCGCATGTTTGGAAAACTCGGCTGAAGAGAGGTGCAGAGCTGTCAACTGATCACTACCTGGTGGTGAGTTTGGTCAGGTGGCGGGGGAAGCCACCATGCAGACCTGGCAGGCCCAAATGTATGGTGTGGGTTTGTTGGGAATGCCTGGTGGAAGAACCCGTCAGGTTGGCTTTGAACTCCCACCTCCTACAGAGCTTCAACTGCGTCCCGGGGGCAGAGGGGGACATTGAGTCCAAATGGGCTTTGTCCTGCTCTGCCATTGTGGAAGCAGCTGTTGCGAGCTGCGGCCGCGGTCGCTGGTGCCAGTCGTGGCGATTATCCCCGAACTCGGTGGTGAACACCAGAGGTGAGGGGAGCCGTCAGGCTTAAGAAGAAGGCCTACCGGTCACGGTTTGCCTATGGGTCTCTAGAATCAGCTGAAAAGTACCTGTTGGCGGTCCGCAGCTGGGGCAGTTGCAGAGGCAAAAACTCGGGCGTGGGAGGAGTTTGGTGAGGCCATTGAGGAAGACTTTTGGTCGGCTCAAAAAAGGTACTGGCAAACTGTCCGGTGCCTCAGGGGCGGCAGACAACAACTTGCCCACACCGTTCTGGATGGGGGTGGGGAGCTGCTGACATCACCTGGGGCAATTCTCCGGCGGTGGAAGAAATACTTTGAGGAGCTCCTCAATCCTACTGTCATGCATTCCCAAGGAGAAACAGAGTCAGGGGACCTGGAGGTGGACCGTCCAATCACTGGGGTAGAAGTCGCCGAGGTGGTAAAACAACTCCGTGGCAGCAGAGCTCCAGGAGTGGATGAGATCCACCCAGGGTATCTGAAGGCTCTGGATGTGGTGGGGCTGTCCTGGCTGACACCCCTCTACGACATTGCATGGAAATCAGGGGCAGTGCCTTTGGAGTGGCAGACCGGGTTGGTGGTCCCTATTTTTAAGAAAGGGGACCAGAGGCCGTGTTCCAACTACAGAGGGATCACACTCCTCAGCCTACCTGGGAAAGCTTACGCCAGGGTGCTGGAAAAGAGGGTCTAATCGATAGCTGAACCTCAGATCGAGGAGGAACAATAAGGGTTTCGTCCCGGTTGCGGAACTACGGATCAACTCTTCGCCCTCGCTCGGGTTCTTGAGGGGAGATGGGAGTTTGCCCAACCAGTCCACATGTGTTTTGTGGACTTGGAGAAGGCCTACGACCGTGTCCCTAGGGCAGTGGTTCTCAAGTCCAGTCCTTGAGCCCCCACCTGATTCAAATAATTAGCTCGTTATTCAGCCATTACAGAGCTTGATAACGAGCTGATCATTTGAATCAGGTGTGTTGGAGCAGGGAAACATCCAAAACATGCAGGACGGGGGGCTCGAGGACTGGACTTGAGAACCACTGCCCTAGGGGAATCCTGTGGGGGGTGCTCCGGGAGTACGGGGTGGAGGGTTCCTTATTAAGTGCCGTCCAATCCCTTTACCAAAGGAGCACAAGCTTGGTCCGTGTAGCCGGCTGTAAGTCGGACTCGTTTCCAGTAAGGGTTGGACTCCACCAGGGCTGCCCTTTGTCACCATTTCTGTTCATAATCTTTATGGAAAGAATTTCTGGACACAGCCGGGGGGTGGAGGGTGTCCAGTTCGGCAGGCAGAGGATCGCGTCGCTGCTTTTTGTGAATGATGTGGTTCTTCTAGCTTCGTCGGGTGTTGACCTTCAGCTCTTGCTGGGGCGGTTCACGGCCGAATTTGAAGCGGCTGGGATGTGACTAAGCACCTCCAAGTCCGAGGCCATGGTCCTCAGTTGTAAAAAGGTAGATTGCCTTCTCCAAGTTGGAGGGGCGGTCCTGCCTCAAGTGGAGGAGTTCAAGTATCTTGGGATCTTGTTCACGAGTGAGGGTAGGATGAAACGGGAGATTGACAGGCGGATCGGAGCAGCGTCAGCAGTGATGCAGACACTTAACCGATCAGTCGTGGTGAAGAAAGAGCTGAGCCGTAAGGCGAGACTCTCGATTTACCGGTCAATCTACGTGCCAACTCTCACCCATGGCCATGAACTTTGGGTAATGACCAAAGGAACAAGATCGCGGATACAAGCGGCCGAAATGGGTTTCCTTCACAGGGTGGCCGGGCTCAGCCTTAAAGATAGGGTAAGGAGCTCGGACACCCGGGAGGCGCTCAGAGTAGAACCACTGCTCCCCCACGTCAAGAGGAGTCAGCTGAGGTGGCTCAGGCATCTGGTTAGGATGCCTTCTGGACGCCTCTCGTTAGAGGTGTTCTAGACATATCCCACTGGGAGGAGACCTTGTGGCCGGCCCAGGACCAGATGGAGGGATATTATCTCTCGCCTGGCCTGGGAGCACCTGGGAATCCCCCCGGAATATAAATACATAAATATATATATATACAAATATAAATATATATATATATACAAATATATATATACATATATATATATATATATATATATATATATATATATATGTATATATATATATATGGCTTGTGTGTCAAATACTTGTCTGCAATATGGAAAAATCCAATAAACACAATGTTCAAAAATATATATTGAGAGACTGATTACAATTAGATACATGTCATGCACACAAAACTGCAGAGACCTCATAGATACGTTTACAGTTTGTTAACAGAGTCATTTGGAAGTTGCATGTTGATTTACAGCTTTGTCTTAACTTATCCTGTAGGCCTGGCAGAAAAAAAACAGGGACAGAGAAGGTTCCTCTTCTGAAACATAAATCAAGTTTTTCACTATGATCATCCAATCATTCAATTTTAAATCACGCTTTTCAAAAATAATATAATTATTCAATTTCAGCTTCTTGTGGCACAAATCTCAGCCCATATAATCAGAAGAAATTTCATCCAAACTGTGAACTGACATCAATAATCTGGATCCAGCTATGAGACCTGTGATCTGTTGCACCCCAACAAGAGTCAGGCAGAAAGCGGGAAAGCTGAAAGCTGAAAAAAGGAAGCCTCTGTTTCTCATGCGAGAACTTTGAATTCTTAAAGAACAAAGTTGATGTCTGCCATTCAGAAGAGCAAAACTATTAATGCTGATTATGAACAAAGCCAAAGGTCACAATTTTTATCTTGACTATATCCCAACTTTTTTTGGCAGCCAGCTAGTAAATTTCAACAAAAGTTTGGAGTGACCTATGTGTGAACGCAGCAGATAATTTCCAGTAAAGGTTGATGATGTTAATATCTTATGACTGGTGCAATCTTTATGTGCATAGAGCAGCCTTTCCATTTTTCAACACATTCAAAGATACCATCATACAGCAGTTTACATGTAGTATTAATTTGAGGGTAAGAACTGTCACACCAACAGACTCTGTTTCACATGCTATTTTGGATGTCTTGAAAACATCACTTTTCTTCTGCTCTGGCACTGATCGCTCCAAAGCCAACAGGTAAATATGTCTTGAATATGGACAAGCTGTCCCATAATTTGAAATTATCAGGAAATGCATGTTGACTAGTAATGATTAGTTTACGTACCAGTCAGTGCATGGACCAGTTCTGATGTCTCCACCTCGTACAGGTTTGCAGCTCGATCCCAGGACGCTGTCACCACCTGTCGACCTCCCACCAACCAATCAGCTGCAATCACAACACCCTGGTGGCTCTTCAGGGTTGCCGTGGCGACCCGGACAGTAGGGACCTCACTGGGGCCCTCGCCATCCACCTCACCTTCCTCCCTGTCCGATGAATCCTGGTCTTCATCACATGGAGCCTACAGGGGCACAACTTGGTTTACTGGCTGGATACTAGATTTACTGAAGCACAAGTTACAGTGAGAGGAAACAGTGGACATGTACTCACACTGATATCTGGTGGTGGCTGGGGGGCAGGAAGCTGCACCATGTAGCGCCAGATGTGAGCCGTCTGGTCCCCGGAGGCTGCAGAAAATATGACAGACAGATGTGCAGGGGAATAATCAGCTGGAGACAACAGAGGGAGAGAAAAGTAGTCAAACAGTCTGAAGGGTGTCTAAAGTCTGACCTGTGAGAGCCATCTGCTCTGTGGGGTGGAACTTGATGGAGTTGACTGTTCAAGAAAAACCACCACAAGTTAAAAACAGATATCATTGCAGCTATTAATATAAGACGGAGTTAATTAATGGTCACACATAAACCTGCTGCATATGTGAAATCATTTTATCATTTGGCATGAAATCTAAATAACACTAAAGTTTGAGTGCCGCAGGGACTCATCTTGTAAAATCTGAAATGTCTGCGTAGTTGCTGTAATATTTTATAGCAAGGAAACTGACGAACAAATTTGAGTTATTTGGGGTCTGTTTGAGTTATTACCTGATCCTGCATGGCCGGCATACTTCAGCAGACATTTTCCAGTCTCTATACTCCACAGCAGAGCTGAGTGATCTGTGAAGAAAGAGCAAGGTTGGATGACAGTGTGATTATTTTTCCAGGGTTTGCTATTGTCTGAGGATGATTTACTCCGGTGGTAAAAGTTTTTGGGGCTGAAAGTATTACCAGTAGATACTGGGTGGCAGATAGTGCTAAGACTTCTACTGTTTGTTATTCATGGATTACAGTGACTGTAGCAACATGAGATCCTAAAATGTAGTTTAGAGAGTACTGTTAAGCAGATTTCTTTTGATAGAGATAACTTAAAGTTATTCTTTTCCATCAACAACTAGTGGCTTTAACAGTGTGGTCTCAAGCAAAGCATTGCATCTTTTTTAAATACAAATAGTCCTCAATCAGCATTTGGTCAAAAGTCAAAAGCCCTTTTTACACAACAATGTAAGAGAATAGCTGCAAAAATATTGCATATAAATATAGTATCTTTTTTTCAATACCACTATTTCACCACAAAAGGACAATTCAGATGAGTCAGTATTCGCTGTTCACAAATACTAGTCTTTAAATGGCCAATGAATCAGAGAGCAGGTTTGCTGATGCCCATATCCCATTATTTTTTTGCCTTTTGAATCTGATAAATTAAAACAAACCAAAAATGACTAATGAGAAACAAGTTATCAATAATTTCATTCTTCCATGCACATTAGCCTCTGATATAAATGATCTCAGTCAAAAATGTAATTCAGATTAACTTGTAACATGTTCTTGACATAGAAAAATACACATTCAATTTATGGTGTGGATTTCAGAGCATAACCAATATGTCAGTAGGTGTAATACATTGTTCTACAGTTATATTTACGACTAGCTGGTGATTATTTTAGATTTGATCAGCTGTCTTTTGGGCGGAGAAATCTTCTACTTCTTTTATGTAGAAAAAGATGATGGAAACTGAGGAAATCATGCAAAGATTGAAAGTAGCATGTATGAGATTCATAATGAGGACACATAAGTACATTTACTAAGACTTATTTACTTATTAATGCATCTATTAATGCATCTATAAGGCTTTATACCAACCCTTATGAGTGATGATAAGCAGTCATATAACATCTTATAGCAATGTTTATAAAGTTACAATGTTACAATATCATTTAACAGACGCTTATATGACGTACATATGAGAACAAGAAGAACACAAGCAAAGATCTAGACAAGAGGAAGCAAGACCAGTAAGAGCAACAAGTGCTTCAAGTCTGTTTGGACACAGGTACTGCCACGTAGTGTAAAAGGCAATACACAAAAGTGAATAAGGATTTTTTTCTCTCTCTCAATAAAATAAAAAAATCTGCATCTTTTGAAGATCTGCCCCCGATAATCGTTGGCTTAACCCTCTAAAAACTTGAACCAGCCGCTGCGTGGTTCTTGGCTGCACAAACGAAGACAGGCGTCTATTTCTGCCTCCTTTGTTGGAAGATTTGAGGACCCAGTGGATTAATTTTATTTTTTATGGAGATGTACCCACAACAACTCTGAAAATGTTTGTATGTGTGTGCTAACCATCTCACCACGGTCTGTTTTACTAGCAAGCGGCAGTATAAAGCAGGATTTGCTAAGAAGCTGAAGATAAAACCTGGATCTGTAACGACTGTCCCTGTCAGGGACCCAACTTCAAACGTGGAAGCTGTAAGTTTTACCATTTTATGTTGCTTTACTACCGCCTGTATGACTAGTGCTTTGGCTGCAGTCATGTGTGTTTACCATCATTAGTATTCATCTTTGGACTCATTTCTATTTACTTTTATTCCCGTGAGCAGCGGGTGTTCCTCAGGGGCGCGGAGGCAGGCTGGTGCTTACAGCCGCAGTGGTCTGGAAGTCCTCTGAAGATGCACTCAGAAGATCTCCAGACCACCGCTCCTGGACCACCACAGCGGTGCCGGCAGCTCAGAGTGGCCTTGGGGAGGAAGAGTGTGGTTACACACAGCTCATTATCATTTAAATGTACAGGCGCAGAATCAGCCCGTTCTCAGTGGAGCTCAAAAAGAGGGGGGTGCAGGCTGGCTGATATCCACAAATTAACTGGTGTTTTAGACAACAATCTTCAAATTTACTTTTGTGGGACCTCAGGGACCGATTTAAACTTGATGAAAAATGCCATAATAGGAGCCCTATAAATCTGACTAATTCATCAGTCTATCTCCATTAAGTTTAATTTTTTTTAACATTGTGTACCTGCTGAAGCAGTGCCAAGGACCACCGGCTGAGTGCGGGTGACACCAAGGTCCCAGATTCCGTCCCGGTGACCCACATACTCTTTGAGCAGCTGACACAGAGCACGGGACCCTGTGGTAGCTTTAAAACTGGACACAATCTGAGCAGAGAAAAAAAGATGAAGATGATCAGAGCTCCCTCTTATTTCACACCAAGTTAAACCAAACATGATGGAGCTAAAACCAAAAGCTCAGGGAGATTAAAACTGTCACAGGTGCACCATACAGTCTTTGAACTGGGACTGAAAATAAGTTTGAATGTGACAAAAACATGATATCTTTCAAAAAAAAAAAAAAAAAAAAAAAAAAAAGGGTTTATTTCCAAATCAATAACTGAGGGGGAAATATTTTGTACTTTTTACAGATGAGTAGATTAATTTATTCCTCTGTACGATTTATTTCAGAGAAAGAGGAACCATCTTCACTCTGGGTTTGAAACTGAGATCATCCAACACAGACTACTGAACAACAAATATAGCTATACAAGCACAGTATTGTTTATCATCTCAATTCCTTTTAATGTGCAGTTTAACATAATAACCAGAAACTGCTCTCGTGAGCATAACTTTAGCATGAAATGATTTGCAAACCTTCCAATTCTGCTTTTATTAACATTTTACACAGCATCCCTGCTCCTACGGAACTGGGGTTGTGCAGCTATGGTTATATCTCATAAGTTTTTTAATCTGCAGATTGGTAAATCTCTACAAACCATTAACAAAAATTTCCAAAACAGGGACTTATCACTTATGTATTTGGTACTTTCAAAACTCCATCAATACTCAGGAGGTATGAGCCCTCCTCTCCCCCCTGAAAACAGCAAAATGGTACAAACTGGCATAGTGTTCTTCAGTACAGAGGGTTTTTTTTTAAGCTCTTAACCTTTTTTTTTCCCCACACATAACCTTTCAAGTCTCAAGTTGCATCAAACTAACTGTGAGAGTCTCTCACACAGTTAGTATTAATAAACATCTTGTCAGGTGTGGATTATTCGAGTGGTACACCTCTAAAAATACCGGCTGCTGTTGAACACGTCCTTCAGTCACTACGTGCCTCCAGATGAACTATTTAAAGGTTGCGCAGTGATGTAGTTTCAGTTGTCACATAGAGATCATAACCTGCACTGTGCATGCTGCTGTAGGCTGACAGCTGACCACAGCAGTAAGCTCACATCATCAGTAGCCATTAGACGCAGCAGCAAAGCATCTGCTCAGACTGTGTTAATGTACGCTCTTATTCAGTCTGCTGGGTTTACATTCATGTTAAAACACAGTACAGTCCTCTTATTTTCATGCCACTAAGAAACAATGAACAGAGGTTAACAGAAAAAACAGCCCAGTCTAGTCAGGGTCAAATGAAGACACAATAGAGTTAGTGCATGTCGTTAGCTTTGGCTAATACCTCTCAGACAGCTGATATTCAGGTTTATTCACAGGTATTATCATATATACAGGTTAGCTGTTGGTTTTAAAGCAGCTACATCTGTCAGGAGGTTAATCTAACAAGTCCGCCCTTGTTCCTCTTTTAAACTCTCCTATCAGCAGAGGACTATGTCCCACTCTTTAACCTGCATTCAGATGATTACCTTTTGAAATATGGTAAAAAAAAATAGAGGGACTACCAGCTTTATGAGCGAAATGGAAAACACTTTATGCCATATATTTAAAAAGGACACCCAGTGGGCACGAACCAGGACCACAGCAATGACATGTGGTAGGAAAAGAGGTGAAAGCAGGTCAAAACATCCAAGGCCAAATTTTAATTTTAACCATCCTTCTTCTGACAGGCTAACATACGGTTCTGACATTTCTGTCAAAATATTTATGAAAGGGGATGTAGTTGGAGAGAGATAGAGTTTTTCAGTAGTTATTGAAATCCTGTTTTAGCACAGATGTACAAAACACATTGAACTTTAAATGAAAAAGTGTTCAGTGTAGCTAACTGGAAGATGGGTGATGTTTAAAAAAGATTTAAAAAACAATGCAAGGGAGCATCTTTAAAATTTCTCCATAAAGTCAAAATTAAGAAGATGGTATTTTGACTCTGCAACTCCAAGTACAGAGTTGTATCCCTGCTTGTTTGGGTGGTCTTTGAGGACTTGTAGTCTGGCGGTGAATGGGCATGCAGGCAGCTGCTTGATTGAATTTCTTATTTTCAGTCTCAGGCTGTGTCTCAATTCAGGATCTGCATACAGCTCACTGCCCTTTGTTTACACTTAAGTACCCTGTGCGAAGTGGATCGACTTTTGTGAAAATGGGACAGTCTACCCTCTGGAGGACTTCCTGGTTAAGCCGCCAAATGTCCCCAACCTCAGGCACACGTCACAACTGACTTAAAGGGAAGCCGCGGAGCGCAGCAGCAGTTGTTTTTTTGTTTTGTTTTTTAATTGTGTGACCTTGAATACATACAATTCATATACAAAACAAGAGATACAGACACAAAACAATACATACTTACAAGCACACAGGGGTTACTATAGACAACAATCAACAAAGTGACAACCAAAAAGAGGAAAGGACTTTACAAATCATTTCCACAAAATTCATCCAATGATGGCATGTATTGTACGCAAGAGTATGAGGGCCACATTAAGATTTTTTTTTTAAAGACTTTGAGATAAAAGTCGTGAAATTACAAGAATAAAGTCATTAATTTATAAGAATAAAGTCATAAAGTTACCTGTTATTTCAGAGGAGAGCTGTTCAAATTAGGGCCATGGAGCATTTGAAGGAACTGTGCTGTCAGTACAGGTTTCACAAACAAGGAGATACTTCATCCTGTGACATATCAAAACTTTAAAAAGAATATATGAGATATGCATCTTTTCCACAGAAAACATGTGGACTTGGAGGAAATCGCTGCTTTTGTAGAGGCAGAAATGGATATGCAGAGGATAAATCTGTCAATGCAGCCATAAATAGCCGTTAATAGAATTGGACTTCAGTTTATGATATGAATCCATAGGCCATAAGGCGTTGGTGTCTCTACAGGTGTAGGTTACTGCTGGTGTCAGAGACATGGTGCTCGTCAGAGCTCAACTCCCTCAGGATCTCAAACATTGATTATCGCTTGGATTGTTTCTTAAAAAAAACACAAAAGCCCTCTGAATGGCCCGCTGATGCATCCACTGATAACCCTGCAGTTGACCAGTTCCAGCCATTTACCCCTCCACAAAAGCAACTTTATGACTGTATTTACTTTATGACTTTATTCTCGTAAATTGACTACTTTAATCTCTGTCTTAAAAAAATTCTCGATGTGGCTCTGATACTCTGTTGTAGTTTTGGCAGCTTTCTAATGTCTAATGTTTTTGATTGTGGTAGCAGAACAGATCAGTTCTTTTCAAAAGAGTATAATGTTTGGTTTTTTCAGCTGCAGATTTGAGTGAGTTAAGTGAGCATGTGCTCATGGAGCCTGAGCTGACGGTCATGTGTTTTTGGATTTCGTTATTTTTTTGGAAGAGGCACTGCGCCTCCAAGCAGTTTGGATGTCTTACCCAAAATGCGCAACCGTGCAGCAGCACGCAAAGCATTCTGGGGTTTCCAGGGCCCCAAAGTGTGCATAAACACATGCTTGAAAAAGGGGCGGGGGCAGAGTGGTTTTGGGACAGCAAGTGCGCTCAGAATTGCGAGCCAAATGGGACACCCTTCGCGCCACGTGAGGACGTTACGCACCCTCGAAAACCACACTTCAAGTGTGCAGAACCTGAACTGAGAAACAGCCTCAGTCTCAGGGAGCTGGCATGTGGGGGGTTTGTTTTGGGACACTGGCGCTTAACGTTGGGCCTCTGTCAGGTGTTGTGAGCCTGAAAATAATGTGGATGATGTGGTGGAGCTCACTGTCCGTCTACCTTCATCTATCTTCATGTTTGGGACTGTGTGGTTGGTTGAGTAACTTAATATTCCAGCTTTGAAAATCTACAGATTTTACTGCTGTTATTTGTTTATGCATTTTGGCTTTTGTTGTTGTGATACAGCTGATGACGAGGAACACAAACGGTCACCACAGTTGTTCTGTGTTGGTGTCACATTAATCATAAAGAGTGAGATTCTATGATAATTTTTTTTTGCTTTCAAAGCATCTTATAAAAAGATTTCTGTCCCACGGCAGAGAAAAGATAAGGAGTCAAGGTCAGACTTTGAAAGTTAAAAACAGACTTTCCCACGATGCTTGAGAGACAAACAGAGTATTTGAGAAGTTACCCATGAATCTCCTCCCCACAATTCCCATGTGGCCACACTGAAGGTGCGAGGTCCACCTATTTTTCCATGGAGAGTGTACAAGCGCTACATCGACAAAAGATTCAACAGGAAGGGAGATGTAATATGGCAAGTGTCTGGAAACTGGAGCTGTTTAAGTCTAAAAATCTGAACACATAAATGCATGGTTTTTGGTTACAATTTATTTGACTTACCATCATTTTATGATCCCATATTTTGACCTCTCGCTTTTCTCTTACAGCCTCAGTAATGACAATGAAAACAAACCTCTTGTTCCTCACAGGGTTCAGGATTCTCTAAAATACCAGGATTTAGGTACCTTGCTGGTGGAGGCTTTGTAGGTTGTCTTCAGTTTCTGTGACAGCTGACTGGTGCTGTGGCTCGCTGTGCAAAGAGAGAGACAAAGAACAATGCTTGAAATTCACCCGAGTAACAAACTGATTTCACCTCTGCAGTAAAGGCCATGGACAACATAAACCCAACAGGACTGTATGGCACTTCTCAAACAACAAACTCTGGATTACTCCCGACATTGAGGCTCTTTTAAAGGAGAAAATGAGGGCCTTTAAGTCAAGGAACAAAGAGAAGCTGAAGACTGCTCAGAGGGAGCTGAGAGGCAAAATCAGGGAGGAGAAGTACAGCTACAGAAAGAAGATGGAGAATCGGCTTAATGAGAACAACGCCAGGGGAGTCTGGAGTGGCCTGAAAACCATCTCAGGCCACCAGGAGTCCAACTCCCAGGCAGCTGGGGACCAAAATTGGGCAGATGAACAAAACACCTACTTTTGTGGGTTTGAGAATGTATCTGCCCTTTCTCTTAGCTGTGGCAGCCCCTGCATCAGCCCCTATCTTTTGATCCTCTAGTGCTCTGCCCAAGCCCCCCCATCACCTCCCTCCCTGCAGTATTCAGCTCACCACCACAAGCCTTACCCCCCACTGCTACTCCCAGCTCCCCATCTGCATTCCCAGACACAAAGCCCCCCTGCTCCAGCCTGTTCCTCATATCCCTCCAGGTGAGAAATCAGCTCAGGAGGATCAAGACCATGAAGGCGGCGGGACCAGATGGCCTTAGTCTGACTGCTCAGGTCCTACTCAGACCAGCTAAGTGAGATCATTGGACATCTGTTCAACTTGAGCCTGAAACTGGGAAGGGTACCACGCCCCTGGAAGACATCCTGCATGGTACCAGTTCCAAAGATTCCACAACCTAAGGACCCTAGCTGCTTCAGACGATGGCCTTAATATTACGCCTCATGAAGGCCCTGGAGCAATTGTTCCTTGCCCACCTGCACCCCCTGGTGAGCTCATCCATGGACCTGCTGCAGTTCACATATCAGACTGGCATCAGAGTGGACGACACCATCCTCTACCTCCTTCAACTAGCTCTGTCTCACCTGGAGTCGCCTGTGAGCTCTAGTCGGGTCCTTTTCCTGAACTTTAGCAGTGCTTTCAACACCATCAGGTCGGCCTTCCTGAGGGACAAGCTGGAGCTCTCCAGAGTGGACCAACACCTCACATGCTGGATTGTGGATTACCTTACCAACCGCCCACAGTTTGTGAGGACCGTGTGTCGGAGACTGCCCTCTGTAGTATAGGGGCCCCCCAGGGAACGGTGCTGTACCAATCCTCTTCACCCTCTACACTGCAGACTTTTCCCACCTGTCACCCACCTGCCATCTGCAGAAGTTCTCTAACAACTCTGCTATCATCGGCTTCATCACTGACGGAAACAACTGGGCATACAGCGAACTTGTCCGGGACTTTGTGGACTGGTGCCAGCGGAACCACCTCCAGATCGATACTGGAAAGATGAAGGAGTTGGTTGTGAACTTCTTTTTTATATCTTTTTAACTCCTCAGTTTTCTTATCTTTTATATATTGCTTCTGTAAATTTTGGAATTTCCCCTTGTGGGACAAATAGAGGAATATCTTATCTTTTTTTATTTTTACGATAAGAACAGGGAAAATGTCTGCACATCCCTCTGTTCATAAGTACTATTTAGTGTCACAGGGCAAATGCGCCTTGGCACTATTTGCTATACTGTGTTTTTTTTTCTTTTTCCTCCTCCGGACAAATTTTGATTCATTACTAGTCCTACAGCTTGAAGAGTTGTAGAACAAATTATATGTCAAAATGTGTGGTTTGATCGAAATCAGTGTGCTACTACTTTTCTCTATTGTCGTTAAATCTTTGGCGATGTAAGTTGCATTGAAGTCAATGGGACAAGCCAAAAAATTGAGCAATTATTGGAGTTTTTTTCTGGCTCTGTTATTTCAGTTGTATTAATAAATAGTGTACTTAATATAGGAATGTTTGTTGTAGATGTGCTCTTTGTATATAATATCACAATACTACTAGTATTAATTATCTGAAATCTCTTAAGAATCTTATCATGATGTACACACCCCGCAGTGGCAGTGGCCCCCGTGGCCCTTTCAAAACTTCCCTGAGGGAATTTTCTAGCATTAAAACTGTCATCATAACACCGCTCTGTGTAACTTTGTCTACTACCACATTTTAAACATTACACTGCAGCTGTGTCGGAAATCACTAACCTAAGCACTAATTGACAATCAAAAGCCAGGATCAATAATGACAACAGAGAGTTCCACTGATAACTTCAGTGACAGCATTTCTGAGAAAGGCTGGAGGAGAATATGTCAAACACAATGGGCTCTATTTTCGTGCCTCGCCGGCGACGTGCCGCAGGCGCCGCGTAAGTCAGGTCCGCCACGCCGACAAGGCGTTCCCAAGCACAATTTGGTATTTTGGTGAGTGGCGCAGCCCGGCGTAAGTATCCCCCCTCCCTAACTCAGCTCCTTCCAGCAGCGTAAGTCGTAGGGAGAGAGGAAAGAAGGCGTGGAGTGGGTTTAACACAGCCGAGACCTGTATTGACCAATAACATCAGCTCCTCTTCTCGCCTTTAAGTGCGCCACCGGAGAGGCCTATTACAATTTTCGTGCAGTAGTCGAAGAGATCAAGAGATGGCTGAAGACAGCAATGCCACACGATGGCGACAGAAGGCAGCTCCTCAACAAGTCTCACTGTAAGTGCTGCGGAGGGCATCCTCCACACTCTCTTGTGAGGTTGTACCCACTGGTAAGACAAACACCCTTTTCCACAAATAAAGACAATCACATCAAGCAGATGTGATTGTCTTTATTTGGCCTGGCTCTTTTCATTATAGATGTTGGCATATAAAATAAATTTGGCTCACAAAACTGAATATTCGTATGTGGGCCTAACTCCAGATTGAATATTTACAGAATCTTAATGATGTGAGAAAATCAGATAAACAGCTAATTTTGAGTGAAAGTTTCTTTTATTTTATTATCTTTTTTTTTTTGTTCAAATTTTCGAAGTAAATAATTCATCTGACTACTAAAAAAATCATCTGGTCAGCCGTGCCACCGCAGCAGCAGCAGGACGGAGAGAGGACACAGAGACATGTCTGGTATTGTGCCATAGAATGCACCCCTGCCGTAGAATGCACCCCCTGACGGGAGCGCGGTTGAAAGTACACAACAAGGCCTTACTGTTGAATAGATTCAAAAGCGTGTGCCTTTAATGATTTCATTCAGGCTATTCAGATAAGCCGAAAACAATAGGCCTCTGATTTTGAATATTTGCTGCCCCGAAAATATAATGTTCTCTACCTTAACAGCTTACTGTACAGTTTATATACCCAAGTATGTATGGGTATATAAACTGTACAGTTGGGAGACGAATTAAATATCTTGTTAACTTCATCATGTGTGACTGTTTACTGTGTATTTAATTTAATGTGGTTTCAGCTGTGTTAATTCGATCAGGTTGAGTGTCCAAACCCGTGCCAAACGCGCTCATCAGATAAGATATAGATCAGAATATATCTATAGATCTAAATGTATGTGCTGATTCAGATAGTTGCAATATTGGTTGTTGATTATTTATTGCATTGAAATGTGCCTGACACTGTGGAAACCTGCCTGTGAGGCATCGGTGATGTATGCACAATATGCCGCCGGTCTACCAAAATACCTCTAGACCAGCAGCACTCCGCCTGCGCTGAAACCTGAACAGGTTTGAATCGGCAAGCTTTCAGCGCACTTTTCATGCCGCCGGCGAGCAGGAAAATGTCACTGCGCCAGCTGATTCTGTCAACACCTCCCCCTACCAAGCATCCACGCCCAGCTTGGCGGACCACGGCGCGCCTCAGTCCACGAAAATACCAAACTGGCTGTGCGCCAGGCTCTGCCAGATGAAAATTCCACTGCGCAGGGTCCGCCACCGTCCGCCGCGTCACCAGCGGGCATGAAAATAGAGCCCAATGAGATCAATCTGTTGATCTGTTTTACCACATGGCAAGAGTTGGGTTGGAAAAACATCACAAGATTCTTTATTACAGTCCTTCCAAGTTAGGGGCTATGCGAAGTAATGACACTGTTTCTAGAGTTGCCCAGTTTTTGTTTTTTATTGGCAGGGAATACATGTGCTGCCAATGTTTTATACAGCATGTTTTAAACTTATGGACTTTATTCCTCAAACAATGGGCCAAACTTCCACCCTAAAGTCACATTTCCCTGCTACATGCTTTTAAATCTAGTGCAACCAATATAAAGAAACCTTTTAACTGGACTGTCAGTGTTTGTTAAAAGGAGCTGGACTGGACTAAAGTCTATGAGAAAATGAGTCAGCTTCTCACTTGATTTATAAGACACAGTGAACATCAACACCCACTGCAGGAACTTTTTCTTTACTAAAACCCTGGTAGGAAACAGTGTACCTTTTGTCTTCAGTGCTCCCTTTGTCGGGTCTCCTCCTTCAATCATCTGTCCATCTGCGGTCAGACGCTCATTCAGAGAGTCGATTTCTCTACGCACTAAGGTGTAAAACAGAGATAGAAATTTAGTTAGCAAACAAAGGTAGTGGAACAATAACTCAAGATCAATCAAGGCATGTGCTTTTCCTATCAGTGACTCACATTCAAGGTTTTCAATGTATAGGTTTTCAAACTCGCGCTCTATCTGTCCAAAAAGGTCAAGGAGGTTGCTGCGTAAGGCAAGCGGCAGCTTGGAGTCCTGGAGAGACAAAAAAAAAAAGAATACAGAGTAAATTTATGATACTGTTGGTAACTTTGTCAGAAAACATCTCTACACTTCATTTTTGACAGTTATTCTCCTGCTCCCTTTAGTGGTTTTAAATCTATTTCAGCTCCAGTGAAGAGTTTGTAACTGGTTATCTAATAGACTATAAATAAACAGCATGCCTGTATGAGCTACAAAAGCAAACCAGGCCATCAAGAATTATTATTGCTTTACATTTATTTATGGGGCCTGTGATTGCTGCCATCTGGTTAATGTCTGATGAGGACATTTATGGCAAAACAGAGCAGAATCACTTCAACCTTTCCACAGCAAAGTGTCACAGTGAGTCAGAGTTTTGTGAGTGTCAAAAACCACTGAGACTTTTGTGTTTAATAAAATACACAAACTGGGTTTTAAACAATCCTAATGAGCTGTGGTTACCATAAAGTCCAGTTTTTCTACAACTAAAATAATAATAATCCATGTACTGTGCTAAAAATCATATACACCATGTGACAAAGATCGCATTAAAGCTTCAAAGATTACCAGTAAAAATGCTGCAATTAGTTCCTCTGACTGTGTGTATGTGTAAGAAGTTTATGTGGAGAGATCTGTGAGTGCTGCCAGAGGGGGTCTGTAAAAAGGTGTCGAAGCAAAAGCAGCTGAAGCTGCTCAACAGGATGGGGGAACATTCATGATAGGAAGCTTCTTTATCTTGCTTGAGGCATCATCATCAGCATGGAAGCTTTAGTTAATGTAAAGGGAAAGTCTTTTTGCATGACTGAGGGGTTGTGTATTCAGTGTTCATAAATGTGTTAGTCTTCATAGTCATGCCAAGAGGAGACCAGATAAAAACAGAATCCAGAAGAGCCAGTGACCTCTCTGAGCCGGAGCACTTCTAAAATAGGCTTGAGGGGAAGTGGGAAACTGTCCTGTGGTCTGAAGTCTCTTTGGAAAACATGGGTGCAGTGTGTCCACTCTAAAAGGAGAGGGCCTGGCTTGTCATGAGCTCCCAGTCGAAATCCAGCATCCCTGATAGTATGGGGATCATCAGAGTCCATGTAATGGTTATCTTCCACATCTGCAAAGGCTCCATTAATGCTGAACAATACCTACAGGTTTAGGAGCAACATCTGCATATTCTTCATATTTCAGCAAGACCATGACAAACCACATTTTGATAACAGGGATTACAACAGCATGGCTCTGTAGGAGAAGAGTCCTGCTGCTGAGAAACCTGACTTGCCCCCCACTCAAATGTGGGTTTTGATTTACTTTCCTGACCAGCAAACGAGCTGTTCTCTCTGAGATTTTACTTGATCTTCCAGATCTCATCTTGACCTCCACAGTTCCCCTCACCTGCCATCTCTTAATTATACCTCGCACTGTGGAAACTGCAAGCTGGAAACGCTTTGCTCTCTTCTTGTAGAATCTCCCCTGCATTGTGGGCATCAATAACTTTTATTTTTTCTGTCTTACACAGCTTCTTAGAGGAACCCATGGTTGCTGGATGAATGCAAAGGTTTGTGGAGTTGAAACCCTTTAAATTGGCACCACCTGGCGCTCCCTGATGAGAATTGTTGACACCTGCTTCAGGACTAACAAGCTGGTGAAAATCTGAGCTTCTAAGGCCCGGACTACACGTATATACATATTTATTTATCAGGATATTTTTGTACTCCCGTCTAAATAAATGTATCTGTCCACACGTGTTGGTTCTCAAAAATATCTGCGTCCACACGTAGCCTTGAAACTCAATCCTATCTGGTGCCGCTTAAAAAAATCAGGGACAAAGCTACCTGATTGGCCGATGAATCATAACAGCGTGATGCGTCATGCATTGTTTGCGGAAGCTACGCTAGTGCGTCGGGTCCATGTGATGGACCATGTGACCAATAAAAGTATTGGGCGCAGCAGACACCTGTGTGAGCTGGCTGACTGGTGGATGTAATTGTATAAAACAAGGTTCACTCGCAAGGCTGAAATTAGCCCCAAAAAGGGCAAAACAAACGTAAAGAATGCCCTGTCCGCCATCGTTGTTGTTATTTTTCTTTTTAATTCGCATGCGCGAGCTGCGGTTTGATGTCATCGATCCGTAAAAGTTCAACCACACAAATCCACTTATACAGATATTTTTTTATTTCTCCACTTGTTTTTTCGGATTCAGATTTATCCGGTTTGAGTGTTCCAAACTTCCATTTTGGTGTGGTAGGGAGGCCTAATTGGACATAAATATGTGCGGTTTGAAATATATCCGCATTCGTGTAGTTGGGGCCTAAAAAGAATCTTTAAAGACCAGACACTTTAAAGCTCTCAGGGTGCCCTGACATTTGCACATGCCAAAAAGATGATTTTTATTTTTGTAATTTTGTACTTTTTACAAAATAAAAAGTTACTGTGCATTAAGGATTTCTGATAATATTGTCTTTTTTTCCTATTTACCAGAGAGGCTATAAATATCAAGGTTAATTTTTTAATAAATAAACTATGCTTTTTTTGAAGGGGTGCCCTGACTTTCACTCACAACTGTATACAAACAACAAAAACATCACCTCTGACTTACCTCCATCATTAACTCCCACACTCACCCTGTAGATGTCTGACCACCAGTTTACACCAGACTATCATGCAGAGAGAAAGGTTCAAAAGCTTCTCTGAACACTAAGGATTCAACAGGCTGCATTTGACAGCTCGTCTCTTAAGAGCTGCTTCTAATGTCTGGAGCAACATGAAACATGAGGCAGCCAAACACTCAGCCGTCACTCTTCCTTCTGGCACATGTACAAAACCAAAAGTTTGTCACAGTGACGTCTACCGCCTAACCATTTTGTCAACACACCTTGTAAATTAGCACACAACAGGCGGTCTTCATAAATTCAAAGCTGCTTAGATGAGGTACTAAAACCTGCTGCATGCTGCAGCTAATAATGACAGCATTGAGCAGCAGAGCAAAAAGCAGTCTGTGTGTGTTATATGTAGGTTTATGGAGTTGTGTGGGCTGCAGGGTACACAAACAGAGCAGGCGTTTTGGCAAAAAACAAAAAGACCTGATGAAAAGACTCATTAGACCTGGACAAGCGGCACATATTAAAACTTGATGAGACTACAGGCCACTGCAAGCTGAGCTCTGGGTTGAGAGGCAAATAATTCACCAGCAGGGAAAGTGAAGGCTTGAGGGTGGTCATAGTGGGAACAACAGCAGGAAAATACCAACAAATTCATGACAGCATTTTGGACTGAATAGTTGGATTCAAACAGCTTTAAAGTGATTTCTTAGACATTTAAACATCAATTCAGATGTAAGAAAAAAACAAAAACAGTGTTCAGAATCTGCAGAAAAATTACCGAAACTAAGAGTGGCTAACACCAGCAGTCTAGCACCACCACCCTGAGGGCCTCTTGAGGTGCCTGTGCTGGTTATACATTGATCTGACTGCATGGTTTTATCGCATTTTAACCAGAAACAGCCCAAATAAAACTGGATCTTCATTTTCTAGATCAAAATGCTGCCAAACCACGCCATGCTACCAAATACCATCCGTCATCCATGCCTGTTTTCATCCGAGTAATAGTAAATACAGCAATTTTTTAGTCGCCATTAACCAGCATTACATCCAGCTAGTGCCAGATGGCTGCACTGCAGCTTCGACACAACCCAGCTATTCAGGTCTACAATAACATTTTCATTTTATTAATCCGACAAGTGATTATGATGCCTGCTAGTGAGGGTGATGACGTTAAAATCATTAAGTCAAATAAATGCACACATCCCATTCAAACCCATTCAGGAGACACAGCGCTTTGTAAAGCTAGCTCATTTAAAGCCAACTCTCATAAATATCCCTTTGCAGCCGACTCCCAGATAACAAGTAAACAACCCGGATGTTCTTGATCTAATACAAACAGCTTTTATCAGCTGAGCACTGGATGTCTGCTCATATAAAGGCTCAGTGTCTGCAGGTAACAAATCAATCAAAGCTCCATTTTAATAGAACAGATGAGTTAATCACTTACCTGATGGCTCCAGTAGACTTTAAAAGTTAGAAACAGTGGATTCCTGTTTTGACCGAGAGAAATCAGTCACTAACATGGACAACCCCACTGAGAGTAGGCTCAGACTAATCGACATGTTAACTGTAAGTGTCTGCAAACATTGACCTGTTACTGCTGTATAACTCTGTCTGTGCTTATGCAATAAACTTTTAAGATATGTCCTGGTAGGAAAACTTTTTAACACAGCAAATGAATTATTAAACTTTGTTATTAGTTTGACATCACTGTTTGCAGCAAATGAAGCAGACTGTTGAGGCTGAGCTCAAGTGTTTGACAGAGAAGAATAATGTTAAATTTTCTTTAACGAAATTTTCCTCTGAGGAAAAAACTTACTGATAACCATTAAGGAGTTTTCTCAGTATGAAATAGATACAAAATCCCTATGATCACTTTCAAAATGCTTTTTTTTCGATATCCCAATCCTGATTTCTTCACAAAGCAATTTAAGAGCAACAAAAGTGCAGGACAATCAAGAATTACAACACAATAAAACATTCAGACCAAAGTAAATAAACCAAAGGATAACAGGTAACTCTGTTGCCAAGCCAAAAGCCAGAGAATCAGCGTGTATTCAGAGGTTTTCTCCTCTGAAACAGCATAGAGAATTCTGTTTTAATCAGCCTCTATTTGGAATATTTAAAGTATAGGTGATGTTCAAACAAATACAAGTTTTCTCCAGAGAACTGTCTAGCAGAAGTCTAAACAAAACACCAATATTTCCTCAAGGGTTGAAGCCACATCACAGAAACACAGCTTAGCACGGAGCTGTGGATTTTGTAACACAATGAATTAAGTCAAGTAATGCTGCCAAACCGGCTGGTACTGTACTCTGTCACTGTCACTGAAAAAAACAATGGCTCCACAACAACAACAATCAAACTGTCCAAAAAATATTTTTTCCTTTTTTTTTTAAGCAAATTGTTTCTATAGGATGTGCTGCCTTCTCAGCTGCATGTCCACTGAGAATCTTTTCTGAAGCTGTAAATGTGTAACTGTGTGTGACAGAGAGTGAAAGCATGTGTCTCTCTCACCTGTCCCTCCAGCATGTCTCCTCTCGTGATGCCTGGCGTCCTCTCTTCTGTGCTGTTTGTGCGTCGGATAGACAAACTGTGAGCTTTACGCTTCTGCTTCGGGTGACGAACGGCAGAGGCAGAGCCGCTGCTGCTTCCTCCCTCCACAGGCATCCCGCCTACCTGTCAGGTGGCCCTGCCCCCTGCTTACCTCTTACTTGAGAGGCAGGTAAACAAATGCAAGGCTTGCTCTTTGGATTAGGTTTTCACCAACTGCCTGCAAGCACAGGGGAAGATGAGTACAGGTTCACAAACACTGCAGGAATGATTGAACGTGAAGTGGAGGCCTCCCCACAGACGTCCAGGCCAATTTAAAAAGATATTTGAAGACTCAATGGTGCAGGACTGTGTCCAGTCTTTTGGACTGAATTAATACTTTCCTCCTTGAAAATGCACGTATTTGGCTCATATATGCACTCTTTTTAGGGATTTTCGATTGTTATGAACTGTAGGTCAAAACCATCAAGTCTTGTAATCCTTCACTTTGTTTATATTGAATCAAAGATATGGAATTTCACTTTATAAATAACATTCTGTGGGGGTGGGGGGGATTTGCAGGACATTAAAGTTTTTAAGTAGCTCTCATCCTCTACACATGACTTTACAGATGTGAATTTGCTGCAGGTATACAGCTGAGGTTTGATGATTCTGGTGTTTAAAGTTAAGAGTAGCGTCGAGGTCTCAAAAAGGGTAAAATATTCTCTGTTTGTAAAGCCACGTAAGGACAAACAGCTATCAGCTTTAACGGGGTTGTCACACAGGAAATAAGAGATGAATTCTGAAATGAAAGCAAAACACTGATATTCAAGTCTGAAAAGCGCCAGACCTCCTTCGACATCCCGTCAGTTTAAGTACCCTTTAAGTCTCATTGACAGGCTTTCTTAGTTAAAAACGCTTCTAAGTTAAATCACAGACATTTCTGTCATGCTTGGTGATCCATTATGGGTTTGATTTTAGCACATGTATGAAAGAAAATGACACTCACCGCTGTTAGCATGAAGGTCTGAAGAGCAGCGAGCTAACATGCTAACTGGGATAAATCTCCTACTACAGCGGCTCCTAACCTTAATGACAGCCTAACCTTCTTGAATCGGCTTTAATTTTTTTTTAAACTTTCAATTAAAAAAAACAACTAGTTGTCTTTTTAACAGGGACCTTCAATGACATTTTATAGTTTGACAGATGCCAGTTTTAAGCCAAATTTAAGCATAATATCGCGTGAATTATGTTTGCATTATTGGACCAATGAGCTGTCCCACTGACGTAAGAACAGCCAATGAAAAACTGTGATCTCAAACATAGGAAGTGAAAGGTAGGTTGCGCGACCACAGTTATACAGCTCAGAAATATCGTCGTAAATACACGAAAATAACACGTTGGGACTTAGTTTACCAGCCTGAATCAGAAGACCTTTTCAGTAAGTAAGAGTACGGTCCATCAGAATCAGAGTAAGATGTATAAATGTGGTAGACATTGCATACTTATAGGCAGTTTTCAGAGGCCACGGTGGTGCGGGCATAGATATCATATGGGCGTGAGCTCTGTGGTCAGATGACGTGTTGACAATTCGAGATTCGAAGAAAACCCGGAGTGTGTGAGACTGAAACGGGACTGTCAGACAGCCGAATGCTACAGTCGGTGGCAACTTGAATTCATTGTGGACATTCTAATGGGGAACCAAGAACTCTATCCTTTTTTTAACCTAACGAACAGAATATTTGACTAACTGCAGAGACGTGCGAAGAAAGTAAAAAGGGGAGAGAGGCTTTTAGATATTAAGGGTAAATTCAATACCTATAGCTATCAATGTGAAAGATATTAGTTTTGTTTCATAAACAGAGTAAGTTCATCAATTGTACACCATGTCTTATACACACATCACCATTTTGAAGCAGTCATTTTGATGTGTTCAAAAGACGAAGATGTGGAAAAAACAAATGGCCGAGTATCAGGAAATTATCCAATGCTTATTTATTGTTTGCATGTATAAAACTATTATTATTATTGTACTTATTATATTTACAGTTTGTTCATTCATTTGGTAAATGGAGACATTGTTGCAGCAGATCTTTAATTATGTTAAAGATACTATCAGAAATTGAGACCATAATTATGAAAATTAAATCTAGAATCATTATATACAACACCATATTAAGTACAGCACTGTATCAATATATGGCAATAATGCAAGCTTTAGAAAAAGAAGTTAAAAATTGTGTCACAAATAATTTATGGTCGAATATGATTTTTCATTTTTATCATTTATTTGTTTTCGTAATAGGTTACTTTTCAAATCTGATCTTTTCGGTGAGTTTTACGAATGACAAACACTGAACATTCTCTTTATTGGGTTTATGGTAAAGGTCACACAGGTCCCTTCCGCCTATATCACGATCCTGATTGGCTGAGCTCCTCTCCGCATTTTCCTACCACCCTTTGCTCCAGTCCCGTGATTGGTTGTTGTGTTTCTGTCAGGCGATGGTGCGGGCCGTGTGGGCGGTGCTTCGGATGGTGTCCTGTCAAGGGGCGGCTGCACTGAACTTAAACGTGTCTGGTAGCGTTATAGACGCAGCATCGAGCTTTAGGTCTGTCCACGTACCTTTCAGAGCTGCACACAGGTAAGACAAACCTCTGCGAAGCGGGAGATTAGCCCGAGGTAATCCTGGTGACTGTAAACCGGGTTCTGGTCTCAGTTGTTCTAAATTCAGCTGTAATGAAGAGCAATTCTGCAGTCAGAATAAACACTGTTGTTGACGTTCACAACTACAACTCTAAAGCTGGGTATGTTCTTTTTATTTCGGCATTGAAAATGTAAAGCTGGCTGTGCGTTATGCAGTTTTATTTTAGCTTGGACATTTTGTAAACATTGTGTCAAAGCAGGACTGATTCTTGCAACCAGCAGTTTTACTCATTATCAAATATTCTGCTAATTATTTCACGTGAATTAACTAGTTGTTGAATCTCATTTCAAAGAACCAAGATTTGTGTCACAGGAAATAAAAGATTTGAAGAGCTGCAGAGCTCAGGTCTGTAAAAACATAACTTCAGGTGCATCTCAACAAATAAAACTGTTCTTGTTTTAAGCCAATGGCCGATGGCTGGTCAGGCCAATCAGTTAAGCAAAACAACATCATGGTCAGGGAAAAGAGTTTTGATGCTGTGGGCAGGTGCTAAATCTGGCTGGGAAAGGAAATCAGCACCTGCAAGAAAACCTGTCGGCAGATGAAGTGTTAGAAATCTCTGTAGACAGCTGTGTTGATTTTGGACTGGATAAAACAAAACATGTGAAATATATTAGCATCAGTCTAGAAAATCTAAGCTAATACTGGATCTGATTCAAAAACATAACAGATATAAACAATTCCAGTTCCCAATGTTTTCTTTTCCCTTTCAGCCAGAGACCCATGTTAATGTTCTCTATTTTTGTTGCTCATGTTTAGATTATGGCTGCTCCTCAGGCTCTGTTAACTTCAAAACTCCAAGGAAAGCAGCAGTGTCTTCTTGTCAAAGTGTACAGCTCATTTCTTAATGTGAGTAAACACTAAACTGTATGCTGTTTCTCCCTCTGTGCTCTGCAGCAAGGTCAGACACCTTTCTTCAGCAGTCAGAATGCCTGAGATCACCACAGACCACCTGGACAAGAAGCAGGTGCAGCTGCTTTCAGAGATGTGCATTCTCATTGATGAGAATGACAGTAAGATCGGAGCGGACTCCAAGAAGAACTGCCACCTCAACTCCAACATCGACAAAGGCACTTGTCCCTCATGTTACACCTCACACACCTGTTTTGCTAATATTTTTGATTTGAGACTTTGAATCTGTGTCTCTGTCCTATCAGGTTTATTACACAGAGCTTTCAGCGTTTTCATCTTTAACAGCGAGGAGAAGCTGCTCCTACAACAGAGGTCAGACGCCAAAATCACTTTTCCAGGTCAGTGATAAATCCTTGAACAGGAATTAGAAAATGTTCCAACCTGAATCCAATGTTCATGTATTTTCGGTGTTAAAAGATGAGAAATAATTGTTAGGAGTTTTGTTATTACTCCTGTCGATTGCACCATAAGGCATCAAACAGACTGTCACAGCTGCAAACATAATCCTTTGAGGGTAAACATTAAAAAGGCAGAAGTCCTTGTTTTTGTGTCTGACAGGCTGAGGGTTAGTGTCTGACAACATCACGGAAAGGATCCTTGCAGAGAGAGAACTTTTTGAAAGAGGCCGGTCCTCTCTGTGTTTTTGATATTCAGGCTGTTTCACCAACACGTGCTGCAGTCACCCGTTACACACAGACAGTGAGCTGGAGGAGAAGGAGGCGATTGGAGTGAGGAGAGCTGCTCAGAGGAGACTGGAGGCTGAACTGGGGATCCCCATGGCGCAGGTCCACCCAGTGTGTGCATGTGTGTAATCAAGTCCTGGCAGTGTTGTGTAACTGAGGAGGGTTATTGACATATCCTCTGTATTCCCATCACTCCTCAGGTGACACCAGACGAGATGACGTACCTGACAAGGATTCACTACAAGGCACAATCAGACGGCGTGTGGGGGGAACATGAGATCGACTACATCCTCTTCATGCAGAAGGTAGAGATGGCATGTCTAATCCCTACAATGTGAGATAGGAGCTCTCCACCCCTCTTAATAAGTCTACAGGTGAAATTAAAGTGAACATTTTTATTTCATATTTTCTGTTGATTGAGGTTATTCTAACATGTTTGAGTGTGGTCCACAAACATAAGCAAGGATCGAGACTGGAGAGAAACAACATGATGAGACACAGAATCAAGCAGGGTTTTTAAGAGTAATTATTATTGTTTATATCATCATCACCACAGCAGAAGCATCATTAAAGCCGCTGTCATCAATATTTTCTTTAGCACTAAGTGCAGAGTCACTCATTAAAATAGCTGGGTCTGGAACTTTCTCAGAGGTAGAAGGGGACTGTGCAGATCAGATGTGGTTGGTAACTCATTTTATTCCTGGGGACTACCGGGGAGGAAAGTCTAGCCCTAAAGTCCATATTCCACAGGATCTGTTTTGAGCATGTTGCATCAGCGTTGAGTGTTATGCAACAAATACGTTTCTATTCAAATCAATGCAGCATCACACACAGGAAGCTCCGCAGTGCATATCAGCTTCATCCCAGAAGTGTCTCTACCCGCTGCTCCGCTAAAGTTACATGCTGAGTCTATTTTGAATCAAGCACACGCCAAACACCCGTCAAACTGCTCAAAGAAGATAGTTCTAGACAGGATGTCACACAAGGAGAGACGCATGTCATCCGCTAAAATCTAAAACACTATATGTAGACTGTTTATCAGTTTGTGTAGATAAAAAATACTTCCTGATTATGGATTTATCATTGACACAGAACAACCCATGGCCTATCCTTGATCCAGGAAAATGAACACAGAGAAGCAAAGAAGACTGTTGTGAGCACATTGTTTTCTGTATACTAAGTCAGCTGACCAGGGCTGTACTACACTGCTGCTACGCTGCTGCCATGTTCCAAACACAGATCCTGTAGAATATTTAGTGCGCTGCCCAATGGAGCAGAGGCATGACGTTGACGGAACACACTCAACATAGATCTTGTGGATTATCGACTCAAGTGTGTAGGTGTTCCCAAAGAAGATGGGTCTTAAGCTTTCTTTTTGAAGAAAAACATGAGACTCTGAAGATTCCAGATTGTTCTAATGTGAACTGCTCTCAGTATGTCAAACAATCATCATCATGCACAGCTACTCCGTCTTTATGTCCCTCTGTAGGATGTGGAGTTGAATCCGGACCCCAACGAGATCAAAAGTCACTGCTATGTGAGCAAAGAGGAGTTGAAGGAGATGTTGAAGAAGGCAAAGAAAGAGGAGGTGCAGATCACACCCTGGTTCAGCCTAATTGCAGAGACCTTCCTCTTCACCTGGTGGGACAACCTGCACGACCTGAAGCAGTTCATGGATCACAATAAGATCCACCGCATGTAGACAACCAGGATCAGGGTAGCCTCTGATCATTTGACACATGCTGAGCTGCTGCAGACTCTCTAGCCTTTGAAAAACACTGTCACCGTAGGAGCGCAGGACTTCTTCACATGCAGAGGAGCTGAGAATATACAAGTGTTGATTTAAATGAGAGGAGGATTGTTCACAGTAGGATCGTAGCTCTTAGGGGCGTTAATCTGCGAGAGAGAGGTGATGATAGCCGACTGACTCCATCTGAAGTTTTTGAAAAACACCTATCAGGTTGTCGTTTCTGTTAAGCTGCACATGGATGAAAGTGAGACACTTAACAAGTTTCTTATTTACAAATCCACGAGGGATAGAATTTTTTTTTATAGAAAACTTTAAGTGCCTGAGTCCAGAGGGGTGCACTCTGAAACAACCATGATTTATTCGGTCCTTACAAAAACCCAAAGCCCCAGTTAGAAACGACGTGTACAGAAATAAAGGTGGTTATCATCTGTCTGCCTGAACTACTGACTGAAAAGTTCATGATTTTTGTTTTCATTGCACAAAATGTGATGATTCAGTCCAATTCTCATAAAATACAGAAAAGAAGATAAGAAAGAAATGAGGGTTAAAGTGACATTTCATTGCAGAAATTCTTTAGTTTGTAAAATTATCATGTGACATTAAATAGTCTAAAAGTGACAACCTCACAGTTTGTCGGTCTGCAGTTTGATGACGGGACTTGTGTTTGCAGCTTGTCTCCTGAATCCACAATAGATCTGAATTTATGGGTTTTTCTGTCACCAAGTTGTCACGGATCCATCAGAATGTAGCTGACTGTGAGTCTGAGCTTCATCTGGCTGCATCAGTGTTGTAAAGCATGAACATTAAAACCAGACTCTCATGCAGGTTAGACAGTTTGTTGAAACAATAAATTCAGACTTTTGTCATTTGTTTACTTTTTTAATGATGTAGGGATAAGAAAGTTGATCATTTGGTTTACAGTTGATTATTGGTGCAGTAGTAAGCACTGCAGTCTGCAGAGTACAGCAAACAACAAGCAGCCCAATTTCCCAACTTTATAACATTTTCAGATTTGGTTAATGTAATACGAACCAATGTCTTTTTGCAGCTTTAGATGCACCAATCACTCCTTTAGTATTTTTTAACCAAATATTCAATAACCAAAATTCTCTCACCAACTAAATTTTTGTCCACAAGGGGGTGCCAAATTTGACACAAACTGAAGGTTACTCTCAGGAAATTTAAAGGAATGTGGATCAAAATGCAGCTCTGGTACACAAACATTTATCAGTATAAGATTTCCGAGTTCAAATAATTTGCAGGTTTTTAATAAGTCATCAGATGTTTAACGTGTCATCAGGATTTTAACTTGTCTTCAGGTCAAAAGACATGATCAGTCGTTTGTGGGTTTGGCCGAATGCGAAGGGATCTACACAGTCTGGTTTTATATTCTCCAAAAACAAAAAATTGAGGAAGAGAGATCTGCAACTAGATTTAAAACTAGCTTCTTAGAGGAAAAAGGCTCATTCTTAATGTGGCTCTATGACCTACACTACTACAAACAGTCACCTTAAAGACAGTAACATAAAACCGTCAGTTTCTATTTTGCAGACTCATTTTGTTGATTTATCTTTGAAAAGACAGGTGGATAAGCCTGCTGGTCTCTCCTGACACATGATTTACAGTTTATTATGAGATACTATGTATTCCCTTGAGTCTTTAAAAGTTTTTTAAAAACATAACATGAATTATCATAGAATAAAAACGTACCAGAACAAACTTACAAATAAAGATTTCTACAAAGACCTAGAAAATGCACAAAAATTGATCAGCTGATTGGAATTAAAGTGGAGATTTACTTTTCTGACACTGTGGCAGTAAAGAAAAAAAATACATTTTAAGCCTTGAAGTGTCATACTAAAGGATTAGGGTTAGAGGCTTTCAGGAGACATGGGGCAGGTACTTTGTTATGTCTCGCCAAATTCAGATAGTGTTGTAGATAATAGGGTTATGATGGATGTCCAAAGATCTCTTTTTTCCATAGTTTGTTAGTTTACTCAGCAAGGAGTAGGAAGAGGGGAACCACTCATCAATACCTGTTTCAGATTTTAAATGGGACTGTAGCCAGTTCCAGACTATTTGGGTGTGGCAGGCCCAGTTATAAAATCTTTAATTCAGTAGGGCTAAACCTCCTTGTTCCCAAGGCAGCTGTAAGGTCTTAATTTTAATTCTGTGCTTTTTATTGTGCCAAATAAATTATGAAAAAGCCCTTTCTATATCTGAAATTACCTTCTTTGAAATCCATAATGCATCTGCAAAGGATAAAGTAATCTAGGGAGTATGTTAATCTTTATGAGACTAATTCTACCCATGCAGAAGAGGGGGAGGTCATGCCATCTCTCAAGGTCATTCTTAACTGCTCTAATTGTAGGCACAAAATTAAGTCTCCACAGGTCCTCAACATAAGGTGACACACTGCTACCAAGATAGGCAAAGCCTGAAGTGGCCCATCTGAATGGAAAGTTTGCAACTGAACTCATGCTGCTGTAATTCCCCAAGGGCATAGCCTCAGATTTTGTGTAATTTACTTTGTAGCCAGATATTGAATCAAATGAATTAATAACTGACAGAGTGGCAGGGAAAGAAAAAAAAGAAAAAGTAAAATGTCATCAGCACATAACGCTATCTTGGGGGTGGTCTTGCCTAAAGTAACCCTGTGAATATCCTCACTATTCCTGATGCGTCCTGCCAGTGGCTCTAATGTGAGGGCAAAAAGAGGGGGGAGAGCAGGCAGCCCTGTCTTGTCCCTCTACCGAGTGGGAAGGGGGGAGAGCGCACACCATTGGTCAAGACACAGGCCTCTGGCGAATAATAGATAAGTTTTATCCAATTTATAAACTCCTCTCCTAATCCAAACATGTCCAGGACATCCCACATGAATCCCCACTCGACCCTATCAAACACCTTTTCCGCATCTAATGATATAGCCAGTGCCCGGTGTTGCATCTGTGAGGAATACTGTATAACATTTAGAAGTCTTCTCACATTAGAATACAAAAACCTTCCCCTGATAAACCCTGTCTGATCCTCATTTATGAGTGAAGGTAAGTCATTCTCCAACCTTCTGGCCAGCACTTTAGAAAGTATCTTGCTGTCCACATTTATAAGACTGACAGGTCTGTAAGCTCAACGGAAGTATTACATTCGGTGGAATATCACTTGTAGTAGAACTGTCATAATATTGTTAATTTTCTTTGATTCATGGACTTTGTCTCCATTACAATCTTTAAGTGATGATATTAAACTAATGGTGTTTCTTTCCCTTGCCAGGCGAGCAAGAAGGCGGCTAGGTTTATTACCATGTTCATATAGCCTCTGTCTGGCAAAAAGGATAGAAGCTGCTTTGCTTGTTAAGAGTTGATTAAGGGCCAAATGGGTGATTGTTAATGCTGTAAAAGTCAGACGGACTGTTTCGTATTCGAGCAAGAGCTTTATTAGCAGGTTTGATATGTTTGGCACATCATTACAAGTCATTTACACTATGAAGCTGGTTCACAACAGAACACTACAGGTTTCATTGCGCAACCTTACAAAACAATATAGATCACAACTTCAAAAAACATGTTTCTGCCAAAAAAAGTATACATTTAAATTCAATTTATATTCTTTGTACATTTGATAACTATTGCAGGTTTAATACTAATGTTGTCTTTAATATATAGGGTAAGAAATAAGAAGTTAATGGCCACATGGAACAGATAACACCTCTCAGTCTTGGTCTTGCTGTGTCATATCTGAGGAATTATGACAGCTGATGCATATGTAAACTCAGAGACATTGGCACCAAGGTTTACAACATTGAGTTAACACGTTATGACAGATGAGACTGGCACAAACAACCAGAACTACAGCTAAAACACTTTTCAGCTCTGATCAGAGTTTTAGGACCACAACGCAGAAGCATGAATAAAGAGAAAAATATACAAAACTTGGGTCTCTGTGATGGATGATGATGTGAAAGAAGAGTGCATTACACAGCATGTGCAACATTAACTTAAATACATAGATCATGTGCTGACAAAGCTGTGTAAAAACCTTTTGAATGACTGTAGTGCCCTTCTGTTGGAGCCATCAAACAGAAATGAAAATGAAGTCAAAGTGCTGCTAGGTTTGCTGTGACTACATGGGTTTTCATTTAAACACTAATTTACAATTTCATGATAAGTGCATCTCTGGTTTTCTTGACACTTAGACTCTTTTTTTCCACATAATTAGAAAAAAAATGGTTTTCCTGTTACAGAAGATTCCGTTAAACATTTTCTCTACGTTATAAAGCTCATGTTTTAGTGATAATGGGATACTTTCCTGTCCATCTAGAAAACATCACAACAGCCTGGTCACTGTGACAGGCCAGACTACATCACCCCATTGCAGCCACTGTCCACGAGATATGAGCCGGGGGTAGGGTTGGGAATCGAGAATCGAGAATCGATGGGAATCGGGACTAAATCTTCGATTCTTCAGGTATCGTTCAAATATTAAAATTTCGATTCCAAGTTTCGATGCCAGAGTCCGCCGACCGGAAGAAATAGCCGCCGAAAATCAACGAAGAAGAAGCCGCTTAACACCAATGAGGACGGAGCGTATGAGACATAGCCACACAGAGAGAGGAGAGAGACAGAGAGAGAAAGACAGAGAGATACATTGCAACCCACAGCAATGCAGCCGCTGTGGGTTACAATCTGTCTCTGTCTCTCTCCTCTCTCTGTTCGGCTTCGTCTCATACGCTCCGTCCTCGTTAGTGTTCGGCAGCTTCTTCTTCATTGGTCAAAAGTTTGGCTAACTTTAGCAGGAAGAATGAACTCTTATCTCAATGCAACATTAGCAATACAGTTATATCATGCAAAGGAGGGTTAACGACCAACATGATTAAACACCTCAGGATTCATGGAGGAGAAATACCCGAGTGCTCGTCTTTGACGCGCTTCGCCGGTGTTGTGCCAGAGAATGCACCCCTGACGGGAGCGCGGTTGAAAGTACACAACAAGGCGAAACAATCCAAGTTTTTCTTACCGTTGGACGGAATCTAAAGCGTGTGCCTTTAATGATTTCATTCAGGCTATTCAGATAGGCCGAAAACAATAGCCCTCTGATTCGGAATATTTACTGTCCCGAAAATATAATGTTCTCTACATTAACAGCTTATTCTACAGTTTATATACCCAAGTACACTTTTATGTGTGCATTTTTGAGACACATACAAACAAAACGAAAGTTTACTGCTCCATTTGACATGTTTTCATGATCTAATACCCGTGTTTTATTAAATATGAGATCATATTTCTTCCACTAAGAAGCTAATCAGTGGAGGGGAGGCATTCCATGGCAGGGGTGCATTCTACAGCACAACACCTGTCTTCCGCTAACCAGTCAGGATCAGATAAGTGAAACAATAAATTACTTCTGTCCTCTGCTAACTTTGAAACGGTAAAGAAATTGAACTGTGTACGGTGAGTAAACTTAAATATCCACCTAACGTTAGCCCTTGTACTTTTTCATAGACAAACGACCTGAAAACAAAAATTGATATTTATATACTGGTTGAAAATAGCTCTGTGAGAAATCCATAGTAAAGTTCTTAAAAAGTTAATAGGATTTAAAAATTCATGGAGGAGTTCAGAAATTTCATCCAAAAAGAAGAGCCCCGGTTAGCACCCTCATTCAAACCATGCTTTTTTTTTTCTTTTTTCTTTTTGATATCCTGCCTTTTAAAAGAATCGAATTAGAGAATCGATAGGAATCGGAATCGAAATGAGGAATCGAAATTGGAATCGGAATCGTTCAAAATCAAACAATACCCAACCCTAGCCGGGGGCCCCCAGGGATTCTGGGCGCTATGAAAAGATAGCTTTTTGGGCTTCACCTCCTCATACATCTGCTGTAAACTCAACTCTATTTTACACACCTATTAAGTGCTTTAAATAACGATTACTGTGTTACACCCATACACTGTATATAGTATGGATGCCGTCTGCCTCCTAGCTGGGTGAAGCCCCCACGAGAACAGGCTGCAGTATAGGTCATAAATCCTGCCTCCACTATCAATCCCCATGGAGCTGTGGACAAACTTTATGAATTAATTACACGGAATATAAATTTTTCTCCTCCCTGGTTGGGATGTTGACATGTAGTTACTATAAGACTGGTTTGTGTTCAAGTCCTCTTTTTTTCTGTACAGCTCTATTTTTAAAAGTTATAAGGGGGTTTATGTTTTCTATGATTGACACTTGATACACCCTATGGGCGTACGAAGATTGCGTAGCTCACCCAGGGGATACTCTGTTTGAGCCACGCGTCATCATAGCGGCTCTCCTGCCGAATGTGTACAGCACTACTGCACAATTGGTTGCTCCAGGAAGTGGAGAAAATACAGAGCGCAATTTGGCTTTAAATTTGTATAATGACAGAAGGTGGAGCCAAGTTGTCCATACAGTCTAAGGTTACACCCTAAAGTTCAGAGCACAGTAACCCAAAGAACTGGTCAGCTGCTGCAGATACTATAAATGCTTTCATTCGAGTTAGGTTTACAGAGCAGACAATTTTTTTCTTCTATTAACTATTGTACAAGGCCAGCACCTTTTCTATAAAATAATAGAATGATTATTGTGATTTTTTAGTGGCTGTAGTGCTAAATGACAGCTCAGATTAACAAACATGCATCATTAAAAACTGGGCCTATACACAGAGTTTCCAGGAAACACAGGTTGGTCTATACACCGGAGTGTTTATGTACGGTCAGGATGGTTAACCTGGCAAAGCTGCACGCATGTACGGTGATACAAGACAAAGGGTTAGGAAGTCATTCTCCTAGCTGTGAGATGATATAAAATTGCAACATCAGCAGGAGAGGATACCGGTCTGAGTCCATATCAGAAGGTCCCTGCAGAGTTTGGAGCAGTAGTACTGGACTTGGGTGGCTGCTGCTTCATGGTATTGAAAAAGTCCACCAACTGATCAGGAACTTCTGCTAGCACACTCTTTGCCAGAGCTTCTTGAGGAGCCTGAAGAGAGAGTATAGAAGTCAAAAAAGTAGAAAACAACACAGAGAGAAGATATGCTTGAGTTATGCATGATGAGGTTACTATGATCAGTGAATTATCAGCTTAAGGAGCATGAGGGAGGTGTAGAATGCAGATGAGGACCAAAGGAAAGGAGGGGTCTTACTATTGCTCATGTCTGTGGAATTTCTAAGTGCAGGAAGTGACAAAATTGTAATATCATTTTTTTCTCTCAGTTTTGTCCTGCTTAAAAACTAATTCAACCTAGAAAACCATTAACCATTAACTGAATTGCAAAGACAGCATTACAGGCAACCATAACCCAAACTTCAAACCAATCCACAGAAAACTGTTTGGGTACATTGAATATACGGGTTTATCAAATTTCCCCTCGGAGATCAATAAAGTTCTCCTTCTTCTTTAATGCATTGTTTATGATTTCCCCTCTTCATGTTGACAATCTGATAATAGCGTTTCTTCAGACAGCATCAGGAGACAGCAGGAGAAAACATAACTTCAGCTCTGCGATTAATGGCTTACCAGTCAGCAGAAGAAATTCGAGAGGAAGTAAATGGGGCAGGAACATCTAACAACTGTTAAAACTCACAAGCACCTGAAAAAAGCAGACTTGAAGCAAGCATGACCCACAACACAGAGAAGGCTTTGGCAGATTTTCAGGACCGGTTCAGAGAAGATAACTGCGTTCATAAATTATTTAATCTAGAAGCCAAAATCATCTTTAGATCTATGCAGAACAATTCGTTCTTGTTTGTTATACTATCAGTCTGTCGCCTTCCTTTGGTGTCATTTTTGGGTAATCTGCTTCATAACACTTTGATGGACCAACATAATGGTGGTGGACAGCTCCTCTTTCTTTACTGTAGGACGGAAAGATTAAGAAGATCTGTTGTACTTTATAACTCTTTGACTAACAGATGGCATGAGACTCCAGACAAATGAATTTCCCTTTGGGGATCGATAAAATTCTCATATTGTAATGTATTGTTTACCTAGTTTGGAGTCAAATAACTGTATGTAAATGGACAGAGACACCATGAAGCCATCCCCTGGTTGTCACCTGCCTTTTTGATCCAGCGAGTGCAACATTTCAGTTGCTGCCAAAATTGTTTCTCTTTCATTCACGCAAAAACTGGAGAATGATTGTGAACTAATACTTGTTGTGGTGTCGGACTGGTGTTGTTTGCTCCAAAAAGCTCGGAAAAGTTGCAGATTATGGCTAATACTGGCTGGAAAGCGAGTCCAAATTGAACTTATTGGAAAAAAACCCAAAACAATCAACCTAAAGGGAAAATGATCTTGTTACTGTGAGCATAGAATAGAAGAATAGAATATTCCTTTATTGATCCCCCATGGGGGAAATTTTTTTGTCACAGCAGCATCACAAAGTGCAAAAATGCATTTATAAAAATAAAGATCATATATTAAGAACTTAAATAAATGTTCTAATTAAGAAAAATATTAGAAAAGGAAATAGGGAGAAGAAAAAATAAAACTATTTACAATATACACAATTTAAGTACCAGAAAAAAGTAGTGGTGTGAGTCCAGTTTTAATGCAGTTCGTTGTAAAGTCTTATTGCAGAAGGGAGGAATGACCTGCGGTTACGTTCCGCAAGGTGGGAGTCTCAGTCTGCTGCTGAAGGAGCTGCTTAAGGCCCCCACAGTCTGGTGCAGTGGGTGAGAGGGATTGTCCATGATGGATACAAGCTTTGCTAACATCCTCCTCTCACCCACCTCCTCCAGGGAGTCCAAGGAGAAGTCCAGGACAGAACTGGCCCTCCTGACCAGTCTGTTCAGTCTCTTCCTGTTCCTCTCGGTGCTCTCTAGCCCCCAGCAGACCACTGCATATAAAAGTGAAGATGCTACCACAGAGTCACAGAAAGTCCTGAGCAGAGTCCTGCACACTCCAAAGGACCTCAGTCTCCTCAGCAGGTGGAGACGACTTTGGCCCTTCTTGTACAGGACGTCTGTGTTTGTTGACCAGTCCAGTTTATTGTTGAGGTGGACACCCAGGAATCTGGTGGACTCCACCATCTCGATGTCCAGACCCTGGATGTTCACTGGAACAGTCTGAGGTGTCCCCCTCCTGACAGTCCTGTATTCCCGCTCATCCCCTGACGATACACATCTGACGATGGCTGTGTCATCACAGAACTTCTGGAGGTGACAGCTCCAGAAGTGACAGTTGTAGCTGAAGTCCGAGGTGTACAGGGTGAAGAGGAAGGGGGAGAGCACTGTCCCCTGTGGAGCCCCTGTGCTGCAGACTACCATGTCCAACACACAGTTCTGAAGCCTCACAAACTGTGGTCTGTCGGTGAGATAGTCCACGGTCCATGCAACTAGGTGACAGTCCACTCCCGCCCTCTCAAGCTTCCCCCTTAGTAGTGAAGGCTGGATGGTGTTGAAAGCACTGGAGAAGTAAAAAAACATGACCCTCACAGTGCTGCCAGTGTTCTCCGAGTGAGCCATGGACCTCTGCAGCAGGTAGATGACAGCGTCGTCCACTCTGATGTTCGGCTGGTACGCAATCTGCAGAGGATCCAGATGAGAGCTCACTAGGAGGCGGAGGTTCCTCAGCACAATCCTCTTCAGAGTCTTCATCAGGTGAGAAGTGAGGGCCACAGGTCTGAAGTGGTTGGGCTCAATGTTCCCTCTAAGCTGCGCGCCTGCGCAATCGCGCACTGCTCACACATTATCAGCGCACAAGAAAAGCTATACAGTGCATGTCTAACACAGTGAGTGATAGATGTCCAGCCAATGATGTGATACGGTTCACTTACGCTACGTAGCCAATCATCGCATTGACATTGCTTATATACCGTAAATTCCGGACTATAGAGCGCACCGTTAAACAAGCCGCAGATGCTTATTTTAGGGAAAAAAATAACTTCGTACACGTATAAGCCGCACCGGTAAATAAGCCGCGGGTGTCCACCTGGTGACATTGTCACCTAAAAAGTAAATTAAAATGTTTTTTTTTATCAAAGTCTGATATTTATTTCGAAATATTTACTCAGCTACACACAGATAGCGAAAACATATGGACAACAGTAAATCTACACAAGCAGTTGTCAGCGCTGGTCCGTGTCCCTGTGTGTGCGGGTGTGTGTGTGACTGTCTGTGTGTGTATAGCCCTGTAGACGACTTTCATTCACGGATACATAAAAGAAGTGGACAAATATGTTTGATACAGTCAGGAAAACATAGCGGCATATCCATGATAGCTCTGAAACAACAGTTGGACGAGCAGAAGCGCTGCAGAGAAATACGCGGCCGGAGGGAACTAAAGGCTGCGCTGAATGGAAGCTAGTGATGTGCGCTCCCGCCGGTGGTCTAAGGGTAAGGCCACCATCCAGTGTGCGCATTTGATGGTGCTCACAATGATCTTCAGTGTGCTCAGGAAGCTTGTGTGTTTGCCCAGACACATGAAAAATTAGAGGGAACATTGGTTGGGCTCCCTGGGGTGTGCTGTCTTGCGGACAGGAATCATGCAAGAAGTCTTCCACAGTGCTGGGACCCTCTCCAGACTCAGGCTCAAGCTGGAGATGTGCAGTAGCACCTCACAGAGCTGCACAGTCCTTCAAGAGTCTGGAGCTGATGCCGTCAGGATCCGTGGCCTTCCTTGGTTTTATCTTCCTCAGCTCACTTCTCACCTGGTCAGCTGTTATGGAGAGGCTGGGGGTGGTGCTGGAGGATGAGTGGAGGGGGGGTGATGATGCCGGTGCTAGAGAACTGAGGTGGTGTAAAGAAGAAGCAGACGGGTCATTGGTTTGATGAGTCGGGGGAGGAGTGGGAGCAGAGTCAAATCTATTGAAGAACAGATTCAGCTCGTTGGCCCACTCCCTGTCTCCTGCTTCAGGTCCCCTCTCGTGGCCCCTGCTGTGACCTGAGATGGATTTCAGGCCTCTCCAGACCTCCCTCGCGTTGTTCTGTTGCAGAAGGTTTTCCATCTTGGTCTTGTAGCTGGCCTTTCCCTCTCTGATCCCCCATTTCAGCTCCTTCTGCACCCTCCTCAGCTCCTCCTTGTCCCCGGATTTAAAGACCCTCCTCTTCTCCTTCAGGAGGACTTAAAGTTCAAGGGTCACCCAGGGTTTGCTGTTGGAGAAACACTGTACTTTCCTGGTGGGTACGGTGTTCTCAACACAGAAGTTTATATAGTCCGTGATGCAATCTGTCATGGTGTCGATGTCTTCACCATGTGAGCCGCACAGTACATCCCAGTCTGTGGTCTCAAAACAGTCCTGCAGCGCCTCAGTGGCCTCCTCAGACCACCTCTTAACATACCTGATGGTGGGGGGTTGTTTCTTCACTACAGGTATGTAAATGGACTGCAGTCTCACCAGGTTGTGATCTGAGTGGCCCAGCAGGGGGAGGGGGGAGGAGGTGTATGCATCCTTGGTGTTTGCATACAGTAAGTCCAAAGTTTTATTGTCTCTTGTTGGGCATTCCACATACTGGCTGAAGATAGGGAGAGTGGAGGAGAGCGATGCATGATGAAAGTCTCCAGAGATGATGATCAGAGATTGAGGGTATGATGTTTGTAGCTTGGACACTTCACTGTGGAGGAGTTCACAGGCTGCAGCAGCATCAGCCGAGAGGGGGGGTGTAAACAGTTAACGCGATGACGTGCGAAAACTCCCTTGGCAGGTAATATGGCCGCAAACTCACAGCCAGCAGCTCAATGTCCTTAGAGCAGCACTGCTCTCTAACACTGACGTGCCCAGCATTACACCATCTCTCATTCACATACAACGCTATCCCGCCTCCTTTCTTCTTACCACTTTCCCTCACGCTGTGGTCCGCTCTGACGAGATGAAATCCGTCCAAAGTTACGAGCAGGTCAGGAGGGAGTTCGTTCAGCCATGACTCTGTGAACATCATGAGGCTGCACTCCCGGTACTCCCACTGCAGCCGAGTCAGCGCTGTGAGCTCTTCCATCTTGTTGGGGAGAGACCTCACGTTTCCCATGATGATGGACGGGACAGTTGGTATAAAACGTCTCTGCTTTGCCCGGCTCTGCATCCTCTCCCTCTCCTGCGGAGCTTGGCGGGGATGTCCCGTCTGTCCTATGAAGGTGGCCGGGCTTGGCACTGCGCCAACAGCTGTTCACGACTGTCAACAATGGAGCCGCTGAACAGGTCGCCAGACGCGGACTTAAAAACTCCAAAAAGTAAAAGAAAACAAAGTGCCAGAGTCATGAAATGCACATCCATGGTTAGAATATGCAAAACGCAACACTGCTTAATAAAACGAAAGACAAATAAGGTGCATGAATGCTTCTCTCTCCCTCACTCAACAACCGGGGCACCAAAAGGGGGGGGGGGGGGTAAAAGGAGAAGGATTCTAGGGGCCCGTAATTATCAGGGGCCCAGAGAGGCCCCTAAGACAAATTTTATCGTACTCTGTAATAAACTTACAGTTACACATACATTTTATATACAATGTATTGGTAACACTAAGTTTATTTGTTTTGCAAAACATTTCTCAAGTCCACCCCCCCCCCCAATTTAAATAAAACGGTTCAGTCAACCTGCTCCGTTTTCCCAGACGCTAAGTGCTAATTTTTCAAAGACAGCAAGTAGAGAGAGAGCATGATGCCTCAAAAATCTGAGAGCCAAAAATGAAAGGAAAAAAAAGCTAAGGGGTCGACAGTATGTCACCCAGTTTTTTCACAGGCAAGGTGGGTCTACAGTCAATCAGTTTCCCCCACAGACACACCAAGAGGACAAGAGGAGCAGCAGCCGCTGAGGTACCCCCAACATTCTTTGATATATAATTTTACTGTTTTACCTTGAAAATGTGTTTACTTATATTAAGTATGACTCTTCGCTATGGTTTGGCTTAAAATCTCTACAGTGGTCTACTTGTGATCTTGTTACATTCAGTTCATTGTCATACAATACAATATACCATGTGAAATCCTGCTATTTTTCTATTCAGATGTGACCCTGCTTTACTGAGTTTAACATCTGCTGTTGATTAGATTTATTTATTTGTTATTTTTTTTGTTTTGCTTGTTGCATCTTATTCTAAAGATGATGTTCAAACTACAATAAATCATAAAAGGTAATTGCCCATTTTGTCTTTGATGTTTTTTTCTCCACGGATTATGGTTGCATTTCAGTTTGCAGCAAATAATTGAATCAAAATTAATTTAATTGTATTTTCAGTGCTTCCCCTACCAAGTAACTGTCATTTTGCTCTTTTCACATACACTCACCGGCCACTTTATTAGGTACACCTGTCCAACTGCTCGTTAACACTTAATTTCTAATCAGCCAATCACATGGCGGCAACTTAGTGCATTTAGGCATGTAGACATGGTCAAGACAATCTCCTGCAGTTCAAACCGAGCATCAGTATGGGGAAGAAAGGTGATTTGAGTGACTTTGAACGTGGCATGGTTGTTGGTGCCAGAAGGGCTGGTCTGAGTATTTCAGAAACTGCTGATCTACTGGGATTTTCACGCACAACCATCTCTAGGGTTTACAGAGAATGGTCCGAAAAAGAAAAAATATCCAGTGAGCGGCAGTTCTGTGGGCGGAAATGCCTTGTTGATGCCAGAGGTCAGAGGAGAATGGCCAGACTGGTTCGAGCTGATAGAAAGGCAACAGTGACTCAAATAACCACCCGTTACAACCAAGGTAGGCAGAAGAGCATCTCTGAACGCACAGTACGTCGAACTTTGAGGCAGATGGGCTACAGCAGCAGAAGACCACACCGGGTGCCACTCCTTTCAGCTAAGAACAGGAAACTGAGGCTACAATTTGCACAAGCTCATCAAAATTGGACAATAGAAGATTGGAAAAACGTTGCCTGGTCTGATGAGTCTCGATTTCTGCTGCGACATTCGGATGGTAGGGTCAGAATTTGGCGTCAACAACATGAAAGCATGGATCCATCCTGCCTTGTATCAACGGTTCAGGCTGGTGGTGGTGGTGTCATGGTGTGGGGAATATTTTCTTGGCACTCTTTGGGCCCCTTGGTACCAATTGAGCATCGTTGCAACGCCACAGCCTACCTGAGTATTGTTGCTGACCATGTCCATCCCTTTATGACCACAATGTACCCAACTTCTGATGGCTACTTTCAGCAGGATAATGCGTCATGTCATAAAGCTGGAATCATCTCAGACTGGTTTCTTGAACATGACAATGAGTTCACTGTACTCAAATGGCCTCCACAGTCACCAGATCTCAATCCAATAGAGCATCTTTGGGATGTGGTGGAACGGGAGATTCGCATCATGGATGTGCAGCCGACAAATCTGCGGCAACTGTGTGATGCCATCATGTCAATATGGACCAAGCTCTCTGAGGAATGCTTCCAGCACCTTGTTGAATCTATGCCACGAAGAATTGAGGCAGTTCTGAAGGCAAAAGGGGGTCCAACCCGTTACTAGCATGGTGTACCTAATAAAGTGGCCGGTGAGTGTATATGGGAATGAGTGTCAAAAATATCATTAAAATGCAGTTTTATGAAAAATAGTACTAACATTTTCTGCCGGCTTTACGGCCAGCTATGGGGGGCCCAGTAAGATTTTTTTCATGGGGCCAAAAATCCCTGGCAGCACCACTGCTCAACACTCATGATAAATCTGTATGAAACAGAGATGGATGAGGAGGTGAGAAGACAAACAGCTGAAAATGGTTTAGTGAAGCAGTGTTTAGATGCAGTGTTTCATGCAGGGATTAAGTGAAGCGGTTTTTCATGCAGGGAAAGCAAGGACAAGGATGTTGGCGGGTTCAGTAACTGAATTTTTGGAGTACCCCTATGAAGGATTGGGATCATGAGGAGGCTTCAGTTTCATTAAAGTGAAGAAGGAGGCCACTTGTTGAGGTAACTCAGCCAAAACACTCTGGGCAAGAGCCTGGCAGGGTGCCTGAAAAGAGATGAATACACACAGGAAAGCTGGGTGAGATCTGAGGTAGGGTCATCCAAAGCTAATCCAATCAGATCAAAGCTATCAGATTGGTTCAAGTCTTGAAAAGGGTGGTTTGGAGGACAAAATGTCACGATAACACTGGTTTCTATCACTTATGGGCAACATGGAGTCTTTTTTGTGTGTGTGGAGTCTCCCTTTTCCCCTTACAGAGGTTGGGCGGCTCCTCGTCAGCAGGACCACCGGATCAAGCTGATCACCACCTGCTCTTAAGTTCTGCTCTCTGACTGCTCAGTGCCAGATTATTCCTGTTTCTACAGTGGTATGTAGGCCTCTCGCAAGTATTTTCAAGATTTAGAGACTTTTTCTGTGACTGTTCAGCCTGATAGTTACCCCTGTTGTCTTCCTTCTCCTCTAGTGCCTACACCAGCTGCCAGTGCCTACCCAACCTATGTCACGACTGCCACACTCTCTGTTCAGCTCCACTCACCTGTTGTCTTCTTCAGATCACATACAGCCTCACCCCCTCACCAAGAATCTCTTCCCTCCCTGGACCCCGGACCTCTAACCATCCTGCACCTATCTTTATTAATAAAACCACTTAAAGCTTCCTCTGCCTCCACTGCCTGCCTTGGGTCCCTTCAGGAAAACAAACCCTTACAGAATAATCTGGCTATCATGGACCCAGCTAACCCGGACGTAGTCAAGGAAGCCCTCTCCGCTCAAGGTATCCAAACTGGATGTCATGATAAAATGCTACATGGAATTATGGACTCTTTTCAGCAATTGCATCACCAAGTCTCTCTCATCGCCACCAAAATGCACCAGGAGGACCACCAGAAAAGTTCCCTCAGCACTGCCACACCTGTGAGTAACACTCCTGAGATAGATAGATAGATAGATAGATAAATAGATAGATAGAGAGAGAGAGAGAGAGAGAGAGAGAGAGAGAGAGAAAGAGAGAGAGAGAGAGAGAGAGAGAGAGGGTTCAGGGCTTGTAGATTGGCTCCCCCTCCTGGTCCGCTCCCTTCACTGCAGTGAACTCAAGCCCCTCTCCCGTGATCCCTTCCAACGTCCCCTTTGTATAGTGGTCTACCTGGACACTTCATTGCTCACTGCCCCTAGATGTTAAAAGGGAAGACTCACCATTGAAGGAGAGCACAATGGTGAGTCAGACCTCCTCCTCCTCCCCCAGCTCTCCTCATCGCATGTCTGTCTCAGCCAGTCCCCCCTGGAACCTGGGGCAGATGACAACTTCATCCATTCTGGGTTGGCAAAATCACTTCAACTCCCCCTTGAGCCTCTGGAATCCCCTGAGAATGTGAATGCCCTGGATGGTCACCTCATCTCCCACGTTAGCCACCTTACTGCCCCTGTCACCCTAGTCATTTCAGATAACCATCGAGAAACCATTCAGGTGTTTCTCATTCAATCCCCTGTATCCCTGCTGGTTCTTGCACTCCCTTGGCTCAAGCAACACAACCCTCACATTGACTGGAGGAGCTCCTCCATCAGTAGTTCGAGCCTGCAATGCCACTCACACTGTCTGCTGTCTGCCAACCCCGCTTTATTTGGTCTTCAGTCAACTCCTTCACCTCCTGACCTCTCCAATGTCCCTCCAGAAAACCATGACCTTGCCTTTGTCTTCAGTAAGGAATTAGCACTGTCCCTACCCCCCACTGCCCCTAAAACTGTGCTATAGACCTCCTACCAGGGGCTCCTCTCCCCATCGGCTGCTTGTACAACCTATCCCGTCCTGAGAAAGAGGCCATGGAGGCCAACATCCAGGACTCTGACCAACAGGCTCATCTGCCCCTCTTCCTCGCCGCTGGGTGCTGGCTTCTTTTTTGTGAAGGACTCCTCTCTACATCCCTGTATTAACTTCCGTGGACTCAATGACATCACTATGAAGAACAAGACCCCCTGCCTCTCATTGACCCATCCTTCAAGCCCCTCTATCATGCCCAAATTGGACCTCGGTAATGCCTATCACCTCATCCGCATCCAGGAGGGCGATGAATGGAAGACCGCCTTCAATACACCCCTATGCCACTTTGAGTACCTGGTGATGCCATTTGGCCTCACCAATGCCCCTGCTGTATTCCAGACTCTCATGAATGACATCCTCCGTGACATGCTTAACCGCTTTGTCTTCGTCTATCTGGATGATATCCTCATCTTCTCCCCCTCCCTGGATGAACACAGACAGCATGTCCACCTGGGGCCTGTTCTACGAAGGATTACTGCTTAGCGAGGTAACTTCGAGGGTAAGTTCGGGGTTTCCTGTTCTACGACGCGGGTTCACTTCTTAGCCAGGCGAGTCTCCATAGCAACATACGCTGAACGGCTAACCTGCTCCGGGGCAGGTTAAGTTCCAGATTGAACTCACCGAGCATAAAAACCCCACCCACTGACCAATGAGCTCTCTTGAAAAACGGCTTGTCCGTTCTTGGAGGATCCTGTAAACCTCGGTGCTCGTATTGTCCGAGGAGGAGCACTCTGGCGCGCGAGAGTTCACAGGGACCGCATGGACCCACTTACTTTTCCGGATGACCACTTTCATGAAAGGCTCATATGGCCAACATATCACACAAAAAATGTAAACACGATAGGAATAAACAAATGAGTGAATTAATCTTGGAAATGAATGGGCATGAGCTGCATGGGCTGTGTGATCACAGACAACATCTCGGTAGTATTTGGTAGCAGCGCATGCCCCTTATAATAACCCCCGTAAATACTGTTGTTCAGGACTGCTTACTTGTGCTTCCTACCTACTGTAACAACCGTTACCCATACATATATTGAAGTTGAATATAAAGTTGTGTATTGCGGACATTTTGGTACCTAGTACACCTCTGTATCCATTACGGTTCTTGAGATACAGCATACAGATACTTGTACAGAATTGGGAGTGAGAAATTTGTAACACCGATTGTTGTTACGTGCATATGGTTTTATGAAAATATAATTTCCATTATCTATTATTTTCATGAGGGTTATAACATTAAATTTGAAAAACAAGATGGTGTCCAAGATGGCTGCCAACTTTTGGATTGAAGTAATCCAAAAGTTAATGTTTCATAGTCACTAAGATTGGATTACTACAAATTTCTCACTCCCAATTCTGTACAAGTATCTGTATGCTGTATCTCAAGAACCGTAATGGATACAGAGATGTACTAGGTACCAAAATGTCCACAATACACAACTTTATATTCAACTTCAATATATGTATGGGGCTTAAAATCAAGGCATTTTGAGTTATAAAGGAAAAACCACATTTTTGGGGCGGACATCTTGGATTTTTGGGCCGCCATCTTAGAATTTTGTGTGGCTAACGTTATTTTTGAAAAGAGTGGGGTTTGAAGAGTATATGTACCGAATTTCATGCTTGTATAAGAAAGTGAATGATTCGGGCTATATTATGCATTTGTCTGCTCCACTACAGTCTGATACATGTCATTCACAGACTAACTGATACATATCGTTCATTCGCTGTGAGCAAATCACGAGACACTGACCCCTGCTCGCTTGCTCACTGTGTGTCATTCGCCAAAGAGTCCAAGATCCACTCCCGACCGGCACGCCAGGCTAATGGCTGAGCTCAACTGAACTGAGAAAGGAACAAATCATGTCTCGGAGTGATTACTGTCACGTTCTTTTGGACTACCAGGAAAGTTCAAGGCCTGGCTCTTCCAGCACGGTCTACTGCCAAGACTCATGTGGCTACTGACGATCTACGAAGTGCCAATGACATCAGTGGAAGGAATCGAGAGGCAAGTGAACAAATATCTCCGCGGCTGGCTCGGGATTCCACCAAGCTTCATGTCAGTAGGCCTATTGCAGAGTTTCAATGATATACAGAGATTCCAGAGACGAAAAAGTCAGAGGCGCAAGTGTCACAACAAGATCAGGACGGAAATGGGCAGCTGATACAGCAGTGGCTCAAGCAGAAAGTTGAAGGACATCATAGGGAAACCCATGCATAGGCAGACAAGGACTTGGATCTACTCACTTCCAGCAATGGGGTAAAGCAGACCCAAGGCAGAGGAGCGATATGATCCAACCGGAGGTCCAACACCTGGAGGAGGAAAGGTGGAGGTACAGGGCTGTGGAACTTGGACTACAAGGAGCCTGGACAAAGTGGGACCTGCCAAAGAGGAAGATCACGTGGCCTGAACTCTGGAGACTGGAGCCCTTTCGCATCTCTTTCCTGCTCCGATCAGTGTACGACACCCTACCAACACCATCCAATCTCCACAGATGGGGGATGAGGGAGGACCCACTGTGTAGGTTATGTGGAGGGAGAGGAACTATGGCACACATACTGGCAGGATGCAACACTGCCCTTAGCCAGGGGAGATACCGATGGCGCCATGACAAGGTCCTCCGAGCACTGGCAGACATCTTGGAGCGGGAGAGACTGAAAAAGCGCCTGACCATGGCAAAACCAACACCATCCATCCAGTTCATCAGGGAGGGAGAGAAACCATCATCCTCCAAGAAGACCAAGAAGAGCCTCCTGCAAATGGCACAATCGTGGGAGAGTGGACCTGGGAAGGAAGCTACCCTTCCCCCAGGTTGTGCAAACATCATTCAGGCCCGACTTGGTCATATGGTCTAATGAGGCAAAGAAGATCATCCTGATCGAACTGACAGTGCCATGGGAAGACGGATGTGAGGAGGCTGCAGAGAGGAAAGCCACCAAGTATCAGGACCTCGTCCAGCAATGCAGGGAGAAAGGATGGCAAGCCTGGCTGTTCCCGGCCGAGGTTGGCTGCAGGGGTTTCCCGGCACAGTCTGTGTGGAAGACACTCACAGCCCTGGGAATTGCAGGAAGGGAGAGGAGGGCAGCGGACTGTAGGTTAGGGGAGGCTGCAGAAAGAGCATCTTGTTGGCTCTGGAATAGGAGGGAGGAGTTAAGCTAGGGGCCAGGAGAAGATGGGCAGTGACTGGCCATCACTGCCGACCCGCCAACTGGAGGGCGTTGTGGTTCAGGGTCGAAACGCCCAGTGAAAATTGGACACCACCTGACGACATCTTCTCCTGGCCGAAAGCTACAGTCACGCATATATGACTGAAGGAGGTGGCATCAATGTAGATGTATTCAACAGACGAAACGTTCATGTATGACACAACACTAGTTCCTCCTCATACAGCAGAGGATAGTTCCTAAATTTCTTCTTACCTGTTTTTACCCAATATTTACCTTTACATCCTGGGTTTATTGTGTGTAAATGCCAGAAGTGAGTTTTATGTTTCACTGTCCAAGTTTGATGCTATATTGTGTTAATGTATTGTTTACCGTGAATATGGCTAATGCTATCTCATGCAACTCGATGTTCAGCTAATAATCTAATTCTTGCCATGGCTGTTGTGAGCCTCGTGTGAGATAATTTGTTTACAATGCAGAGTCATATATCACATGATTGATTGCTGAATACAGTCCTTTATATTCAGAGTTATATTATGTATGTGTGTTATTTATGGTGTGAGCTGTACTGATTGTTGCTTTGTATATTTATCTGTAGAACCACAGTCAAATAAATCCACCACTAAACTGGACATCTGTATCCGTGTCTTTTAACGGGGACACACACCATACACCTTGTCGCTCTAAACCCAGCTAAATCCTGGAGAACGCACTTTTCTCCTTTTAATACCAACAATCAAAAAAGCATCTTGAACATGTTTTATATTGAGGGAAATTAATTTTCGATATTTATCATTATAATTTTATCGTCCAGCACTATCAGTCATGGATGGATTTTTGCATGCCTTGTGGATCAGTTATGTTGCATGTAGTCACTTCTACAGCTCTGTTGATCTGGGACAGAGGTGTGATGGATTACCTGATTATGTACAGCAAAATTAGAGGATTTCTGAATCCAGCTCATTTTAATCCAGATTAAAGCTTTTGAACGACCTGGACTTTATGGGTCTGGGCTGGGGATTTCCAAGTCTGGTTAGGGCATGTTCATAGCCACTTGGAAAGGAACATGTTCTGTGTTTGGATTTGTAACCGTGAAGCAGATAAAACATAAATGCAGCTGTGAAATGTTCAGAGAATGAGCTTGATTCCTGCAGTTTTTATAGCTCTGGAAAATCAGCGGAAATCAAATCAAACACCCTCACAGCTCAAACAAAAACCAATAAATATGTAAAAACCTCCTGCACTTACATTCTTAAACTGTCTGAATGGAACAAACTGGACGATGTCTCTCATGGCGGGCTCGCCGGACAGAGAACGCAGACGTCCATCATCTCCATCCAGGAACTCCATGGCGCTGAAGTCTGCTCCCCCAACCCCAATGATAATAATGGACATGGGCAAACGGGAAGCGCTGACTATGGCGTTGCGAGTCTCATCCATGTCTGTGATCACTCCGTCAGTGATGATCAGCAGCACAAAGTATTGCTGCAGGATGAGTAAAGCAAAGAAGAAAAACAAATGTGTTTCTGGCCAGTTTGAGACTCATCACGTCAATACCGGCATATTAACATGTCAAAAACATGCACTAACCCTCAAACCTGTGTTCAGCAAATACAGACTATGAAACCAATAAATCGCATTCTTTGTTATGACCAGCAGGGGGCAACCCACAGGTCTGAAAGAAGTCTGAGAAAATGGTTTTATTCTCAGTTTACGTTTAAATATTCATGAGCTCACCAAGATGCTTTTTTTGGTAAATGTATTAATTATGGTTCCATCTAAAGTAATTTTGACCATAAATATGAGAATTTCGGGCATGGCTGTCTTTGAGACCCACAACAACCTGTAAAATATCTTGTTCAGTGGTCCTTTGAGCTAAAACACATTCTTGAGACCCTGCAGTTTGTTTCAAAATGTCTGTTTTAAGGCTTTTGTTGCAGCCCACATTTATACCCCAGTCAATATCATAAACACGAAAAATGATGGATTCCTGCTGGAGCCAGCATTGTTGGTAACTTTGCATTCACTTTTACCTTACTCCAATGGCAAAAAAAATCAAAATAGCCACAACAAAAAAGTCTAGAAACCATCTGGTAACCTCGCAATGTCTATGTACCACATCTCACATTGTCCGCATTCTGCTAATAATAATAATTTATGCTGTTAAGTAAATCATGAGGCAGCAGGCTGAGCTCAGAGCATCTTCTCTAAATAAGATAATTCATGAAAACTAACAGGAGCATCAGCAGTTGAGCTGAGTTCTAGGTTGAGCAGGAAGCAGAGGAAACATCCTCCTTTGAATGAGCTTTAAACCCTGTTAAAAATGTGAATTTGTGCATTCACAGCTTTGAGAGTCCACGTCATTATTGTTGCTCCTGAACAGAGTAACACTCACTGATGCTGTGGTCTGTTGCAGGGCTTGTTTGGCGAAACAAGCGACGTGGTTGATGATGGGGGAGAAGTTGGTAGGTCCATAAAGTTTGACCTGAGGCAGGCAGACCCTGTAGGCCTCCACTATGCCCTCAACACCTACATAGAAACACAAATAAAAACACCTGTTAGGTGTCATCACTGCCTCCGTGCTGTGCAGAAACACACTCATTTTGGGTTCAGAACGTGTAAAAACAATCTCAACCACTTGTCAATCACAAACTAAATTTTCGTTCTGTGTTTGGGATAAGGCCGGGATCTTTAGCCAAATGTCCTTTCAAGAAATTACAGTTGAAAGTGTAGTTCCCTGTTTGCAAAGTTGAGGATTTTCACATGTAATCAGTAAAACACACCAAAATAGGATTGTCTTGGCTTTTAATCTGAATATCTGTCTCTGAATCTACAGTAAAATTTGATAATACACTTAATTCAGGACATTTTTAGTGAACAGGGATCAGGGATTTGAGCTTACGAGGCCTAAAAGAACAAAATCTAGTTCTTTTTTGGACCAAAAACTTGAAAAAAGCAACTATGATTTTATTGCACACACTGATTGTATTTTATGTTTTTAATGGTTCTTTTTTTTAACACTCAGTACTCTCTAACTCAACCATGGCAGAAACCTACATACCTGGGATCACACCTACTGTATATTAATCCACAAAAAATTAAATGTGTATAAATTGGAGATGTTGACAAGATCATATCAGGCTGTCCCAATGCACTTGTGCTGCAATCATAAACATACCTGCACAGAATGGATTTGAAGGGTTGAAATTAAGAGGAAACTCGTGGGAGACCTGTTAAAAACGAAACGCAAGATCCCACATGATAGCCAACAGTTCAACAAAGCAGCAAAGGGTGACTCAAACCATTAAGCTGACTCAAACTCAATGCATTCATAATGACAGTATTTAAGCACTTATACAGTTGCAGCCCTGTTCCAGTCTAATGAAAGTTTGCATGAATTTATGAGTTCACATTTAAGTCTTACCTGCCATGTGGGAGGAATCTGGGCTCCAAAGCCAAATGCGGGAAACATCTTGTCGCTGCACAGGAGAGAAAAACACGACAATTAACAATGGTGCTTTAGTGACACAACAGCTAAGCATTTAAATACAGTTGAAGGCCACAGCAGCAGAGACCTGGCTCTGTATGTGTGTATAAATGCCATGGTGAGCTGTCAGCTCATCAAAAGCTCATAAATGATGTGGCAACAACAAACCCTGGATTACTCCCGACATTGAGGCTCTTTTAAAGGAGAAAAAGAGGGCCTTTAAGTCAAGGAACAAAGAGAAGCTGAAGACTGTTCAAAGTGAACTGAGAGGCAAAATCAGGGAGTAGAAGTACAGCTACAGAAAGAAGATGGAGGATCTGCTGAAGGAGAACAACACCAGTGGAGTCTGTAGTGGCCTGAAAACCATCTCAGGCCACCAGGAGTCCAACTCCCAGGCAGCTGGGGACCAAAAGTGGGCAGATGAACGAAACACCTACTTTTGTGGGTTTGAGAATGTATCTGCCCTTCCCTCAGCTGTGGCAGCCCCTGCAGCAGCCCCTATCTTTTGATCCTCCAGTGCTCTGCCCAAGTCCCCGCATCAACTCCCTCCCTGCAGTATTCAGCTCACCACCACAAGCCCAACCCCCTACTGCTCCTCTTAGTTCCCCATCTGCATTCCCAGACACAAAGCCGCCCTGCTCCAGCCTGTTCCTCGTATCCCTCCAGGTGAGGAATCAGCTCAGGAGGATCAAGACCATGAAGGCGGCGGGACCAGATGGCCTTAGTTCAAGACTGCTCAGGTCCTGCTCAGACCAGCTAAGTGAGATCATTGGACATCTGTTTAACTTGAACCTGAAACTGGGAAGGGTACCACGCCCCTGGAAGACATCCTGCATGGTACCAGTTCCAAAGATTCCACAACCTAAGGACCCTAGCTGCTTCAGACGATGGTCTTAATATTATGCCTCATGAAGGCCCTGGAGCAATTGTTCCTTGCCCACCTGCGCCCCCTGGTGAGCTCATCCATGGACCCACTGCAGTTCACATATCAGACTGGCATCAGAGTGGACGACACCATCATCTCCCTCCTTCAACGAGCTCTGTCTCACCTGGAGTTGCCTGTGAGCTCTGGTCGGGTCCTTTCCCTGAACCTTAGCAGTGCTTTCAACACCATCAGGTCGGCCTTCCTGAGGGGCAAGCTGGAGCTCTCCGGAGTGGACCAACACCTCACATGCTGGATTGTGGATTACCTTACCAACCGCCCACAGTATGTGAGGACCCGGGACTGTGTTTCGGAGACTGCCCTCTGTAGTATAGGGGCCCCCCAGGGAATGGGCCATCTGCAGAAGTTCTCTAACAACTCTGCTATAATCGGCTTCATCACTGACGGGAACAACTTGGCATACAGAGAACTTGTCCGGGACTTTGTAGACTGGTGCCAGCGGAACCACCTCCAGATCAATACTGGAAAGACGAAGAAGTTGGTTGTGGACTTCTGCAGGCACCCCCCCCCCCCCCCACCCATGAACATTCAGGGAAGGGACAATGAGATGATGACATCTTACAAGTACCTGGGTGTTCTTCTGAACAATAAAATGGACTGGACTCATAACACCAACGTACTTTACAAGAAAGGACAGAGCAGGCTCTATCTGCTCAGGAGGCTGAGGTCTTTTGGGGTGCGGGGGGCACTCCTGAAGACCTTCTATGACTCTGTGGTGGGCTCTGCCATTTTCTATGGAGTGGTCTACTGGGGGGGCAGCATCACAGCAGCTGACAGGAAGAGGCTGGACAAACTCATAAAAAAGGCCAGCTCTGTCCTGGGATGCCCTCTAGAACTTGTTTATTTATTTATTTATTTATTTATTTATTTATTCATTTATTTAGACAGGACAGTACCAGTTCATGGACAAGGAGAAGGAGACATGATACAAGAAATATGTATGTCTATTCTCATTGTAAACCAGCCGGAGTTAGCTAAGGCTTGTGAAGGTGGGGGAGAGGAGGATCACAGCCCATCTGTCCTGCATGCTGGACAGTGACTCTCACCCCCTCCAACACACACTCACTGCACTGAGGAGCTCCTTAAGGGACAGGATGCTCCACCCAAAGTGTGTTATGGAGAGGTATCACAGGTCACTCCTTCCTGCAACTGACAGACTTCACAACAGAAACCTCAATGTGCAATAAACCATTTTTATATGTATCATATTAAAGTTGCCTCCAACAAGGATATACTCAGTAGGATATACCCTACAGGCCAAAAGTTTGGAAGCAAGATCAGATTTGTACAAAAAAAGATCATAGTTTCATATATATAATTTGCAACACAATAAACATGACTATTGTGTGAAGAGTAACTTATCAGAAGACATTTTGACTATAATTATTAGGTATTTGAGTTATTGTTGCTTAGACTTTACTTTCTTTAAAGTAACCTCCTCTGGCTTTAACAACAGCTTGGCATATACGAGGCATTCATTCCACAAGTTTTTTTTAAGGTATGTTCCAGGGATTGCATTCCAAGCTTTCTTAAGTTCATTAAAAAGAGACTGCTGATTCGTGGGACGCGTTTTTCTGACCGATCGATCCAATTCATCCCGCACAAGCTCAATTGGAGAAAGGTATGGAGACTGAGGGGACCAAACCATCTTTTGAAGAACACCTTCCTCTTCTTTTTTTGTCTAGGTAACCCTGACAGAGCTTGGCAGAGTGCTTAGGGTCATTGTCTTGCTGCAAAACAAACTTATGACCCACAAGTCTGAGTCCAGATGGAACAGCATGGTGCTGGAGAATGGATTGGTACTGTTCCTTCTTCATAATACCCTTTACTTAAAAAAAATCTCCTACTCCATCACCTGCAAAACATCCCCATACCATGGAACTAACACCTCCATGCTGAATTGTGGGTATAACACATGGTGCTTTCAGAGGTTCACCAGTTTGTCTGTGGACATAAACTCTGCGTTTTGAACCAAACAGTGCAAACTTATTTCTAGTTATCATAAGTCCAATTCTTATGCGCTTTTGCCCACTCATATCTCTTTTTTTTGTTCTGTGGACGAAGTAGTGTTTTTTTGCAGATACACAACCCTTCAGACCAGCCTTTCTCAAACGTAATTTCACGGTTGTCAGAGATATGGGTTATGACCTTGTCATGTTGATTTCCTCCCTTATTTTTGGTGCTGTCTTTTGCCGATCTCTCTCACTGGTGACAATGCTATGTTTATCCTCTGCTTTTGTAGTAACTCTCTTTCGTCCAGGTCTTTTTCTATCATCATAACTTCCAGGTTCCTCTAGTCTCTTCAGAGTGTAGTGGACTCTTCTGTTCAACACCTTTAGGCATTTTGCAATTTCTCTTTCTGTGTATCCTTTTTTCCTCAATGTACAAATCTGTACTTTTGTTTCTTTACTCAGTTGCTTCTTTCTAGCCATTTTTGCGGTAGTTTGAACGCAGTTGAGATTTATTAGTATTTTTGTGTGCAGACTCTCAAAAGCCAAAAAGTTGAAGTGAATAATCCAACTGTTATTTGTTTATTTGCTTTTGCACTGAAGTTGACTCTTGCAAATAGTGCTGGGCGATAGGACGATAAATATCGTGGGCACGATAGAAAATGTCTATCGTGCCATTTTTTTTTTTTATCGTTTCGGCGATAGGCTGTATTTTATCCATAGGGCTTGTGCCATCAGATGATTCATAGTAGCAACAACAATAATTGCACATTCAGTAAGTGTATTTGGTGTCGAACGGGAAACAATACAATATTTTCTTACAAAGAAAAGGATGCGTTGACATGTAGGCTCGCATTTCTCTTTCGATTTTGCGACATGATGCCGCTTTACGTGCCCTCTTCGTGTCCAGCGTCTCCCGCCGTTGCGGGTTACCTGAGTTACACACGTGAGGGGATCATTGTAAGCAGTGCTTAATTTGTGCCGGAGCAAGTCGGAGCGCGATCCGGGACCTCTTTTGATCGGATCTGGGACCTATTTCAGCCGTTACGGCACCTGTTTCATCTGCTCCGGGACCTTCCCTGTAGAGGATGACATTTTTCGGGAATTCCCGTGGGTCACGTGATTCCCGCGGGAATCCCACGGGATGGGAATCATTTTTTAATGAATCCCTTGATCGGGACGGGACGGGAAAAAAAGGCAACGGGAGTGGGCAGGAGCAGGAACAACATTAAAAGATGATCATTTTCAGCCGTGTTTAACAACCAGATGAACAGGTGCGTCCATTTTTGTAGTCATCTCTCAGTGAGAGCCAACACTCTTGATCGCACTAGCAACACAAAAGAACTGCAACAGTGGTTTGACTTCCTGTCAGCTGGGAGCGCGGCTGCGCATTTGTACCCTTCAAGCCAGGGGCGGGGAAACGTAATTTTGTGACATTCTGTAGTTTTTCAATCATTTCTGGAGTCGTGGTGAATCAAATCACCTTACCTGTCTGCCCCTGATAGGCGAATAAAGCGCTCGGATTCATGCTCGGGTCTTGCTACGTGCTTCAAGAGTAAAGTAAACAATGATGGAGGCAGAGAGCAGCTTTGGAGGAGAAACATCTAGCAGTGTGAACAACCTCTTCAAAAGAGCCCCAAAGACCTACCTTTTTAATAAAGCTTTAGGTTAGCTTTCCTTTATGCTTTTACTACCTTGCCTCTTACATTGCAACTCTATATTCTTTATTTTTTTTTATTCTTTTATGCTTTTTTATGCCAATCTGTGACTGTCATTCTATTGCTTTTTTACTGTTGCTGCTCTTTTTTTACTGTGTACTGTAGCACTTTGAGATTTTTTGTAAATGTAAAGTGCATTACAAATTAAATTTATTATTATTATTATTATTATTATTATGGAGTGCTTTGGCTCACACTATCGGCGTTTTCTGTGAGTGTTGCATAACTTTGGGTGAGCACAGACATGAACGCACTTCAGCCACGTATTTATTTATTCATTTTTCTAGTTTTAAGTGCTGGTCTTGTACTGGTACTGTACTAGTGCAGCTGTATACACTTAAATTTTTCATAGAACTGAAAGCATACCATAGCTATATCGTGATATATATCGTTATCGTGATATAAAATGATCCATATCGTGATATACATTTTTTTCCATATCGCCCAGCACTACTTGCAAATGTTTTCAACCCTAAAACTAAGCCCTTATTATCTTTTGCTGACATATATTTAGCAATGGTTTGTTAACATCAATGTATATCTAAAGGTAAATGGAGTAAAATGGTGCATTTTCATGAAAGCAACATCTGATCATGGAGTAAACACATCCCAAAATACATAAAACTCATGCTGGATTTTAAAAAAAGTATTGTGAACAAAAACTTGAAGTTACTCCCAACTGTTCGGCCTGTAATGGCCTTGCTTCCAAACTTTTGGCCTGTAGTGTATATTCTGTACACATGCATCGAAGTTTCTTCTTAATCCTTTAATTTCTCCTTTGTATTGTATTTATGCTGCTGTAATTTTTGGAATTTCCCTCAGTGGGACTAATAAAGGTATATCTTAACAGTGTATGGTCGGACTGTTGAGCACAGTGTCGATGCTCACACTGTTTGTGTTATAAAAAGGCTTGCAGCTAAGCCACAAGTTTCCTTTAAAACTCACACAGACAGAGGCCGATGTTAGAGAGATCAGCTTCAAGAGAAAATACAAATAAAGCTATGACTTTTCAGATCTGTAGTGAAAACTGAAAATGTAGAAGCTTTGTTTGAGCAGAATTGACAGTTGAGTTTTTGGACTAAATGATATTAAATTGCACAGGTGGTTGTAAGGTTACAGTTGTCCACACCTCATCCATGTGCTGTTATAGCAGGTCTGAAGTTTGAAAATCTGTATGTACTACATACCTGTCATAGTCTTGGATGACGTTGCCCACTGACCAGATAGCAGATAGGTACTCATTAACGCCCTGAGGACTGATGTAATGCAGAGACTGAGGAGAGCGAGGATCTCCATTTGAACCAGTGAAATCAATCGCCACCTGAGAAAAAACCATTAAGAGAGAGCAGAAAACCAAGTAATCAGTAAAAATGACAGTTACAGATAACTTTCCACTTTATTGTACGCACATAAATGTAAATAATTCCTACAAGAGAATCAGAAAACTTACAGTGAAGTTGATTTGACAGCCTCCCATAATGTAATCCAAGAAAGTGTATTCCTTCACCACCTGAAAGAGAAAATGTCTCATTTAGAGAAGTATAAAAACATTAACTCGGATCCCTCACTATTTCAAGACTATAAGACCACTTCACCTGGCAGAGCTTCACGCTCACAACACCAGAGTTCCTGTAGCCTTTCTTCTTCTGCTTCTTTTTACTATTGATGCATTCAAACTCGGCCTGCAGACAAATCAGGGGAGGATCAGGGTAATTGCCAAAAGATCAGGAACATTTCTGTGACGTAGTTACAATAACAACTTTTGCACCAAAAGAACGTTAATTTATCATATAATGATAGGAGTGATGGTGGGTCAAATGTTTAAACTGTGGAACAAACAAACAAAACATTCATACAGGTGATGTTCGTGATGCTTCCTGGAGGCGTGTCATTGTGGTCTCAAAGGATCCAATCAGATCATGCGATCCATCATTGTCATAGTCATAACACTCCACCTGGGAAACAGTAAATATACTTAGTTTTGAGGGAAGAGAGGAAACTGTTGAACCTTTCAAACAGCAAACACAGATACAGACACAAAGGTCAGTTCACCCAAACCACAAAAACTAATGCAGACATTACCATAAACAGAGACATGAGTACCTAATGAGATCTGTGCTAGGGTTGGGTATCGTTTGATTTTGAACGATTCCGATTCCTCGTTTCGATTCCGATTCCTATCGATTCTCTATTTCGATTATTTTAAAAGGCAGGATATTTAAAAAAATGCATGGTTAAATTAAGGGTGTTAACTGGAGTTCTTCTTTTTGGATGAAATTTATGAACTTCTCCATTAATTTTTCAAATTATATTAACTTTTTAAAGAACTTTACTATGAATTTCTCACAGGGCTATTTTCAACCAGGATATAAATATCAATTTTTGTTGTCAGGTTGTTTGTCTATGAAGAAGTACAAGGCCTAACGTTAGTTGGATATTTAAGTTTACCCACCGTACACAGTACAATTTGTTTGCCACTTCAATGTTAGCAGAAGACAGAAGTAATTTATTGTTTCACTTATCTGATTATGGCTGGTTGACCGGTGTTGTGCCATAGAATGCACCCCTGCGTAGAATGCATCCCCTCCACTCATTAGCTTCTTAAAGGGGACCTGCATTCAAAATTTCATATACATTTTTATCATTTTTTCATAATCCTTAATGTCCTCTGATCATGTTTGCAACATAATTTTAGCTGAAAAGTTATTTGATGGTTTGTTTGAGTATGCCTAAAAAACCTTACAGGAAAACCAACTGATTTTGGCTCATTAACATTTATGGTAATGAGCTTGGCTCTGATTGGATCGCTGCTGTGAAGCCTGCTGTGCTCTGATTGGCTCAGCAGTGGAGGTTCAGATTTTGGTTTATCCATTTTGCTAATGTGTGCTAAAGTAAGGTGCCCAGATGTCTGTAATGATATCCGGGGATATTCGGTGCAGCGGCAGCGGCGGGTGCTGGGGCTGCAGGGGCTGTGTGATCACAGACAAAATCTCGGTACTATTTAGTAGCAGCGCATGCCCCTTGTAATCACCCCCTTAAAAACTGTTGTTCAGGACTGCTTACTTGTGCTTCCTACCTATTCGGCTACTGTAATAACCGTTGTTCGAGCCCACACGCAACATTTTTGCTCTCATTCATGAAACGCTTAAATTGGGGACAGCTTTTGATGGGGACAGGTCATCCAATACGGGGACTGTCCCCGGAAATCGGGGACGTCTGGTCACCTTATGCTAAAGGCTAAAATGGCAGGTATTAAACCATATATTTTAGACCCAAGTCAGAAGAGGAGGTGGAAGTTGAAGAAGAAGCCGGAGATCTCCAGCGGTGTTTTCTCATTCATTCTGCCCAGCTTTAAGTTCATTTCCCCGGTGGTGAACCCAAGGAAACACCGGTCGTTTGGAAGAGACCCATAGCGGGTACAGTGGTAGCTGGGTCTTGCTCTGGCTGGAGAGTGATGTTGACTGTGAATGAGTACAAGAACGAGAGAGTGGGCACGGCTCACCGAGGACGCGCTCGTGAATAATAATGAGCAAGGTCAGCGCGACGTCAGAGGGACCTGCTTTTTCAATTGGCGTGGTTTACCCGTTCCTTTATTTTAAACCTTTACAGAATGCAAACGACGTAATGGTTTGTTTTCACGTTTACAACATAAGACGAACATAATATGGACCTTATCTGACACAAAAAACACACAAAATTACATTTTGATGGCAGGTCCCCTTTAAAGTGGAAGAAAATGATATAATAAAAAATAAAAAAACACGGGTATTAGATCATGACAACATGTCAAATGGAGCAGCAAACTTTCGTTTTGTTTTTATGTGTCTCAAAAATGCACATATAGAGGTGTACTTGGGTGTATAGACTCCACAGTAAACTGTCAAGGTAGAGAACATTATATTTTCGGGACAGCAAATATTCAGAATCAGAGGGCTATCGTGTTCGGTTTAACTGAATAGCCTGAATGAAACCATTAAAGGCACACGCTTTAGATTCCGTCCAACAGTAAGAAAAACTTATTTCACCTTGTTAAGTACTTTCAACCGCGCTCCCGTCAGGGGTGCATTCTACGACACAACACCGGCGAAGTGCATCAAGGACGAGCACTCGGGTATTTCTCCTCCATGAATCCTGAGGTGTTTAATTATGTTGGCCGTGCACCCTCCTTTTCATGATATAACTGTATTGCTAATGTTGCACTGAGATAAGAGTTCATTCCTCCTGCTAAAGTTAGACAAACTTTTGACCAACAAAGAAGAGGCCGCCGAACACCAAGTGGACGGAGCGTATGAGACGAAGCCAAAGAGAGAGCGAGAGAGAAGAGAGACAGAGAGAGAGAGAGAGAGAGTGCATTACAACCCACAGCGGCTGCATTGCTGCTTCTTTATTGGTGTTCGCGGGTATTTCTTCCAGTCGGCGGACTCTGGCATCGAAACTTGGAATCGAAATTTTAAATTTTGGAACAAATGTTAGTCCCGATCCCCATCGATACTCGATTCTCGATACCCAACCCTAATCTGTGCATTATCCAAAACAACTGTAACTCTGTTTGTGTTCAACGAGGCAGATTTGTAAAATCTCAACAATAAAACCCAGATATCTGCAACACCAGATGGTGTTCAAGTAATTGTGTAACTGAGAGAACTAACCCTTAAAAAACTGGAGGCAGAGAAGATAAAAGAAACACAAACGTGCAAAAGTGAGACTCAAACACAACTCTTTTCCATAATCAAACAGATGCTGGAAGTAGGATGACAAATGAGAAAAGATGGTGTAGTTTAGATGAATGCATCAAGTTGAATGAAGAAAACCTCAGCCCTTTTGACATTGCCAGTTCAAGCTGAGATATTCGCGTCCTGTAACGTCTGACCATATATGTAAACGCCACAGAGGTATGTTAGTAGTAACAAGTTTTCCCACCTCTCTCCAGATACTGATGGTAATAAAAGAGGCGTTCAGTCAAAAGGATGTTGCTGTATAACAGAGGAGCAGGAAGGGTGGAACAGTGCTGTGTGTGTGATTTGACTATTTTCCTAACCACGTATTCTATAGATAATTCTGGTGTTAAATCAAGTGTTCTGATAAGATATTTTTTACTTTTGACAGTACTGAAAAGCACCAAAACTTCAGCAAAAAAGACCTCATGCTTAAATTTCCAACCAGAAGCTGCTGCAACTGAAAGAAAGCAAGTAATGGATCGGAACAGAGAGAGATAGTGCTGGTGGAGTGATTAACCTGGTAAAACTGAGAGGGTAGGTGTTATATTTGAATTGTATCACAGCATTTACAATCTCCTGAGTTTGCTAACACCTGGACACCTCATGCTGGAAGGTGTAGGATTTGGTTTGCTCCTAACTAAGGTTGCACTTCCTGCCTGCTGCATGGGTCTGCTACACCCACTGTCACAGCCAGTGCACCACCAACTCCTTATTCACAAACAGGCAAATACAGATGTTAAGTTCAAGGTACATTTTGTAGAATTTGGTGTCATTTTTCCAAGGAAATTAAGCATATTCTGCAAAAGTTAGTTGAATTGGTTTATATTGGATGGAAAATCACTCTCTTTAGTTTTGAAGAAACCTTTTTGGTGGTATCATACAAAAATCTCTGGTATTCAGACCACTGTACAGGAACGTTTGCATGCAACTGGTATATCATTATATTCACAGGGATCCCCTTTTCTGGCCTCATTGCAGGAGGTCAGTCCTAATGCCCTGTTTCACAGTGCATGACCCTTTAAATTATACAATTTATTTAAAATTCATAAATCAACTTGTTGGGGTATGATGGGGGTGTTTTGCGTTTGATTAATCTAGGCTACTGTGGGCTGTGTAGGTTACTAATGCAGGGTGTAATATAACTTGCACTATAAAAAGGGCTGGAGAGTGCTGGAGACCCTCCTGCGGCGATGCCCTCCTCACACACTCCACCTTCTCAGTGATGGTGAGATGAAGAGAGACAAACACTGTAACACGCTGGGTAACTCACTTGAACTGTTTGTTTGGAAAACAGCTTCCTTCCTGACATGTTTGCTTTAAAAGTTAGAAAGTAAAATTTGAACATCAACCTGAAAACTCTATAGTCAGTCCATTTTCTTTGATGTAACTCAAAGAAAAATTATTATTTGACCTAAAAACTAACATTGCATTATGTCATAATCAAGGACAGTCATCAAAAACATGATTGATGCAGTTTCAGGTCAGTGGAAGGACATTATTTCATGTGTGTAAGTAGCTAGGCCTAAACAGATGTCAATGTCACCTTAATAGGTTTGTCCATGTCTGCTCCACAGAGAGACTGCAGGGGGATTCGAAAAGGTCTCCATGTTGGATTTAAGTTGTTCTTCACCACCTGAGAAAATAAAGGAGGACAGAAAAGTGCAAAGTACACTGACAAGATCCCCTTCAGATGGATCAAATACCAAAGGTACAAAAAAAGTTGATTTTTTTTTTTCTAAATTTAAATTTAGCATAAGAAACAGTCCAGAGACGGCAATAAACTGATGGCCTCATGGCAGTAATTTGAAATCTGGTTTCTGGCAGCCAAAGCAAAGATCTATTCATGTCAATATTCACTGCAAGCTTACCTCTACATGTGATGAATTGTTAGACATAAACTGCATGCGATTTCAGGGCACTTCTAATATGAGTTTGCTTATAAAAGTTAACCTTCAGCACATTTGTTCCGCTTAAAAGTGATTGTTAAGTCTGTTTTACATAACAGTGTGCTTCAAACTTCCTCTTATTTAATATTAATATTATAATAATAATAACTTCATTTGCATAGCACTTATACAAACAACTTGCATAAATAAAAACAGCTGTTCTTCTGTTTTCTAAGGGATTGACCTCTGCTTCAAACTAATATGAGCATGAGAAAGATACTTGTGTTTGTGTTAGCCAAATTGCTTTATGTTTTGTGGGTAAGAATAACAGAGTGGTTAATGCAGACATCTCCCACAGTCGTTTTTCTGGTGTCATGCTGTCCCAAGTTTTAAACGCTATGTCATGCAGGATGAGCAAGTATCTCCAGTTTGCGCGCATTCAGGACGCAGTAAATGTCACAAAACACAGATTTTATGCAGTTGCTGGCTTCCCCAAAACGATAGGTGCAACTCCATGTCTTCAAATTTCATTTTTCATTTAAGGCTACTCTGCTCTCCCAAACTCTCCACGGTGACAGCCGGTAGCAAACACAAAATCCTTGTATAAAGAAGGCGGTCTGCTTCACTTTTGCACCTGTTATCAATTGCGCACGCAATCAAAGTGGATCATCCCACCAATAGCATGTGCAATTGTTCAGTTTGCACACGCAATTTAGAACGCTTTATTTGGGATATTAGTAGATCAGGCCCTAAATGTTCTGATTTGACTGATGTTAATGCACATAACTGTTATTTTAGAAGCTGGAAAGAAACACAGCTTTCTGATAACTTGTTCTTTTCCCCACACAGAAATGTGTTGAGAGTAGAAACCAAAAAAGGAAGTCCAAAGTTAAAGGTAAAATCAAATGGTAACTGTTCCCTATGTAAAAGCTGTACTTGAGTTGAACAAACGGACCAACTGGAAGACAAGCTTTACTTGTATGATTCTCTGTACCTCTGTCCTGTGAGCCAGCTGCCAGCCAGTTGCTGTCTGTTTGTAAAACTCCAGGTATGGATCAGATTTTCCAAAGAAATCCTGTTGATGAATGAAAACAACTCAGTAAGTTCAATGAAACTGAAATTCAAAAAACTGTAGATTGCTATTGTGTTTTCAAGAGGGATGATTTCACCTTGTTATCCAGTTTCCTGGCTTCTGCTTCAAAATTCACCACCCTGTTATCTTTTATTTCTTCAGCGCTGATCTGAAACAGAGAACGAATGAATAAGTGCAGAAAAGCTAGTGATCAAAGACTGATTCATCTGCAGTTTCATGCCACTCACTGTGATGGTCCCTTTTCCTGCAGGATGTTTGTTCTTCATGATGAGAGGTCGAGTCAGTTTTTTACTGGACACCACCTGTAAAAAAGTTAGCAAGTGGGCAGTGAATACTGAACTACAAGCTGCAGTGCAGACAATAAGCATAAACCACACAGCAGGTTATAGACCACAACACATTTATCATCAAGAACAATCCTGTAGTGTGAACATCTGTGGTCAGGTTACACTAAAGAGAGGTGACAAAGAAACTGCTTATCAGAGATGTTAACTCCAATCTCTATCATGGCAAAACAAAGGCCCAGTGTTACACCAAAGCATGTCTCCTGATGCAGTGTTTCCCCTACATTCATTGAATTACGTCCGCTGCTAATGAAATTTCACCTGATCATAATATATCATTAATATTAATGCGCCACTAATGATTTCAACTCACGCTGTGTGAGCACAACAACACACGTTATTTTCAACTTGTTTTGAGTCATCTACAAGCACATCAAATCCTGTCTGACCCTCTTCCATTCATGTGAAGGGTAACGTTCAAGCTTATGCACGGTCTATACAGCAAGAAGCGTGGGAAACGTAATGTAATGTGAACGTAATAGCGTAGCTCCTGAGCGGCAAGAGAGTGGGGTAAACAGCGAAAATCCCCCTCCCTGGACACAGCAGCGCCACTGCTGAAGAAAATCATAGGGGAAACACTGTGATGCTGTCAGCTTATAAAGCATCCTTTACTTAGATTGAACCCATGACTGTTAGAGCTTAAAATGACATAATGTCAGCCAGACAAAAAGGCTAAACCGATTTAACATGTTCTGACATACAGGGGGGAGACTGGGGTAAGTTGAGCCAAAGGGTAAGTTGAGCCAGCCCCTGTTGCTTGGAAATGGTAAAAGAAATTGATCATGTGACCAAATATTTACGAGATGGGCATCAATTCATGGAGTCTGTGAAGGTTAGAAGCACATGGGTGAGGGGTTTAGACATTAATTTCCAAAAAAAGAAAAAAAAATTCACTCTTGAAAGCGAATTTAGTCTGTCATAAGTTTTATTAGAATTGTGTTTAGACCAAAAAAGATCATCATAAATGTGTTTTATACATCAGTCGTGGTATCTATGAGCTACAACATGAGGTCAAAAACCTAACATAAAAGTCCACCATTTTAGCTTAGAGGACTAATTGAGTCATAATAGCAGTTCTGGAGTAAGTTGAGCCATTTGGCCAGGGGTAAGTTGAGCCAGTGGCTCAACATGATAAGTAAAGGAGTATGATGAGAGGATCAAAGTTTCAGTTCAGATTGCTGAAATGTGTTACTTTTTCTTTTCAAAAATACAGCTGTGAATGTTCTGAATCACTTAAAGGCATTCTCATGTTAAATGTTTTTTTTTTTTTTATAAAAAAAAAAAAAAGCTTTTTAGCAGTTATATGCAATAATAATAAAAAAATATTGTACCTGTTGAATAACATATAATAGACAAAAATAGATTGTGAAGAAGTGACTGTTACTTAGGGAGAGAGAAGGTGAGAAAGGGCTGGGTTGGAAATTTGGAGGATAGTTGGGGGGTAGTACGGATACGGCTAAACTTGCCCCGCTCCTATGCTCAACTTACCCCCTGTAAGATACCTTTTTTTTGGCATGCTATATTATCAAGACCGATATGTTTACACTCATTCTGCTGGTTTGCAGGGATGTTCAGATACACTAGTTAGAGACAAAACTATGATTGCCTTGATGTAGTGATCCGAAATATGAAAAATGGCTCATCTTACCCCAGTCTCCCCTACTCGAAAAAGTTATGTGTTCTGCAAGAAAACGTAATTTTCCTGCCAACAAAATCATCTTCTGGATGCATAAAAACATGTCTTATTTAAATAAACAACATAAACTTGTCAGTTGAGAAAATGAAAACCTTTATCCACTGAAGAAATACAGACTAGCCATTTCACCCTGACCGAGCATGGGCTAATATTTACTCGGAAACACAGTCATTTTTCCAGGAGACAAAGTCTTACCTGACCCAAGGTGCACTCCAGTTCCCCCAGAAAGTCATCATCACTCAGGTCAATGGTTTTATTGTCAATGTCGTAAATCCCGAACTTCAGTTTTTGAACTATTTCAAAATAGTAGTCGATGGCAAACTTCTTCGCAAACTTTGGACTGAGGCAATTCTGGACTTTCTCAGTGCGCTCCACCTGTTAAGAAAAGGCAGATAAATAACACTGCTTTAAAAGAACACAATAGAACGAATGGACTCATAAAACAGGAAGAGGATATTGAGTAACTGCAGCTTTTTATCACAAAACATATTTAAAAAAAAAAAAACAGAGTAGGGACAACAAAACTGACTAACTTGTGTTGCTCTTAACACCAAAGACAATTTTATTCCATTAATTTTAACAAGTTAGCAACATGACTGTGTAACAGAATCCCGATGGGCTGAGTCTCTCAGAAGGAAAAATGGGGAAAAGATTCATTTCTCTGTGAGAGACTGTGTAACCGAATAATTTAACTCCAGATTGACATTCTTCAGAATTAAAATTTGAAATTACACCTTCTCCACAACAAAATTTCATTTAAAGACTCAGAGAACCTGGAAGAATCTCTGCACAAATAGGACAGGCCAACAACTGATAATTGACAAAAAACAATGATGGCACTGTTATTGTATTTCAGTTTTAAACAGCCAAGGATTCACATCTATTTGTATATTCAATATTTCACATATTAGTACTGTTTCATCAACAAATAATGTACAACTGAGTTCAAATTATTGTGTACAAGTTCACATTTCCACCAAGAAAATAAGATAATACGTACAGTACACAGGCCCCATCTTTTTATATCATAGATCTTCCAGATATTTTTTTTTAGATAAGCCTTGCTTAAATCATTTAAAAAATAATCTATAATAATCATATTTTTCCATGTCCCTTCACATTTACAATTAGGTAAATGTCTATCTGTCTGTGATTTTTAGGCCTTCAGGCAGCACTGTATCAAAAGCAGCCATGAATCTTTAGTTGAAATCACTGCATAAGCTTAAAATCACATCTAAAACCTGTTGTCTCTAAAGAGTTTGCATCCATGATTGTGTGTTAAAACTGTACTATGCAATGAAGAAACCATGAATAAGAATGATCCAGAAATGCCAGGGGCTTCTCTGGGTATTTTCAAGATACATAATTTAAGATCCTTCTAGTATTGCAAGTCATTTGGAAGCTTGTTTTGAAAATAACTCTTAACACCACTGTAGAAATATAAACTGTAAATCCATCATCTGAGTCAGTAGGCCATTGGACTGACCTCATACCACTGGGAGTCAGAGCTGCTCATTAAGAGGACACACAGTGGGTCAGACTTGGAGCCAATATCCCTGTCCAGCAGGTTGTCACAGGAGACAGTCAGCTCCACCTTGGTCACACATTGAGCAGCCATACCTGCGTGATAGCAAGCTACAGAGAAAAACAAAACAGGCGTTACTGTGTTAGAAACATTTATTAACATCCATCAACAATGGTCTATTCGTGCATAACACTATTGATTTCATGACTTAAAATTTACTTATACCGGATATAACAAAGAACAGATACCACCCACCGTTATGTGTTACCTCGAAATACCACCACCTTAGGCTACAGATTACCAAACATAAAGTTTTGCTTTCGGTATGTTATTTCAACAGCCTAGCAACACACTCACCAAAACGGAAACGAATATGAAATTCAGAAGTTATAGTCCTGCTCGTAAGCCCTATTTCCGTCCACACAGGGTGGATAATTAACTTCAATGGGTTTAATGGAAAATGTGACTTAATCACCGCACAGGTAGTAAGAGCTAATGAGACACAGCGGGTGTACCGTCTCTTTAATCATCCTTTATATTTGCCATTTTGCATACTGGAAGGAAACTTCGACGTAAATTGGTCATCTGAAGTAGTGGGATTTGCGGGGACTCATAGCGTGTTTGAAAAGCGACTTTTAAAACCGGAAACACCCAGGCATTCGGTCGAAAGGTCACAACACAGGTAATGAGGGAAAAAGCTAGCCTGGCTGGGCCATCCAGTTGCGTGAATCACTTGTGGGAAGGAACGGCAAGTGATTCTCGCAACTGGATGGCCCAGCCAGGCTAGGAAAAAGCAGCAATGGACTGTTAGTGACCTCAGACTTTTATGTAAAACAGCTAACGGGCTAAATAAGCTATTTCGAAACCAGGTCATTCAACAATTAAACATCTCAAACACCAAGCTGTAAACGTACACAAACTCACCGTCACTTGATATAGATGTTGTCCCAAACTCGCAGAACAAATACTGTGCTCTGTGAAAGTAAGGGCTTGAACTTACCACTCGACAGGGTGGTAAACGCCTTTTTTGCTCTCAACTCCCGCGATAACCTGTGATGTTGGGTCTAACGTAAGCTTTCTGGCAAGCGGTTTAACCATTTAAGAGGCGAACGATTTTTGGTGCGTTCAACTCAGACTGTCACAACAGACTACCATATATCAAATAAACCAGGAAAACCCCAAGATGCATTATAAGTCATTTAAAAGTCACTTGCACTGCTCGGTATTCGTCTCTGCTGATTTTTCCGTACAGAAAACTGGCATACATTACGTTGGCACCTGGTAAGTTATATTGATTATTAAATAATATCAGGTTTCAGGAAAGATTTACTCTTGTGATATTGTCCTATGGGATCTCTGCCTATTTAACTTCGTCTCTCTCAGTTGGTGTCTGTGTGTAAATTGGATTTTGTTTATATCGTAACCTGATAGTTCACTGAAAGAACTAACCTCCAAAACTGTGGGAAAAAAGGGACAGTTCTAGCTGCAGACCTCCACTCAGAGGAGCCGCTCTCCTGAGAGGACCCGACGTGACGTTTTTTCTAACGTGCTTCAGTTTGTTTTAGGTGGTCATCCCGTTTTGTATTTTGTCTTTGTTGTACACACGAATACACACAAAAACATATTAACATTATATACATAAGATGAAGCCCCAAGAAAAATCATATCAACACAAGAGAAAAAACGTGTACTTCCCAGTGTAATCGCTTTTCATTTTAAAGGTTTCGAATCAACTTCGGACGTAAACAAAGAAACGTACTCTGGGTGTGTTTGCTTTTATTTTGAAGGGCTTCACACAACTTCCGGTCTGGTCAGTGGAGGTGGGTCCTCTGAGTGGGTGTCTTTTCAGGGGAGTACTTTTTTTTTTTTACCTCAGAACTAAATTAAGACACAAGTCCTTGTGATTGAAGTACAATGAGTTCCTCAAAAAGTCCCTCGTTACAAGGGAAAGTTGATGCAATCGAAAAGTACCTCAGAGAACCTTGCAATCAACTGTCATTTCAAAAATTAGCAGTGTGACAGCCCAGACTACATTGTGGTATTACCATAGACTGTATATACGAGTATGGACAACTTTGTGCTGCGTCCGAATTGCCCGCTCGGACACTACATGCTACTGCTACATGCTACTGCTAGATCCTACTCCTACATATTAAACACGTTGGCCCAATTCGGACACAATAGATGAGCGGTGGGGAAAGACGACCCCCGCAGGCAGAGAGTAGGTACTGCGCCCGTGCAGACAGTGGTAACTGAAGCCCCTCATCTGCTGGCCTGGCTGTAGTACTGCAGCTGTGCAGTTTAATGATGGAATAAGTGAGCTTTACCTCCATGATGTCGCCACATATTTGCTCATAAAATGATTACTTGGGCAAATATGACACCATGACATGACAAAGAGATACAACCGCACATTTTTTAGGACAGTGTGTGAAGTTACATGAAACTTACATCTGTACTGCTGCGGTCCCGCCTGCTGCTGCTCCGACATGGTGCGCGCTGCTGTGGCCAGCCGGCATTCGCGACACATCTAAATAGGCAGCAGCTGGTGGCGCTAGCATCACATGCGCTTCTACAACTTTTAAGAGGACGAAGAAGAAGCCCGCGGTGCATTTTGGGTCAGTAGCATGCCCGTAGGATGCACCGCGACCAACCTACAATGTGGGCGTGTCTAGTATCTGAAGTAGTATCTGAAGTAGCATGCTACTCGCTCCGGTGGCCAATTCGGACATGCTAGATACTACTTCGACTACTACTTGGCAATTCGGACGCAGCTAGAGTCTGCCTCCTCGCTGGGTGAAGCCACTCCGAGAACAGCACCCTCTGATGGTGGGCTGCAGTACAGATCATAAATCCCGCTTCCGCCAGCAAAGCTTATGGGACTGTGGTCAAACTTTAGAAATTTATTACACAGAACATAATTTTTTCTCCCCCCTGCTTGTGATGTTGACATGTAGTTATTGTAAGACTGGTTTGTGCCCAAGTCCTTTTTTTCTGTACAGCTCCGTTTTTAAAAGTTATTAGGGGTTCATGTTTTCTATGATTGACACCTGGTACAGCCTATGAGCGTTCAAGGATTGCGTAGCTCTCCCGGGGGGATACGCTGTTTGAGCCGAGCGTCATCACAGGGACTCTCGGCGACTGCGCGGCCGAATGCGAATGAGCTTTTTGGCTTCAAATCCGTATACAGGCGGAAGGCGGAACCACGTTGTCCATCTTATATACAGTCTATGATTTGAAGCCAAAAAGCCATAGACACAATAAAGAGTAGACGCCGCTGGGGGTGCTGCGCAGCAAGAAATACGGCCGTCATCTTGGTCCGGTCAGTCATATTCATTCATTCAGCGATGCCGGAGCACTGTGCGGCGTATTCCTGTGCCAACAGGCGGACAGTAGAGAACAGGGCTCAAGGGATAACTTTTCACAGGTGGGATTAAACGTTTTTTCAACATTACACTTGACTGTAGAGTCATTTGGAGGCCAAGGAGGAAGACTATCGGCCAACTCCAAAAAGGAAACAGCATTTGCAAAGAGCTAGCTTATTCACAATAATAGCAACTTTGCTCTATTATCAACAGATTTGCATTAGATTGAAAAACTTTTGTTTGAGAGAGGTTCTAAAAAACGTTAAGAAATAAAATAGAAGGAAGAAGAAAGAAAGTGAGCTCTGTTTTATTTAAGATTTCTTTGTGGAGATCTCCTGTTTCATTTTGAAGATTTCCTAAGGACAAAAATTTGAGGAAGAAGTGGGAGATTGCTGTAAGGAGGGAGAAATTCACAGCAAGTGATTCCTCTGTGCTGTGTAGCCAACACTTCAAGGAAGCAGAATTTGACAGGACGGGACAGGTTGTTAGCATTAGAGATGGCGTTATTCAGGCATGAAAATCTCTCACCTTTCGGCGAAATTCGCCGTTTTGAAGTCAAAAAGGGTGACCTACGTGAATGGTGTAGATCCGAGGAGAATTTTTTTTTTTTTTTTGGGGGGGGGGGGGGTCGGGAGATTTTTTTTTTTATTATCGTGATTGACTTAATACGTAAACTGAACACTTCAGAAATCGGCCCTTTAAATGACACTTGGATGGTCAGCAAATCCTCCTGGCTCCTTCGCTGACGAGAACCAATCATAGGCCAAACTGCGTTCCATTATTCCAATCATGCGCACACTCTTCACATGTGCTTGGAGTGCTTGGAGAGCCTGTGGTAGCATTGCAAAGCTGCGAGAATGAGAAGCAGGACTTATCCACGCCGGTGTTGTGCCATAGAATGCACCCCTGCCGTAGAATGCCCCCCAGACGAGAGCGCGGTTATAACAAGGCGATCAAGTCTCACGCTTTCAGCGTGTGACACACGCATTCCCACCCGTTCACACGCTCACACGCCACAAATTGTATTTCTCACGTATTTATTTGAACATGGTGATGTCCACAAAGTTGCACCTCTGTAACAATGGAACAGGTAGAAATCAACTGAGTTCCTCCAAGAGTTCAGAAGCTGCGTGCCACGCGCAAGCCAATTAATTAAAGTATATCGACTGAACAGCCAATCAAAAAGCCACATTGCTGTATCCCGGTAGATTTTGATATCTTGCGGTTTGACTACAGAAGAAGACAGACACTCGTCGTAAAGGGGTGTTCAGACCAAACACGACCAGGTCGCGTCGGTCGGTCACGTCGCGTGGCGCCCTGGTGTGTTCACAACGGGTCCAAAGCTGCAACGCTTCTCCTACCTTCCTTCTCCCTCATATATACATCCCGCAGCCCTTTCCAGTGCTTGCGGCACACACACATACGTTGAAACATGTAGCCTAGCAAGCAGGGGAAGTTTGCTATGTTTTCAGAAAATAGTCTGCTCACTGAAACAAATAAACGACCAGAAAGCCCGAAATCATGGGCCACCTTCGCCCATGCCTCCTCCTTGGAGGTGCGGTCCCGGTAAAACGCGCACCCCACGTCGTACAGGACCGGGTGATAACACACGGCAGTGATAAACTGCTCCTCCATTGTGATTCTTCTTCTCCTCCTCCCTGCTTCGCCGGTTTGTTGACGTCAGCAGAGCCCTGATTGGCTGTCGTGGCACGGAGTCGCGGATAGTCGCTCCCAAAGTTCATATATTTGAACATTGGGAGCGACGCGACTTGGCGACCTCGGCGACGCGACTTGGCGACCATGCGCGACCTGGTCGCCAAGTCGCATCAGGTCGCATCGCAGGCAGCCGGCGGTCGCCAAGTCGCGTCAGGTCGGGCCTGTCCATAGACTTTGCATTGGGAGCCATTGCCGAGGTCGTGTTCGGTCTGAACACCCCTTAACTTTTAAAAACGGAGCTTCACAGAGAAAAGAGGACTTGAGCACAAACCAGTCTTACAGTAACTACATGTCAACATCACAAGCAGGGGGGAGAAAAATGTATGTTCTTTGTAATAAATTTCTAAAGTTTGTCCACAGCCCCATAAGCTTTGCTGGCGGGATTTATGACCTATATTGCAGCCCATCAACAGAGGGTGCTGTTCTCAGAGTGGGTTCACCCAGCAAGGAGGCAGACTGTCCATTCTTTATACAGTCTATGGGTATTACATTTTAGAAATCCATAGGAGCATTGCTTCTTGTTGAGTCTGTAGTCTCACTCGTAACTGGATTGTAGATATCTGTAGTAAGAGGTTCGTCTGGGGAAGAAAAATATTCTGAAATTCAAAGCCCAACGGAAATAAATTGAAAAGGTGTCATCTGTATAAGGAGACAAGGAGGACATTTATCTCTGAGTATCCAGTCTAACAATTTAGTTATGAAACCACCAGCCATATGCCAAAAGTAATCTGTCAATATGTCTACATTTAATACCAGTACATCCTCTCCTTACTTCAGATTTATTTGATCTCATTCTTTTCAGGAAGTTTGCATATGTGTTACTCAGTTATTCATTCAAAAGTACAAAATATCTTTTGTGTACCAAACAAACAAAGGCTATAATGACAAAAACCTCAGGAACAGCATGAACAGTGTGGGAACTCACAAGTTCATGCTAATCATTTAACCATCACATGTTCATGCTAATCATTTAATCATTGATGACAATCATTTAATCATTGTTTCAGGTAATTAACTGTTTTCTTATTGTATTTACATTATTTTGTGTGCTCATTGCGGACATGTACTGATGAGTCAGATAAGAAGGTTTAATGCTAACACGGGGGCAATTGACCACTGTGTCACAATGTATAGAACAGAGACTTTCAGTATAGAAGGATTTTAGCTTATGCCTAGAAGTGCCTAGGGTTGGTAAGTATGGTTTTAAACTGTTCTGCCTTAACCGTCATTTATTTGAAGTGTGTATTATAATCATAACAGTCATTCATTAAAAGTGTTCCTTATAAAAGTGCTCTATGACCCTGACATATGCCTTAGATAATGATGTGCCTTTCATAACAGATGTGCAGGTGCTAGTCAGAGATGTGAACAACAGGACGAGGGAGGAAGATCACTCTGTCCTGAGAAGATGTGGAGGTGTAAAGGGAGGGTTTGCATGCCCAGCAGTCTGCCCAGTGGGAACTCAGTGAAAGCTTGGAATACATGACGCAAATATGATAAAAAGGAGACAAGCACTGGATGCATCCAAGGTCAACTTCCCTGAAACCACGGTTTCGGTCAGGTAAAAAAATAGAACAATACGTGCTTGTTTGTCCATAGAGAAACACTGGGGACTGCTGGTTATGTAAACTCTCCGCCCAAAAAGATGATGAGACGCCTCCTAGGGTATAACTATTAACTACTGAAAAATAATAGTAAAAATAGTCAGACCACCTCAGAGATACCATTGGGTTGATGTTTTGCTCTCCAAGATATCTTGTGTTATTTGGTGTGCCGAAATAAAAGGTTTGTTGAAGACACCTTTTTGCCTCATTGAATCCTCTGTCCCAGTCTCCATCAACGGACTCGGGGAAGTTTGGAATAACTTCAACAACAGTCAAAGTTTAGCAGAAAATTATCAATCAAATCCAAGCTAAAAGATCTGCTGTGGAGAGAAATATCTACTCATGTGAAGCTACAGAGCTGACTCAAAGATGAAACAAAAAGTTAAGAAAATAATCAGCACCCTCTGTAAAAATACATACAGATTTTTAATGTCAGAAGACAAAGGCAGCAATACAAACGTAAAAACTAGTCTTTCAAATAAAATAGCAATACCAAAGTGGTAAAATCTGATTTATTTCTTAATCTGTTTATCTTGTTAACATCAAATACTGATCATCAGTATATCATCAAATCAGTGGCAATCATGCATGGCAAAGATAGGTTTACTCTATAAGACAATGCCACAGGGACCGATATAAAAAAAACAATTAAGATACTGTTTCAACACAAAGAGAAATGTACTAGTAGATTCCTATAACAGTCAGTAGAGTGGGAGTTTAAATTCCTTTTTAAAGACCCACTCTGAGGGAAATAATGTTTTTCTTGTTTTTTATATGTTCATATGGCATTTTTCTAAAGCTACAGGACATATCATGAGAAAACTAAATATGAAATAGCTTTTCTGAGTATTTCTTCGTTCAAATCACTGTGAATCTCTGGCAGATCCAAACGACAGGTTCAGAAACAGTGAGCGTTCATACGCAACCAATCCAAGCTACGTAGCCCTGCTATGCAGGCCACACTCTGCATATAGAGGAGAAATAGAGAGGACGATCGTGGAACAAGCATGTGCTTTAGCAGATTGCAATGCTTGTAAGAAAGCTTATTATGATATTAGCTTTCATCGTATCCCGAAAGACATCGGTGTCCGGGAGCTGATAGCTCCTATGTTACCTGCCACTTTAGCTGCACAGGCAATGTTAGGCAGCAAACTAACGTAAAGACCAGTGTGCAGAGCAGCGCTGTCTCCGTCCACGACTCAGAGGTGAATTGCTAATGAGCTACTGGAGCTCTGCAGAAGAAAAGTCCTTGAAAATGACACAGGTAGCGTGATTTTTAGTAAAAAAAACAAAACAAAAAAAACTCATAATCACAATTGAAAGACCACTGAGAACACTTGGTAGTATAAAAAAAAACGATCGGAGTGGGACTTTAAAACGCAGTGAATATCTAACCTACATAAGTGTAAGCGTGCAGTAATTAGTCACTTATAACAAATACTTTCAGATAGCGCCTTTGAGTTCATTAGACATGCCACTGAATTTAAATTAAAAAGAAACTAAAGCAGAAAAATCAACAGAAATTGCACTATATTAAAGTTTTCTGTCGTGTAAATCTACAAAAGGTTTTCAGTCAAGCAAACCCGTTGATCCATAACAAAGGCAACCAGTCTGTAAACATGTCTGAAAAATATTCATGACTTCAGAGGTAAACGTCATTTTGCATGAAAACGTAAAAAAACGCACAAATAATCACTTTTTCATGAAATACTGGAGGAAATATTAGCCGGAAACTGGAGAACAGATGCAAATGTGACTGATAGTCTGACCAGTGAGAAGGCTGATATTAGCTGCCTTACTTTTTCCAAACAGACTTTAGGGGTGTACTAGTGATGGGCACGGCAGTGCTTTTAGATGTACTGAATCACTAGAATCAGTTCACTAAAAAGATTCGTTCACCAAATCACTGAATCATTCAGCACTTGGCAGGAGAAGCCTGCGACTTCGACCTCCTGAACTGATAAAGAGCTGAATGTTACAGGATTCAGCTCAATTCATAGCCGCTGGGACCAAAAGATGAGAGTGTTTGGCTGTGTTGCTTTGACATGCAGGTTTATAAAAATGAACTTGTTTATAAGCCATGATGTTTTAAGTGTACTGTCCTATGGTATGCTATTTATTAAGTCTGCTCGGTAAATTGGGCTCAGTGAGTGATTCATACACTGAACGTTTAGAAGAAATTAAACTGAACATGCACCCTTCCCTCGCAAACCGCTGCAATGATGGGATGCTGCGGTTTAATGCACTACTGGTTAAATGCTGTGTCCTATTGTATGCAAGTGGTTGTGATGGCAATTTAGCAGTAAAAAAGGTAGTTTGTTCGAAAAAAGTGATTCCAGAGAGTGTCGTTCAATGTGTGATTCATTCACAAAGTGATTCATACGGTTCCTCGTTCGCCGTCTGCTGGCCTGGCAATTCTGTTTCTCACTTCAGCTCAACTTAAATGAGAAACGAACAAATCCCTTGAGGAAGTGATTCGGTTCAGTACATTCACTTAAAAGATTTGGTTCTTTTAAACAAATCATTTGTGAACGACACAACACTAGGGTGTTCTACAGAGATGAGAGGCCTAACGGGGTTAAGTTGCATTTTAAATCAAAGAGACTTCAACGTCATGAAACTGGCTCATTTTTTTTCCTAGCTAGACCACCATAGTAACTAGTTGGGACTAGATTTTACTCTGAGGTTCTGTCTTTATTTGACACAACAGTGCTGTTAATTAATAAGATAATAACAGGGTTTTTAACAGCAGGGGTCCATAAAGTGGGAGAGGGAGGAAAACACAAAAAAATAAAACTGTTGTCAAGCTGTACCTGTCCCCTACTGGCCTGCACTCACAATCAGCCTGAGCACCATTGCCTCACATGCATACATCATCAAACTTTGATCTGTCTCATGCATGGCTTTATGTCAGTATGTAGTACCCTAAGTTTACAAGAGATGAACATAATGGACAACAATAGAGAAAACATGAACAACTTTACTGACGTTGTGGTTAAGTAGATCTGGGTGGACATAGTCCCCTAACGCTTCTGGATTTCTGATGTAGGGCTGGGTAATAAACCAAGTTTTTACAGATACCAAGTTTACGTCAATAACCAACGTTGTTTTGCCCATATTAGTATATTCGGTGTCAAAAAAACAAATAAATAAAAGTTGGTTTTGGGTGTGTGTAGGTAGGCTATGGTCTCATGTCCCTTTAAGACGCTCTCATACGTCAGAGACGTGACTCCACCCCATCCAGTCTGTAACAAAGACGAAAAGACAGGTGAGGAGATGGAGGATTGTTCAAAAGTTGGAGCGGCGGCTGAAGTAGATGAAGTTAATGTGGGAGGGGGTGAGCAGCTTGTGGAGTAGTTATAATCCATTTATCGTTATTGAGGTGAACTGCTCAATATATCATGATATTGTTTGAGGCCATATAGCCCAGCCCTATTCTGAAGTATGCACAGCTGTAATTTTACCATATCAACATTGTTCCTGCATGAGCAGTCGTACTGTGACAAAGCCCGCCTGTTCTCACAGTGCAAGGGTCAAGAAGGAGCACCATACTTAAGCGTGTTATGGAGAATTTGCACTAGTCAACCAAATTGCAGTTTGGAGGTGAAAAGTGCTTCGGTATGGTAGAAATTGCCTCGTGTGAGTGCAGCCTGGGCTGAGAGAGAAAGTGTACAATCAGCTTCATGACACTTGTATGAGTGTTTTCAAATAATTGATCAATTATTTATCATATTTATATAGTAATTGATCATCTACTGATCAATAAAATATATATAACATCCTGGCACTTGAGTCAAACACTTTTTGTATCACAGTTACACTCTACATCTATGTTAGGTGCTTGCTAGTAGATATCAGGGGGTGCAGATGCTGGAGGAGTGTTGCTGTTTGGCGGCCTCAGTTTCATGGTGTTGAAGAAACCCCACACCTGACTGGGTACTTCTGCCAGGACGCTCTGAGCCAGCCTCTCCCGAGAACACTGAGGAGGAGAGACAGGGTGACAGGATTCAAGGGAAAAACATTTGAACAAAGATTTGAAAAGGAGGAAGGGGTATTAATTCGTGCAGCAAAACAAGAGAAGCGGATGTAAGCCACATGCGACTGTGTGTTACATGGATGTGATTAAAGATCAGTCATGATTAGTATGAATGTTTCCTATGATCTGCTTGCATTTTAGCAGTACACTGCTGAAAGCTGACAAGGACAACACTCAACAATTACACAGATTATAATATATCTGATTTTTTTTTAATCTATTTTTGCTTCATTTGTTAGAGGATGAATAAGCAAAAATGAACCCAAGGATGCTTTCTTCAGATGGTTCTCATATCGAATTTATTAAATAAATGTCTGGCACAAGCTTTGATTTTCAAATGTGCTTGACATGAAGTCAATTTAGATTTAAAATCAGCACTTGGGTAGCTAAATATTCAGATTTCAATGACTTAAACCGCTCATGGCATGACTCTGATTATACTGAATGTTTCAGGATAGAAGTTTAATTATCACTCTGATTTCAAACACTGTGGGCTGTATCCTCCATAGGTTTTATGTCTGTTAATTATGTCCTAGAACATCTATTTTGAAAGACACTTCAAAGAAACTCAAACTGCACTGCACAACAAACCACATCTGTGCACGGGGTTCTTTGCACATACATTTAAAAGTTATTTGGCTGTTATCTAGGTAAATTTTAAACATATGAGCTTAACTGTAAAAAAAAAAAAAAAAAGAAAAAACTTTACAAACAACCGTGCTGAGAGATACGGATAGACTGAAATTTTTACCAACCTGCTGTGACCCCCCCCCCCCCCACCCGCTGTCACCTGAGTTTTTTTTTCTTCTTAATATTCATTCCCTTTGGAGATAAATAAAAATTCTTGTATTGAGGAGTATAATCATTTGTGCAAATGAATAACATGTAAAGTTAATGCAAAGACGCGATTAGACGCTCGTACTACTCTGGCAGCGCGAATGGCAAAAGTGAGTTATTTGCATGAAAAAGGCGAAATTGCCTCAGTGAGAGTTTGAAATATCTCAACTTCAGCAAGACGTCAGCACAACTCAGCACGAAGATTCCCAGGTGACACATGAAAACAGACTAGAAGATGTTCACTGGTTTGGAAAATGAAGGACAAACTTATCGCGTCAGTGTGCGGGTACCCGGAGCTGTTTGACACAACGTGCTTTTTAAAATAAAAACAGGAAGGAGGAGCTTTCCTGGGGGGACATGAGTGAGGAAGTCAGATTATCTGGTAAATTGTGAAACACCTTTGTCCATCACTTGATCCTGCCAGTTGAATTGGCAAGGATCACTGTTGAAATTAGCATAAGTGGCTATCCATGGCTTTTATGCACTCTCTTGATGCACGAATCGCACGAATGGACTAAATGATGCTAGCAAACAGTGTTGCCAACTCCTCAGTAAGGATAGTTGCTAGCGGCTATCCTAGAAGTCGCTAGATGACACTATCACTATACACTATTTTTCGGGCAAACCCCCAGTCATTTGTGCAAATGAAGCAAGGAAATACTTTTCATTCATGTGTCGAGATACGCACGAATGAAGCAAGTAAATTATTTCATTTGCACTTGGTGTGAATGCACAGTTAAAGTTTCTCTCTGATGTATGTTTTATCTTTTAACTCTGCATTTGTTTCTTTCTCTTCTTCTTGCCAGCAATGAAAAACAGCAAACCCTCTGCTCTCCCAAGCAAATAAAAGCACAACTTGCAAAACTGAGTTATTTTTACACAGAATTAAGTTCTTCAGCCATTTGTTAACACTTTTCCCATTTGCTTCCATAAATGTTTTATTGGTATTCTGGAGAGGGTCCTTATTATGCATATATTTTTTTCACAAACACTATCCAAGGAGTGTTGTGCGTGTGTGTGAAATACAGCTGCAGCACAAGAAATGTGAAGGACCTGAAATAGTTGATGGGATTAAGGATTTTTGAACTGCTCCTGCATTTCTTATGGCATGGACATGTGTTAGTCTGTCTTGCATGTCAGATTGTCCCCCAGACATTCAAAGCTTTAAAACATACCCAATTTCAGAGCATAGTATGTGCAGCACTTTGTTTCGGACAGAAACTACCTCTGAGGAACTTTCTGTCCCTCAATGTAAAACAATCAAGCAAATGATTATTCCTTGTTTAAACTGTGAAGTGTGGCAGTTCTTCTATGCGGATTGTGTCTAAATCCTTACTGAACATACAGTATGACAGAGCAAAAGGATATACAGCCCAAAAAGCAACTTCTGCTCATGCAGCTTTGGATTAGGGTCAGCGAGTCAGGAGGTGGTCCTACATTTCTAGGAGGGACTGGGCTCAGGGGGCTTCAGTTGAAATAAATTGAAGAAGGAGGCCACTTGGTCAGGCAACTCTGCCAGAACACTTTGAGCAAGGGCAGCAGTGCCTGCCTGAAATAAGACGTGCAATAAGACATTTAAATGTGTGCATGATTTCAGGGTTACAGACAAAGTCAGGAGCTGCATGCCTGCAGCGGCTAGGCTGTAGCTGGTAGCTTACATTCTGGAACTGCCTGAAAGGAACAAACTGCACAATATCTCTCATGGCTGATTCTCCTGTCGCTGAGCGTAAGATCCCATCGTCTCCATCCAGGAACTCCATGGCGCTGAAGTCTGCTCCCCCAACCCCAACGATGATGATGGACATGGGCAGACGAGAGGCGTTGACGATGGCACTGCGGGTCTCATCCATGTCTGTGATCACTCCATCAGTGATGATCAGCAGCACAAAGTATTGCTGTGAAATATTAAACACAAGAGAAACTAAACAACACTCGTCTCAAGAAATCCTCCACCCATCTTCTGCTTGCAGTTTTGCTCTCCAGCTTCAGTTTGAAACCAACTCAGCTCATCCATTTTGAGATACTAGTTAAGTTTATTGGGGTTGTTATAGACACTAAGCTTAACCTTTTATACTGGTGTTGACAGAGTAGTTTTTTTGTCTTTTTTTTTTAGTAGTTTATGTCCACTGCTGTTTTCATGTTTGTAAGGTAAGTCAGGTTAGTTTAGACAGATTTACCTTATTTACCTTCTTGATTCAGTCAAGGTAGAGTTTTCAGGGCAGTGATATCAGCCTAAAATTAGTTTTTTATTTTTTGTTCATTTGGCGTAACCTGCTGCCCCCTCCCTTGTTGTAAGCAGTTGATACAGTGAAAAAAACACTTGCCCTACCTAAAAGCATTTGAGCTATGATGCTTCCCTTTATGCTTCAGCAGATCGTTTGATTTTTCCAGTGACAACTGAAACTGTGATTAACAAACATTTACACACAGCAGGTACAATCATGCTACTTTGATTGATTTTGGACATCAGGATCACTCACAGAGGCAGTCTCCTGTTGGATGGCCTGTCTGCCGAAACAGGCAACATGGTTGATGATGGGGGAGAAGTTTGTGGGACCGTAAAGCTTTACCTGTGGCAAACACTGCTGGTAGGCATGGACCACTCCCTCTATACCTGAAAAAATTACATCATTATCAAAACTGTTGTTGTCTACTGCAAACATTTTTCTGCTAGTTAACAACTGAAACAAGCAATATAATCATAAGTTAAAAGAAAGTTGAGTGCTGCACTGGGTCAAGAACACGTGCAAAAGCTATATTGCGATCAGGTGCTTTTTTGAGGGAGGGGGACATAATCAGCCTGAAAGACAAAAAAGATGACTGTTTTGATTACTTTCAAAGAAAGAAATAATCACATCACATCCCAAACACCCGGCTGCAATTATCAAACAATGCCAAAAGTAGAGAGAGTTCTAGAGATGCACCGATTGCAATATTCTTGGCCGATACCGATTTCCGGTTTTAAAGGAGATCTGACCTGCCAAAACCGGTTTTTCCGATACCGATTTTCTATCTAAGAAATAATTATAATCATATAATAGACACCATATTTGTTTGGCTTGAGTACCCTTTCCCAATTTTAATTTAAGTACCCCTCTCCCAGACAACATTTTGCTTAACTGCAATTAAAAGCACAACTAATGGTAGGCTATATGCTATCATAACGCCCCTTTTCAAGAATAAAACCTCACAAATAAGAAATAGAGTGAGAGTTTCAACAGTGCCTCCTGAGCAGATTTATTTTCAACACTGACCATAACATTCAGTCCAGTTTACAGGTCAATAACTAACTTACATTCAAACAGCATTCAAAAACGTCCCAGCATTTGCCTGGTACAATGTAATTTATTGACTACCCCTCCAGTACCTCTCTCAAACGACTCTGGCAGCACTGTGTCAGAAAAGTACCGCCTACTTGGTAGTTTGTACCAATCAACGCCTAAGACATTTGGAACAACAAACTTAATACGCCACTTGGAAAAGAAGCACCCAGGCTTGTTTAGCAAATATAAGGAATACACTGCCGCTAAGAGGAGGGATGCAGAAGAGTCGCAGCGACCACAACAACCCTCCTCCGTGGCTCCTATGTTCGACATCAGCACTGAAAAGTCCAAAGCCACCACTAGGAAAATAATGGAGTTCGTGGCACTGGAGGACCAGCCGTTTAGCGTAGTACAGGATAAAGGCTTCGAAAATCTGACGAAACACCTGAGTCCACGGTACAAATTACCAAGTAGGGTGTTTCATCAGATTTACGAAGCCTTTATCCTGTACTACGCTAAACGGCTGGTCCTCCAGTGCCACGAACTCCATTATTTTCCTAGTGGTGGCTTTGGACTTTTCAGTGCTGATGTCGAACATAGGAGCCACGGCGGAGGGTTGTTGTGGTCGCTGCGACTCTGCTGCATCCCTCCTCTTAGCGGCAGTGTATATATTTGCTAAACAAGCCTGGGTGCTTCTTTTCCAAGTGGCGTATTAAGTTTGTTGTTCCAAATGTCTTAGGCGTTGATCCTCCACGGCTGACTTTTGACTTGCAAGCATTACAAACTGCGTGTTTTGGGTCGCTCTGGCACACAGTGTCAAATCACCGACATGTTTTCGTCCTGAGTCTTGCTAATTTTTAGCAGTTTTGCTCGGAGCTGATACGCACCGCGCATGCGGGTCAGTTTGCTCGGGGAAAACCGGCAAATTACGACAGTGACCGGCCGGTCACCGGTTGGGGCCGGTTGGATATAAAACCGGCTTTTTAAATCGGCGGCCGATTAATCGGTGCATCTCTAGAGAGTTCCAAAAACAGTCAAAGAGTTAAGGAGGGTTCTGCAAAGTGTGTGTCTGTTACGGTGAACAGGGACAGTAAAGTGCACGTCAAGGGGTGAAAAAAAAAAAAATATATATATATATATCCAGCCTATTTGATATTTATCTGAAGGAAAAGCCAGAGGCAGCCCACAAACTGCTAACTGACTAACCTTAAAGTCTTGATTGTGCACAATTTCAGCAGCAGCATACGGGATATCTCATACGGTAAAAAGTGGTGAGCTGCAGCTCGTAAGTGGTTTGTGCGCATTGCATTAAACAGTAATACATTATGTTTGCGCGCACCAGCCAACTCAAGGGAAGCTCCTACAGCAGGCAGGTTACAGAAGCTTTGGTGACGCTAAAATACATTAAAACTTAGCATAGTTTTAATCACAAACATATTGTGGTGCAGACTTCACCTGCCATATTGCTCATAGCCCTCTGAAAATTAAAAGAAATGAAACAGAAAATCTACCTGCAACTGGCGCTTGGTGGGTGTTAATTTCAGACCCTGTGCATGACATAAGGTGAATAAAACGAAGTGAACGGCTGACAGTGAAAAAAATGTTGCAGAAATTGCATGTTTGCTTTCTGGCCCAAACTGTCCAAGAAGACAAATGATTCTAATGTCATGTCAGACTGCATCAAATTTCAACCTGTGAAATGCCAAAGACCTTCACAGCAGCTGATCTGCAAACTTTAAAACTTCAACGGATCCAAGTTTTGCCAAACAACCTTCATGCCAACAGGCAAAAGTTAAAAATGACTTTAAGTTGAGTCTTAAATTACCTGCACAAAATGGGTTTGATGGGTTGAAGTTGATGGGGAACTCATGGGAGACCTGCAACACAAACCGCTATCACTCTGGAACCCATTGTAATGATAACAGACTGAATGGAATTCACAAATAAAATGGGATTCAACAAATGTAAAGGGTTACCTGCATCGTAGGAGGGATCTGGGCACCAAATCCAAATGCAGGAAACATCTTGTCACTACAGACGGGAGATAATCAAACAAAGAAAGCAGAAAACTAATAAAATAAGATAAGACTTAAAATCCAAATGGGGGGCCTAGAGCTAGGGTAATTTACCGTTAGAGGACAAATACCATAAAAAGCTCTGTACCTGTCATAGTCTTGGATGACATTACCCACACTCCAGATAGCTGCCAGGTATTCATTGTAGCCATTGGGGTTGATGTAATGGAGGGACTGAGGGGTTCTGGGATCCCCATTAGAGCCAGTAAAATCAATAGCAATCTGGTTTAAAGGGAAGAGAACAGGAAAATGCAGAGAATATGAGATAAAGCTTTAATACCAGCACACTATATGTTTCCTGGATAGTAAAAGAGAGAAGTGGGATGAACACAGATTTCTTTTACTCACAGTGAAGTTAATCTGGCAGCCACCCATTATGTAATCCAGAAAAGTGTACTCTCTCACAATCTGAAAACAGTATTAATTTAATATAAATACAACAATAAATTAAACATGTTGATGTATCAAAAGCAAAGTATTTCTCTTGATGAGGAATCCATCCTGGAGTAGACTATGTTCTAAACACATTTATCTAATGTCTGGGGCAAAATGGATACTCTTTGAATCCCAATTCTGAAGGAATTAAAGTTAAAGGTGGGGTAGGCAGGATCTGAACTACTGCCCACCATCAAAAGGAACAGCAAAAAGCCTACAAATATTGCAGGGCCGAACAGAAGAAGAAAAGCAAATGATGACTCTCCTCCCCCGGACTGTGAAGATGAGGTATCAAACACTGTCATTTTTAAAGCTGTGAAAAGTCTAACCTCAGCCAGCCCTTTTCCGAGGCCCCATTGGTTCATCAATAACCGCCCAATTCTAATGCTGTAGGTAAAAACCTATCAGGTCATAGTGCATATCTAATCAACTCTGGTAATACTAGACTGCATTACTAGTGATTGCTTGGCCAGAGTTTATTTTCAGGGCACTTTGTATTACAAACGCCTGTTAATTGTTCAGACTATGATGTTCTTTTCATGGCATTTAAAGCCAAAGGTGGTAACGTTTTATTTAATACCACGGCATAGCACACAGTGGTTAATCATTTAAACGGTTCATGCAATAGTTGGGTTTATTTAGATTGTTGTTGATGATTTAGAAAAAAAAAACCTCTTCAAAAAGTTTGACTAAAATTTTTTACTAAGGGACACTGCTTTTTCTTTTTTTTAAATAAACCCACTCTGAAAAAAACGATAAGAAATTCTGGTCTAATCAATGGGGGGATAAAATTATATTCAGCCATGGTTCCTCTCACTCTAGTGGAGTTGCTATTTTATTTAACAACGGCCCAGGATAAGTCATATCTTACCAAGCAGATATAAATGGCCATTGGATAGCGTTAGTCATGAATATAGAAAATGACTCTTTTATCATCTGCAACATAAGTTCCCAGAACAAGGATTTAATGACAACTATTTGCACAGCAATTGAGAACTTGAAGAGTATACACTACAGGCCAAAAGTTTGGAAGCAAGGCCATTACAGGCTGAACAGTTGGGAGTAACTTCAAGTTTTTGTCCACAATGCTTTTTTTTTAGTCCAGCATGAGTTGTACGTATTTTGGGATGTATTTACTCCATGATCAGATGATGCTTTCATGGAAATGCACCATTTTACTCCATTTACCTTTAGATAAACATTGATGTTAACAGACCATTGCTAAATATATGTCAGCAAAAGAAAATTAGGGCTTAGTTTTAGGGTCGAGAACATTTGCAAGAGTCACAACTTCAGTGCAAAAGCAAAAAAACAAATCACAATTGGATTATTCACTTCAACTTTTTGGCTTTTGAGAGTCTGCATACAAAAATCCTAATAAATCTCAACTGCATCAAACTACTGCAGAAATGGCTAGAAAGAAGCAACTGAGTAAAGAAACAAAAGTACAGATTCGTACATTGAGGAAAGAAGGATACACAGAAAGAGAAATTGCAAAACGCCTAATGGTGTCTAACAAAGGAGTCCACTACACTCTGAAGAGACTAGAGGAACCTGGAGGTTATGGTGATATAAAAAGGCCTGGATGAAAGAGAGTTACTACAAAAGCAGAGGATAAACATATAATTGTCACCAGTAAGAGAGAGTAAGAGAGGCAAAAGACAGCACCAAAAATAAGGGAGGAAATCAACATGACAAGGTCGAAACCCATATCTCTAACAACTGTGAAAAGACGTTTGAGAAAGGCTGGTCTGAAGGGTTGTGTATCTGCAAAAAAACACTACTTCGTCCACAAAATAAGAAAAAGAGATATGAGTGGGCAAAAGCTCACAAAAATTTGACCTATGATGACTAGAAACAAGTTCTCTGGACTGATGAAAGCAAGTTTGAACTGTTTGGTTCAAAACGCAGAGTCTATGTCTGCAGACAAACTGGTGAACGTCTGAAAGCACCATGTGTTACACCCACAATTAAGCAAGGAGGTGGTAGTTCCATGGTATGGGGATGTTTTGCAGGTGATGGAGTAGGAGATTTTTTTTAAGTAAAGGGTATCATGAAGAAGGAACAGTACAACTCCATCCTCCAGCACAATGCTGTTCCATCTGGACTCAGACATGTGGGTCATAAGTTGTTTTGCAGCATGACAATAACCGTAAGTATTCTGTCAAGCTCTGTCAGGGTTACCTAGACAAAAAAGAAGAGGACGGCGTTCTTCAAAAGATGGTTTGGCCCCCTCAGTCTCCTGACCTTTCTCCAATAGAGCTTGTGTTGGATGAATTGGATCTATCAGTCAGAAAAACGCGTCCCACGAATCAGCAGTCTCCTTTTAATGAATTTAAGAAAGCTTGAAATGCAATCCCTGGAACATACCTTAAAAAACTTGTGGAACGAATGCCTCGTATATGCCAAGCTGTTGTTAAAGCCAGAGGAGGTTACTTTAAAGAAAGCAAAGTCTAAGCAACAATAACTCAAATACCTAATAGTTAAGGTCAAAGTGTCTTCTTATAAGTTACTCTTTACACAATAGTCATGTTTATTGTGTTGCAAATTATATTAATGAAACTATGGTCTTTTTTTGTACAAATGTGATCTTGCTTCCAAACTTTTGGCCTGTAGGGTATATCCTACTGAGTATATCCTTGTTGGAGGCAACTTTAATATGACCCCAGATGACTGGAGGGATAGATATCCATCAAGATTTAACACTTATCACTTTAACAACACAGTCAGGGACTTTTGTAACACACTAATGTTAGGGTCAAGAACCCTGAGTTTTTACAGTGCTCTTGGTTTAAACCTGACAGAACATGTAAATCCAGAATTGATTATTGGTTACTTGAATATAGTTTATCACAGCATGTTTCTAAAATATCAATGTATACTGCTCCTCTAACAGACCACAGTGTAATACATTTGGAGCTGAAACCTAATATCAATAGTAAAATAAACAGAGGTTTTTGGAAATCCAACTCTAATTTACTGAATGATGAGGAATACTGCTGGAACATCAGAGCCTTGGCAGACACACCTTTAATGACCCTTTGTATTTGCTGACTAGATAAAATCCCCACAATTAACCAAGATTATAAACATTTTTGTGATGCAGCAATAACAATTGATAAATTAGATAACGCGCTACATTGTCTACATTTGGACAAATCCTCAGGCTCTGATGGTTTGACAGACAATTTTTACAGACACTTCTGGGGCATAATTAGAGGATTTTTAGACAGAGTTTTAGTTGAAGCTCTCAGTAAACACAATCTTCCCACAAGTATGAAGCAGGGGGTTATAATTTTAATCCTGAAGCCTAATAAAAATCCCCAAATCACAGACAATCTAAGAACTATCGCATTGCTAATTAATGACTATAAATCATTAGCACATATATACACAAGCCGTCTTAAAGAAGGAATATCCCAAGTTAGTAATGAAACATAGTCAGGTTTCCTAAATGACATATCTATCCATAATAATATCCAACTTATCCTTGATACACTAGATTATAGTGACATGACTGAGGATAAAGGCTTCATCTTATTTCTTGACTTCAGAAAAGTCTTCGACACAACTGAACATCCTTTCATGATTCACACCTTAAAGGCATTTAGATTTGGGGACTGTTTTATAAAAGTCATTGAGTGTTTTTACAAGGACATCAACAGCTGTGTTTCCCTACCTCATTGGACATCACCCCGGTTTGATATACAGAAGGGAATTCAGCAAGGCTGTCCAGCAAGCCCAGGACTATTTGTATCAACTGCAGAAAAGCTAGCTATAATGATAAAAAACTGTGAAACGCTGAAAAAAATCAATGTATTTGTAACAGAACTTACAATAAGTCGGTTTGCAGATGACAAAACCCTGCTGTTAAAGGATGAACATCAGATTCCAGTTGCCATACACAACACTGAAGTATTTTCAAGAGCCTCTGTACTATTCCTTAATATCCAGAAATTTGAATTACGACCCATTCATGAAAATGCTCAAAATGCCATTTGTGATATACCTGTTAAAGTCGTGGTAAAATATATTGGTATTTATGTGACAAAAAGCCAAAATGAATTAATCTTACTTAACTTGACCAACAAACTACATGAATGTAAGCAGAAACTTAATATTTGGATACAGAGAGACTTATCGATTTTTGGTAGAACTTATCTCAACAAAATGGAAAGCATCTCTAGAGGTATTCATCCTGCATCCTCTCCAGCACTCTGTCCAGATTTTGTTAAGACGATAAACCAAATTAATTTTATTTTTATGTGGAAGAACCAAACTCACTATATCAAAAAAGCAATCACAGTCCAAGATCTCTCTGAAGGGGGATTAAAGGCGCTAGACCTTGAATGTATGAATACAACTTGAAAATTGAATCGGCTAAAACAGTATATACAATCCCTGGGCAGTATATGGCACATATTTCCCCAACGTATATTTGATAAGATGGGTGGTATAGAATTTGTCTTAAAATGTGATTACAACATATGCAAACTACCAATTAAGTTGGCAAAATATCAACAGCAGGTTCTTCTTTGTTGGAAATTGCTTTACAAGCACAACTTTACACCTCACAGTACTCTGTTGTGGAATAACATATATTCTTCAAAAAGGTGAATTATGTTCTATAGAGAATGGATGGACAAGAACATCTGGTGCATAATGGACCTTTTAGATGTAAATGGAGATATACACTCACCGGCCACTTTATTAGGTACACCTGTCCAACTGCTCGTTAACACTTAATTTCTAATCAGCCAATCACATGGCGGCAACTTAGTGCATTTAGGCATGTAGACATGGTCAAGACAATCTCCTGCAGTTCAAACCGAGCATCAGTATGGGGAAGAGAGGTGATTTGAGTGACTTTGAACGTGGCATGGTTGTTGGTGCCAGAAGGGCTGGTCTGAATATTTCAGAAACTGCTGATCTACTGGGATTTTCACGCACAACCATCTCTAGGGTTTACAGAGAATGGTCCGAAAAAGAAAAAATATCCAGTGAGCGGCAGTTCTGTGGGCGGAAATGCCTTGTTGATGCCAGAGGTCAGAGGAGAATGGCCAGACTGGTTCGAGCTGATAGAAAGGCAACAGTGACTCAAATAACCACCCGTTACAACCAAGGTAGGCAGAAGAGCATCTCTGAACGCACAGTACGTCGAACTTTGAGGCAGATGGGCTACAGCAGCAGAAGACCACGCCGGGTGCCACTCCTTTCAGCTAAGAACAGGAAACTGAGGCTACAATTTGCACAAGCTCATCGAAATTGGACAATAGAAGATTGGAAAAACGTTGCCTGGTCTGATGAGTCTCGATTTCTGCTGCGACATTCGGATGGTAGGGTCAGAATTTGGTGTCAACATCATGAAAGCATGGATCCATCCTGCCTTGTATCAACGGTTCAGGCTGGTGGTGGTGGTGTCATGGTGTGGGGAATATTTTCTTGGCACTCTTTGGGCCCCTTGGTACCAATTGAGAATCGTTGCAACGCCACAGCCTACCTGAGTATTGTTGCTGACCATGTCCATCCCTTTATGACCACAATGTACCCAACTTCTGATGGCTACTTTCAGCAGGATAATGCGCCATGTCATAAAGCTGGAATCATCTCAGACTGGTTTCTTGAACATGACAATGAGTTCACTGTACTCAAATGGCCTCCACAGTCACCAGATCTCAATCCAATAGAGCATCTTTGGGATGTGGTGGAACGGGAGATTTGCATCATGGATGTGCAGCCGACAAATCTGCGGCAACTGTGTGATGCCATCATGTCAATATGGACCAAGCTCTCTGAGGAATGCTTCCAGCACCTTGTTGAATCTATGCCATGAAGAATTGAGGCAGTTCTGAAGGCAAAAGGGGGTCCAACCCGTTACTAGCATGGTGTACCTAATAAAGTGGCCGGTGAGTGTATTATCTTATGACAACAATGTTCAAACATATTCATGACATCAATCTTAACACACGATCAATATCCTGCTCAAGCCAACAGAAAAAAAAAATCAAGAGTATATTTGTTCCACTTACAGTTTCTATATTGAGAGTGAAATTCTTTAGATATCCAGTTTCACCCAAAACAAAAGAAATACATGATAAAATAATGAAAGATTTATACCCATCTAGTAAATTTGTCATGATTACACTGGTTTTATCATTTGAGGACAACATGGAGTCTTTTTTGTGTTTGTGGAGTCTCCCTTTTCCCCTTACAGAGGTTGGGCAGCTCCTCGTCAGCTGAAGCTCCTCCTTCACCTTCACACCTGCACCGGATCAACCTAATCACCACCTGCTCTTAAACTCTGCTCTCTGACTGCTGTGTGCCAGATTATTCCTGCTTCTTCAGTGGAAATCTTGAATGTAAACACTACCCCTTCCAACCAATTTTCCCCTCAGCTCCTCCTCTCCCTTCCCTCTCTGTTCCAGCCAGCCCAGCCCACAAACAGACGCTCCTGCTCGCTCATATCATTCAAATTAAATTCAGATATAATGCAGATGAATACTTCAGAGAATTACAAATGGGGCCCAGTCAACGTGAAAGTAAAAAGCATTGGTGCTACTGTTGATGCCAACAGACTACCAGCAAACACAATGTTTGCAGGACTTCTACAACTAGGATAAAGTGACATACTTCAGGACCCGAGGTCAACAGTTTAGCAGCGCTACAATATGCGGCAGGTCCTGTTTGACAAGAAACACTACTTGAAAGACACTTGGCTTACTTTGTTAAAGCGGTTTGCCTGTCCAGCAGAAAGGTTACAGGATCCGTAAGATCCTGAAGCGTCCCTGAAGCATTTGTGCTCCATTGATGTTGACCCAGTTTTATCGCTCTTGTCCGGTCTATCTCCTTTTTAAGCCCCCATTATTCTGCCAGAGTCTCTTTGTTTTCTTGCTTGTGTTGGCAGTCATGGTCAAAGGAGGATTCAGACAATTTTCCGTACTTTCTGGTTGGTTTCTACTGTCCAATGTAGCACACTAACTTTGTTTGGGCTCGTGAAGGTCACAGGGAAGCAGCATCTGCCTCACAACCAATCAGCACAAAGAATAAGAAGAACTTTATTCATCCCCAAAGGGAAATTCAATTGTCTGTTGTCTCACATAATATGTCTCTTAAAGTTATCTACTATTTCCACAACAGTTATAAAGTCTGATTGCTGTTGGTACAAAAGATCTTCTGAATCTTTCTGTCCTGCAGCGAAGAGAGAGGAGCCGTCCACCACCATTGGCCCTTTGGTCCATCAAGGTGTTGTGAAGTGGGTGATCCATGTTCTTTAGAATAGTCTCCACCTTCTTCAGTGTAGATCTCTCCACCACATCCTCCACTGAGTCCAGTTTGAGTCCAATCACAGAGCCAGCCTTTTTCACCAGTTTGTTAAGATGTCTTGCATCTTTGTGTTTGATACTTCCTCCCCAGCAGAACATTTGCCACCACAGACTGATAAGACATCTGCAGCATCTGACTACAGATGTCTATTGATCGGAGTCTTCTCAGGCAAAAAAGGCGGCTTTACCCCTTTCCGTAGATAAAGTCTATATTCTTAGACAAGTCCAACATATTGTCCAGATGTACACCTAAGTATTTATATGATGGCACCACTTCGATGTCCACTCATAAATGTGTTCACTGGCTGAAGAGGGGGTTTGGATCTGCAGAAGTCTATGACCATCTCCTTTGTCTTTGACGTGTTGAGGAGGAGGCAGTTTTTGTGACTCCAGTCACTGAAGGCTCTTATCAGATCTCTGTACTCAGCCTCTTGTTCATTCATTTCTATATTCAGCTTTTTGTCCATTTCTGATACATGCCACAATAGCTGTGTCATCTGAGTATTTCTGGACGTGGCAGGACTCAGTGCTGTATTTGAAGTCTGACGTATACAGTGTGAACAGGAATGGCGCCAGCACTGTCCCTTGTGGAGACCCTGTACTGCTCATTAATGTCCCAGAAACACAGTTCCCCAGCCTGACAAACTGTGGCCTTCCTGTCAGGTAATCTGCGATTCAGGAAACACAGAAAGGATCCACTCTCATCTCTGTGAGCTTGTCTTTGAGTATGGTTGGTTGGATGGTGTTGAACAGTGGTTCTCAACCGGGGGGAACACCCTCCCGGAGGGGCGTAAGCACAGGACAGGAGGCTGGGGGGGCTCACCGGCTACTAGTACAAAGGAGATGTGGCACAGTCCCAGGTGGTCGGAAATAGACCAATTTACAGCCGACCTCATCAAGAAGCTGCATGCACAGCATGGCAAGTGTCAATAAAAGTTTCCTACTATTTTGCCCCAGCCACTCAAACAACCAAGTAAGCAGGTCAAACCATGATCAGTCTCTACAGGGAGAGAGGCTCACACACTGAGGATCCTTCACAACATTACACACTCGCACGCACGCACACACACACACACACACACACACACACACAGAGCAGCGATCTGAAGTAAACGTTGATATTAACTGTATAAACTTCATCACCAGAGTCTCCCTCATTAACACACCTGTCTACTCTCATCCACACAGACTCACCTGTGTTCACCAAGCAACAGCTTTCACCGCAGCTCATTACCCCACACCACTCTTTAACAGAGACCTTAAGGAAATATTTCTTACCTTCACTCTGGAGTCTAAACTAGTCAGCATTAGCTGTCATCCAGCTCCAGCAGTTTAACAATCCACTGATATTATTCACATCCTGTTTCTCGCGGTCAGCATGTTTCATTCAATTGCATCATGTAAAAAAAGATTTAGCTTAAACTTCAGGTGTCCTGATAGAGGCCAAAACAGCAGGAGCATCACTGGAATTGGTACCTAGTCAAGACCACAGGTCCAGACAGGCCGTGACTAACTCACCGCGTCGGGACCGAGACGCGTTCTGTGTCCCTGTGGAAGAGGACCAGGAAATAAACAACTGAGCCAGCTGACCAGAAACAGTGCTAAAAACTTTATTTTTTCACGTGAATGGATGAGACGCTGACAACAAGGTTGTAAATGGGATTCAAACGGGATGTAAATGGGAACGTTACACTCAAATTGGGACGGATTTTTAACCTGTTGGAGCTGGATGACTGATAATGCTGACTGTTTTAGACACCAGAGTGAAGGTAAGAAACTTTTCCTCCGTTATTTTATATCAGATTTCCATTAAACAGTGGAGACTCTGGTGATGAAGTTTATTACACTTAATACCGATGTTTACATCTGATCGCTGCTGCATGCAGTAAGAATCATCTGTATGTTACCAAAGGTTTCAGCCTCTCTTCCGGAGTGGCTGTGTTCATTAAACACTGCACCAAGAATTGAGGATCTTTGCCAGGCAAACCAGGCTCAGGTCTCTCATTAGCGTCGTTTGGGGGGTGGGGGGGTCCAACTGCATTCCAACCACTTTTGGGGGGGCCCGGCTAGCAAAAGGTTGAGAACCCTTGGTGTTCAATGCACTTGAAAAGTCAAAGAACATGATCCTCACATAAACCCCAGGTTCCTCCAGATTACACAAGGCACAGTGAAGCACTTAGAGGACAGCATCATCCACTCCAATGTGTTCTTTGTATGCAAACTGCAGGGAATCGAGTTTGTCTTTGACCTCAGACCTCAGAAAGCGTAGAATTAACGTTCCAGGGTTTTCATGATGTGTGAAGTGAGGGCCACTGGTCTGTAGTCATTTAGTTCAGCTGGACATTTATTTTTGGTACTGGCACAATGCAGGATGTTTTCCACAGAGTAGGTATCCACCCCAGCTGTAGACTCAAGTTGAAGATCCTGTGGAGAGGTTGGCACAGCTCTGCAGCACAGAGCAGCCTTGGGGACACACCATCTGGACCAGCTGCCTTCCCAGGACAAAGTCTTCCAAGCTCCATCCTCACCCCTTTTTGGGTGACAGACAAGGACTGGTGTTCTAGGAGGGAGGCAGTTGAAGTGGTTGAGACATTTGAATGAGATGGAGGAGGAAGGGGAGAAGTTGTAGTGGAGATTTGTTGAGGAGAGGAAGATGGAGTAGCAGTGGGAGTGGGTGTGACAGCAGTGTCAAATCTGTTGAAGAACAGGTTGAGTTCATCAGCCTTTTCCAAATCACCCACCACTGGCTGTCTTTTGTTTTTATTGCTGTGTCCAGAGATGTTACTGATTCCTCTCCACACTTCACGGATGTTGCTGTGTTGTAGATTCTTTTCCATCTTCTTTTTGTACTCCAGCTTTGCCATCTTCAGTCTCCTCTTCAACTCTTGTTGCACTTGTTTGAGTCGTTCTTTGTCACCATCTTTAAAAGCTTTCTTTTTCTGGTTAAGGATTGCTTTTATGTCACTTGTGATCCAAGGTTTGTTGTTGGGGAAACAGCGAACAGTCTTTGTGGGTATAACTGTGTCTCTACAGAAGTTGATGTATTCAGTAAAGCAGTCAACTTGTTTGTCAATGTTCATACTATCCACATCTGTGTCCAGTAGCACATTTCAGTCTGTTGATTTAAAACAGTCCCTTAGAGCTTCACTGGCTTGAGGTGTCCATCTTCTGATTTTGACTTTGGTCACAGGCTGCCTCAGTACACAAGGTCTGTAACAGGTTTGCAGATAGACCAAGTTATGATCTGACTTGCCCAGTGGTGGTAAGGCAGTGGCTCTGTAGGCTTCTTTGACGTTGGCATACAGCAGATCCCTGGTTTTGTTTTCTCTGGTAGGACAGTTCACAAACTGTGTGAATCCAGTCAGGTGAGAGGAGAGGGTGACATGGTTGAAATCTCCTGATATTATTATTAGTGCCTCTGGGTGTTGAGTCTGTAGCCTGGCAACACTACTTTGGAATTTCTTCAGTTGATTTGGGTGAAATGTAAACAACTATTGTTATGATATGACTAAATTCTCTTGGAACATAATATGGCTGAAGAGGAACTGCCAACAGTTCAATATCTGGACAACACAACTTCTCCTTGACAGTTATGTGTGAAGGGTTACACTATTTCTGGTTGACAAATAAAGCCAGATCTCCTCCTTTCTTCTTGCCACTAGCTTGAGCATCTCTGTCTGCCTTATAAGAGTGAAGCCAGGTAGATCCACACCGGAGTTCGAGTTGTTCTGATTCAACCAGGTTTCGGTAAAACACAGGAGACTGCACTCACAGTATGCTTTCTTAGTCTTCACCTATATCTCCAGCTCATTGCTTTTGTTGGGCAGATAGTTGGCATTTCCCATGATGATTGATGGAAGAAAGGGTTTATATCGCCACCTCCTAGCATTCAGCTTTGCCTTCACCTTTGCACCTGCACGGCAACCACGATAACACCTCCGGCTGTCCTCTGGAATTGTATGTTGTTGTCCAGATGTGCTTTTCCTCAATGAAAGGAGCTCTTCTCTTGAGTAAACTCTTCGCCTAGCATAAGTATTCATCAGCAGCCAACAAAATGACAACAAAAATATAAAAAAAATCCAGCAAAAATTACAGATAATACGTAGAGACCAGACTTGCAGCGACCTCTCAGTTCAAGTGCATCATTTGAATCACTAAGGAGCAGCGTCTGCCTCACAACCAATCAGGTCGGGGGAGGCAGGAAACGGCTTTGTTTACAGCCAGAAAGAGCAGGCCACTCAAAAATTTTGAAATGTTGACTACACAGACAATAACTAATAGCTATTGACTGATATTTAAAGCTTTTTTGTATAAACACCACAAAAAAGATGCTTCTTTAATAGGTTCCTGCCTACCCCACCTTCAAGTCTCACCTTGCTGTGTCTTGTTCTCTGCCATTGTTGTTTATTGTCTGTGTGTTTCTTTTGACCATTTCTGTGGGATTCTTTTGCAAAATGTGTATGCGCAATGTGTGTATGTGCAATATGCATGGGTTGTGTGCCTGTTTTTATGTTAGGTCTAATACTTTGTGTCATCAGTTGGCAGCTTCATCTGTGCAGCTCTTGAAATACAAGACAAATTTCCCTAAGGGAACAATAAAGTATATCGTATCGTAAGTGACAAAACTGCTGGCTTACCAATTTTTAATCAATGACTTTTAACAGTATCCCTGCATGAATCATTTTAATATTAGCACCATGCTCTTGTATTGTTTTTGAAAGAAGGGCCCTTGAATTGGCCCAGATTTTTAGACTGGGAGACTTGGCTCTTGTCGGCTGAGGGTAAATGTCCTCCGTGAGATCTTAATTTCTCTTCTCAAATTACCGTTACTGTCAGTAAATACATGAGTGCAGTGGTTCTCAACCATGGGGGTGCGGACCTGTCCAGCAGAAACAGGGGGCAGCACAGGACAGGTGGCGCAGACTCACTGGCTATTAGTACAAAGCAGATGAAGCAGAGTCCCAAGCTGTTGGACTACAGACCAATTTAAAGCCTGCTTTATCAAGAAGCTACACGCACAGCATGGCAAGTGTCAACAAAAGTAGCCTACTATTTTGACCCAGCCACTCAAATGACCAAGCAGGCAGGATGAGCATCCTGCTTTGACCAACCGGTGATGATCAGTCACTACAGGGAGAGAGGCTCACACACCGTGCATCCTTCACAACGTTACACTCATGCACGCACACACAGAGCAGCGATCTGATGTAAACATCAACATTAACTGTATAAACTTCATCACCCGAGTCTCCCTCATTAACACACCTGTCCCCTCTCATCCAGGCAGACACACCTGTGTTCACCAAGCTACAGCTTTCACAGCAGCTCATTACACCACACCACTGTTTAACAGAGATCTGATATAAAATAATGGAGGGAAAAAATTCTTACCTTCACTCTGGTGGCTAAAACAGTCAGCACTATCAGTCATCCAGCTCCAACAATTTAATAATCCACTGATATTGTGGAAAAACAGATCTGGGTCTACCCCAACCAGAAGCCCTGGACGACCCGGGAAGTCCAGTGGCTGCTGAGGGAGAGGAACACCGCCTTCAGGTCTGGTGACCAGGTCTTCTACTCTGCGGCCCGGGCTGACCTGAAGCGATGCGTCAAAGGGGCCAAGTCGGATTATAGGAGGATTGAGGCATACCTGGAAAGTAACAGCAGCAGGCAGGTGTGGCAGGGAGTCCAACAGCTCACCAACTACAAAACCACCTTGGGAGCAGCTGAGGGTGAGACCTCACTGGCAGAGGAGCTTAACACCTTCTTTGCCCGTTTTGAAGTGGAATCGCCCAAGGCAGCCACACCACACCCCATGGACAACAGCAACTTCTCCCTCACAGAACATGAGGTGAGGCGTACCCTGCGAGCCGTGGACCCAAGGAAGGCTGCTGGGCCCGATGGAGTGCCCGGGCACATGTTAAAGGACTGTGCGGATCAGCTTGCCAGAGTCTTCACAAGGATTTTCAACCAGTCCTTGGCCGAGTTCATTGTTCCACCATGCGTGAAGTCCTCCATCATCGTCCCCCTGCCCAAGAAACCTCATATCTCCAGCCTTAACGACTACCGGCCAGTTGCTGTCACCCCGGTGTTGATGAAATGCTTTGAAAAGCTGGTCTGGGGTCACATCACATCACACCTGCCAAAAAGCCTGGACCCTCACCAGTTTGCATACAGGGCTAATAGATCCACAGAAGACGCCGTAGCCACAGCCCTCCATACTGCACTGTCCCACCTGGAGCAGCAGGGGAGCTATGTACGGATGCTCTTTGTGGACTATAGCTCTGCTTTCAATACCATACTTCCTCACAAACTGTTAAACAAACTGGTCAATCTAGGAATTCCACACCCCACCTGCATGTGGATCAACAGCTTTTTCACCTGTCACAACCAGAGGGTGAGAGTGGGCCATCACACATCAATGGCCCTCAGCCTCAGCACCGGCTTGCCACAGGGCTGGGTGTTGAGTCCCCTGATGTTCACCCTATACACACACGACTGTGTCCCCACACACCACAACAACACCTTAGTAAAATTTGCAGAAACACCACGGTGGTGGGGCTCATCTCTGGGGCAGATGAGTCTGCTTACAGAAACGAGGTTGAACATCTGGCAGTGTGGTGTGGGGAGAATAACCTTCTGCTCAACACAGCAAAAACAAAGGAGCTGGTGATTGACTACAGGAGAAAAAAGACTGATATCACACCACTCATCATCAGCGGGGATTGTGTGGAGCAGGTGTTAGACTTCCGCTTCAGATGTGTGTTCAGATCGAGGAGGACCTGACCTGGACTGTAAACACTACGAAGGTGATTAAAAAGGCCCAACAGCGTCTCCACTTCCTGAGGGTCCTCAGGAAAAATAACATCACACAATGTTAATGGATGAGACACTGACCGTGAGGAACGGCATGTAAATGGGAAGTATATGTGTGGATTATTAACCTGTTGGAGCTGGATGACTGATAATGCTGACTGTTTTTGACACCAGAGTGTAAGTAGTAAATTTAGCCCTCTGTTATTTTATGTCAGATCTCCGTTAAGCAGAGGTGTGGGGTGATGAACTGCTGTGAAACCTGTAGCTTGGTGAACACAGGTGTGTCTCTGTCTGGATGAGAGGGGCTGTTTTGGTCAAACAGGTGTGGGACGGCAGTAGCTCAGGAGGTAGAGTGGTCGTCCAATAACCGGAAGGTTGGCGGTTCGATTCCCCCCCTATCCCAAGTCTGTCCGTTGTGTCCTTGGGCAAGACACTTAACCCACCTTGCTCCCAGTGTGTGTCCTTCACTGGTGTATGATTGTGAGTGTTGTGTGGTGGTTGTCGGAGAGGCCGTAGGCGCAAAATGGCAGCCACGTTTCCGTCAGTCTGCCCCAGGGCAGCTGTGACTACTAAGGTAGTTTACCACCACCAAAGTGTGACTGTGTGAGCAAATGAATGATGTATCCAATGTAAAGCGCTTTGAGGGTCTCTGATAAAGCGCTATATGAAATCTGATGCATTATTATTATTATTATAATGAGGGAGACTCTGGTGAGAAGTTTATTATACTTTATACCAATGTACTATACTATAGATGGACATATCGATAGATATTATTTTTTGCTCCCAGCGGTTTGGCAGTTGTGGCCGCTTGTCCTGACAGGCAACCATATTTTCAGGTATTCGCCCACACGAGCAGCATTTTGGGTTAATGCTCATTTTGTCTGCCGTAAGGTAAGCAGTATAAATGGTGCTCTGCATAAATGTGAATTGTCTTGATAAATTAACAATGGCTTATGTATTCTGTTAGACTACTGTGTTTAAAGATATGCTGCAGAAATATGTTGTGTTATCAACATATTTCTGTGTGTGTTATCCAGTGAGTTTAGTACTCTCATTTGGGCTGTGTTTTGTATGAGAATGTTGGCCATGATTCACTTGATTTATGTGTAACCCTACTGCACTAATTTTTAGCCTGTAGGCTGACTGTGAACCTTTCCCTATTTTTTACTTGAGTTAATGTTCATTTTGTCTGCCGTACGGTAGAACCGCCAGCACTGACCTTGAACTGACCTGCTAATAAACGGCTTGGTCCGAGCCATGAATAGAACAACCACCCCTGTCCGATTTGTCCCTCCTCTGCACCCCCAACATTAACACAATACAACGCAGTCTCCTGGTGTGGAGTGGCACATGGGCTGGGTTACATTTACATTTGATCACTGCTGCTGCGCACGCGCGCGTGCGTGCGTGCGTAAGGATCCTCAGTGTGTTACTGGAGGTTTTAGCCACTCTCCCCGACAGAGACTGATGTTTATTACAATGTGAATAAGTGGGCCGGTCGGAGGGGAATACCGCAATCGTGCACAAATCGAGGATGATTTGAGGCTGTGTTTATTAAACATTGTGCTGAGATATTGAGGATCTTTGCAAGGCAAAGCAGGCTCAGGTCTCACATAAACATTGCCTACTAGTGCTGGGGGGTTGTTCTGGGGGGGCCTAACTGCATTGAACCACCTTTGGGGGGGGGGGGGGGCAGCTAGAAAAAGGGTGCATGGGTGTATAAAATGCTCAACAGTACTGTTACCAACCTCTTCCCTCTACATACTCATACTAGTCTGCCTTGCCGCTTTTGGTTTTACATATCTTGTTGAATTTTCTTACCAACAGTATGTTTCATTAAAAACTTGATTTAGAGTTTGATATCTGTACAGTTTTTTCTTTTTAGATTAAGGTGGGTGTATCCACTTCCTAGTGACAAAGTATAGAAAAAAGCTAGACCAAAATGGTATCACTGATGAATTACAAACATATGGTGTACAACTGCTGCACTTACAGAATAACAGTACAGGGGGATTCATCTGGAGGTTTTCCACAACAATTGGTGAATTTACTAGATGGAAATAGACATTTTCTGGTCAGAATTTAACCACAGAAATGTCCTTAAATGTTTGAAAGTAAAGGAATTGGACCCAAATTGGACAAATGATCCTCTAGTGAGGCACCTGCATAATCTAAAGAATAAAAGAGTTAAATTCCACAATACCTGGCACTTTTTAATGACAATGACACCAGAGTTTTTGTACCCTTTCTTCTTCTGTTTCTTCTTGCTGTTGATGCAATCAAACTCCGCCTAAGCAAAAACACACCAATCAGGTGTCAGACATACAAGCACAGCTCAAACAATAAGATTTAAAAAAAATCATTGAGATTATTCTAGATTCATCATATATTATATAAGAATATTTCCACTCTTTTGTTTGAATCTTGATGATTGAGGCTTACAGTTCACAGAAATCCACAATTTCAAAACATTAGGATATTACAAAACACAGATCCAAAAAAGGATTTCTAATGCAGAAACATCTTCATCTATGCTCTCAAGACTTGGTCAGGGCTCCTTTTGCATCACTACTCTATGAAGGTGATCAGTCTGTGTCTTTGATGGGGTCTTATTGAAGTCCAGGTTACTCTTTAGCTCATCTTTCATGTTGCCAAAGTGTCTCTCATCTTTCTTCTGATGATCCTCCAGAGATCCTCTATGGGATTCAGGTCAGACCAGTTGGCTGCTCCAGTAATAACATACTTAGAAAACCAGTTTCTGGTAGTTTTCACGCTGTAGGCAGGTGCCAGGTCCTGCTGGAAAAGGAAATCTGGATCTCCAAGAAAGCTTCTCAGCAGAGGAAGCAAGAAGGTCTCTAAAACCTCCTGGTAGACTTTAGGCTGCATTGACTCTGGACTTCAAAAGACCAGCAGCAGCAGATGACATGCATCCATATCATCACAGACTGTGGAAACTTCACACTGGACCTCAAGCATCTTGGATTTTGGGCCTCTCTGATCTTCCTCCAGACTCTAGGACCTTGATTTCCAAATGAGATTTTAAATTGATCTAAAAACAGGACTTTAGCGCGCCCCATGTACGAGGGTACCATGGTCCCCGCACCAATCGCAAGTGGGAGTCCGGCCCTGACCATGTGCTGCATGTCCTCCCTCCTCTCTCTCTATCTCCCCAAATTCCTCCCTGTACAACTGTACTATCATTAAAAGGCAAAAATCACCCGAAAAAAGGACTTCAGACCTCTAAGCACCAGCCCAGTTCTTTTCTTCTAAGTCAAAACAAGACTCTCTGACGTTGTATACAGTTCAGGTATGTCTTGACTTGTAGTCTATTTCCTGGACTCATCTGTGTATAAAGGCTCTTGATGCTCTGACTCCAGCCTCAGTCCAGTCCTTGTGAAGCTCCTCTAGGTTCTGAAATCTGCTTTGTTTGTCAGTCCTCTTCAGACTGCTCTCATCCCTGTTTTTGGTCTCCTTCTCCTCTTTCACTTTTCTCTTCAGTCAACTTTCCATGAATCTGCTTCATACAGACTCTGTGAACAGCCAGCCTTTACAGCCGGGACCCTCCTTGTGAAGGGGGTCTTCTGGACAACTATCTTTTAGCAGTTTGCGCCATGACTGTGGGTGGGTGAACTGAATCAGAGTGAGAGAATAAAGGCTCAGTAAACATGTACAGGTGAATTGAGGTGATTGAGAAACTGGACCTTTCCAAAATATTCTGATGTTTTCAGATAGCATTTTTTTTGTGAGCTGTAAGCCATTTTTATCAAGATTAAAAAATAAAGAGAAGTTTGATTTCTTTTTTTTTTTTATTAGATTACGGTAAAAAATGAAATTTGTTGGGACATTTAAAATTGTTCAATCTGCATCCATATTCACCGAGTAAGCTTTCCTAGAAAATATATGAGAACATCTGTCAAACTGATAAAAAGACAAAAAAAGTAAAAGGGCTCACAGCGTATGTTTGAGACGCCTGCTGTATTTGTGCAAGCGTAGTTCCAAAGCTCCCAATAAAGTCATGAGATCCGCTGCTGTTGTAGTCAAAACAATCCACCTGGCAAACAAAAACAGTCAGGAGAAACACAACAAATCCAGTTAATATGCACTCATGTGAGCTATAAATGTTTTATTCATCATTTAAAATTATATTAAACATGGTGTAAAAAGGAAAGCAGACAAGCTCAGACATGCTTTGTCTAATGTAGGACACTCTAATGTCAAGAAAACAACAGGAAACACAAAGACAAGTGCCTTAAGAGGACAACCTGGCTAATGTTTTCAGAGAGGATACCTGATGAGAATATTCTCTCTGTAACTTCAGAAATAAACAGATAAATAAAGATAAACAGGTGAAAAGGCATCATGGAGCACACAGTACAAACTATGCAGTGCTGCAGTCAGTCTAAACAATAAAGAACTTGAGCCACTTTTTGGGAGGCTGTCACATTGGTTAACTTACCAGTTAAAACATTAGATTACCTAGTTAAAGAACATTTGAAAGTTAAGGCTACTATCAGTGACAGAGAAAGATTTACAGATTTAATCTACTCTTAAAGCCCACCTGAGTTTGTCTTGGCCTTCTATGATACTGTTAAAACTGTATCTAAATCTGTAACCAGCCTTGATTACAATGATAGGACACATTTATTTTTATATTTTGTGCTCAAAACTAAATGAATTTAAAGTGATTATAAATGCATCTTGGTTATATTATGATTAATTTACAATAACTCAACTTTTTTCGTAAATTGTAGTGTGATCTTTAAAGCCACTGGCTTAGTGATGATGAACTTCCAGCCAAGACTTCCTTTTCCCTATGCTGCATTATTTGCAGTACAACTGGCGACATGAAAAATGAACATGTGTACAACAGAGCGAACTCAAACCCTCAAAAATGTCCACAAAGTAAACCTGTCTTGTCTGGCTACAAGACTACAAAATACACAGAGGCTTCAGTCTGGCTCACTTCAGTAGTTTGACACCAAAAAAAAAAGGTTCTTATTGTTAATAAGTGTTTGCAGGAGCTATTACATTATAATGCTGATTAATAAAAAGTAAAAAAAATAAGTCGTACTTTTTCAAAAAGCATCTTTTTCACTTTTTGCTGGGGGAAGGATCTGTCATCTGTGATGCATTTTAGTAAGTCAGCAACCGTAAACACAAACACCACTTGGCTTTAAAGACACAGCATTGAGCTGATTTGTGGCTCAGGTTTTATCCAGAACAGGCTGTGTTCTGACTGATTTTGCCCTCAATAGAGACTGTTTTCCACACCTGCAAGTAAGTTTGTTGATAAGTGATTGGTCCATACTACTCATATTTCCAACTTGCACAAACAGAAACCAGAATACTCTAACCTGTAAAACTGCAGGGACCTGTAAATAGGGATTAGTTAGCTGAAACTGGATCAACTCTTATGGCTTCAAATTTTCTGTACTTTTCCATTTGATAACATCTGTCTGCTCTGCCTAAAATTTGTTATTTGCATTGCTGTCCATACTGAAATCAAAGAAATACACAAAAGAAATGTTTTAGCACTGAACCATCTTTAGCTGAGCCTAGTTTGACAGGAAATACTGGACAGAGACACAGAAGTTTCAGCCACTCACCATACTTCCTTCATGCAGTTCAGTATGCAAATAAATGTCTGCTCTGTCTTTGTCTCTGGTGTCATGTTTTGGTCACTGAACTATCACAGAGACAAGTCCTTTAAATTTTGTTGTTCAGTGGTGGAGTAGGCTGTCACGGCCATACCCAGCATATCTGTATACTAGGCAGATACAGCATAGGGATGTAGAGTTCGTAAATGGGTCAGTTGTTTGAATGGCTCTTTTCATTTAACAATGAGTTTGCGAGCCGTTCTTATATGCAAATTGGCCACGCTGCCCTCACATGTCAGCAGTGTGCCCCAAACACTGGGTAGGGTAGTGCAATTTTTCATTAACATTTTAATCATGTCCTAACTTTCATTCTAGTTTTATTTATATTTTTTTACAAACACATATTTATAATTGCATATTTGTATTCTTATTTATTATTTTTATACTTTTTTCCTGTATTCTTCAAATGTTCTTGTGTAGTAAATTTTACAGTTGTTTTGCAGGGAAGTAATCTGTAGCTTGCATAATTTTTATTGTGCCACAAAGTTTTTTAGGTGAGGGAAAAATTCAAAATAGTGATCTCACTGTCAAAGCATGGGGTTATGAAAACACAAGCCAAATGAAATTATGAACAATATTTCAGAGGTATTCCCACCAATGAAGTATATCTTTTTACCAATAGATATCTGTGGGACATGTGATTTTGAATTATTCTGACACATATTGGAGTGACTGTTTCCATGATAAAAATGAGTTACCTCTGGTTGACTTCTAAAAAATAAATAAACGTAACAATGAGCCAGTCTTTTGAATGGCTCTTTAAAAGGAATGCCTCCACAAGATCCGGCTCCCTTCAAAGAGACATAAATCCCATCTCTAGACAGCAGAGAAATAATTACTCCCACCCTTTACACCTCGGATTTCAGTTTGTCCCTTTGGCTGACATTTTTAGTACCAAAGTGCAGAACAAACAAGTATAAACCAGCTTTCTTCCTACTGCTTTTACTGAGCTGGGCAATCTTATCTTACTGTCTGGGGATTAATGTGAGGATGAGTGAATTCTTAATTAGACGTTATAAAATAAGTTGCTATGCTCCAACGCTTTTTAACCTTTTTATGTTACCCCTAGTAAAGGTCATCAGGAGGCACACTATTTGCTTCCATGGCTATGCAGATGACACACATCTTTATATTACAGTCTCCTGTAGGCTTTCCACGGTTTGAGATTTAGCAGTACGGTACGGTGACGGTGACAGTACCATACACCTCGGTATTTCACGGTGACGGTATATTAAAAAAAAAAAACTTTAAAGCCCGGGCTCGAGCATATTATCTGTGCCTCTGGTTCGGAGGAGTCTGCCATCATCATGCCATGCTTTGTGCACGCTTCCTGGAATGGATCATGTGGATATGGCGGGGCGTCGCTTTAGGTGTGTTTTATACCAAAACTACCTTTCCGGGGGGGGGGTGCTTGATTGTTGGACTAAACCATTTATGGGGGGCAGCACATCATCATGGGCATGGCAGCCTGCCCAGAACTAATGGAATATAAGATTGTGTTTTTTCCAGCACATTGCAGCATCACACAGGTAGGAAATGATTCAATATTTTGGTGCTGCTGTCTTACTGTGGCCCAGACTGACCACTAATGTTAATGTGAACGTGAAGTGATATCTTAATTATGGCAAGTCGCGCTTGTGTTGAGGCGTAACGTGCGCTTTACGCGCCGGCGGCGCTACATAATATTGAAATTACGTCACCGTGAGCTCAGCAATCTCACGGTGTCGCCACCATGACTTTATTTCATCGTGATGACGGTGTATACGGTATACCGCAGAAAGTCTAGTCTCCTGACGACCCAGGGCCCGTTGATACCCTTTTTAACAGTATTTTAGATATCAAGTCAAGGATGATAGAGAACTTTTCACAGCTTAACCCAGACAAAACTCAGGTTTTAGTCACTGGTACTGGTATAAAGAGAGAAAAACTGGGTGCAAAACTTAAAGCACTTTCTTTAAACCAATGTCAGCAGGCCAAAAATCTTGGAGTGGTATTAAAATATGACCTTAGCCTTGAGCCACATATTAAAGAGCTGGGCTCGACATATCTCTGGCCTGGCTGTGCACCTGAAAGGCTCTGCAGACTCCAACTGGTCCAGTCGGGCCAGTTACAATAATGCCTCACATCATTTTCATATGAAAGCCAGATCATGGTGTTAGTGACTGCTATAGCGCGCGTGCACAAAGTGAATGACAGGTACTGTTGCAGACAGCTGTGCTGGTGTCACTTCCACCAGCGCACAAAAACATCAGATTTGACGCCTGACAGAAGACAGATTGTGATAGAGGCTTTTTCTTGTACATTTGATAAAATGCTTTTAAAACTGCCTGTTTCCAGTCAAAACAAAAGAAAATCAGCAAAGCAGCTGAGGGAGAGTGACAGAGTATGAGAAAAAGTGGAAGAGGAAATTCTGGACTGGAAATTCCTTGATCAGCAGAGGTTGATCTTTGCTGGAAGCAGCTGGAGGATGAACACACGCTCTCAGCCCTTTTTAATAAGTTACATCAATCCAAAAATTTATGTGATCAACGTAATTCTTAATGATCAATTAATCGATTAATCCTGCCCATTCCTACTTTTGCCAAATCTGCCGATCAATGCCCACATATGCAGACAAGTAAATTGGGTATAGAAAGTGAGGTAGTTTGTTCATAGGAATGAATTTGTAGTCTCTTCTGATGTGTAAATAAATCAGGAGATCTGCTTTTTATTAGCATAAGGAGATAACTTAGTATTGCCTGTATATAGGCCTGTTTACATCATATTAGCATAACAAGGTTTAAGAGTTAAATATAAAATGAAAATTGAATCAAAAATATTTTTCCTGGACCAATGGTCAAAGTGGTGGGGCCAGTGAACTTGATTTGTCACTCAGACCAGTGACAACTTAATCTTAATGCCAACCCCTGAAGAGTCATTTAAAAAGCATATTATCAACTGAGACCCATTGCTCCAGTGTGACAATTTTTCTTTTGCAGACACTAGTCCATCCAGTAGTCTTGACTTTTGTTGCCTTTGTTAGTTTTATCTGTTAAAGCACTTTGTAAACATCTGTTTTTAAAGATGATATATAAAGAAGTTATTATTATTTTATTCTTTTATCCCTACGACTGTAACACTCTTCTGACTGGTGTCCGTAAAAAAAGAGCATCTCCAGCTTCAACTGCTGCAAAGCTCGGCTGCAAGGATGCTGATGAAGACTTGAAAGAGAGCCCACATAACACCTATTCTAAAGTTTTTTAATTGTTCTTTCGTTTGTAATTGAATGTCAAACTGCAAAATATTTACCTACAGGTAATACTAAAGTAAGCTTAACCTACATGGAGAAAAATAAAAAAAATGCTGGCTGGAGTGATTCAGGGAAAGTTACTAATGTAGCTGGACTCATTGTGAACAACACTGTAGCCTAACACTGTAGTCCTTCTCATAAACAGGCTTATTATACAGGTGTAAATGGAAAAATGAGTGAAATTCCTTTTTTTAATGCTCATGGCTACATCATAGACTCTAATTACTCAGACACAAAGTATACAAACACAGATAAGTTAACCAATGTGCCAAAATCCCTTCAATTTGCAACATAATCCTTTTAGATATAGATGCAACTAGGATTGGGCTTGTTCTCTGAGAAGCACTGCATCCTACAGGAGAGCGCTGACGGTGCGGACAGAAAACTCACTTGCTCTGTGGACTTAGAAGTATCTCTTCCCCATTAGAGTGCATTTACAGGGTTAGAAACAAAAACAATACAAAAAAAAAACACAACATACATGAACTAAAGCTAATACACACTTCTGTATCAAAATCATCAGAAACGTATCCTTTATTTATGTCCTTAAATCAGTTTCATTAAATCTAACACATTCTTTGTTTCACTTCAGAGAAAGCAACTCTAGAAATTTTTCCTTTGACGCATCCACTACTCAATGGAAGGTTGACATTATAAGTACAAATATGTTCTACAGCTACTTAACATTACTACCAAAACCAGAAGTTGATAGTAAGGGCTTTACAGGATTCAGCAATCACCAACAGAGTAACAACAGCTGTAGATTTCATAACTTCCTCCAAAGAGGAGCCTTGCAGAGAGACAGACAGTATAAGAGCTGTACCTTTATGGGTTTCTCCACATCACTTCCACAAAGTAACTGCAGCGGGATACGGAACGGCCTCCATATTGGGTTGAGGTTGTTTTTCACCACCTGGTTGAAATGAACAACACAAACTTCAAACAGTTAAATCAGTTTTACATGTTACTTCACTGGCATAAATTTTAAAATGAGTATATTTTTTCACAACAGAGTTCAAACTCTCAAAAGTTTCAATATCTCAGGGTTTAAATGCTTTGTAAACTAGCAAATTTGGTTTTAAATCAACACTGCGCATGTTCCCAACTTTGACAGAAATGGGGTTGCATGTTTGTACCTCTGTCCTATGTGCCAGCTGCCATCCAGTTTCTGTCTGCCTGTAAAACTCCAGGAAAGGGTCAGACTTGCCAAAGAAATCCTGGAAATGAAATAGAAAATAATATTCAGCAACATCTGGTATTCTGCTCAGATGTGATTCAGGGAACTTTTTTGTGACAGTGTGCAACGATGAGGACAGTATGAACATTGACGGACAGGTTGACTGCTTTACCAAATAGATCAGCTTCTGTAGAGACAAGAGAGTGACACAGGAGTGGATTTTCACTCCAGTCCGACCCCACTCCCACAGAAAAAAAGAAAAGAAATCCAGTCCCATACCAATTCTGAGCAAATTAAAAAAAAAAATCCTGTCCCATCCGACTCCTGGTGAAATGACTCCCATTATTATTATCATTGTTAATAATAACAATAATAATAATTATTATTATTATTATTATTATTAGTAGTAGTAGTAGTAGTAGTAGTAATAATATTATATATAATGATAATGATAATAATAATAATAATAATAATAATAATAATAATAATAATAACAATTATTATTATTATTATTATTATTATTATTATTTTACTTTGTTCAGTTTTTCGGCAATACATTGAATTTGGTTTAATTTTTCTTTCCATTCTTTTTTTAGATTACCTTGAGTTTTACAGTTTTATTTTTATAATTTATGGCAACAGGAACAGGTGAATTTATTGCCTCCATCCAAACAAAAACCTTCACTAAAGGGCACAAAACATAAATAATACATGGCCTGTGGTCCCTATAGATTTTCTATGGATGAACAGCTGCTAAGTCCATTTCTAGCCCTTTTGGAGCTCAGTTACAGCATTAAAAAAAAAAAAAAAAAAAAAAAAGAAAACACCGTGTCACACCATGTCTACCTCACACATTGCCTCTTTCCTGGGATTTGCCTTGCAAGTGTGCCTCTTAAGACCACTTGTCCCTGACTCACTATTGTATTTAACATGACTAAACACACATTACAAGCAGCATACGGCATCTCAAGGGGATATTCTGGCATACAATTAATTTAGGTTCAAACACGCGCAACATCGACTTAGACACCCCCTCAAGAGATGAATGTTGCTGACTGCTTGCTTCTCTAGTTATACCAATTTTAGTAAAGACCACACGATAGCAATACACAGCGGTCTACGGCTCCACACGCACACCTAAACCAAAAGGCCACTCTATAGCCACAAATAATGCTCAGAACAGCACCTAACTTCATCAACAGTACATATAGGGTCCCTTCAGGCATAGTGCAGGTGTCAGAAAGATCCAGACAGGCGGTAATGTTGGAGTTGACTGTTCCTTGGGAAGACCGGATAGGGGAGGCCTTTGAAAGGAAGAGGGCCAAATATGAGGAGCTGGCAAGCAAGTGCCGACAGAATGGTTGGAAGACCTGGTGTGACCCCATTGAAGGGGGGTGTAGGGGCTTCGCGGGGCCAGTCTTTCTGTAGGGCACTGAAGAGGCTGGGAGTGAGAGGACTGCACAGCAGGAGAACCATCAAGGCCATATCAGATGCCACAGAGAGGGCATCAAGATGGCTGTGGATCAAGCGGGGTGAACCATGGACTACTAAAGCTACTTAGGAGTATGATGTTGAAAGACCCGAAACACACAGGGCCCTGGGTTACATCACTGATGATGTGCCTAAGTATGCATCGCAAGATGTCTGAAAAAAACACTGTGCCCTGTCTTATCTGGAGGAACCTGGGGTTTATGTGAGGATCATATTCTTTGACTTTTCAAGTGCATTCAACACCATCCAACCCACCATACTCAAAGACAAGCTCACAGAGATGGGAGTGGATCCTGCCTGTGTTTCCTGAATCGCAGATTACCTGACAGGAAGGCACAGTTTGTCAGACTGGGAAACTGTGTTTCTGGGACATTAATGAGCAGTACAGGGGCTCCACAAGGGACAGTTCTGGCTCCATTCTGCTCACACTGTATACGTCAGACTTCAAATACAGCACTGAGTCCTGCCACATCCAGAAATAGATGACACAGCTATTGTGGCAAGTATCATAAATGAACAAGAGGCTGAATACAGAGACTGGAGTCACAAAAACTGCCTCCTACTCGACACCTCAAATACAAAAGAAATGGTTATAGACTTCCGCAGATCCAAACCCCCTCTTCAGCCTGTGAACACCTGTGGAGTGGACATCGAAGTGGTGACATCTTATAAATACCTAGGTGTACATTTGGATAACAAGTTGGACTGGTCTAAAGACATAGACTTCATCGACAAAAAGGGGCAGAGCCGCCTCTTTTGCCCGAGAAAACTCCGATCAATGGATATCTGTAGTATGATGCCGCGGATGTTTTATCAGTTGTCTGAGATGTAGGAGTGTGTTTTGATGCTCTATTACACAGTCAGTCATTGAAGAGGGGGTATTATGCACTTTTTTCAGACTATACTTCTTCTCTGATTCCTCATTAATATTTTTACATGATTTTCAGATAATAATAATAATAGTACATTTTATTTGTAAAGCGCTTTTCACAAACTCAAAGACGCTGTGGGGGCGGCGACTGAGAATGCTCTGTCCCCCCAGGTTCGGTGCTTGGTCGAGGGAACTGTGAGGAGGTTGGCGTTGGTGGAGCGGAGGGTGCGGGGGGGGGATGTAGGGGTGGAGAAGATCTTGCAAGTAGGGGGGGGCCTGGTTGTGGAGCGCTTTGTGGGTGAGAAGGAGGATTTTGTACTGAATGCAATGGGGGATGGGGAGCCAGTGAAGGTTCTGGAGGACGGGGGTGATGTGTTGGTGGGAGCGTGCATGGGTGAGGAGGCGGGCGGCAGAGTTCTGGATGAGCTGAAGTGGAGGCGGGCAATGTTTTTGAGGTGGTAGTAGGCTGTTTTGGTGATTTGCTTTACATGCTGTGTGAAGGAGAGGTTGCTGTCAAAAAGAATACCAAGGTTGCGACAGTGGGGGGAGGGGGAGAGGGTGGAGTTGTTAATGGAGAGATGAAAGTCTGTGACTGTGGAGGTGAGGGATTTTGGACCGATGATGAGGAGATCTGTTTTGTCGTAGTTGAGCTTTAGAAGGTTGTTTGACATCAGTGAGGCAGTTTGAGAGGGAGCGTTGGGTCTGGAGGGTGATGGCGGTGGAAGAGATGTACAATTGAATGTCATCAGCATAGCAGTGGAAATGGAGATTGTGTTGACGGAGGATGTGGCCAAGAGGGAGGAGGTAGATGATGAAGAGGAGAGGACCAAGCACCGAACCCTGGGGGACACCTTGGGACACGGGGGCAGTTGTGGAGGAGCAGTTGTTGATGTGGATGAAGTAATTCCGGTCTGTGAGATATGAGTGGATCCAGTTGAGAGCAGTGTCTGTGATATTGAGGAGGGAGTGTAGGCGGGACAGGAGGATGGCGTGGTCAATGGTGTCAAAAGCGGCAGATGAAAAAAAACTCAAATTTCTCATATTGGTGTCTTGAAATATACAAAACAAGACAGCCTGGTTAGACCTTAATATTGTTTCAGGCCTAGTTTTAAACTATTTGTCCCCATTCTTGTGTTTCAACTTAGTTTAAAATCAACTACCAGCCTAGCTACTATAAAATTAAACTAGATCATGCAGGTTAGTTAGGGCTAATTAACTTGGCTAATGTTATAATTGAGACGTTTACAATAAACAAGCCTAACAGACATTAAGATAATCTCTGGGCATTTATTACAGTTTCATCTAACATTACAGTCTGGTATGAAATTCTTGTAAACTGGGTTGATAACCCAGGAGGGGAAACCGCGTCATTGTTGATTTTCAGTAAGTGTTTACACTTACTGAAAATCAACAATGACGCTTCAGGCTTATGTTAGGATAACGTTAGCCTTTCATAACTTTAGCGAACAGGCACAGTTTAACTCCTGGTGACAAAATATCTTTTCCTCGAAATGTGCTGCCATATTGCCAGTAGTTTAAAATGATGATTCATTTGGAAACCACCTTAAAACTTAGAGCACTACTGAGGAAACATCAGAATTATGTCTTACATGAAAGTAGGTTCTCTCGATACATGCCACTCACTTGAAAGACGTTTATTCTGCCTTTCTTGCATTTCCGCACATCTTTCAAGGAGACCTGCAGTGACCTGTCAATCAACTGGAGTGGCACTGAGGTGTTCAGAATATTTTTTGCAGCATGACCCGCCCTACTCTGCCTCTGATTGGCTCATCAGTCCTCATCCCTAAAGTTAACCAATCTAATTAGTGAAGGCAGCGAGTACCAGCCAGTTAGAGGCAGAGGAGGGTGGGTCATGGCTTCACCACCCTTGAGGAAAAAATTGGCATTCTGGCACACACACAGAATGAGTGCACATCAGGGGGGATTTAGAAGTGTGTATACACAATGCTGACTGAAAAATAAGTAGGAATACGCTGTATACCACAGACTACATCACTGACCTATTTCTCTCAAACATTGTTGACAAATTTGTCTAAATCTGTGTCAGTGAACACTTGGCATATCAAGATGCTGATGAGACAGCATGATTATTGCACAGGTGTGCCTTGGACTAGCCACAATAAAGGCCACTCTTAAAGGTAAAGTGAATGGCATCTGATTATTCTGCACCCCCCTGAAAAAGCACCTGTGTCAAGTCTGTTCCTTAAAGCCCTGCGGCCTTACTTATATATCAAAACATGGGGTTTTGGGGGCGTGGTTATGGCGCTGAACTGAACACCTGCGTTTTTGTGAGCTCCTGGCGATTTTTCAGTAAAATCCTGTAAACTCTCCTTTTACTGCACAAACAGTGCAACTTTCACTCGCGGCGACTTAACTGCATACCCGCGACAATGCCGAAGAAAATCAAATCTAAATCAAACTTTTCTCAGTGTGAAGAAGACGACGTCTCAGATGCTAATAGCCTAGCTAACTCAGAGTGTGATGCTAGCCTCTTGCCACTGCCTCGTGAGGACAACGTGGACTCTAGATCAGCTCAAAACATGGACGTCATTCAGATACTCGACCAGATCAGAAATGACTTTTCCACTAAGTTTGATGTGGTGCTGAAAGCCATCCAAGATGTTAAAAGAGACATGCAGGACTTCTCGGCGCGCATGGATGAAGCAGAAGTGCGCATTAGCACTGTAGAGGACACAGTTAACTCAGAGAAAGGCAAGGCAGACGCGCTAGCCAAACAAGTGACTCTCCTAACGAACAAACTTGACGACCTCGAAAACCGCTCTCGTCGCTCCAACCTACGGATAGTTAACGTGCCAGAGAAGGCGGAAGGAAACGACACAGTTGCTTTCCTGGAGAAATGGCTCCCCGAAGTGCTGGGACCAGCAACATTCCCGAGTCCACCTCTCATTGAAAGAGCTCACAGGTTACCCGGCTGGATGCAACCGAACTGTTCAACCACACCGAGAGTCATCATCGTGAAGTTTTTAAACTTCCAGGATAAAGTCCGAGTGATGCGAACTTCCAGGGCCAAAGGCAAAGTTATCTATGCTGGCCAAGAGGTCATGTTCTTCCCCGATATCTCGACGGAGCTCCACCGGCGCAGGAGGGGTTTCGACCGGGTAAAACAACAGCTGAGATCAATGAACATTCTTTACGGAATAATCTACCCAGCCAAGCTACAAGTGTCGTCTGATGGACAAACACGTGAGTTTGAATCCCCAGCTGAAGCTGAAAAGTTCGTTCAAGGGTTACAGAACACTGAAGACTGACAGGTTAATTAAATGAACCGTTGGACTCATTACTATCCACCTATAACAGCTATAGTTTGATATTGATAGATTATGGGCCAGTTACCCACATGTGAAAGATTTTTCTCTCTTTTTCTTCTGCAGAGACTTTTCTGTTTTGTTTACATAATTGTAATATTTCGTCAATCTCCGCAGATGTAGATGGGCTTTTCATGTACGTTTTATGTACAGAGACTGCCACGCGCCCTTTTTTTTACTGAAGTGGGCTTTCATTCCTTTTGTTTTCACATTTAAAGTGGTTATTCAGTAAGCTGTCAGCTTTCCTAAATGTGGGTGAAGCTGCAAGAAAAACTGTTATGAACATTTCATATATACTTGTTTGTGTAGATTCCTTTTTTTTTTTTTTTTTTTTTTTTTTTTGCCAGGAGACACAATTGTCCTGCAAGTTTTGGTAGGTCTGTTATAATGACTGCATGGTTTGGTTTAACTGCTCCCTTGTTTACACTGGATCAGTGTGTGCATTTAACTGCACCCCGAGGTCAGGGGGAGGATGGGAAAAGACATGGGGCTGTCTTGTTCAGGTTGACAGCTAAGGGTTTTTGTTCATGGCAGAGCGAGTGTGTGGTTTTTTTTCTTCTCTTGTACACTCCCAAAATATCAAACAGTATTGAAATTAGATGACCTCAAACAAGAATTTTAAATTTACTTCATGGAATGTTAGAGGGATGGTAAAGTTGACTAAATTAAAACAGGTGATTACCAGGGTGAAACAACTTAAGTCATCAATAGTGTTTATTCAGGAGACTCATTTACTCAGAGAAGACTTGGTTAAAATACGTAGGAGATGGCCAGGCAAAGTACTAGCATCCTGTTTCCCTTCTCATTCAAGAGGGGTGATGGTGTTAATTCATAACTCGGTGCCTCTTCAAATAAATTACACTATTCATGACAAAAATGGTAGATTTTTGGTGGTTCAGAGAACTCTCCTGAGAGAAACCATTAATTTGGTTAATATATATGGCCCCAATGATGATAACCCATCATTTTTTGAAAACTTATTTTTATTGCTGGCCACCCTCCCTGGTAAGTTAATATTGGCAGGTGACTTAAACTGTGCTTTAGACCCAAAACTAGATCGCTCAGCAGGGATAGATACATCCCATTCCCAAACAAGAGAGAAAATTCAACAATATATGAAAGATCTGAACCTATGTGATCCTTGGAGAGCTCAAAACCCCAACAAAAGGGAATTGTTAGAATAATGTGCATAAATGTATATAGAAGTTATCATTATTCCTCATATTCTTATGTAAGAATTTATACTACAAGTATAAACTCCTTTGACCTCTTTTTATACATCATATAAGAGTATTTTTATCATATAAGAGTGTTTTCTAACTTCTCTCTCCAATAGCTTAATTACACAGCACATGAATGTTTCTTAACTTCTCTGTGAACTCGTTTCTCCTATCAGCAGGCGTGTGTGATGTATCCTCCACTATGAATCGTGGGAAGGAAATAAGGGGAGGACACGCTTATCAGAAGGAGCTCGTTAGATGCCACCTTGACCTTCACATATTCACAAGTTGTTCATTATTATGCTTTATGAGAGTGCTTACGTTGCTACACATATTTTTCCCCACCCTTTAGAAACATTGTGTGACCAGGGACAACCCTAAATAAAAGAGACTGGGCGGAAATACCTTTCAGAGTGGTTTCGAGATGGTACCTGAAGCTATCTCGGTCCATTCTCCTCGAGTATATACCATTGTCTTTCTCTTCTTTATATGTTATCAGGTAAATGTTGCAGGTTTTAGACCTAACAGGAATACTCGTGCTATTCTGCAGTATTTAAAACCCACTCCCGAATAGATTATTGTTTGATTTCCTCATCTCTGCTACCCAGTATAACTAATTGTGTATATGATAGTATTGTTTTATCTGATCATGCCCCCACCTCTCTCTTTTACAACATCGATCAAGGGTTCAGACATTCGACCAATCGGCGATTACATCCCAAATGGCTGCAGAATTCTGGATTTATAAAATTTGTAGGAGAACATATTGATCTCTACTTCTCTATAAACACAAATCAAACAACTGCAGCAATTAGATGGGAAGCTTTTAAAGCATATATTAGAGGGCAAATGATAAGTTACACCAGTTCTAAATTCAACAAATTCAAACAGACTATGATTGAATTGGACTCTAAAATTAGAGAATTAGAGAGAGAGGTTAGCATAGATGATTCAACACAAAAAAAACAGGAACTACTGACCCTTAAAGCAAAATATGAGGAGCTCTCCTTGCTTAAGGCTGAAGATGGTATAATAAGACTGAAACAATCCTTTTATGATCAGGGTGAGAAGCCGGGTAAACTGCTAGCTTGGCAGATTAAGAAACTTGAATCCGACAGAGCAATCAACATAATTAGGAACAAACAAGGAGACCTATCTACAGATCCCACAGAAATTAATAACACCTTTGTCTCATATTATAAAACCCTTTATAATTCTGACAGCCCTCCAGACCTGGTAAACCAAAGTAATTTCCTAGATGGTTTGGTCATTCCCTGTATCTCTGAAGGTACAAAAACTGAACTGGAGAGAGAAATAAATTTAAATGACATCTCCAACGCCATTACAAACATGAGAGGAGGTAAAGCTTCATGTCCAGATGGGCTTCCAATAGATATTTACAAATTGTTTAAAACAAAATTAATTGCCCCATTATTGGATGTTTATTTTCTATTTTCTATTCTAAAACCAGGGAAAGTGCCAACCGAAAGTGCCTCTTACAGACCCATTTCACTTTTAAATTCTGATGCGAAGATTATAGCTAAGGTTCTAGCCATGAGACTCGAGAGGGTTCTACCAGCCATTATACATGGAGACCAGAATGGCTTTGTGCAAAAGCGGCAGGGGTTCCACAGTGTGAGGAGAGTTCTTAACATAATTCATGAATGTGAAGAATCCCCTGACACTGCAATTTTATCACTTGACGCCGAAAAAGCGTTCGACCAAGTCGAATGGCCCTATCTACTCGAGGTGCTTAGACAATTTGGATTTGGGGATCACTGTCGTCGATTGGTCGAAATTTTATTTGTTGATTCCTCTGCAATGGTATCTACCAATAATCTCACCTCAAAGCCTTTTGAGTTATTTCGGGGCACTAGGCAAGGGTCACCAATTTCCCCTCTTCTTTTTGTAATAGCCATGGAACCATTAGCCAGGGTTTTTCCTGCGTTCAAAATTACGTGGCGGCCGCCTCCACCTAATTTTGTGCCGCCCCCAGCCAGAGCAATTGATTTCGCTCAACACAGCGTAAAGCTCCAGCTGTGTTGATTGAGCGATTGATGTCCTGATGCAGCAGCAACGTATTTTAACTGCAGTTGCAGCGTTGCGCCACTATAGAGGCGCTATATCAACAGCAGTGCACCGGAAAGACCTGAAGCATCTACCGAAGAAGAAACGGATCGAATCATGTTTTTTCAAGTTTTTTTCCCGCTAGTTGGTGCCAGAGTGGTCGATTAAACAATGTTTAATCGACCACTCTGGTTGGTGCTATCGGCGTCCTGATTTTCCCTGGCGGATGGTACAAACAGGTAAATACTGCTTCTCTTTTTTGCATCCAAGCATGTCGTGTTTATTTAAAAAAAAAGTTTACTCCGTTTTTAGCGTTGCAGTTATGACAGGCAAAATCAGCCAGTACTTTAAAAAGCGACCTCGCGAGGAGGAAAGTCAAGAGTCCAGGTGAAACACAGCAGAGAAAAAACGTAACAGGCAGTTAAAATGCTATAATTCATGTTGGTGACAACGTGGACATTTGTGTCAGGTCTGAAAGTACTTCACAAGGGACTGGTGATCGCGAGGGTCAGAATGCAGGACAGGACGAGTCGGCGAGGCGAGGGTAATTAATTAATTAGTTTCCAATTAGGAGCATAACAACGCAAAGCCGACGTGTACGTGGTTTTTATTCCTCTTTCCAGATCTTCTCAAAAACACAGAGCCAGTGGCTTTGACAAGCAATGGCTCAATCAATTTACCTGGCTCAGGCATACTGAGGAAGGCATGCACTGCTATTTATGCCAAAAGCACTGTGCCCCAACGCAGCAGGCAATCGCTGCCTCCTTAGTGAGACAGCCATCAACCAACTACAGGCTGGACACATTAAAAAGACGAGGTGACAGCCATTCACAAAGCAGCAGAAGAGAAGGAGAAATATATTAAAGATGGTAGTACCTAAAAAAACTTAACTAATAAAGTTACAAAAAATAAATAACATAGTTTAGATAGTTTAAGAAATAATTGGTTGTCGTTTTTTTTTTTAGGGAGGACACTGCAGCGTATACATATATATGATTGAAAACACTATCACTCTTCATGTCTGTATCAGAATAAAAACCAAAATACTTAATGCATGATGAATGGTTTTGTTTAAGGTGAAGACACCTCTGCGGAACAGACTGAAGGAGAGGCACTTGGATGTCTGTTGTAAGGTGGCCGTTGATGGACCAGACCAGGAGGCCTTGGACTACAAGGAGTGCATGAGGAGGTTCTACAGAATGAAAAAGAGGAGGCTGAAATGTTCTGTCTGGTTGCGAGATGTGTGGATGAAGTGTACTTTCAATTTAAAGTTGCCAGCTGATTTGTGTATGTATATAGTTTTAATAAATGAATGCTTTAACATAATAATGGTCACACTCTTTTTTGAACTCTTAACTTAAAGTATGTTGCCTGTAAAAGAAAGTGAATCGGTTGAATTTACAAATACATGCACGTCGTGGCGCATGGTCAGGATGGTGCCACCTCTGCCTCAATTTGAGCCAGGAAAAACCCTGCATTAGCAATAGCGATCAGATCTCATCCCTTAATTCATGGTATTGAGACCGGAGATTTAGAACACAATACAGCGATGTACGCTAATGATACTATTGTATTCTTATCACAACTGGCAGAATCGATACCATCTCTCTTGGAGCTGTTTAATCAATTTGGAAGTATATCCGGGTTTAAAGTGAACAAAGAAAAGTCATCTATAATGTTTCTAAATGAAAACGAAAGGAAGAAACCTTTACTATCACATCCATTTATGAATGCCACTGAGGGATTTATGTACTTGGGGGTCAAAATAACCCCAAAAATTAATAATCTCAGCTCAGCCAATTATGAGCCTTTGTTACTTAGCGTGTCAGAAGAAATCACGAGATGGACAACGCTACCTCTCTCTATTTTGGGAAGAATAAACTTAAAGGGGACCTGCCATAAAAATGTAATTTTTGGGGTTTTTTGTGTCATATAAGGTCCATATTATGTTCGTCTTATGTTGTACATGTGAAAACAAACCGTTACGTCGTTTGCATTCTATAAAGGTTTAAAATCAAGGAACGAGTAAACCAGGCCAAATGAAAAAGCCCGTCGGTGTTACGTTGCGCCGACCTTGCTCATTATTATTCACGAGCGCGTCCTCGGTGAGCCGTGCCCACTCTCTCGTTCTCGTACTCAGTCACAGCCAGAGCGAGACCCAGCTACCGCTGTATCCGCTATGGGTCTCTTCCAAACGATCGGTGTTTCCTTCAGTTCACTGCCGGGAAAATGAACTTAAAGCCGGGCAGAATGAATGAGAAAACACCGCTGGAGATCTCCGGCTTCTTCCTCAACTTCCACCTCCTCTTCGGACTCGGGGTCTAAAATATATGGTTTAATACCTGCCGTTTTTAGCCTTTAGCATAAGGTGACCAGACGTCCCTGATTTCCGGGGACAGTCCCCGTATTGGATGATCTGTCCCCGGCAAAAGCTGTCCCCGAAAATGTCCCCGATTTAAGCGTTTCATTAATGAGAGCATTACAGTTATTACAGTAGCCGAATTTAGTTAGCAGTCCTGAACAACAGTTCTTACGGGGGTTATTACAAGGGGCATGCGCTGCTACTAAATAGTACTGAGACTTTGTCTGTGATCACACAGCCCCTGCAGCCCCTGCACCACCGCCGCCGCACCGAATATCCCCGGATATCATTACAGACATCTGGGCACCTTACTTTAGCACACATTAGCATATGCTATTAGCATTAGCATAATAACAGTGGATAAACCGAAATCCGAACCTCCACTGCTGAGCCAATCAGAGCACAGCAGGCTTCACAGCAGCGATCCAATCAGAGCAAAGCTCATTACCATAAATGTTAATGAGCCAAAACCAGTTGGTTTTCCTGTAAGGTTTTTTAGGCATACTAAAACAAACCATCAAATAACTTTTCAGCTAAAATTATGTTGCAAACATGATCAGAGGACATCAAGGATTATGAAAAATTGATAAAAATGGGTATGAAATTTTGGTGGCAGGTCCCCTTTAATAAAAACGACTATGTTACCTAAATTTCTATTTATTTTTCAATCAATTCCACTAGCCCCTCCTCCTTCTTTTTTTCCCCAAGACCAAAAAGCTTCTTTCCAATTTCATTTGGAACAATAGGAAGCCAAGACTCAGACTCTCCCTCTTACATCTACCTTACGATGGGGGGGGGGGGGCTACAACTGCCTAATCTAGAACGGTATTATTGGGCTGCACAGTTGAGGGCCACAATGTTCTGGTTTTCTAAAGATGTTGTCATGCCCTGGTTAGAAATTGAAAAACAATCCTCAAAAGGTTTACCATTGAACAGCTATTTATACTCAGCATCCTTTAAAACATTAAAGAAAGTTACTACTAATCCTTTTTCAAAAAACACCATTGTTGTTTGGCATGTAGTACAAAAATTATTATGTGACTCTCCAAAGTTGTCCTGTTTTGCCCAGATCTGGGGTAATGATCACTTTGCCCCGGCAAAGAACGACATGGGCTTTAAAACATGGCTGAACAAGGGTATAGTAAAAGTGCAGGATATATATGAGGATTATACTCTAATGTCATTCAGTGAGTTAAAGGCAAAGTTTGATATACCGCAAAAACATTTCTTTAAGTATTTACAACTTCTACGTTTTATTTTGTCTCACTTAAACAATTCAGTACAACAACCTCCATTATCCACCTTAGAAACACATGTCATAAAAGACTGTTTTGGGAAAAGATTGGTTTCCCGGTTTTATAATATGCTGGTTGAAAACCATAAGGAAAACTCGGACAGTAAGAGACGGGAGTGGATATATGACTTAGAAGAGGACATTTCACCCGTGAATGGAGTAATATATGTTTAAAAACACATACTCTAACCATCAACACTCGATTGAGAATGATACAATTTAATTGGATAATGCGAACATATATTTCCCCTGTACAATTAAATAAATTTGATTCTAATGTACCTGATCTATGTTATAAATGTAACAACCACCAGGGTACATTGTTTCACTGTTTATGGAAATGTAAAGAAATCCAAAAATTTTGGAGCTCTGTGTTAAACTATATCTCTCACATCACAACTTCCCCGGTACCTCTATGTCCTAAGCTATGCATTTTAGGCATTTATCCGGAGGACTGTCCTTTATCTCACAAAGAAAGGAAAATGGTTGACCTTTGTTTACCGCAGGCCAAACGTTGTATTGCGTTATGTTGGAAGAATGTTAGCTGCCCCTCTTTTAACCAATGGCTGAATAACTTAATGTCGTGTTTGGCTCTTGAGAAGCTGACCTATATTGTCAGAGGGAAGCCTTCTAAATTTTATGTCATTTGGAAGATGTTTCTAGAAATTTTTAAAGTTGGAGATACGGAGGTGGCAATGGGAAATAAATAACATTTATGGTGCTGACAAGAGTATACTTTCACTACTTTGTTGATGTAATTTATTCCTTTTTATTTTGTTAACTTGATTTTTTTTTTCCCCTTTTGTATTTGTATTTTTATTTATTTATTTATTTATTTTTTCTCATTATTACTTTCATTACTGCCATATGTTTAATGTGTTGCTGTTGTTGGAACACAAAAAACAATAAAGATATGTTTAAAAAAAAAAAACATGGGGTTTGATCAGGATCTGTGTGCAATTTCTTTTCTCTATTGTATACAAATTTGGGGGAAAATTTTTCATCAAGGTCAAAGGGACAAGCCAAAAAAAAAGAGCGATTACTTAAGTTTTTCAAACTTCTACTGCTCTGCCTCAGGTTTTTTTTTTCTTTTGTATAAATAAATACTTACATAGGAATGTTTGTTGTAGGTGTGCTCCTTGTATATAACATAACTACTAGTATTAATTATTTAAAATCTCTGAAGAATCTCATCATAATGTACACATTCCAGCAGTAGCCCCTGTGGCCCTTTCAAAATTTTAAGGAGGGAATTTTCTAGTTTCTAAACCTCTAATTTCACTGTAATGTTGTTACCAGTACCTTTTTATCCAGTTTTCTTGCTGCAGCTTCAAGTTCCACCATCCTGTTGTCTGTTCTTTCTTCAGCACATATCTTAAAAAACATTGACAGCACCAGGTAAAGCTAACAACCATAAAATGTTCTCCTAATTTCAAATACTGGGAATGCTTCAGTTAGCCTAAATAAATTAACTCACAGAGATGGTTCCCCTCCCTGCAGGTCTCTTGTCTTTCATGACAAGAGGTCGCATTAGTTTCCTTGAGGACACGATCTACACAGAAAAATAAAAGAATTTTCAATTAAATGCAGTAAGATTGTCACAGTATTAAAAAGGACATAAAAGACTCAATCAAAATAAAAGTCTTCCAAAACAAATATCATCAGAAATAAACTTCTGCCGTGACTGTAAAGAAGACTCACCTGTCCCAAGGTACATTCCAGTTCTCCAAGGAAGTCAGCGTCTTGCAGACTGTAGTTTTCACTGTCAATGTCATACACTTCAAACTTGAGCTTCTGCACCATCTCGAAATAGTAGTCGATGACAAACGTCTTGGAAAACTTAGGGTTAAGGCAGTTGTCGATTTTCTCTGTCCGACCAATCTAAAAAAGACAGGGAATGTTTCAGGATGGAGGAAGTCTTTTTCTGACACTTTTTCCACCTATTTTTGCAGCTGAACAGCTTTGTGTACTTTTACTGTCTCCAAATACTTAGCATTTCTGCAAGGTAAAAACCTTTGAACCTCCTCACCTCAGTCCAGTGCTGCCCTGAGCTGTTCATGAGGAGCACACACAAAGGGTCAGACTTAGAGAAAGTGTCCATGTCCGGCAGATTCTCACAGCAGATGCTTAACGCCACTTTGGTCACACAGTCGGTGACCTTTGGCCCCTGGACTCCCACTGCCGCCATTACAGTCTGCAAAACTCACTCTCACACCAACTAAAACCAATGAACAGAAAAACAGACCTTCAGCAGTTCTGACAAACCTTAAGGAAGAAAAAAATAAAATGCTGTCTTTAAGTGCAGATGATCAGACATGTATACTCTTCCATTGTAAGAAACACCAAGTCATTCCTGTGCTCAAACTTGCCTGCTACTGTTTTTGTGACTTCCATTTGTTTAAGAAACTGACAATAAACAGTCAAACACCTTTGATTCTGCCATGTATGATTTATGCACTCTTCATCACAGTCAGAAATAAGGCTGTTGTAATATGTCTTTGCTTTGTTGAAATAGAGTCCACTGACAGGGTTTCACCAATGTTCGATGGGCTTATGTTTAAGAAACCTCTGGGCTGGTGAGGATGATGGATGATAGGACACATTACGAAATTGGTAACGTTGTTTTGCTCCTCTTAGAGTCATCTTTTTTTTTTTCTACATTTTTCGAAGTTCAAGAAATACGTACGCATATATCAAAAAGTAAAAACGGTTTTTTAAAATGCAAGGGGGATACTAAATACTGAACTCACAATGTGCAAAGTTATGACTCAGGTATGACTTATACTGACTGTTTAAGCCATTATATTTCTGGTTAATCATTTGCTCCATTACCTAACTAGATGCTCACATAATACATTTGGCATGATTTCCATAAAATACGTTGCCACACCCAGGTATTGTCAGCGTCTCAAGAAACAAGCCGAACTTCGTCCATAAAGGAAATGATATGAGTATGTACAATCTCTTTTTCAATTCGGCTTTTTCAGTTTCGGACAAGTATTCGATTTTTCCATCACAGTACCACTATGTTACATCAGCTAATAGAGTCGCATACTTTGAAGTTGACTGACGGACCAGCAGCACTTTCGACGGCCACTTGAACTGAATCTGGTGCCTCTCTAGATTCGGTGCCAGTGACAGCACTAGCTTTGGCCCAGAGGGATACCGACTTAAAACTAAGTAAATCAAAAACACTGACGGTTAGACAGTTAAAGTTGGATTTGAGATGTCTATCTATTAAATTCCAAACCGGGGTACGATAACTCAACGCAGTAGAGATGAAATTACAAGTTACCGTTGAAGTCAAAGTAGTTAACGCCCATTTAAGCTTAAGCCAGCTATCAGTCACATGATACATTAAAGTAAAGCATTAGGCACAATGTCAATCATAAAACAGACCAAAAGCTAAAAAAAGTTAACTTTAGCATCTGACATTAAAGCAAATACCACAAAACTGTCAAAGGAGGGCGTCTACTTGTCACTCTCACCTTGTCATCAAGCTGAGCTAGCTCGCCAGTGCAACATTAAGCAGTTTGTTATTGTGATCATAGACATAATATACGTAGACGCCTCATACACTGACACTAACCTCACGTATCAATGCAGGCCGCCATCTTGGATGGGTCCCCATGGGCCCCCTCCAATGCGGTAGATAGGAATGCCCATAACACTCCGACTTTTAGCCCAATTTTCACACGGTTTGGTTTGTTACAAACGGCAGAAATGTAGCTATGATACAGGACGCTGTCATGCATTTAAAATTACCAAAATCATTTTTAATCTTATTTATGAAATGTTATTTAACGTGATCTGGTTTCAATACCGCGTCGGTGTTTTAACCGTAGGATGCACAAAATACGGGTATCGTTGCTCGTTCTCCGTTGATTTCGTTTGGCTCTGGACTAGTGCGAGCCGAAAGTGAGGAGACCCATCAAATATGGCGGCGACGCCGGATCACGCTTAAGCGTGTAATGATGCGTCTACGTTTGTTATGGCTATGGTTATCGTCGTGGTGCTGCAGTGAGCTAGCTGGCAGATGGGCAGGGCGAGGTACGTTTGTTTGTGGTGCAGAAACGCCCGTTAGTCTGACACCGCACACAGGAGAAAATAACATCACAATAATGTCTTTTTTTTTTAACCACAGCATGTTTGCTTTCACACAGTTAAAAACAATTATTTTGTTGTCTTGAGAGCTGCAGATTTCTATGATTCTATGATGATTCTATGCGTCACCCGTCTGTGTCGCTGTCTTTTTCATTATATGTTTGAAATTATTTTATTGGTTTTCACCATAGACTGTATAGAATATACAGTATATAATATAGTATATACAGTCTATGGTTTTAACTGTTCAGCTCCATAGATGTATGCAAATTACATGGAAAATTAAAAAAAAATCTTTTTGCTTAGTTTAGATACAAGTATTTCTAAACTAAAAAGAGGAAACAGTAATTTATACATACATACACACAGTAATTTATGGGGTGCCGTTTGTAAAGCAGCCCATTATAAAAACAACAGCAAGACTTGGTCACATTTAGCAAAACAACAGCAAGATTTAGTCACATTTAGCTCCAAACAGCATTTAAAAAAGTGATGTGAATTTTCGGCAGTCATTTTTTTGCGCATTTACAACAACATTTAAATACTAAAACTAAATGTTAAATGTTAAATCTAAATGTTAAATCTAAATCTAAATGTTAAATCTAAATCTAAATGTTAAATCTAAATGTTAAATCTAAATGTGTTGGGCGAAACTAAATATTTAGCTAATATGCAAATTCACGGTCGGAAACCGGAAGTGCCAAAATAAAAGCTCCAGAAGGTCATATTGATGATTCTTGTGTCGAAGAAAACGAATTAAAACCAATTTAAGGGGGGGACAAATACTTGGGGTGACGTTTCGTGTTAATAACTACCTACAATAGCGACAGCAACAACAAAAACTTTATTAGAAAGACTCGAGTTTTCAGTGTCGCTTCTCCGTATGGCACGGACACTGTACGAACACACGCACACACACATGCAGGCGCACACACCATACTGCTCGATGGCACCTTACCGATTCAAGAAGTGCATTGGCCATACGGGTAACGCGGACGACTGAGACGCAGGAATCCGGGGTTCGAAACCCTGTCTTTTGTCTTTTGGGTCATTTATTCATTTATTCATTTATTTATTAGCTTAATTTAATTCATTCACTGCCATTTAGAAGAGTCTGGCGCAGGTTGTCAGCAAATCTCGTGTGTTTTTTTTTTTTTTTGGGGGGCGGATTTTCCACTTCGACCAACAATCCGCCCATCCTTTGTGCGCGCCCCCCTTCCCCCACCACCACCACCCCGAAACCGGCCCGCGCTGTAAGGTCAAGCTTCTTCAAGCCTGAATTGAACAAAAAATGTCCGGGGATTCTGCGCTCGCGGAGAACATCGGGAGAGCTGTATTAGCAGCCATCAGAACTCTTCCTCCCTCTGCAGCTTCATCGGTGGCTGTGGCGGACGCTGTGTTCGTACAGTGTCCGCGCCATACGGAGAAGCGACACTGAAAACTCGAGTCTTTCTAATAAAGTTTTTGTTGTTGCTGTCGCTATTGTAGGTAGTTATTAACACGAAACGTCACCTCAAGTATTTGTCCCCCCCTTAAATTGGTTTTAATTCGTTTTCTTCGACACAAGAATCATCAATATGACCTTCTGGAGCTTTTATTTTGGCACTTCCGGTTTCCGACCGTGAATTTGCATATTAGCTAAATATTTAGTTTCACCCAACACATTTAGATTTAACATTTAGATTTAGATTTAACATTTAGATTTAGATTTAACATTTAGATTTATATTTAACATTTAGATTTAGATTTAACATTTAGATTTAACATTTAACATTTAGTTTTAGTATTTAAATGTTGTTGTAAATGCGCAAAAAAATGACTGCCGAAAATTCACATCACTTTTTTAAATGCTGTTTGAAGCTAAATGTGACTAAATCTTGCTGTTGTTTTGCTAAATGTGACCAAATCTTGCTGTTGTTTTTATAATGGGCTGCTTTACAAACGGCACCCCATAGTAATTTGTGTCTTTTCATCTTAGTAAATGATACGTTTATTTATTTATTTTCTGATTTAACAAGGAACATCTTGAGGACTTTGGACCTTGGGCCCATTTCTACCACATTTCTATTCACAAACATCATTTAGCAAAGTCAGTTTGACATTCAGAACTCTGGAGGCAACCAACCACTTAATTCTTTCTAGCTGCTCTCTTTTCTGAGCTGTGGTTCCATCAAATCAGACTGTTATTAAAAAGGTGAGGGTAGATCCACAAAAGCAAGCCTTCAGCTGACTCTGATTTCTCAGCTGTCTTAGTTCAGTCTGCTGAAATTTGCTGGTCATGGTTGTTCTGGTGTGTGCCCATGTCAGAGTGGAGGAAATGATAGGAGATGGAAATTTAAAATCAAATCAAATCAAACTTTATTTATATAGCACTTTTCAGGCAAAAAGAAATGCAGCACAAAGTGCTATACAATTTAAAACAATGAGCCCCCCCATATCCAGCCCGCTACCCCAACACACACACACACACGCACGCACGCACGCACGCACACACAGATGATGCAATCTTAAAAGCGTGTGGCTGAGTACAGATGAGCTAGGAAATGTCAGGAGGATGACTGCACTGGAGGCCACTCACGGCCCAGGGCCAGGACACCTCCACCCGGGTGCGCACCCTGCTACAGGCCAGTTAGGGGCCCACAGCAGCAAGCACTGCTGCAGACCACCACCTGGCCAAGCTGAGTGCACACCACGAGGCAGAGAAACCCTAGACAGAACCAGTCACAGCCTCCAGTGCGGGTGGCCCCCCTACTGAGGAAACACTGGAGAAATGCAATAAATACATAAACTAAATCAGCTAAAAACATCAAACTACATACAATTATAAAATACTGATAAATAGCTAAAATACCATTTAAAAATAAGTGAAAAAATAGAATAAACATAACATGTAAAATGAGGACTAATATATATAAAGGAAATAAAATAAGATAAAAATAGGATAAAAATATTTATTAAAAATAATACATTAATTAAAAGCGAAATTAAATAGGTGGGTCTTGAGCCTGCTTTGAAAAATATGAACATTCTCTGCGGCCCTAAGGTCCTCCGGCAGGCTATTCCAAAGACGGGGGCCATAGTGCTAGAAAGATGCCTCACCGTAAGTTCGTGTTCTCACTTTGGGGACTATTAAAAGGCCAGTGTCAGAGGATCTCAGGTTCCGCGAGGGTTCATATTGTAAAAGCAATTCTGAAAGATTAGAAGGTCCAAGACGCCTAAGATATTTAAAAACCATTAAAAGGGCCTTAAAATCAATCCTAAAGCACACAGGGAGCCAATGCAGTGATTTTAAAACCGGTGTAATATGTGCCCGCCTTCTGATCCTCGTCAGCACACCTGCTGCTGAGTTTTGCAACAGTTGTAAACTTGCAATGTGTCTTTTTGGAAGACCAGAAAGCAGGGCGTAACAATTGTCAAGACAACTGGAGATAAAAGCATGCATTAGCATCTCTGTGTTAGCCCAGGAGAGAAAGGGGTGGACTCTGGCTTTATTCTTTCAATGATAAAACCCTGTTTTTGTTATATTTTTAATATGTGGGATAAAAGTCAGCTCAGAGTCAAAGATGACGCCCAGATTCTTTACTTGATTTGATGGAATTAAGGACAGGGTTTTCAGTTTTGTTAAAAGTTTCTCTCCCTGAACCTTAGGCTCAATGATTAAAACCTCAGTTTTGTCCTGGGGTCCGTTTCACGTAGCAGGTTTAGTGGAAACTCTGAGTTTGTTAACCCTGAAATCAGGGAAACTCTGAGTTTTCCGTTTCACAAAGGAGGGTTAGTTAAACCAGGGAGAGAGGGGTAACTCTAACCTGTTTCACAAAGAGAGGTAACTCAACCTCGCGGTCAGTTACCACAGTAACAGACTCCGTGAACCTAACCTGCTCGGGAGCAGGTTTAACTCAGTAAACCCAGAGTTTCAGGTGAGACATCGGCATTTTCTCATTTTGATCATGTTTTACATTGTCAAGTAAGTATTAAGTGGCAGTTTGATCCCTTAAAAAATGCTCTTTTCACACTCAAAACTGAATTTTACTCTCTTATTATGTTCCGTTAAATGATTAGGAATATTAAACTAACACAAAAACGGGTGGTGGTCCAGCAGCCCCACCTTTAACGGAGGCAGAGGAGCTGCCCCCCCCCCCCCCCCCCCCCCCGCCGTTCGACGATCGCGGCCGGTCCGATCGCAAATCACCCCCCCCCCCCTTTCTGTTTGCTGAGTGAAAGTCTAATATTGAGTGTAGTGAGTGTTAGTTTAATATATGTACATATACATACTGAGAGTTAGTTTAATATTCCTAATCATTTAACGGAACATCATAAGAGAGTAAAATTCATTTTTGAGTGTGAAAAGAGCATTTTCTAAGGGATCAAACTGCCACTTAATACTTACTTGACAATGTAAAACATGATCAAAATGATTCAAGCAGTTTCCCTGCAGTCTGTCATTGTGATTGCACGAGACTAGATTTAAAGTTACGCATTGACGCGAGCAGCGATTTCCTCCCATGCCCTCTCCCTCTCCTTTGCAGCTGCTGCTGTATTGCACTTTCTTTTAACAACGTGCTGTAATTCGCTGTTGGCTTGCTGCTGCCCCCTCCTTCTCCCTGTTTCCATTGGTTGATCATTGAATCTGCGCTCCACAGATGCTGGCTGTTTATGTCTGGCGTGCACGTGCTTAACTCCAGGTCAAACTACTCGGAGTTGTTAAAACCGTCTCAAATCAGGTATTGTGAAACCGGAAACTCAGAGTTTCCTAACTCAGAGTAGATCAACTCAGAGTTAAGGATTTAACTCAGAGTTTGTTGAACCACCTACGTGAAACGGACCCCTGGTTGAGTTGTAGGAAGTTTTCTGCCATTCAGGATTTAATGTCTAGGATACAGCTAAAAAGGGCATCAATTGGCCCTGTGTCATCAGGAGACGTGGCTATGTAGAGCTGTGTGTCATTCAGCATAACTGTGAAAAGTGATACCATGCCTCCTGATGACATCTCCCAGTGGGAGCATATATAAATTAAATAGTATGGGGCCTAAAATTGAGCCTTGGGGCACACCACATTTAATGCTATGAATCTTTGAAGAGCATGTGTCCAAACTTACTAGAAACTTTCGATCTGTGAGATAGGAGTTAAACCACTGAAAGGCAGTACCAGAGAGGCCTACAAGGTGCCTTGGTCTATTTAAAAGAATTGTGTGATCTACTGTATCAAAAGCAGCACTTAGATCCAGTAGCACAATGACTGTAAGCTTGTGTGAGCCCAAGTTGCACCTAAGATCATTGACAATTTTCAGTAGTGCAGTCTCTGTACTGTGGTTCGTCCTAAATCCAGATTGAAATTTCTCCAGGATGGAACAGTTATTTAACAAAATCATTCAACTGAATAAAAACAAGTTTTTCTAAAAAAATAAAATCAACCAGGACAAAACTGTCCAGTGTTTCCTCAGGTAAAAACAAGCTTTCCACTGTATTACAAACAGTGTTTTGAATAGATAAAATAGAAGATCGTATAAAATCAATTTTACCCCTGAAGTAGTCTGCAAAACCTTCACAAAGTGTGTCTGAAGGAGTGATTTGATATCTGTTAAAAACTGGGTTGATTAAAAGATCAATCGTAGCAAAGAGGATTTTAGGGTTATTTTTATGATCCGTGATTATATTCGTGAAATAGGTGGATCTTGTGTGTCTGAGACATAGACTGTATATACTATGGACAACTTGGTTCCGCCTTCCGCCTGTATACAGATTTGAAGCCAAAAGGCTCTCGATATTTCCGGGATTTTTCTTCATTTCCTGAAACCAGCGCTGCGCAGTAGCGATGCACGCATTCGGCAGTCGCCGAGAGTCACTGTGATGACGCTCGGCTCAAACAGCGTATCCCCCTGGGTGAGCTACGCAATCTCTGAACATCCATAGGCTGTATCAGGTGTCAATCATAGAAAACATGACCCCCCTAATAACTTTTAAAAATTGAGCTTCACAGAAAAAAGAGGACTTGACCACAAACCAGTCTTATAATAACTACATGTCAACATCACAACCAGGAGGGAGAAAAATTTATGTTCTGTGTAATAAATTTCTAAAGTTTGTCCACAGCTCCATAAACTTTGCTGGCGGAGGCGGGATTTATGGCCTATACTGCAGCCCATCAACAGAGGGTGCAGTTCTCGGAGTGGCTTCACCCAGCGAGGAGGCAGACTCTGTCCATTCTATATACAGTCTATGGTCTGAGAGCTTTATTGTACATTTTCAGTTGCTTGCAGTATATTTGATGATTTATACCCTGCAATTTCTTTTTAGTTTTTTTATTTCCTCATTTCTCCATGGCGGTGTGCGCTTAGGCAGTACCTTTTTGTTCTCAGTGGAGCTACAAGGTCGAGTGTAGTTTCGAGTTTGTTGATAAAATGTTGAACAATAAAATCACAGGATGCAGGTAGAGTAGCTGAGGGATGCTTGGTCAAGATCTCGATCAAATTTGCAACCACTTCTGATGTAAAATAGCGTTTCCTGACAGTTCACACTAAGGTCTCCCGCTGAATAAAACTGGTGATATTAAAAAACACACAATAATGGTCCGACACAGCCAGATCAACAACAGAGGACATACTGGCTGACAGGCCATAGCTGAGGACTAGAACCAAAGTGTGTCCTCTGTTGTGAGTCAGCTGTGTGACGTGTTGTGTAAAATCCAAGCAACTAGGTAGATTTAAAAACTCTTTTGCCATTGAATCAGATGGATTGTCCATGTGTAAATTAAAATCACCAGATATAACAATTAAATTGTAAGTGGCATGGATTATTGCTAAAAATTCTGAAAATTCACTGATAAAAGCAACATCATGTTTTGGTGGTCTGTAAACAGTTTTACAAAGAATTGAGGGACTGTTAAAAACAACCGCATGATGTTCAAAGGTGGTGTACTGATCAAATTGTATTTCTTTTGTGCTTAGTGAGTTGTTGATTATTGATGCAGTACCACCATCTTTCCTGCCACTTCTAAGAGAGAACATAAAGTTAAAATTAGGTGGGGAGGCCTCAGTGAGAATAACTGGGACGTCTGTACCCAGCCACGTTTCAGTTAAAAACAGACAATCAACCTTGTTATCTAAAATCAGGTCATGGACAATAAAAGATTTGTTTAAAAGAGAGCGAATATTTAAAAGTGCCATGTTAATGTTGACGGGTGATTTACAGACTGTGGGCTCTATTTTCGTGCCTCGCCGGAGACGTGCCGCAAGCGCAGCGTCAGTCAGATCCGCCGCGCTGACAAGGCGTTCCCAAGCACATTTTGGTATTTTGGTGAGCCGCGCAGCCCGGCGTAAGTATCCCCCCTCCCTAACTCAGCTCCTCCCAGCAGCAAAAGTCGTAGACGGGGAGGAGAGGGCGTGGAGTGGGTTTAACACAGCCGAGACCTGTTTTCACCAATCACATAAGCTCCTCTCCTTGCCTTTAAATCCGCCACAGGCGAGGCGTATTACTATTTTCATGAAGTAGTCAAAGAGATCAAGAGATGTCTTAAGACAGTAATGCCACAAGATGGCGACAGAGGGCAGCTCCTCAACAAGTGTCCTCCACACTCTCTCATATGAGCACAGATGGATTTGGTGTGTGTAATGTTGGACCCACTGGTAAGACAAACACCCTTTTCCACAAATAAAGACACTCACATAAAGTTGCTCATATTCAAACGTCACGTGACAAAGGTGGGTTGAGCGCACAGATCACAACATAAACTCCAAAAATGGCATTAAAATCGGAACCATCTGTGCGTAAATGACGCATCGCGCTCCGTGGCCTGGCTCTTTCTTTCATAGATGTTGGCATATAAAATAAATTTGACTCACAAAACTGAATATTATAATATCCGTATGTCGGCTTAAAGTAGATAACGCATCTGAGCACTGAAACAAATCATCTGTTCAGCCGCAGCAGCAGCAAGACGGACAGAGGACACGGAGACGTGTCCAGGTCGAGCTGTGCGAGAAATAAGAGGAAGACAGAAAAGGAGGGAGACGAATTACATATCTTGTTAACTTCATCATGTTTGTTTATTTACTAGATATTTAATTTAATTTGATGCGGTTTCAGCTGTGTTGATTCGGTCAGGTTGTGTGTCCAAGCGCGTGCCAAACGCGCTCATCAGATCAGATATAGATCAGAATATATCTATATAGATCTAAATGTATGTGCTGACTCAGATTAATAGTTGTTGATGATTATGTATTGCACTGAAATGTGCCTGACACTGTGGAAACCTGCCGGTGAGGCATCAGTGACGTATGTCGATACGCCGCAGGTCTACCAAAATACTACGAGACCAGCTGCGCTCCGCCATGCGCTGAAAGCTGACCAGGTTTGAATCGGCGAGCTTTCAGCGCACTTTACACGCCTGTGGCGAGCACGAAAATGTCACCGCGCCTGCTTATTCTGTCGACACCTCCCCCTGCCACGCCACCACGCCCAGCTTGGCGGATCTCAGCTCACCTCCGTGCGACTCAGTCCACGAAAATACCAAACTGGCCTTACGCCGGGCTCCGCCAGACGAAAATACAACTGCGCGGGGCACGCCGCCCTCCGCCGCCTCACCGGCGCGCACGAAAATAGAGCCCTGTGTGGTTAGATTATTGATGTTTGGGGAGAGGTCTAAGGTTATTGAAGTTCACAGAGTGTACATGATGGAGTCTGGTTGTCTCTCGCTGAGTGATTATGACAGGAATGGGTGATTGGTTAATGAAAACAGAGGGACTAAGTCCAGTATTGTGTGTGACAGAGGTGGAACTAAAATCATAGGAACTGGGACCTGGGGGACATCAATCAGTTGCGGAAAGGTCAGTCAGTGTATGTTTGGGGTGATGGGAGGAAAGTGAGAGTTGAGTATGTTGTGGACCGTATGCCAGGTTGGCTGCCAGCACACGGGTGCCAGCTCCAGTAAGATGAAGACCATCTGAGCCAAAAAGATGTCTCCTCTCCCAAAAAACATCGAAATTGCCAACAAAGCCGACATTGTGGGTACTGCAGGCTGATGAGAGCCAGGTGTTCAGGCTGAGCAGCCTGCTGTAGCGCCCAATGCCTCTGCCACAGGTGGGGGTGGGGCTGGAGATCAAAACGCGCAGCTGGGGCTGTGAGAGTTTGTGAAAAAGCTGTGTGAAATCACGCTTTAAAAGCTCGGACTGTTGTCTGGAGGTGTCATTGGTGCCCACATGTATGACGACCCTGTTTACCTGTGGATATGAATTCAGGGCGCAAAGAGTTGATGGACTGTATCAGCTAGGCATTGAAGGAAGTGAATCTATCTGTCACATTGCATCAGTTGCTGCCAGCTTGTGTTACTAGTGCCTTGGTCATGCCAACAATCTGAAGGAGCTAAAAGATCTAGTAAACGGAGTGGACATCTCTCATGAAGCAGCTAGAAGCATGCCGTCACATGCAAAGTTGCCAAAGATGTTCTTGGCAGAGGCTGTAGGCACCGCAGCTTACATACAGAACAAGCTGCCCACAGCTGTTCTTTTTTTTTAACTTTATTTTTCAAGTTTTTTGTACAAAACATGGTTAAACAACAGCAAAAACAGAAAAAGGAAAAAACAGAAAATAAACATGCACACATATGCCAGTGTACCTGAGCACATATGGGCCCGTATTCGCTTTCACCCACATGTCCAAATAGTCGTAGACTGATCGCTAGATACATAATTGCACTTATACACATGCGCACATTCATAAGAACAATACATGAAAGAAACTGTGGGGTTGCGAGTGAGTCGCCACTGATTACAGCATTATGGTCATTGTTTTCTTAAACCAGAATATACAAAGTCTTAAGGAAGGCTATCACCTTTTCTTGTGATGTAGGTATTCCATTTTTCCCAGAGGACATTACCTTTGTCCCTTTGTAATCTAAGACTAAAGGTTAGCAGTTTCATAGTTTGAATGTCTTTAATTATGGCTTTCCACTGATTAACCGTGGGAGGTTCCGTGTTGAGCCATCTTCTTGTTATGGCTTTTTTGCTCGCTGCCATAAAAATTTTTAGGAGGTATCTGTCTTTCTTTGGTAGTTCAGTGTCCATATTACCCAGGTAGAATGATAGGCAAGTAAAATCAAAATTATACTGCAAAACTTCTCTAGTTACGTTTTGAACTTGTTCCCAGAAGGGTTTAAGAGTGGGACAGCTCCAGAATATGTGTGTATGATCTGCCATACCATGTCCACATCCTCTCCAGCATGTAGGTTGTAGTTCTGTCTGTTTACACTTTTGCTTTGGTGTTATAAAGAATCGAATGCAATTTTTCCAGGAGAAATCTCTCCACAGTTGTGAGGACGTAGTGGTGATTTGTGTATCAATTATATTTGTCCAGTCTTCTGAGGTAATTACAGTTTCCAGTTCTTTTTCTCATTTTTTCCTTAATATAGTTTGTTGAGTGGCCTCTTAGATCAGATATATGTCTATATAGTTCACCAATTATTTTGTTGGACAGTTTTGTATTATAGGCTTTGATAAACATTTTTATGATACTTGATATACAGTATTTTCCTCTATGAGTCCTTTAATGTTCTTATCAAAGTAGTGTCGAAGTTGGAGATACCTATAGAAATGCCGGTGCTCGGCAGTTCGTGAAAGACGGTACACCCCTCCCTTCTCTGCCTGTCTCCAGTCGTTCGGAAGTCGTTCATTTTGTTCACAGTCTGACTGATCAGTTCCACTCCCGACTGGCACAACACGCTCGCAGCTGAGCTCAACTGAACTGAGAAAGGAAGGAATCACCCACCCGGGACGCTGTAGGTTGTTAAGGGAAGGTCCCGCCCTCCTTCGCCTCTGATTGGCTATAAGTGCTGACCGTTTGGCTTGAGAGTGTGATGACGTTTCCAGCTTTTCTAGCAAATCAGAGGCGAAGGAGGCGGTATTTTCCCTGGTAAAGTCTTCCCCGGATGCGTCTTTTTTCCCCACAGTAAGTCGCAAAATCGCATCGGGCTTGATGTGTATAGTCAGGCACGTCAAAATTCGTCTCCGAATATTTTGTGATTATATATTATATATTCATGTCGGCCGCGGTGTGTCAGGACCATAGACTGTATATAAGATGGACACCCTGGTTCCGCCTTCCGCCTGTATACGGATTTGAAGCCAAAAAACTCTCTGTAATTCCGGGTTTTTCTCCACTTCCTTGAAACCAGAGCTGTGCAGTAGCGTTGTGCGCATTCGGCCGCGCAGTCGTTTGAGCCGAGAGTCCCTGTGATGACGCTCGGCTCAAACAGCGTATCCCCCCGGGAGAGCTACGCAATCCCTGAACGCCCATAGGCTGTACCAGGTGTCAATCATAGAAAACATGAACCCATAATAACTTTTAAAAACGGAGCTGTACAGAAAAAGAGGACTTGGGCACAAACCAGTCTTACAATAACTACATGTCAACATCACAAGCAAGGGGGAGAAAAATGTATGTTCTGTGTAATAAATTTCTAAAGTTTGTCCACAGTCCCATAAGCTTTGCTGGCGGAGGCGGGATTTATGACCTGTACTGCAGCCCACCATCAGAGGGTGCTGTTCTCGGAGTGGCTTCACCCAGCGAGGAGGCAGACTCTGTCCATCTTATATACAGTCTATGGTCAGGACCTTAAGACAGCATCACCTGCTACCCCTGTGTAGGGTCAATAGGGTCAACTGTGATGGTTAAGAGGTAATTTAGGACTAACTGTTTAAATATCTTTAATATCAAAGGTGTTTGCCTGTAAACCAGCCTGAAGTCATTGTAGTCACATGTAAGTCTGGTTTAGGGCAGGTCACAGCACTGAGACAGCCCTCTACAAAGTGACTCACAATTTACTTTTAGCCACAGATGGGGGGCAGGTGGCACTACTGCAAATTTCAATTCTAATACCTGAGATGTATCCCAAGGTTCAGTTTTAGGTCTGATTTTATTCTCTTTTCATGTGCTGCCCCTTTGCCAAATAATTCAGCAGCAAAGAGCTATTGCTATACAGATGACACACAGATATACCTCCCTCATAGTTTTTAGGATCCTAGAAGCCTGGCTGCTGTCAAATACTATGTAAATAATATCAGCAGCTGGACAGCTCAAAACTTTTCCTTTTTTTACACAAAAATTCCACCCACCTTGTAAGGTCAAGTCTCCTTTTCAGAAAACATAAAACCCACTGGAAATCTGGAAGTAGTATTGGCCTCTGACCTCACCTTCTTAACCCACATCAATAAAGTGGTCTTGTCATGCTTTTTTCACATGAGACAAGACAAGATAAGATAAGATAAGATAAGATAAGATAAGAAGAACCTTATTGATCCCGAAGGGATATTCAATTGTCTGGGTTCTCATGTCTCAAGTTTTATGGCATCTAGTATTTACAGTCAAGTTGTAGTTTCTGACGGCTGTGGGTACAAAAGCTCTTGTGAATCTTTCTGTCCTGCAGCGGAGTGAGAAAGGCCACCCATTACCATTGGCCCATTGGTCAGTTATGAAGTAGATGATCCATGTTTTTTGTAATATTCTCCACCTTCCTCAGTGTAAATCTCTCCACCACATATTTCAGTGAGTCCAACTTGATTCCAACCACAGAGCTAGCTTTTTAACTACTTTTGTTAAAGCGTCTTGCATCTTTGTGTTTGATACTGCCTCCAAATTCAACCACCTATTAGAAGCAACTGCATCACCATGTTCAAGCTCGCCCTTTGACATGGCGCAGACATGAGCATTAATATGCTAGTAGGACGTTTCAGTAGGTGGGAAAAACCCCATCAGATTATGCTTCCATATAAACAAAACTTGATTGAGTGTCTTCCACTCTCATTTTTCCCCTTGTATTTTGTTTTATTAATGGAAAGCAAATTAAATAGCCTTGTGTATGAATGCGGTATACAAATACATTTGCCTTACCTAGCCTCAAATATCTGCTCTCCTTATTTTTGGCGCGTTCCTCTATGTAAGTGATTTCCAAACTGGGGTACATGTACCCCCAGGGGTATGCATAAAGACGTTGGGGGGGTACGCGAAGGGGGAAAAAAAGTGATTTGAAAACAGCCTGATTACATTTTGAAACAGGTGTAGGGTAATCTTTCACATGCCAAAGACTACCCTTTAGTGTTCAACGAATTGCACTGTCAAAACAAATGTAAACGTGCTAGACTCACGTTGACTGATTGACACCTGTGGGTGTGTCTGTGTAGAGTTGCTGTCACTCATGCTGACTGCCCGATAACCGCCAAAAATGGATAAATGGCTAAAACGGATTAATTGCACTTCCAGAGAGTCTTCAACTGCTACCACCAGTCAGCCCACATGTGAAGAGGCAAATGCTAGCAACAACAACCCAGGCTATTCCTCAACCTTACCGTCTAACTTTGACCTGGATGCTGGAAGCAGTGCAGATGTGGCTAGCGAAGCTGTTAGCATAGCCACGGACAGCGGAGTCGGATGCAGAGTCTCCTTATGCAAGAAAGCATACAGCGCCAGCCTCAGACAGGAAGATGACCTCGTCAAAAAGGCACAAATATAATGAGAACTACATTGCTTTAGGGTTCACTTGCTTTAACACTGGTGGATTTACTTGGCCACAGTGTGTTATATGTGCACTGTCTCAGAATTCAATGAAACGTTCACTGTTGCACAAACATTTAGAAACAAATCATGCTCCTTTGAAAAATAAGTCACAGGATTTTCTTGAATGAGAACTGAGAAGACTTTCTACCAGTAAGACATGCATACGAAAGACAGATACCATTGACAAGAATGGGCTACAAGCATCTTACATGGTTTGTTACTGAGTGGCTAAAACCCACAAGCCTCACACTATTGTGGAGGACTTGATTAGGGCAGCTGCGAGAGCCCTATTGTTCCTGATGGATTCTTCTTTCTTCTTCTTCTTCTTCTTATTAGGGCCCGAGCGTAGCTGCTAAGCAGCTGCGAGAGCCCTCTTGTTCCTGCATGTTTCCTTCTTTAGGGCCCGAGCGTAGCTGCTAAGCAGCTGCGAGAGCCCTCTTGTTCCTGATGGATTCTTCTTTAGGGCCCGAGCGTAGCTGCTAAGCAGCTGCGAGAGCCCTCTTGTTCCTGATGGATTCTTCTTTTGTTATTAGGGCCCGAGCCAGCTGCAGAGCAGCCGGGCGTAGAGCCCTATTATTCCTGTATAGGTTTTTCTTTCTTCTTTCTTTCTTTCTTTCTTCTTATTTTTCCTCCCCTTTGAAGGGGAAAATGGCCCACTTCCCACTGGCGAAAACTCAGGAAATTTGGCAGGACGACCGGGCCTGGTGAAAAATTCGATATTCTGAAGTCGCCCAAACAATAAAATGCAAAATGGCTCCATAGCGCCCCCTAAGGTGAAAATTCACACTATTGACTGTCACGCCTGTACGCTTTGTCATATTGACACAAAAATTGACACACACATGTATCTCAATAAGATCTACAAAAAAGTCAGTGCGGGCGTATCTGTCAAATGTACGGTTAAAGGGTTATTTCGCATTTTTTGCAGATCCGCACACATTGGAATTTCGCTAACTCCTCCGAAGGCTTTCGTTCCACCGGCACCACATTTGCTCAGGCCAATCTACACTCCATGGCCATTCAAAGTTGTACAAATCATGATGCTGCACTCCATGGTTTAGGTTCTAGGGGGCGCCAAAAATAACCCAAAAATCCACATTCTTAAAAGTTTTATAACTTTTTTTTTTTGTCCTCACTGGCCTCCAAGTTTTCTAGGATGATGCAATGTCCAGCCATCAACACATTTGTAAAGGAATTTTTACTCCCCAAAAGAGCGCCCCCCCATGGCAGGACAAAAGATCAATTTTTTCTTGTCCCCTAAGGTGAAAATACACATTGTTGAGATTCACGCCTGTATGCTTTGTCAAAATGACACAAAATTTGACACACACGTGTATCTCAATAAGATCTACGAAAAAGTCAATGCGCGCGTATCTGTAAAATGTACGGCTAAACGGCTATTTTGCATTTTTTGCCGATTCGCACACATTGGAATGTGGCTAACTCCTCCTAAGGCTTCCGTCCCACTGACACCAAATTTGCTCAGGCCAATCTACACCCCATGGCCAGTCAAAGTTGTAAAAATCATGCCGCTGCACCCCATGGTTTACGTTCTAGGGGGCGCCAAAGATGACCCAAATATCCACATTCTTAAAAGTCGTTTTGGCCACTGCAGGAGTACAGAGTACTGCAGGATACACACACACAGACACACACACACACAGACACACACACACACACACGCACACACACACACACACACACACATACACACTCAGAGTCTGTTTTTTAGCACCTGCAAAAACATGCTATTTACATATTTGACAACAATGCAGAGACTTCCTTTTGCCCCTGAAAAAAATGAAATTTCAAACACAACTTGACTGCTCATTTCTCCAAAAGACATCCATGAAGCTCCATCCAAACCTGAAGCAGGCAGTTGGTGCATGTGTACAGTAACCTGAGGGGAGTGAGGTGACTGCTTCTGAGGAGAACATGAGCAGTGAAGATTCACCTTGGAGCTAGAACAGGGACGTGCACATGATTATACAGGGGCAGGGGCTCAAGTTTTTTCCAGTCGTTTAGACAATATGGAAATTAATGTGAAATTAAAAAACAAAGTATTAATAGAAAGGTAATGACTGTCCTGTGTAGGTGACAGTGATATCCAATAGGCTAGGCACTCACGAGGCTGGCTGTGGCAAGTGCAAGTGAAAGCCACACGCACTGGCAGGAAGAACGCCGATGAAGGAAAAGGGTCTTCGCAGTGATGGGCGTTACCAGAGAGGGCGATGGCCAGAGGACGCGAATGGGACGGGGAGGCAGCGCGTTGGGGGGGGGGGCGCGACACAGCTCGGGCCCGCCAGTGCCCCAACGGGGCCCTAGTTTGTTATTAGGGCCCGAGCGTAGCTGCTAAGCAGCTGCGAGAGCCCTCTTGTTCCTGATGGATTCTTCTTTCGTTATTAGGGCCCGAGCGTAGCTGCTAAGCAGCTGCGAGAGCCCTATTATTCCCCAAGTGGTTTTTCTTTGTTTCTTTTTAGGGCCCGAGCGTAGCTGCTAAGCAGCTGCGAGAGCCCTCTTGTTCCTGATGGATTCTTCTTTTGTTATTATTAGGGCCCGAGCGTAGCTGCTCAGCAGCTGCGAGAGCCCTCTTGTTCCTGATGGATTCTTCTTTCGTTATTTTTCCTCCGCTTTAAACTGGAAAATGGCCCACTTCCCACTGACGAAAACTCAGGAAATTTGGCAGGACGACCGGGCCTGGTGAAAAATTTGATATTCTGAAGTCGCCCAAACAAAAAAATGAAAAATGGCTCCATAGCGCCCCCTATGGTGAAAACTCACCTGACACCTGTACGCTTTGTCAAAATGACACAAAATTTGACACACATGTGTATCTCAATAAGATCTATGAAAAAGTCAACGGGCACGTAAGTGTAAAATGTACTGTTAAAGGGCTATTTTGCATTTTTTGCCGATTCGCACACATTGGAATTTTGCTAACTCCTCCTAAGGCTTTCGTTCCACCGGCACCACATTTGCACAGGCCAATCTACACCCCATGGCCATTAAAAGTTGTACAAATCATGACGCTGCACCCCACGGTTTAGGTTCTAGGGGGCGCCAAAGATAACCCAAAAATCCACATTCTTAAAAGTCTTATAACTTTTTAATTTTGTCCTCACTGGCCTCCAAGTTTTATAGGATGATGCAATGTCCAGCCATCAACACATTTGTGAAGGAATTTTTACTCCCCAAAAGAGCGCCCCCATGGCAGGAGAAAAAAGGCAATTTTTTCTTGTCCCCTAAGGTGAAAATACACATTGTTGAGTGTCACACCTATACGCTTTGTCATATTGACACAAAATTTGACAATCACGTGTATCTCAATCAGATCTACGAAAAACTCAATAGGCACGTATCTGTAAAATGTACGGTTAAAGGGCTATTCCGCATTTTTTGCCGATCCGCACACATTGGAATGTGGCTAACTCCTCCTAAGGCTTCCGTCCCACTGACACCAAATTTGCTCAGGCCAATCTACACCCCATGGCCAGTCAAAGTTGTAAAAATCATGCCGCTGCACCCCATGGTTTACGTTCTAGGGGGCGCCAAAGATGACCCAAATATCCACATTCTTAAAAGTCGTTTTGGCCACTGCAGGAGTACAGAGTACTGCAGGATACACACACACAGACACACACACACACAGACACACACACACACACACGCACACACACACACACACACACACATACACACTCAGAGTCTGTTTTTTAGCACCTGCAAAAACATGCTATTTACATATTTGACAACAATGCAGAGACTTCCTTTTGCCCCTGAAAAAAATGAAATTTCAAACACAACTTGACTGCTCATTTCTCCAAAAGACATCCATGAAGCTCCATCCAAACCTGAAGCAGGCAGTTGGTGCATGTGTACAGTAACCTGAGGGGAGTGAGGTGACTGCTTCTGAGGAGAACATGAGCAGTGAAGATTCACCTTGGAGCTAGAACAGGGACGTGCACATGATTATACAGGGGCAGGGGCTCAAGTTTTTTCCAGTCGTTTAGACAATATGGAAATTAATGTGAAATTAAAAAACAAAGTATTAATAGAAAGGTAATGACTGTCCTGTGTAGGTGACAGTGATATCCAATAGGCTAGGCACTCACGAGGCTGGCTGTGGCAAGTGCAAGTGAAAGCCACACGCACTGGCAGGAAGAACGCCGATGAAGGAAAAGGGTCTTCGCAGTGATGGGCGTTACCAGAGAGGGCGATGGCCAGAGGACGCGAATGGGACGGGGAGGCAGCGCGTTGGGGGGGGGGGGGGGGCGACACAGCTCGGGCCCGCCAGTGCCCCAACGGGGCCCTAGTTTGTTATTAGGGCCCGAGCGTAGCTGCTAAGCAGCTGCGAGAGCCCTCTTGTTCCTGATGGATTCTTCTTTCGTTATTAGGGCCCGAGCGTAGCTGCTAAGCAGCTGCGAGAGCCCTATTATTCCCCAAGTGGTTTTTCTTTGTTTCTTTTTAGGGCCCGAGCGTAGCTGCTAAGCAGCTGCGAGAGCCCTCTTGTTCCTGATGGATTCTTCTTTTGTTATTATTAGGGCCCGAGCGTAGCTGCTCAGCAGCTGCGAGAGCCCTCTTGTTCCTGATGGATTCTTCTTTCGTTATTTTTCCTCCGCTTTAAACTGGAAAATGGCCCACTTCCCACTGACGAAAACTCAGGAAATTTGGCAGGACGACCGGGCCTGGTGAAAAATTTGATATTCTGAAGTCGCCCAAACAAAAAAATGAAAAATGGCTCCATAGCGCCCCCTATGGTGAAAACTCACCTGACACCTGTACGCTTTGTCAAAATGACACAAAATTTGACACACATGTGTATCTCAATAAGATCTATGAAAAAGTCAACGGGCACGTAAGTGTAAAATGTACTGTTAAAGGGCTATTTTGCATTTTTTGCCGATTCGCACACATTGGAATTTTGCTAACTCCTCCTAAGGCTTTCGTTCCACCGGCACCACATTTGCACAGGCCAATCTACACCCCATGGCCATTAAAAGTTGTACAAATCATGACGCTGCACCCCACGGTTTAGGTTCTAGGGGGCGCCAAAGATAACCCAAAAATCCACATTCTTAAAAGTCTTATAACTTTTTAATTTTGTCCTCACTGGCCTCCAAGTTTTATAGGATGATGCAATGTCCAGCCATCAACACATTTGTGAAGGAATTTTTACTCCCCAAAAGAGCGCCCCCATGGCAGGAGAAAAAAGGCAATTTTTTCTTGTCCCCTAAGGTGAAAATACACATTGTTGAGTGTCACACCTATACGCTTTGTCATATTGACACAAAATTTGACAATCACGTGTATCTCAATCAGATCTACGAAAAACTCAATAGGCACGTATCTGTAAAATGTACGGTTAAAGGGCTATTCCGCATTTTTTGCCGATCCGCACACATTGGAATGTGGCTAACTCCTCCTAGGGCTTTCGTCCCATTGGCACCAAATTTGCTCAGGCAAATCTACACCCCATGGCCATTCAAAGTTGTAAAAATCATGACGCTGCACCCCACGGTCTACGTTCTAGGGGGCGCCAAAGATAACCCAAAAATCCACATTCTTAAAAGTCTAATAACCTTTTATTTTTGTCCTCACTGGCCTCCAAGTTTTCTAGGATGATGCAATGTCCAGCCATCAACACATTTGTGAAGGAATTTTTTCTCCCCAAAAGAGCGCCCCCCCATGGCAGGAGAAAAAGTCAAGTTTTTCCTGCCCATCGCTCAATGGCTCAAACGCATCGCTCTCCCGGCAAAACCGAAAGGAGGAGCAACTTGCCATTTGGATATATACTAGCTGTGTTTGTGCCCTCACTCATGGTCCAGACTATTTTCAAAAAGGACATGGAGTTTGTCTGCAGCGAGTGTTTTGGTAGAAACTGCGCCTCCCATTCATTATAATTGTAAATGACCACAGACAAGTGCGCACACCATCTTTGGACCTTGAGTGTGACGCAATCGGGAGGGGGAGGCGGTCACGCTGGGGGCGGCGCGACACGGCTCGGGCCCGCCAGTGCCCCACCGGGGCCCTAGTTATTATTTTTCCTCCGCTTTAAACTGGAAAATGGCCCACTTCCCACTGGCGAAAACTCAGGAAATTTGGCAGGACGACCGGGCCTGGTGAAAAATTCGATATTCTGAAGTCGCCCAAACAATAAAATGCAAAATGGCTCCATAGCGCCCCCTAAGGTGAAAATTCACACTATTGACTGTCACGCCTGTACGCTTTGTCATATTGACACAAAAATTGACACACACATGTATCTCAATACGATCTACAAAAAAGTCAGTGCGGGCGTATCTGTCAAATGTACGGTTAAAGGGTTATTTCGCATTTTTTGCAGATCCGCACACATTGGAATTTCGCTAACTCCTCCGAAGGCTTTCGTTCCACCGGCACCACATTTGCTCAGGCCAATCTACACTCCATGGCCATTCAAAGTTGTACAAATCATGATGCTGCACCCCATGGTTTAGGTTCTAGGGGGCGCCAAAAATAACCCAAAAATCCACATTTTTAAAAGTTTTATAACTTTTTTTTTTTGTCCTCACTGGCCTCCAAGTTTTCTAGGATGATGCAATGTCCAGCCATCAACACATTTGTGAAGGAATTTTTACTCCCCAAAAGAGCGCCCCCCCATGGCAGGACAAAAAAGTCCATTTTTTCTTGTCCACTAAGGTGAAAATTCACACTATTGACTGTCACGCCTGTACGCTTTGTCATATTGACACAAAAATTGACACACACATGTATCTCAATAAGATCTACAAAAAAGTCAGTGCGGGCGTATCTGTCAAATGTACGGTTAAAGGGTTATTTCGCATTTTTTGCAGATCCGCACACATTGGAATTTCGCTAACTCCTCCGAAGGCTTTCGTTCCACCGGCACCACATTTGCTCAGGCCAATCTACACTCCATGGCCATTCAAAGTTGTACAAATCATGATGCTGCACCCCATGGTTTAGGTTCTAGGGGGCGCCAAAAATAACCCAAAAATCCACATTTTTAAAAGTTTTATAACTTTTTTTTTTTGTCCTCACTGGCCTCCAAGTTTTCTAGGATGATGCAATGTCCAGCCATCAACACATTTGTGAAGGAATTTTTACTCCCCAAAAGAGCGCCCCCCCATGGCAGGACAAAAAAGTCCATTTTTTCTTGTCCACTAAGGTGAAAATTCACACTATTGACTGTCACGCCTGTACGCTTTGTCATATTGACACAAAAATTGACACACACATGTATCTCAATAAGATCTACAAAAAAGTCAGTGCGGGCGTATCTGTCAAATGTACGGTTAAAGGGTTATTTCGCATTTTTTGCAGATCCCCACACATTGGAATTTCGCTAACTCCTCCGAAGGCTTTCGTTCCACCGGCACCACATTTGCACAGGCCAATCTACACTCCATGGCCATTCAAAGTTGTACAAATCATGATGCTGCACCCCATGGTTTAGGTTCTAGGGGGCGCCAAAAATAACCCAAAAATCCACATTCTTAAAAGTTTTATAACTTTTTATTTTTGTCCTCACTGGCCTCCAAATTTTCTAGGATGATGCAATGTCCAGCCATCAACACATTTGTGAAGGAATTTTTACTCCCCAAAAGAGCGCCCCCCCATGGCAGGACAAAAAAGTCCATTTTTTCTTGTCCCCTAAGGTGAAAATACACATTGTTGAGATTCACGCCTGTACGCTTTGTCATATTGACAAAAAAATTTGACACACACGTGTATCTCAATAAGATCTACGAAAAAGTCAATGCGCGCGTATCTGTAAAATGTACGGCTAAAGGGCTATTTTGCTTTTTTTGCCCATTCGCACACATTGGAATGTGGCTAACTCCTCCTAAGGCTTTCGTCCCACTGACACCAAATTTGCTCAGGCCAATCTACACCCCATGGCCATTAAAAGTCGTAAAAATCATGCCGCTGCACTCCATGGTTCACGTTCAAGGGGGCGCCAAAGAGGACCCAAATATCCACATTTTCAAAAGTCTTATAACTTTTTGTTTTTGTCCTCACTGGCCTCCAAGTTTTCTAGGATAATGCAATGTTCAGCCATCAACACATTTGTTAAAGAATTTTTTCTCCCCAAAAGAGCGCCCCCCCATGGCAGGAGAAAAAGTTAAGTTTTTCCTGCCCAATGCCCAATGGCTCAAACGCATCGCTCTCTCGGCAAAACCGAAAGGAGGAGCAACTTGCCATTTGGATATATCGAAGCTGTGTTTGTGCCCTCACTCATGGTCCAGACTTTTTTCAAAAAGGACATGGAGTTTGTCTGCAGCGAGCATTTTGGTAGAAACTGCGCCTCGCATTCATTATAATGGTAAATGACCACAGACAAGTGCGCACACCATCTTTGGACCTTGAGTGTGACGCGATCGGGAGGGGGAGGGGGTCGCGCTGGGGGCGGCGCGACACGGCTCGGGCCCGCCAGTGCCCCACCGGGGCCCTAGTTAGGGCCCGAGCGTAGCTGCTCAGCAGCTGCGAGAGCCCTCTTGTTCCTGATGGATTCTTCTTTCGTTATTTTTCCTCCGCTTTAAACTGGAAAATGGCCCACTTCCCACTGACGAAAACTCAGGAAATTTGGCAGGACGACCGGGCCTGGTGAAAAATTTGATATTCTGAAGTCGCCCAAACAAAAAAATGAAAAATGGCTCCATAGCGCCCCCTATGGTGAAAACTCACCTGACACCTGTACGCTTTGTCAAAATGACACAAAATTTGACACACATGTGTATCTCAATAAGATCTATGAAAAAGTCAACGGGCACGTAAGTGTAAAATGTACTGTTAAAGGGCTATTTTGTATTTTTTGCCGATTCGCACACATTGGAATTTTGCTAACTCCTCCTAAGGCTTTCGTTCCACCGGCACCACATTTGCACAGGCCAATCTACACCCCATGGCCATTAAAAGTTGTACAAATCATGACGCTGCACCCCACGGTTTAGGTTCTAGGGGGCGCCAAAGATAACCCAAAAATCCACATTCTTAAAAGTCTTATAACTTTTTAATTTTGTCCTCACTGGCCTCCAAGTTTTATAGGATGATGCAATGTCCAGCCATCAACACATTTGTGAAGGAATTTTTACTCCCCAAAAGAGCGCCCCCATGGCAGGAGAAAAAAGGCAATTTTTTCTTGTCCCCTAAGGTGAAAATACACATTGTTGAGTGTCACACCTATACGCTTTGTCATATTGACACAAAATTTGACAATCACGTGTATCTCAATCAGATCTACGAAAAACTCAATAGGCACGTATCTGTAAAATGTACGGTTAAAGGGCTATTCCGCATTTTTTGCCGATCCGCACACATTGGAATGTGGCTAACTCCTCCTAGGGCTTTCGTCCCATTGGCACCAAATTTGCTCAGGCAAATCTACACCCCATGGCCATTCAAAGTTGTAAAAATCATGACGCTGCACCCCACGGTCTACGTTCTAGGGGGCGCCAAAGATAACCCAAAAATCCACATTCTTAAAAGTCTAATAACCTTTTATTTTTGTCCTCACTGGCCTCCAAGTTTTCTAGGATGATGCAATGTCCAGCCATCAACACATTTGTGAAGGAATTTTTTCTCCCCAAAAGAGCGCCCCCCATGGCAGGAGAAAAAGTCAAGTTTTTCCTGCCCATCGCTCAATGGCTCAAACGCATCGCTCTCCCGGCAAAACCGAAAGGAGGAGCAACTTGCCATTTGGATATATACTAGCTGTGTTTGTGCCCTCACTCATGGTCCAGACTATTTTCAAAAAGGACATGGAGTTTGTCTGCAGCGAGTGTTTTGGTAGAAACTGCGCCTCCCATTCATTATAATTGTAAATGACCACAGACAAGTGCGCACACCATCTTTGGACCTTGAGTGTGACGCAATCGGGAGGGGGAGGCGGTCACGCTGGGGGCGGCGCGACACGGCTCGGGCCCGCCAGTGCCCCACCGGGGCCCTAGTTATTATTTTTCCTCCGCTTTAAACTGGAAAATGGCCCACTTCCCACTGGCGAAAACTCAGGAAATTTGGCAGGACGACCGGGCCTGGTGAAAAATTCGATATTCTGAAGTCGCCCAAACAATAAAATGCAAAATGGCTCCATAGCGCCCCCTAAGGTGAAAATTCACACTATTGACTGTCACGCCTGTACGCTTTGTCATATTGACACAAAAATTGACACACACATGTATCTCAATACGATCTACAAAAAAGTCAGTGCGGGCGTATCTGTCAAATGTACGGTTAAAGGGTTATTTTGCATTTTTTGCAGATCCGCACACATTGGAATTTCGCTAACTCCTCCGAAGGCTTTCGTTCCACCGGCACCACATTTGCTCAGGCCAATCTACACTCCATGGCCATTCAAAGTTGTACAAATCATGATGCTGCACCCCATGGTTTAGGTTCTAGGGGGCGCCAAAAATAACCCAAAAATCCACATTTTTAAAAGTTTTATAACTTTTTTTTTTTGTCCTCACTGGCCTCCAAGTTTTCTAGGATGATGCAATGTCCAGCCATCAACACATTTGTGAAGGAATTTTTACTCCCCAAAAGAGCGCCCCCCCATGGCAGGACAAAAAAGTCCATTTTTTCTTGTCCACTAAGGTGAAAATTCACACTATTGACTGTCACGCCTGTACGCTTTGTCATATTGACACAAAAATTGACACACACATGTATCTCAATAAGATCTACAAAAAAGTCAGTGCGGGCGTATCTGTCAAATGTACGGTTAAAGGGTTATTTTGCATTTTTTGCAGATCTGCACACATTGGAATTTCGCTAACTCCTCCGAAGGCTTTCGTTCCACTGGCACCACATTTGCTCAGGCCAATCTACACTCCATGGCCATTCAAAGTTGTACAAATCATGATGCTGCACCCCATGGTTTAGGTTCTAGGGGGCGCCAAAAATAACCCAAAAATCCACATTTTTAAAAGTTTTATAACTTTTTTTTTTTGTCCTCACTGGCCTCCAAGTTTTCTAGGATGATGCAATGTCCAGCCATCAACACATTTGTGAAGGAATTTTTACTCCCCAAAAGAGCGCCCCCCCATGGCAGGACAAAAAAGTCCATTTTTTCTTGTCCACTAAGGTGAAAATTCACACTATTGACTGTCACGCCTGTACGCTTTGTCATATTGACACAAAAATTGACACACACATGTATCTCAATAAGATCTACAAAAAAGTCAGTGCGGGCGTATCTGTCAAATGTACGGTTAAAGGGTTATTTTGCATTTTTTTCAGATCCGCACACATTGGAATTTCGCTAACTCCTCCGAAGGCTTTCGTTCCACCGGCACCACATTTGCTCAGGCCAATCTACACTCCATGGCCATTCAAAGTTGTACAAATCATGATGCTGCACCCCATGGTTTAGGTTCTAGGGGGCGCCAAAAATAACCCAAAAATCCACATTCTTAAAAGTTTTATAACTTTTTATTTTTGTCCTCACTGGCCTCCAAATTTTCTAGGATGATGCAATGTCCAGCCATCAACACATTTGTGAAGGAATTTTTACTCCCCAAAAGAGCGCCCCCCCATGGCAGGACAAAAAAGTCCATTTTTTCTTGTCCCCTAAGGTGAAAATACACATTGTTGAGATTCACGCCTGTACGCTTTGTCATATTGACAAAAAAATTTGACACACACGTGTATCTCAATAAGATCTACGAAAAAGTCAATGCGCGCGTATCTGTAAAATGTACGGCTAAAGGGCTATTTTGCTTTTTTTGCCCATTCGCACACATTGGAATGTGGCTAACTCCTCCTAAGGCTTTCGTCCCACTGACACCAAATTTGCTCAGGCCAATCTACACCCCATGGCCATTAAAAGTCGTAAAAATCATGCCGCTGCACTCCACGGTTCACGTTCAAGGGGGCGCCAAAGAGGACCCAAATATCCACATTTTCAAAAGTCTTATAACTTTTTGTTTTTGTCCTCACTGGCCTCCAAGTTTTCTAGGATAATGCAATGTTCAGCCATCAACACATTTGTTAAAGAATTTTTTCTCCCCAAAAGAGCGCCCCCCCATGGCAGGAGAAAAAGTTAAGTTTTTCCTGCCCAATGCCCAATGGCTCAAACGCATCGCTCTCTCGGCAAAACCGAAAGGAGGAGCAACTTGCCATTTGGATATATCGAAGCTGTGTTTGTGCCCTCACTCATGGTCCAGACTTTTTTCAAAAAGGACATGGAGTTTGTCTGCAGCGAGCATTTTGGTAGAAACTGCGCCTCGCATTCATTATAATGGTAAATGACCACAGACAAGTGCGCACACCATCTTTGGACCTTGAGTGTGACGCGATCGGGAGGGGGAGGGGGTCGCGCTGGGGGCGGCGCAACACGGCTCGGGCCAGTGGCCCACCGGGGCCCTAGTTAGGGCCCGAGCGTAGCTGCTAAGCAGCTGCGAGAGCCCTCTTGTTCCTGCATGTTTCCTTCTTTCGTTATTATTTTTCCTCCGCTTTAAACTGGAAAATGGCCCACTTCCCACTGGCGAAAACTCAGGAAATTTGGCAGGACGACCGGGCCTGGTGAAAAATTCGATATTCTGAAGTCGCCCAAACAATAAAATGCAAAATGGCTCCATAGCGCCCCCTAAGGTGAAAATTCACATGACGGCTGTACGCTTTGTCATATTGACACAAAAATTGACACACACATGTATCTCAATAAGATCTACAAAAAAGTCAGTGCGGGCGTATCTGTCAAATGTACGGTTAATGGGTTATTTTGCATTTTTTGCAGATCTGCACACATTGGAATTTCGCTAACTCCTCCGAAGGCTTTCGTTCGACCGGCACCACATTTGCGCAGGCCAATCTACACCCCATGGCCATTAAAAGTTGTACAAATCATGACGCTGCACCCCACGGTTTACGTTCTAGGGGGCGCCAAAGATAACCCAAAATCCACATTCTTAAAAGTCTTATAACTTTTTATTTTTGTCCTCACTGCCCTCCAAGTTTTCTAGGATGATGCAATGTCCAGCCATCAACACATTTGTGAAGGAATTTTTACTCCCCAAAAGAGCGCCCCCCCATGGCAGGAGAAAAAAGTCAATTTTTTCTTGTCCCCTTACATGAAAATACACATTGTTGAGTGTCACGCCTGAACGCTTTGTCATATTGACACAAAAATTGACAATCATGTGTATCTCAATTAGATCTACGAAAAAGTCAAAAAGCGCGTATCTGTATAATGTACGGTTAAAGGGCTATTTCGCATTTTATGCCGATTCGCACACATTGGAATGTGGCTATCTCCTCCTAAGGCTTTCGTCCCACCGATACCAAATTTGCTCAGGGCAATCTACACCCCATGCCCATTCAAAGTTGTAAAAATCATGACGCTGCACCCCACGGTTTACGTTCTAGGGGGCGCCAAAGATGACCCAAAAATCCACATTCTTAAAAGTCATTTTGGCCACTGCAGGAGTACAGAGTACTGCAGTTCTAGGGGGCGCCAAAGATGACCCAAAAATCCACATTCTTAAAAGTCTTTTTGGCCACTGCAGGAGTACAGAGTACTGCAGGATACACACACATACACACACACACACACACACACACACACACACACACACACACACACACACACACACTCAGAGTCTGTTTTTTAGCACCTGCAAAAACATGCTGTTTACATATTTGACAAGAATGCAGAGGCTTCCTTTTGCCCCTGAAAAAAATCAGATTTCAAACACAACTTGACTGTTCATTTCTCCAAAAGACAACCATGAAGCTCCATCCAAACCTGAAGCAGATAGTTGGTGCATGTGTACAGTAACCTGAGGGGAGTGAGGTGACTATTTCTGAGGAGAACATGAGCAGTGAAGATTCACCTTGGAGCTAGAACAGGGACGTGCACATGATTATACAGGGGCAGGGGCTCAAGTTTTTTCCAGTCATTTATACAATATGGAAATTAATGTGAAATTAAACCACAAATATGTGTGATGAACTGTTTTTAAAACTTAAACTTCAAATAAAAATTGTAAACTTCAAAACATATGCAAATTTTTAACAAAGAACATAGTAATTTACCTCTATTTACATCAAAATGCAGGCAATGGCCCAGGCGTTCTTTGTAAAATTATTTACAAAACACTGTATAGTCTCACAAATGTCACTTTTTATTTATGCCACTACAAAAAAACATGATGTAAATGATGCATGATGTAAAACATGATGTAAAAAACTTGTGTAGATCCTCCTCTATGTCAGTCCATGTGTAATTTTTCCATAATTCTTTGTTTTTTGCAGCATTTTTGTTAGTGTAACTGCAGATTGTGCTGACAGTCTATGGCAAAAAAAACAAAAACTGAAAATGCCTCAACATGAACCCCTGGTGGTCTCTGAGGGTGAAACCTGCTAACTGCTGCAGCTCTGTCAGCTTCAGTCTCCCATGCAGAGCTCGGAGCGCATGTGTGGCTCTGCACCCTTAGCAGCGTTGCTAACTCCTCAGTAAGGAAAGCCTGCTTCATGTCAGAGTCTCTAAACTCCAGAAGAAGTCGATAAAAGTCCCTTTCTTTCTAAAAAAAAGTCGTTAGGGGGTCTGAAAAGTAATTGAATCTAACAACAAAGTCGCTAGGTTTGCAACTACGTGTCCCAGACTGCATCCCTGCTGAGAGTCCCTCCCTCCCTTCTCATGTTGCAGGAAGAACGTAAGCGCCCGCCCCTTGTCAATCAGTCACCATATAATTTTGGATTGGTTGTTGTGGTGAAGTTTTCCACCAATAGGAGAGATGTTGTGGTGTGTTTTTTTTTTCTTTTGGCAAGCCTTTTCCGCCTGTAAGACCTGTCGCTAATGTGTGCATGCTATGTTTTCCTGTCTCATACAGCGCGATCGAGCGCCGAACGTGATCAAAACAAGCAGAAAAAAAGTATCGCGGACATAATTTATCATAACTCTGGTTTTATTTGGCCTATCAACACAATTTAAAAACTGGTATATAGGTTGAGGTCCTCACTTTTGAGACCTAACTCTCAGATGAATCTTCAAAATTCACCTCAGAAATATGCTTATTATTCTTCTCAGAGTACTGCAAGATACACACACACACACACACAGACACACACGCACACACACACACACACACACACACACACACACACACACACTCAGAGTCTGTTTTTTAGCACCTGCAAAAACATGCTATTTACATATTTGACAAGAATGCAGAGGCTTCCCTTTGCCCCTGAAAAAAATCAAATTTCAAACACAACTTGACTGGTCATTTCTCCAAAAGACAACCATGAAGCTCCATCTAAACCTGAAGCAGGCAGTTGGTGCATGTGTACAGTAACCTGAGGGGAGTGAGGTGAGTGCTTCTGAGGAGAACATGAGCAGTGAAGATTCACCTTGGAGCTAGAACAGGGACGTGCACATGATAATACAGGGGCAGGGGCTCAAGTTTTTTCCAGTCGTTTATACAATATGGAAATTAATGTGAAATTAAAAAACAAAGTATGACTGTCCTGTGTAGGTGACAGTGATATCCAATAGGCTAGGCACTCACGAGGCTGGCTGTGGCAAGTGTAAGTGAAAGCAACACGCACTGGCAGGAAGAACCGATGAAGGAAAAGGGTCTTTGCAGTGATGGGCGTTACCAGAGAGGGCGATGGCCAGAGGAAACGAATGGGACGGGGAGGCAGCGCGTTGGGGGGGGGGGGGGGGGTGACACGGCTCGGGCCCACCAGTGCCCCAACGGGGCCCTAGTTAGGGCCCGAGCGTAGCAGCTGCGAGAGCCCTCTTGTTCCTGATGGATTCTTCTTTCGTTATTTTTCCTCCGCTTTAAACTGGAAAATGGCCCACTTCCCACTGGCGAAAACTCAGGAAATTTGGCAGGACGACCGGGCCTGGTGAAAAATTTGATATTCTGAAGTCGTCCAAACAAAAAAAATGAAAAATGGCTCCATAGCGCCCCCTATGGTGAAAACTCACCTGATGCCTGTACGCTTTGTCATTTTGACACAAAAATTGACACACACGTGTATCTCAATACGGTCTACGAAAAAGTCAGTGCGGGCGCATCTGTCAAATGTACGGTTAAAGGGCTATTTCGCTTTTTTTGCCGATCCGCACACATTGGAATTTCGCTAACTCCTCCGAAGGCTTTCGTTCCACCGGCACCAAATTTGCTCAGGCCAATCTACACCCCATGGCCATTAAAAGTTGTACAAATCATGACGCTGCACCCCACGGTTTAGGTTCTAGGGGGCGCCAAAGATAACCCAAAAATCCACATTCTTAAAAGTCTTATAACTTTTTATTTTTGTCCTCACTGGCCTCCAAGGTTTCTAGGATGATGCAATGTCCAGCCATCAACTCATTTGTGAAGGAATTTTTACTCCCCAAAAGAGCGCCCCCCCATGGCAGGAGAAAAAAGTCCATTTTTTCTTGTCTCCTAAGGTAAAAATACACATTGTTGAGTGTCACGCCTATACACTTTGTCATATTGACACACAATTTGACAATCACGTGTATCTCAATAAGATCTACAAAAAAGTCAATAGGCACGTATCTGTCAAATGTACGGTTAAAGGGCTATTTCGCATTTTTTGCCGATTCGCACACATTGGAATGTGGCTATCTCCTTCTAAGGCTTTCGTCCCACCGATACCAAATTTGCTCAGGCCAATCTACACCCCATGGCCATTCAAAGTTGTAAAAATCATGCTGCTGCACCCCACGGTTTAGGTTCTAGGGGGCGCCAAAGATGACCCAAATATCCATATTCTTAAAAGTGTTATAACTTTTTATTTTTGTCCTCACTGGCCTCCAAGTTTTCTAGGATGATGCAATGTCCAGCCATCAACACATTTGTAAAGGAATTTTTACTCCTGAAAAAGAGCGCCCCCCCATGGCAGGAGAAAAGAGTCCATTTTTTCTTGTCCCCTAAGGTGAAAAAACACATTGTTGACTGTCACGCCTATACGCTTTGTCAAAATGACACAAAATTTGACACACACGTGTATCTCAATAAGATCTACGAAAAAGTCAATGGGCACGTATCTGTAAAATGTACGGTTAAAGGGCTATTTCGCATTTTTTGGCGATTCGCACACATTGGAATGTGGCTAACTCCTCCTAGAGCTTTCGTTTAACCGACACCAAATTTGCTCAGGCCAATCTACACCCCATCACTTTTTATTTTTGTCCTCACTGGCCTCCAAGTTTTCTAGGATGATGCAATGTCCAGCCATCAACACATTTGTACAGGAATTTTTACTCCTTAAAAGAGCGCCCCCCATGGCAGGAGAAAAAAATCCATTTTTTCTTGTCCCATTAGGTGAAAATACACACTGTTCAGTGTCACGCCTGTACGCTTTGTCTTATTGACACAAAATTTTACAATCACGTGTATCTCAATAAGATCTACGAAGAAGTCAATGCGCACGTATCTGTAAAATGTACGGTTAAAGGGCTATTTTGCATTTTGTGCCGATTCGCACACATTGGAATGCGGCTAACTCCTCCTAAAGCTTTCGTCCCACCGACACCAAATTTGCTCAGGCCAATCTACACCCCATGGCCATTCAAAGTTGTACAAATCATGACGCTGCACCCCACGGTTTAGGTTCTAGGGGGCGCCAAAGAGGACCTAAATATCCACATTTTTAAAAGTCTTATAACTTTTTATTTTTGTCCTCACTGGCCTCCAAGTTTTCTAGGATGATGCAATGTCCAGCCATCAACACATTTGTGAAGGAATTTTTACTCCCCAAAAGAGCGCCCCCCCATGGCAGGAGAAAAAGTCAAGTTTTTCCTGCCCATCGCTCAATGGCTCAAACGCATCGCTCTCTCGGCAAAACCGAAAGGAGGAGCAACTTGCCATTTGGATATATACTAGCTGTGTTTGTGCCCTCACTCATGGTCCAGACTTTTTTCAAAAAGGACATGGAGTTTGTCTGCAGCGAGCGTTTTGGTAGAAACTGCGCCTCCCATTCATTATAATGGTAAATGACCACAGACAAGTGCGCACACCATCTTTGGACCTTGAGTGTGACGCGATCGGGAGGGGGAGGCGGTCGCGCTGGGGGCGGTGCGACGCGGCTCGGGCCCGACAGTGCCCCACCGGGGCCCTAGTTAGGGACCGAGCCAGCTGCAGAGCAGCCGGGTGTAGAGCCCTATTATTCCTGTATAGGTTTTTCTTTCTTCTTTCTTTCTTTCTTTCTTTCTTTCTTCTTATTTTTCCTCCCCTTTGAAGGGGAAAATGGCCCACTTCCCACTGGCGAAAACTCATGAAATTTGGCAGGACGACCGGGCCTGGTGAAAAATTCGATATTCTGAAGTCGCCCAAACAATAAAATGCAAAATGGCTCCATAGCGCCCCCTAAGGCGAAAATTCACACTATTGACTGTCACGCCTGTACGCTTTGTCATTTTGACACAAAAATTGACACACACGTGTATCTCAATACGGTCTACGAAAAAGTCAGTGCGGGCGCATCTGTCAAATGTACGGTTAAAGGGCTATTTCGCTTTTTTTGCCGATCCGCACACATTGGAATTTCGCTAACTCCTCCGAAGGCTTTCGTTCCACCGGCACCAAATTTGCTCAGGCCAATCTACACCCCATGGCCATTAAAAGTTGTACAAATCATGACGCTGCACCCCACGGTTTAGGTTCTAGGGGGCGCCAAAGATAACCCAAAAATCCACATTCTTAAAAGTCTTATAACTTTTTATTTTTGTCCTCACTGGCCTCCAAGGTTTCTAGGATGATGCAATGTCCAGCCATCAACTCATTTGTGAAGGAATTTTTACTCCCCAAAAGAGCGCCCCCCCATGGCAGGAGAAAAAAGTCCATTTTTTCTTGTCTCCTAAGGTAAAAATACACATTGTTGAGTGTCACGCCTATACACTTTGTCATATTGACACACAATTTGACAATCACGTGTATCTCAATAAGATCTACAAAAAAGTCAATAGGCACGTATCTGTCAAATGTACGGTTAAAGGGCTATTTCGCATTTTTTGCCGATTCGCACACATTGGAATGTGGCTATCTCCTTCTAAGGCTTTCGTCCCACCGATACCAAATTTGCTCAGGCCAATCTACACCCCATGCCCATTCAAAGTTGTAAAAATCATGCCGCTGCACCCCACGGTTTACGTTCTAGGGGGCGCCAAAGATGACCCAAAAATCCACATTCTTAAAAGTCTTTTTGGTCACTGCAGGAGTACAGAGTACTGCAGGATACACACACATATACACACACACACACACACACACACACACACACACACACACACACACACACACACTCAGAGTCTGTTTTTTAGCACCTGCAAAAACATGCTGTTTACATATTTGACAAGAATGCAGAGGCTTCCTTTTGCCCCTGAAAAAAATCAAATTTCAAACACAACTTGACTGTTCATTTCTCCAAATGACAACCATGAAGCTCCATCCAAACCTGAAGCAGGCAGTTGGTGCATGTGTACAGTAACCTGAGGGGAGTGAGGTGACTGCTTCTGAGGAGAACATGAGCAGTGAAGATTCACCTTGGAGCGAGAACAGGGACGTGCACATGATTATACAGGGGCAGGGGCTCAAGTTTTTTCCAGTCGTTTATACAATATGGAAATTAATGTGAAATTAAAAAACAAAGTATTAATAGAAAGGTAATGACTGTCCTGTGTAGGTGACAGTGATATCCAATAGGCTAGGCACTCACGAGGCTGGCTGTGGCAAGTGTAAGTGAAAGCAACACGCACTGGCAGGAAGAACAGCAAACCCCGATGAAGGAAAAGGGTCTTTGCAGTGATGGGCGTTACCAGAGAGGACGATGGCCAGAGGACGCGAATGGGACGGGGAGGCAGCGCGTTGGGGGGGGGGGGCGCGACACAGCTCGGGCCCGCCAGTGCCCCAACGGGGCCCTAGTTATTATTATTAGGGCCCGAGCGTAGCTGCTAAGCAGCTGCGAGAGCCCTCTTGTTCCTGATGGATTCTTCTTTCGTTATTTTTCCTCCGCTTTAAACTGGAAAATGGCCCACTTCCCACTGGCGAAAACTCAGGAAATTTGGCAGGACGACCGGGCCTGGTGAAAAATTTGATATTCTGAAGTCGCCCAAACAAAAAAATGAAAAATGGCTCCATAGCGCCCCCTATGGTGAAAACTCACCTGACGCCTGTACGCTTTGTCATATTGACACAAAAATTGACACACACATGTATCTCAATAAGATCTACAAAAAAGTCAGCGCGGGCGTATCTGTCAAATGTACGGTTAAAGGGTTATTTCGCATTTTTTGCCGATCCGCACACATTGGAATTTCGCTAACTCCTCCGAAGGCTTTCGTTCCACCGGCACCACATTTGCTCAGGCCAATCTACACCCCATGGCCATTAAAAGTTGTACAAATCATGACGCTGCACCCCACGGTTTACGTTCTAGGGGGCGCCAAAGATAACCCAAAAATCCACAGTCTTAAAAGTCTTATAACTTTTTATTTTTGTCCTCACTGGCCTCCAAGTTCTCTAGGATGATGCAATGTCCAGCAATTAACACATTTGTGAAGGAATTTTTACTCGCCAAAAGAGCGCCCCCCCATGGCAGGAGAAAAAAGTCCATTTTTTCTTGTCCCCTAAGGCGAATATACACATTGTTGAGTGTCACGCCTGTACGCTTTGTCATATTGACACAAAATTTGACAATCACGTGTATCTCAATAAGATCTACGAAAAAGTCAATGTGCGCGTATCTGTAAAATGTACAGTTAAAGGGCTATTTCGCATTTTTTGCCGATTCGCACACATTGGAATGTGGCTAACTCCTCCTAAGGCTTTCGTTCCACTGACACCAAATTTGCTCAGGCCAATCTACACCCCATGGCCATTAAAAGTTGTACAAATCATGACGCTGCATCCCACGGTTTACGTTCTAGGGGGCGCCAAAGATGACCCAAATATCCACATTTTTAAAAGTCTTATAACTTTATTTTTGTCCTCACTGGCCTCCAAGTTTTCTAGGATGATGCAATGTTCAGTCATCAACACATTTGTGAAGGAATTTTTTTTCCCCAAAAGAGCCTCCCCCCCATGGCAGGAGAAAAAGTCAAGTTTTTCCTGCCCATCGCTCAATGGCTCAAATTCATCGCTCTCTCGGCAAAACCGAAAGGAGGAGCACCTTGCCATTTGGGTATATACTAGCTGTGTTTGTGCCCTCACTCATGGTCCAGACTATTTTCAAAAAGGACATGGAGTTTGTCTGCAGCGAGCGTTTTGGTAGAAACTGCGCCTCCCACTCATTATAATGGTAAATGACCACAGACAAGTGCGCACACCATCTTTGGACCTTTAGTGTGACGCTATCGGGAGGGGTAGGTGGTCGCGCTGGGAGCGGCGCGACAGGCTCGGGCCCGCCAGTGCCCCAACGGGGCCCTAGTTAGGGCCCGAGCGTAGCTGCTAAGCAGCTGCGAGAGCCCTCTTGTTCCTGATGGATTCTTCTTTTGTTATTATTATTATTTTTCCTCCGCTTTAAACTGGAAAATGGCCCACTTCCCACTGGCGAAAACTCATGAAATTTGGCAGGACGACCGGGCCTGGTGAAAAATTCGATATTCTGAAGTCGCCCAAACAAGAAAATGCAAAATGGCTCCATAGCGCCCCCTAAGGTGAAAATTCACACTATTGACTGTCACACCTGTACGCTTTGTCATATTGACACAAAAATTGACACACACATGTATCTCAATAAGATCTACAAAAAAGTCAGTGCGGGCGTATCTGTCAAATGTACGGTTAAAGGGTTATTTTGCATTTTTTGCAGATCCGCACACATTGGAATTTCGCTAACTCCTCCGAAGGCTTTCGTTCCACCGGCACCACATTTGCTCAGGCCAATCTACACTCCATGGCCATTCAAAGTTGTACAAATCATAATGCTGCACCCCATGGTTTAGGTTCTAGGGGGCGCCAAAAATAACCCAAAAATCCACATTCTTAAAAGTTTTATAAATTTTTTTTTTTGTCCTCACTGGCCTCCAAGTTTTCTAGGATGATGCAATGTCCAGCCATCAACACATTTGTGAAGGAATTTTTACTCCCCAAAAGAGCGCCCCCCCATGGCAGGAATAAAAAGTCCATTTTTTCTTGTCCCCTAAGGTAAAAATACACATTGTTGAGTGTCACGCCTGTACGCTTTGTCGTATTGACAAAAAATTTGACACACACGTGTATCTCAATAAGATCTACGAAAAAGTCAATGGGCGCGTATCTGTAAAATGTACGGCTAAAGGGCTATTTTGCATTTTTTGCCGATTCGCACACATTGGAATGTGGCTAACTCCTCCTAAGGCTTTCGTCCCACTGACACCAAATTTGCTCAGGCCAATCTACACCCCATGGCCATTCAAAGTTGTAAAAATCATGCCGCTGCACCCCATGGTTTACGTTCTAGTGGGCGCCAAAGATGACCCAAATATCCACATTCTTAAAAGTCGTTTTGGCCACTGCAGGAGTACAGAGTACTGCAGGATACACACACACAGACACACACACACACAGACACACACACACACACACACACACACACACAGACACACACACACACACACTCAGAGTCTGTTTTTTAGCACCTGCAAAAACATGCTATTTACATATTTGACAACAATGCAGAGGCTTCCTTTTGCCCCTGAAAAAAATCAAATTTCTAACACAACTTGACTGCTCATTTCTCCAAAAGACAACCATGAAGCTCCATCCAAACCTGAAGCAGGCAGTTGGTGCATGTGTACAGTAACCTGAGGGGAGTGAGGTGACTGCTTCTGAGGAGAACATGAGCAGTGAAGATTCACCTTGGAGCGAGAACAGGGACGTGCACATGATTATACGGGGGCAGGGGCTCAAGTTTTTTCCAGTCGTTTATACAATATGGAAATTAATGTGAAATTAAAAAACAAAGTATTAATAGAAAGGTAATGACTGTCCTGTGTAGGTGACAGTGATATCCAATAGGCTAGGCACTCACGAGGCTGGCTGTGGCAAGTGTAAGTGAAAGCAACACGCACTGGCAGGAAGAACAGCAAACGCCGATGAAGGAAAAGGGTCTTTGCAGTGATGGGTGTTACCAGAGAGGACGATGGCCAGAGGACGCGAATGGGACGGGGAGGCAGCGCGTTGGGGGGGGGGGCGACACAGCTCGGGCCCGCCAGTGCCCCAACGGGGCCCTAGTTATTATTATTTTTCCTCCGCTTTAAACTGGAAAATGGCCCACTTCCCACTGGCGAAAACTCATGAAATTTGGCAGGACGACCGGGCCTGGTGAAAAATTCGATATTCTGAAGTCGCCCAAACAATAAAATGCAAAATGGCTCCATAGCGCCCCCTAAGGTGGAAATTCACACTATTGACTGTCACGTCTGTACGTTTTGTCATATTGACACAAAAATTGACACACATATGTATCTCAATAAGATCTACAAAAAAGTCAGTGCGGGCGTATCTGTCAAATGTACGGTTAAAGGGTTATTTCGCATTTTTTGCCGATCTGCACACATTGGAATTTCGCTAACTCCTCCGAAGGCTTTCGTTCCACCGGCACCACATTTGCTCAGGCCAGTCTACACCCCATGGCCATTAAAAGTTGTACAAATCATGACGCTGCACCCCACGGTTTAGGTTCTAGGGGGCGCCAAAGATAACCCAAAAATCCACATTCTTAAAAGTCTTATAACTTTTTATTTTTGTCCTCACTGGCCTCCAAGTTTTCTAGGATGATGCAATGTCCAGCCATCAACACATTTGTGAAGGAATTTTTACTCCCCAAAAGAGCGCCCCCCCATGGCAGGAGAAAAAAGTCAATTTTTTCTTGTCCCCTTACATGAAAATACACATTGTTGAGTGTCACGCCTGAACGCTTTGTCATATTGACACAAAAATTGACAATCATGTGTATCTCAATTAGATCTACGAAAAAGTCAATGCGCGCGTATCTGTCAAATGTACGGTTAAAGGGCTATTTCGCATTTTTTGCCGATTCGCACACATTGGAATGTGGCTATCTCCTCCTAAGGCTTTCGTCCCACTGATACCAAATTTGCTCAGGGCAATCTACACCCCATGCCCATTCAAAGTTGTAAAAATCATGACGCTGCACCCCACGGTTTACGTTCTAGGGGGCGCCAAAGATGACCCAAAAATCCACATTCTTAAAAGTCATTTTGGCCACTGCAGGAGTACAGAGTACTGCAGTTCTAGGGGGCGCCAAAGATGACCCAAAAATCCACATTCTTAAAAGTCTTTTTGGCCACTGCAGGAGTACAGAGTACTGCAGGATACACACACATATACACACACACACACACACACACACACACACACACACACACACTCAGAGTCTGTTTTTTAGCACCTGCAAAAACATGCTGTTTACATATTTGACAAGAATGCAGAGGCTTCCTTTTGCCCCTGAAAAAAATCAAATTTCAAACACAACTTGACTGTTCATTTCTCCAAAAGACAACCATGAAGCTCCATCCAAACCTGAAGCAGATAGTTGGTGCATGTGTACAGTAACCTGAGGGGAGTGAGGTGACTATTTCTGAGGAGAACATGAGCAGTGAAGATTCACCTTGGAGCTAGAACAGGGACGTGCACATGATTATACAGGGGCAGGGGCTCAAGTTTTTTCCAGTCATTTATACAATATGGAAATTAATGTGAAATTAAAAAACAAAGTATTAATAGAAAGGTTATGACTGTCCTGTGTAGATGACAGTGATATCCAATAGGCTAGGCACTCACGAGGCTGGCTGTGGCAAGTGTAAGTGAAAGCAACACGCACTGGCAGGAAGAACAGCAAACGCCAATGAAGGAAAGGGTCTTTGCAGTGATGGGCGTTACCAGAGAGGACAATGGCCAGAGGACGCGAATGGGACGGGGAGGCAGCGCGTTGGGGGGGGCAGCGCAACACGGCTCGGGCCCGCCAGTGCCCCAACGGGGCCCTAGTTATTATTATTTTTCCTCCGCTTTAAACTGGAAAATGGCCCACTTCCCACTGGCGAAAACTCATGAAATTTGGCAGGACAACTGGGCCTGGTGAAAAATTCGATATTCTGAAGTCGCCCAAACAATAAAATGCAAAATGGCTCCATAGCGCCCCCTAAGGTGAAAATTCACACTATTGACTGTCACGCCTGTACGCTTTGTCATATTGACACAAAAATTGACACACACATGTATCTCAATAAGATCTACAAAAAAGTCAGTGCGGGCGTATCTGTCAAATGTAGGGTTAAAGGGTTATTTCGCATTTTTTGCAGATCCGCACACATTGGAATTTCGCTAACTCCTCCGAAGGCTTTCGTTCCACCAGCACCACGTTTGCTCAGGCCAATCTACACCCCATGGCCATTCAAAGTTGTACAAATCATGACGCTGCACCCCACGGTTTAGGTTCTAGGGGGCGCCAAAGAGGACCCAAATATCCACATTTTTAAAAGTCTTATAACTTTTTATTTTTGTCCTCACTGGCCTCCAAGTTCTCTAGGATGATGCAATGTCCAGCCATCAACACATTTGTGGAGGAATTTTTACTCGCCAAAAGAGCGCCCCCCCATGGCAGGAGAAAAAAGTCAATTTTTTCTTGTCCCCCAAGGCAAAAATACACATTGTTGAATGTCACGCCTGTACGCTTTGTCATATTGACACAAAATTTGACAATCACGTGTATCTCAATAAGATCTACGAAAAAGTCAATGCGCGCGTATCTGTAAAATGTACGGTTAAAGGGCTATTTCGCTTTTTTTGCCGATTCGCACACATTGGAATGTAGCTAACTCCTCCTAAGGCTTTCGTCCCACTGACACCAAATTTGCTCAGGCCAATCTACACCCCATGGCCATTCAAATTTGTACAAATCATGAAGCTGCACCCCACGGTTAAGGTTCTAGGGGGCGCCAAAGATGACCCAAATATCCCCATTTTTAAAAGTCTTAAAACTTTTTATTTTTGTCCTCACTGGCCTCCAAGTTTTCTAGGATGATGCAATGTCCAGCCATCAACACATTTGTGAAGGAATTTTTACTCCCCAAAAGAGCGTCCCCCCATGGCAGGAGAAAAAAGTCAAATTTTTTCTTGTCTCCTAAGGTGAAAATACACATTGTTGAGATTCACGCCTCTACGCTTTGTCATATTAACACAAAAATTGACACACACATGTATCTCAATAAGATCTACGAAAAAGTCAATGGGCACGTATCTGTAAAATGTACGGTTAAAGGGCTATTTTGCATTTTTTGGCGATTCGCACACATTGGAATGTGGCTAACTCCTCCTAGAGCTTTCGTTTAACCGACACCAAATTTGCTCAGGCCAATCTACACCCCATCACTTTTTATTTTTGTCCTCACTGGCCTCCAAGTTTTCTAGGATGATGCAATGTCCAGCCATCAACACATTTGTGAAGGAATTTTTACTCCTTAAAAGAGCGCCCCCCCATGGCAGGAGAAAAAAATCCATTTTTTCTTGTCCCATTAGGTGAAAATACACACTGTTCAGTGTCACGCCTGTACGCTTTGTCTTATTGACACAAAATTTTACAATCACGTGTATCTCAATAAGATCTACGAAGAAGTCAATGCGCACGTATCTGTAAAATGTACGGTTAAAGGGCTATTTTGCATTTTGTGCCGATTCGCACACATTGGAATGCGGCTAACTCCTCCTAAAGCTTTCGTCCCACCGACACCAAATTTGCTCAGGCCAATCTACACCCCATGGCCATTCAAAGTTGTACAAATCATGACGCTGCACCCCACGGTTTAGGTTCTAGGGGGCGCCAAAGAGGACCCAAATATCCACATTTTTAAAAGTCTTATAACTTTTTATTTTTGTCCTCACTGGCCTCCAAGTTTTCTAGGATGATGCAATGTCCAGCCATCAACACATTTGTGAAGGAATTTTTACTCCCCAAAAGAGCGCCCCCCCATGGCAGGAGAAAAAGTCAAGTTTTTCCTGCCCATCGCTCAATGGCTCAAATGCATCGCTCTCTCGGCAAAACCGAAAGGAGGAGCAACTTGCCATTTGGATATATACTAGCTGTGTTTGTGCCCTCACTCATGGTCCAGACTTTTTTCAAAAAGGACATGGAGTTTGTCTGCAGCGAGCGTTTTGGTAGAAACTGCGACTCCCATTCATTATAATGGTAAATGACCACAGACAAGTGCGCACACCATCTTTGGACCTTGAGTGTGACGCGATCGGGAGGGGTAGGCGGTCGCGCTGGGGGCGGCGCGACACGGCTCGGGCCCGCCAGTGCCCCACCGGGGCCCTAGTTATTATTATTATTTTTTTTCCTCCGCTTTAAACTGGAAAATGGCCCACTTCCCACTGGCGAAAACTCATGAAATTTGGCAGGACGACCGGGCCTGGTGAAAAATTCGATATTCTGAAGTCGCCCAAAGAATAAAATGCAAAATGGCTCCATAGCGCCCCCTAAGGTGGAAATTCACACTGTTGACTGTCACGCCTGTACGCTTTGCCATATTGACACAAAAATTGACACACACATGTATCTCAATAAGATCTACAAAAAAGTCAGTGCGGGCGTATCTGTCAAATGTACGGTTAAAGGGTTATTTCGCATTTTTTGCCGATCCGCACACATTGAAATTTTGCTAACTCCTCCGAAGGCTTTCGTTCCACCGGCACCACATTTGCTCAGGCCAATCTACACCCCATGGCCATCGAAAGTTGTACAAATCATGATGCTGCACCCCACGGTTAAGTTTTAGGGGGCGCCAAAGATAACCAAAAAATCCACATTCTTAAAAGTCTTATAACTTTTTATTTTTTTCCTCACTGGCCTCCAAGTTCTCTAGGATGATGCAATGTCCAGCCATCAACACATTTGTGAAGGAATTCTTACTCCCCAAAAGAGCGCCCCCACATGGCAGGAGAAAAAAGTCAATTTTTTCTTGTCCCCTAAGGTGAAAATACACATTGTTGACTGTCACGCCTGTACGCTTTGTCATATTGACACAAAAATTGACACACACATGTATCTCAATAAGATCTACGAAAAAGTCAATGGGCACGTATCTGTAAAATGTACGGTTAAAGGGCTATTTTGCATTTTTTGCTGATTCGCACACATTGGAATGTGGCTAACTCGTCCTACAGCTTTCGTCCCACTGACACCAAATTTGCTCAGGCCAATCTACACCCCATGGCCATTCAAAGTTGTAAAAATCATGCTGCTGCACCCCACGGTTTAGGTTCTAGGGGGCGCCAAAGATGACCCAAATATCCATATTCTTAAAAGTGTTATAACTTTTTATTTTTGTCCTCACTGGCCTCCAAGTTTTCTAGGATGATGCAATGTCCAGCCATCAACACATTTGTAAAGGAATTTTTACTCCTGAAAAAGAGCGCCCCCCCATGGCAGGAGAAAAGAGTCCATTTTTTCTTGTCCCCTAAGGTGAAAAAACACATTGTTGACTGTCACGCCTATACGCTTTGTCAAAATGACACAAAATTTGACACACACGTGTATCTCAATAAGATCTACGAAAAAGTCAATGGGCACGTATCTGTAAAATGTACGGTTAAAGGGCTATTTCGCATTTTTTGGCGATTCGCACACATTGGAATGTGGCTAACTCCTCCTAGAGCTTTCGTTTAACCGACACCAAATTTGCTCAGGCCAATCTACACCCCATCACTTTTTATTTTTGTCCTCACTGGCCTCCAAGTTTTCTAGGATGATGCAATGTCCAGCCATCAACACATTTGTACAGGAATTTTTACTCCTTAAAAGAGCGCCCCCCCATGGCAGGAGAAAAAAATCCATTTTTTCTTGTCCCATTAGGTGAAAATACACACTGTTCAGTGTCACGCCTGTACGCTTTGTCTTATTGACACAAAATTTTACAATCACGTGTATCTCAATAAGATCTACGAAGAAGTCAATGCGCACGTATCTGTAAAATGTACGGTTAAAGGGCTATTTTGCATTTTGTGCCGATTCGCACACATTGGAATGCGGCTAACTCCTCCTAAAGCTTTCGTCCCACCGACACCAAATTTGCTCAGGCCAATCTACACCCCATGGCCATTCAAAGTTGTACAAATCATGACGCTGCACCCCACGGTTTAGGTTCTAGGGGGCGCCAAAGAGGACCTAAATATCCACATTTTTAAAAGTCTTATAACTTTTTATTTTTGTCCTCACTGGCCTCCAAGTTTTCTAGGATGATGCAATGTCCAGCCATCAACACATTTGTGAAGGAATTTTTACTCCCCAAAAGAGCGCCCCCCATGGCAGGAGAAAAAGTCAAGTTTTTCCTGCCCATCGCTCAATGGCTCAAACGCATCGCTCTCTCGGCAAAACCGAAAGGAGGAGCAACTTGCCATTTGGATATATACTAGCTGTGTTTGTGCCCTCACTCATGGTCCAGACTTTTTTCAAAAAGGACATGGAGTTTGTCTGCAGCGAGCGTTTTGGTAGAAACTGCGCCTCCCATTCATTATAATGGTAAATGACCACAGACAAGTGCGCACACCATCTTTGGACCTTGAGTGTGACGCGATCGGGAGGGGGAGGCGGTCGCGCTGGGGGCGGTGCGACGCGGCTCGGGCCCGACAGTGCCCCACCGGGGCCCTAGTTAGGGACCGAGCCAGCTGCAGAGCAGCCGGGTGTAGAGCCCTATTATTCCTGTATAGGTTTTTCTTTCTTCTTCTTTCTTTCTTTCTTTCTTTCTTTCTTCTTATTTTTCCTCCCCTTTGAAGGGGAAAATGGCCCACTTCCCACTGGCGAAAACTCATGAAATTTGGCAGGACGACCGGGCCTGGTGAAAAATTCGATATTCTGAAGTCGCCCAAACAATAAAATGCAAAATGGCTCCATAGCGCCCCCTAAGGCGAAAATTCACACTATTGACTGTCACGCCTGTACGCTTTGTCATTTTGACACAAAAATTGACACACACGTGTATCTCAATACGGTCTACGAAAAAGTCAGTGCGGGCGCATCTGTGAAATGTACGGTTAGAGGGTTATTTCGCATTTTTTCCCGATCCGCACACATTGGAATTTCGCTAACTCCTCCGAAGGCTTAAGTTCCACCGCCACCAAATTTGCTCAGGCCAATCTACACCCCATGGCCATTAAAAGTTGTACAAATCATGACGCTGCACTCCACGGTTTACGTTCTAGGGGGCGCCAAAGATAACCCAAAAATCCACATTCTTAATAGTCTTATAACTTTTTATTTTTGTCCTCACTGGCCTCCAAGTTTTCTAGGATGATGCAATGTCCAGCCATCAACACATTTGTAAAGGAATTTTTACTCCCGAAAAGGGCGCCCCCCCATGGCAGGAGAAAAAAGTACATTTTTTCTTGTCCCCTAAGGTGAAAAAACACATTGTTGACTGTCACGCCTATACGCTTTGTCAAAATGACACAAAATTTGACACACACGTGTATCTCAATAAGATCTACGAAAAAGTCAATGGGCACGTATCTGTAAAATCTACGGTTAAAGGGCTATTTCGCATTTTTTGCCGATTCGCACACATTGGAATGTGGCTAACTCCTCCTAAGGCTTTCTTCCCACCGACACCAAATTTGCTCAAGCCGATCTACATCCCATGGCCATTCAAAGTTGTAAAAATCATGCCGCTGCACCCCATGGTTTACGTTCTAGGGGGCGCCAAAGATGACCCAAATATCCACATTCTTAAAAGAATCCACATCCCCCCCCCCCCCAAGGCAGGAGAAAAAGTCCAGTTAACCCTGCCCATCGCTCAATGGCTCAATCGCATCGCTCTCCCGGCAACACCGTAAGGAGGAGCAACTTGCCATTTGGATATATCCTAGCTGTGTTTGTGCCCTCACTCATGGTCCAGACTTTTTTCAAATAGGACATGTAGTTTGTCTGCAGCGGCCGTTTTGGTAGAAACTGCGCCTCCCATTCATTATAATGGGAAATGACCACAGACAAGTGCGCACACCATCTTTGGACCTTCAGTGTGATGCAATCGGGAGGGGGAGGCGGTCGCGCTGGGGGCGGCGCGACGCGGCTCGGGCCCGACAGTGCCCCACCGGGGCCCTAGTGTTGAGATTCACGCCTGTACGCTTTGTCATATTGACACAAAATTTGACAATCACGTGTATCTCAATAAGATCTACGAAAAAGTCAATGCACAAATATCTGTAAAATGTACGGTTAAAGGGCTATTTCGAATTTTTAGCCGATTCACACACATTGGAATGTAGCTAACTCCTCCTAAGGCTTTCGTCCCAGTGACACCAAATATTTCAGGCCAATCTACACCCCATGGCCATTCAAAGTTGTAAAAATCATGACGCTGCACCCCACGGTTTACGTTCTAGGGGGCGCCAAAAATGACCCAAATATCCATATTCTTAAAAGTGTTAGAACATTTCATTTTTGTCCTCACTGGACTCCATGTTTTCTAGGATGATGCAATGTCCAGCCATCAACACATTTGTGAAGGAGTTTTTTCTCGTTAAAAGAGCGCCCCCCCATGGCAGGAGAATAAAGTCAAGTTTTTCCTGTTCATAGTTCAATGGCTCAAACGCACTGCTCTCTCGGCAAAAGCGAAAGGAGGAGCAACTTGCCGTTTGGATATTTCCTAGCTGTGTTTGTGCCCTCATGGTCCAGACTTTTTTCAAATAGGACATGTAGTTTGTCTGCAGCCAGCGTTTCGGTAGAAACTGCGCCTCCCATTCATTATAATGGGAAATGACCAAAGACAGGTGTGCACACTATCTTTGGACCTCGACTGTGACGTCACAGTTTGACATTTAAATGTTATTTGACCTCTGACCTTTGGTGGAGACGTGAACCTTTCAACCTGCAAAAACGGCGTTTCAATAGCTCTTACGGCTTTTCTACAAATACACTTTGTTCTGCTGCTCCTACTGTCTCTTCAGAGCTTAGGATACACAAACACACACATACACACACACACACACACACACACACAGAGTCTGTTTTTTAGCACCTGCAAAAACATGCTATTTACATATTTGACAAGAATGCAGGGGCTTCCTTTTGCCCCTGAAAAAAATCAAATTTCAAACACAACTTGACTGCTCATTTCTCCAAAAGACAACCATGAAGCTCCATCCAAACCTAAAGCAGGCAGTTGGTGCATGTGTACAGTAACCTGAGGGGACTGAGGTGACTGCTTCTGAGGAGAACATGAGCAGTGAAGATTCACCTTGGAGATAGAACAGGGACGTGCACATGATTATACAGGGGCAGGGGCTCAAGTTTTTTCCAGTCGTTTATACAATATGGAAATTAATGTGAAATTAAAAAACAAAGTATTAATAGAAAGGTAATGACTGTCCTGTGTAGGTGACAGTGATATCCAATAGGCTAGGCACTCACGAGGCTGGCTGTGGCAAGTGTAAGTGAAAGCAACACGCACTGGCAGGAAGAACAGCAAACACCGATGAAGGAAAAGGGTCTTTGCAGTGATGGGCGCTACCAGAGAGGGCGATGGCCAGAGGACGTGAATGGGACGGGGAGGCAGCCCGTTGGGGGGGGGGGGGGGGGGGGGCGACACGGCTCGGGCCCGCCAGTGCCCCAACGGGGCCCTAGTTCGTTATTATTTTTCCTCCGCTTTAAACTGGAAAATGGCCCACTTCCCACTAGCGACAACTCAGGAAATTTGGCAGGACGACCGGGCCTGGTGAAAAATTCGATATTCTGAAGTCGCCCAAACAATAAAATGCAAAATGGCTCCATAGCGCCCCCTAAGGTGAAAATTCATATGACGGCTGTACGCTTTGTCATATTGAAACAAAAATTGACACACACATGTATCTCAATAAGATCTACAAAAAAGTCAGTGCGGGCGTATCTGTCAAATGTACGGTTAATGGGTTATTTTGCATTTTTTGCAGATCTGCACACATTGGAATTTCGCTAACTCCTCCAAAGGCTTTCGTTCGACCGGCACCACATTTGCGCAGGCCAATCTACCCCCCATGGCCATTAAAAGTTGTACAAATCATGACGCTGCACCCCACGGTTTACGTTCTAGGGGGCGCCAAAGATAACCCAAAAATCCACATTCTTAAAAGTCTTATAACTTTTTACTTTTGTCCTCACTGGCCTTCAAGTTTTCTAGGATGATGCAATGTCCAGCCATCAACACATTTGTGAAGGAATTTTTACTCCCCAAAAGAGCTCCCCCCAATGGCAGGAGAAAAAGGTCCATTTTTTCTTGTCCGCTAACATGAAAATACACATTGTAGAGTGTCACGCCTGAACGCTTTGTCATATTGACAAAAAATTTGACACACACGTGTATCTCAATAAGATCTACGAAAAAGTCAAAGGGCATGTATCTGTCAAATGTACGGTTAAAGGGCTATTTTGCATTTTTTGCCGATCCGCACACATTGGAATTTCGCTAACTCCTCCGAAGGCTATCTTTCCACCGGCACCAAATTTGCTCAGGCCAATCTACACCCCATGGCCATTAAAAGTTGTACAAATCATCTTGCTGCACCCCACGGTTTGGGTTCTAGGGGGCACCAAATATAACCCAAAAATCCACATTCTTAAAAGTCTTATAACTTTTTATTTTTTTTCATACTGGCCTCTAAGTTTTTTAGGATGATGCAATGTCCAGCCATCAACACATTTGTGAAGAAATTTTTACTCCCCAAAAGAGCGCCCCCCCATGGCAGGAGAAAAAAGTCCATTTTTTCTTATCCCGAAAGGTGAAAATTCACGTTGTTGAGTGTCACGCCTTTACGCTTTGTCATATTGACAAAAAATTTGAAAATCACGTGTATCTCAATAAGATCTATGAAAAAGTCAATGGGCACGTAAGTGTAAAATGTACAGTTAAAGGGCTATTTTGCATTTTTTGCCGATTCGCACACATTGGAATTTCGCTAAGTCCTCCTAAGGCTTTCGTCCCACTGACACCAAATTTGCTCAGGCCAATCTACACTCCATGGCCATTCAAAGTTGTACAAATCATGACGCTGCACCCCACGGTTTAGGTTCTAGGGGGCGCCAAAGATAACCCTAAAATCCACATATTTAAAAGTCTTATAACTTTTTATTTTTGCCCTCACTGGCCTCCAAGTTTTCTAGGATGATGCAATGTCCAGCCATCAACACATTTGTGAAGGAATTTTTACTCCCCAAAAGAGCGCCCCCCCATGGCAGGACAAAAAAGTCCATTTTTTCTTGTCCACTAAGGTGAAAATTCACACTATTGACTGTCACGCCTGTACGCTTTGTCATATTGACACAAAAATTGACACACACATGTATCTCAATAAGATCTACAAAAAAGTCAGTGCGGGCGTATCTGTCAAATGTACGGTTAAAGGGTTATTTCGCATTTTTTGCAGATCCGCACACATTGGAATTTCGCTAACTCCTCCGAAGGCTTTCCTTCCACCGGCACCACATTTGCTCAGGCCAATCTACACCCCATGGCCATTAAAAGTTATTCAAATCATGACGCTGCACCCCACGGTTTAGGTTCTAGGGGGTGCCAAAGATAACCCTAAAATCCACATATTTCAAAGTCTTATAACTTTTTATTTTTGTCCTCACTGGCCTCCAAGTTTTCTAGGATGATGCAATGTCCAGCCATCAACACATTTGTGAAGGAATTTTTACTCCCCAAAAGAGCGCCCCCCCATGGCAGGAGAAAAAAGTCCATTTTTTCTTGTCCCGTAAGGTGAAAATTCACATTGTTGAGTGTGACACCTGTACGCTTTGTCATATTGACACAAAATTTGACAATCACGTGTATCTCAATAAGATCTACGAAAAAGTCAATGGGTGCGTATCTGTCAAATGTACGGTTAGAGGGCTATTTTGCATTTTTGGCCAATTCGCACACATTGGAATGTGGCTAACTCCTCCTAAGGCTTTCGTCCCACTGAAACCAAATTTGCTCAGGCCAATCTACACCCCATGGCCATTCAAAGTTGTAAAAATCATGACGCTGCACCCCACGGTTTACGTTCTAGGGGGCGCCAAAGATGACCAAAAAATCCACATTCTTAAAAGAATCCACATTCTCCCCCCCGATGGCACGAGAAAAAGTCAAGTTTTTCCTGCCCATCGCTCAATGGCTCAATCGCATCGCTCTCCAGGCAACACCGTAAGGAGGAGCAACCTGCCATTTGGATATATCCCAGCTGTGTTTGTGCCCTCACTCATGGTCCAGACTTTTTTCAAACAGGACATGAAGTTTGTCTGCAGCGAGTGTTTTGGTAGAAACTGCGCCTCCCATTCATTATAGTGGGAAATGACCACAGACAAGTGCGCACACCATCTTTGGACCTTGAGTGTGACGCGATCGGGAGGGGGAGGCGGTCACGCTGGGGGCGGCACGACGCGGCTCGGGCCCGACAGTGCCCCACCGGGGCCCTAGTTATTATTTTTCTGCCCCTTTGAACTGGAAAATGGCCCACTTCCCACTGGTGAAAACTCATGAAATTTGGCAGGACGACCGGGGCTGGTGAAAAATTCGATATTCTGAAGTCGGCCAAACAATAAAATGCAAAATGGCTCCATAGCGCCCCCTAAGGTGAAAAATTCACATGATTGAGTGTCACACCTGTACGCTTTGTCAAAATGACACAAAATTTGACACACACGTGTATCTCAATAAGATCTACAAAAAAGTCAGCGCGGGCGTATCTGTCAAATGTACGGTTAAAGGGCTATTTTGCATTTTTTGCCAATCCGCACACAGTGGAATTTCGCTAAACTCCTCCGAAGGCTTTCGTTCCACCGGCACCAAATTTGCTCAGGCCAATCTACACCCCATGGCCATTAAAAGTTGTACAAATCATGACGCTGCACCCCACGGTTTACGTTCTAGGGGGCACCAAAGATAACCCAAAAATCCACAGTCTTAAAAGTCTTATTACTTTTTATTTTTGTCCTCACTGGCCTCCAAGTTTTCTAGGATGATGCAATGTCCAGCCATCAACACATTTGTGAAGGAATTTTTACTCCCCAAAAGAGCGCCCCCCCATGGCAGGAGAAAAAAGTCCATTTTTTCTTGTCCCCTAAGGTGAAAAAACACATTGTTGACTGTTACGCCTATACGCTTTGTCAAAATGACACAAAATTTGACAATCACGTGTATCTCAATAAGATCTACGAAAAAGTCAATGGGCACGTATCTGTAAAATGTACGGTTAAAGGGCTATTTCGCATTTTTTTGCCGATTCGCACGCATCGGAATGTAGCTAACTCCTCCTAAGGCTTTCGTCCCACTGACACCAAATTTTTGTCAGGCCAATCTACACCCCATGGCCATTCAAAGTTGTAAAAATCATGACGCTGCACCCCACGGTTTACGTTTTAGGGGGCGCCAAAGATTACCCAAATATCCATATTCTTTAAAGTGTTAAAACATTTTATTTTTGTCCTCACTAGCCTCCATGTTTTCTAGGATGATGCAATGTCCAGCCATCAACACATTTGTGAAGGACTTTTTTCTCGTTAAAAGAGCGCCCCCCCCCCCCATGGCAGGAGAATAAAGTCAAGTTTTTCCTGTTCATCGTTCAATGGCTCAAACACATCGCTCTCTCGGCAAAAGCGAAAGGAGAAGCAATTTGCCATTTGGATATTTCCTAGCTGTGTTTGTGCCCTCACTCGTGGTCCAGACTTTTTTCAAATAGGACATGTAGTTTGTCTGCAGCCAGCGTTTCGGTAGAAACTGCGCCTCCCATTCATTATAATGGGAAATGACCAAAGACAGGTGTGCACACTATCTTTGGACCTTGACTGTGACGTCACAGTATGACATTCAAATGTTATTTGACCTCTGACCTTTGGTGGAGACGTGAACCTTTCAACCTGCAAAAACAGCGTTTCAATAGCTCTTACGGCTTTTCTACAAATACACTTTGTTCTGCTGCTCCTACTGTCTCTTCAGAGCTGCTTCACAGATCATCAAAGAGTGTGAATGTGTGTAATAATATAATCATTTTTAGTGACAATGATTTTTAGTGACATCATACATTTGTTTTTTTCAGCAGAGGCAGCCACCTTAAATGTTGACGTGTGTTTTCTGCAGTTGCATCACATGGCCACAGGGTGCCAGTGTTGGACTCATTTTCCAGGGTCTATTGTTGTTGCTAACATGTATTTGTAAAATCAAACCCCTATTTTTATAATAGAAAATGTCCTGTGAAGATTTGTCCACTGCAGTGACCGTTATATGTGAAAGGGTTAATTGTGTAGTGGAAGTGTTTAGTGTTTAGGATACACACACACAGACACACACACACACACAGACACACACACACACACACACACACACACACACACACACACACAGAGTCTGTTTTTTAGCACCTGCAAAAACATGCTATTTACATATTAGACAGGAATGCAGAGGCTTGCCCCTGAAAAAATCAAATGTCAAACGCAAATTGGCTGGTCATTTCTCCAAAAGACAACCATGAAGGGCTATCTAAACCTGAAGCATGCAGTTGCTGCATGTGTACAGTAACCTGAGGGGAGTGAGGTGACTGCTTCTGAGGAGAACATGAGCAGTGAAGATTCACCTTAGAGCCAGAACAGGGATGTGCACATGATTATAGAGGGGCAGGGGCTCAAGTCTTTTCCAGTCCTTTATACAAAATGGAAATTAATGTGAAATTAAAAAACAAAGTATTAATAGAAAGGTAATGACTGTCCTGTGTAGATGACAGTGATATCCAATAGGCTAGGCACTCACGAGGCTGACTGTGGCAAGTGTAAGTGAAAGCAACACGCACTGGCAGGAAGAACAGCAAACGCCGATGAAGGAAAAGGGTCCTTGCAGTGATGGGCGTTACCAGAGAGGGCGATGGCCAGAGGACGCGAATGGGACGGGGAGGCAGCGCGTTGGGGGGGGGGGGGGGGGGGCGTGACACGGCTCGGGCCCGCCAGTGCCCCAACGGGGCCCTAGTTATTAGGGCCCGAGCCAGCTGCAGAGCAGCCGGGCGTAGAGCCCTATTATTCCTGTATAGGTTTTTCTTTCTTCTTTCTTTCTTTCTTTCTTCTTATTTTTCCTCCCCTTTGAAGGGGAAAATGGCCCACTTCCCACTGGCGAAAACTCAGGAAATTTGGCAGGACGACCGGGCCTGGTGAAAAATTCGATATTCTGAAGTCGCCCAAACAATAAAATGCAAAATGGCTCCATAGCGCCCCCTAAGGTGAAAATTCACACTATTGACTGTCACGCCTGTACGCTTTGTCATATTGACACAAAAATTGACACACACATGTATCTCAATAAGATCTACGAAAAAGTCAATGGGCACGTATCTGTAAAATGTACGGTTAAAGGGCTATTTCGCATTTTTTTGCCGATTCGCACGCATCGGAATGTAGCTAACTCCTCCTAAGGCTTTCGTCCCACTGACACCAAATTTTTGTCAGGCCAATCTACACCCCATGGCCATTCAAAGTTGTAAAAATCATGACGCTGCACCCCACCGTTTACGTTTTAGGGGGCGCCAAAGATTACCCAAATATCCATATTCTTTAAAGTGTTAAAACATTTTATTTTTGTCCTCACTAGCCTCCATGTTTTCTAGGATGATGCAATGTCCAGCCATCAACACATTTGTGAAGGACTTTTTTCTCGTTAAAAGAGCGCCCCCCCCCATGGCAGGAGAATAAAGTCAAGTTTTTCCTGTTCATCGTTCAATGGCTCAAACACATCGCTCTCTCGGCAAAAGCGAAAGGAGAAGCAATTTGCCATTTGGATATTTCCTAGCTGTGTTTGTGCCCTCACTCGTGGTCCAGACTTTTTTCAAATAGGACATGTAGTTTGTCTGCAGCCAGCGTTTCGGTAGAAACTGCGCCTCCCATTCATTATAATGGGAAATGACCAAAGACAGGTGTGCACACTATCTTTGGACCTTGACTGTGACGTCACAGTATGACATTCAAATGTTATTTGACCTCTGACCTTTGGTGGAGACGTGAACCTTTCAACCTGCAAAAACAGCGTTTCAATAGCTCTTACGGCTTTTCTACAAATACACTTTGTTCTGCTGCTCCTACTGTCTCTTCAGAGCTGCTTCACAGATCATCAAAGAGTGTGAATGTGTGTAATAATATAATCATTTTTAGTGACAATGATTTTTAGTGACATCATACATTTGTTTTTTTCAGCAGAGGCAGCCACCTTAAATGTTGACGTGTGTTTTCTGCAGTTGCATCACATGGCCACAGGGTGCCAGTGTTGGACTCATTTTCCAGGGTCTATTGTTGTTGCTAACATGTATTTGTAAAATCAAACCCCTATTTTTATAATAGAAAATGTCCTGTGAAGATTTGTCCACTGCAGTGACCGTTATATGTGAAAGGGTTAATTGTGTAGTGGAAGTGTTTAGTGTTTAGGATACACACACACAGACACACACACACACACAGACACACACACACACACACACACACACACACACACAGAGTCTGTTTTTTAGCACCTGCAAAAACATGCTATTTACATATTAGACAGGAATGCAGAGGCTTGCCCCTGAAAAAATCAAATGTCAAACGCAAATTGGCTGGTCATTTCTCCAAAAGACAACCATGAAGCGCTATCTAAACCTGAAGCATGCAGTTGCTGCATGTGTACAGTAACCTGAGGGGAGTGAGGTGACTGCTTCTGAGGAGAACATGAGCAGTGAAGATTCACCTTAGAGCCAGAACAGGGATGTGCACATGATTATAGAGGGGCAGGGGCTCAAGTCTTTTCCAGTCCTTTATACAAAATGGAAATTAATGTGAAATTAAAAAACAAAGTATTAATAGAAAGGTAATGACTGTCCTGTGTAGATGACAGTGATATCCAATAGGCTAGGCACTCACGAGGCTGACTGTGGCAAGTGTAAGTGAAAGCAACACGCACTGGCAGGAAGAACAGCAAACGCCGATGAAGGAAAAGGGTCCTTGCAGTGATGGGCGTTACCAGAGAGGGCGATGGCCAGAGGACGCGAATGGGACGGGGAGGCAGCGCGTTGGGGGGGGTGGGGGGGGGCGTGACACGGCTCGGGCCCGCCAGTGCCCCAACTGGGCCCTAGTTATTAGGGCCCGAGCCAGCTGCAGAGCAGCCGGGCGTAGAGCCCTATTATTCCTGTATAGGTTTTTCTTTCTTCTTTCTTTCTTTCTTTCTTTCTTCTTATTTTTCCTCCCCTTTGAAGGGGAAAATGGCCCACTTCCCACTGGCGAAAACTCAGGAAATTTGGCAGGACGACCGGGCCTGGTGAAAAATTCGATATTCTGAAGTCGCCCAAACAATAAAATGCAAAATGGCTCCATAGCGCCCCCTAAGGTGAAAATTCACACTATTGACTGTCACGCCTGTACGCTTTGTCATATTGACACAAAAATTGACACACACATGTATCTCAATAAGATCTACAAAAAAGTCAGTGCGGGCATATCTGTCAAATGTACGGTTAAAGGGTTATTTCGCATTTTTTGCAGATCCGCACACATTGGAATTTCGCTAACTCCTCCGAAGGCTTTCGTTCCACCGGCACCACATTTGCTCAGGCCAATCTACACTCCATGGCCATTCAAAGTTGTACAAATCATGATGCTGCACTCCATGGTTTAGGTTCTAGGGGGCGCCAAAAATAACCCAAAAATCCACATTCTTAAAAGTTTTATAACTTTTTTTTTTTGTCCTCACTGGCCTCCAAGTTTTCTAGGATGATGCAATGTCCAGCCATCAACACATTTGTAAAGGAATTTTTACTCCCCAAAAGAGCGGCCCCCCATGGCAGGACAAAAAATCAATTTTTTCTTGTCCCCTAAGGTGAAAATACACATTGTTGAGATTCACGCCTGTATGCTTTGTCAAAATGACACAAAATTTGACACACACGTGTATCTCAATAAGATCTACGAAAAAGTCAATGCGCGCGTATCTGTAAAATGTACGGCTAAACGGCTATTTTGCATTTTTTGCCGATTCGCACACATTGGAATGTGGCTAACTCCTCCTAAGGCTTCCGGCCCACTGACACCAAATTTGCTCAGGCCAATCTACACCCCATGGCCAGTCAAAGTTGTAAAAATCATGCCGCTGCACCCCATGGTTTACGTTCTAGGGGGCGCCAAAGATGACCCAAATATCCACATTCTTAAAAGTCGTTTTGGCCACTGCAGGAGTACAGAGTACTGCAGGATACACACACACAGACACACACACACACACACACACACACACACACACACTCACACACACACACACACACACACACACACACACACACACACACACACACACACACATACACACTCAGAGTCTGTTTTTCAGCACCTGCAAAAACATGCTATTTACATATTTGACAACAATGCAGAGACTTCCTTTTGCCCCTGAAAAAAATGAAATTTCAAACACAACTTGACTGCTCATTTCTCCAAAAGACAACCATGAAGCTCCATCCAAACCTGAAGCAGGCAGTTGGTGCATGTGTACAGTAACCTGAGGGGAGTGAGGTGACTGCTTCTGAGGAGAACATGAGCAGTGAAGATTCACCTTGGAGCTAGAACAGGGACGTGCACATGATTATACAGGGGCAGGGGCTCAAGTTTTTTCCAGTCGTTTAGACAATATGGAAATTAATGTGAAATTAAAAAACAAAGTATTAATAGAAAGGTAATGACTGTCCTGTGTAGGTGACAGTGATATCCAATAGGCTAGGCACTCACGAGGCTGGCTGTGGCAAGTGCAAGTGAAAGCCACACGCACTGGCAGGAAGAACGCCGATGAAGGAAAAGGGTCTTCGCAGTGATGGGCGTTACCAGAGAGGGCGATGGCCAGAGGACGCGAATGGGACGGGGAGGCAGCGCGTTGGGGGGGGGGGTGGCGGGGGGGGGGGGGGGCGACACAGCTCGGGCCCGCCAGTGCCCCAACGGGGCCCTAGTTTGTTATTAGGGCCCGAGCGTAGCTGCTAAGCAGCTGCGAGAGCCCTATTATTCCCCAAGTGGTTTTTCTTTGTTTCTTTCTTTCTTTCTTTCTTTCTTTCTTCTTTTTCCTCCCCTTTGAACTGGAAAATGGCCCACTTCCCACTGGCGAAAACTCATGAAATTTGGCAGGACGACCGGGCCTGGTGAAAAATTCGATATTCTGAAGTCGCCCAAACAATAAAATGCAAAATGGCTCCATAGCGCCCCCTAAGGTGGAAATTCACACTATTGACTGTCACGCCTGTACGCTTTGTCATATTGACACAAAAATTGACACACATATGTATCTCAATAAGATCTACAAAAAAGTCAGTGCGGCCGTATCTGTCAAAATTACGGTTAAAGGGTTATTTCGCATTTTTTGCCGATCCGCACACATTGGAATTTCGCTAACTCCTCCGAAGGCTTTCGTTCCACCGGCACCACATTTGCTCAGGCCAATCTACACCCTGTGGCCATTAAAAGTTATCAAAATCATGACGCTGCACCCCAAGGTTTAGGTTCTAGGGGGCGCCAAAGATAACACTAAAATCCACATATTTAAAAGTCTTATAACTTTTTATTTTTGTCCTCACTGGCCTCCAAGTTTTCTAGGATGATGCAATGTCCAGCCATCAACACATTTGTGAAGGAATTTTTACTCCCCAAAAGAGCGCCCCCCCATGGCAGGAGAAAAAAGTCCATTTTTTCTTGTCCCATAAGGTGAAAATACACATTGTTGACTGTCATACCTGTACGCTTTGTCATATTGACACAAAATTTGACACACACATGTATCTCAATAAGATCTACGAAAAAGTCAATGCGCGCGTATCTGTCAAATGTACGGTTAAAGGGCTATTTCGCATTTTTTGCCGATTAGCACACATTGGAATGTGGCTAACTCCTCCTAAGGCTTTCGTCCCACTGACACCAAATTTGCTCAGGCCAATCTACACCCCATGGCCATTCAAAGTTGTAAAAATCATGACGCTGCACCCCACGGTTTACGTTCTAGGGGGCGCCAAAGATGACCCAAATATCCACATTCTTAAAAGAATCCACACCCCCCCCCCCCCCCATCCCCCATCCCCCATCCCCCATGGCAGGAGAAACAGTCAAGTTTTTCCTGCCCATCACTCAATGGCTCAATCGCATCGCTCTCCCGGCAACACCGTAACGAGGAGCAACTTGCCGTTTGGATATATCCTAGCTGTGTTTGTGCCCTCACTCATGGTCCAGACTTTTTTCAAATAGGACATGAAGTTTGTCTGCAGCGAGTGTTTTGGTAGAAACTGCGCCTCCCATTCATTATAATGGGAAATGACCACAGACAAGTGCGCACACCATCTTTGGACCTTGAGTGTGACGCGATCGGGAGGGGGAGGCGGTCGCACTGGGGGCGGCGCAACGCGGCTCGGGCCCGCCAGTGCCCCAACGGGGCCCTAGTTATTATTAGGGCCCGAGCGTAGCTGCTAAGCAGCTGCGAGAGCCCTATTATTCCCCAAGTGGTTTTTCTTTGTTTCTTTTTAGGGCCCGAGCCAGCTGCAGAGCAGCCGGGCGTAGAGCCCTATTATTCCTGTAGTGGTTTTTCTTTGTTTCTTTCTTTCTTTTTTCTTTTTCCTCCCCTTTGAACTGGAAAATGGCCCACTTCCCACTGGCCAAAACTCATGAAATTTGGCCAGACGACCGGGCCTGGTGAAAAATTCGATATTCTGAAGTCGCTTAAACAATAAAATGCAAAATGGCTCCATAGCGCCTCCTAAGGTGAAAATTCACACTATTGACTGTCACGCCTGTACGCTTTGTCAAAATGACACAAAAATTGACACACACATGTATCTCAATAAGATCTACAAAAAAGTCAGTGCGGGCGTATCTGTCAAATGTACGGTTAAAGGGTTATTGCGCATTTTTTGCCAATCCGCACACATTGGAATTTCGCTAACTCCTCCGAAGGCTTTCGTTCCACCGGCACCATATTTGCTCAGGCCAATCTACACCCCATGGCCATTAAAAGTTATTCAAATCATGACGCTGCACCCCACGGTTTAGGTTCTAGGGGGCGCCAAAGATAACCCTAAAATCCACATATTTAAAAGTCTTATAACTTTTTATTGTTGTCCCCACTGGCCTCCAAGTTTTCTAGGATGATGCAATGTCCAGCCATCAACACATTTGTGAAGGAATTTTTACTCGCCAAAAGAGCGCCCCCCCATGGCAGGAGAAAAAAGTCAATTTTTTCTTGTCCCCTAAGGTGAAAATACACATTGTTGAGTGCTACGCCTGTATGTTTTGTCGTATTGACACAAAATTTTACATACACGTGTATTTCAATAAGATCTTCGAAAAAGTCAATGGCCACGTATCTGTAAAATGTACGGTTAAAGGGTTATTCCGCATTTTTTGCCGATCCGCACACATTGGAATGTGGCTAACTCCTCCTAAGGCTTTCGTTCCACCGGCACCACATTTGCTCAGGCCAATCTACACCCCATGGCCATTAAAAGTTATTCAAATCATGACGCTGCACCCCACGGTTTAGGTTCTAGGGGGCGCCAAAGATAACCCTAAAATCCACATATTTAAAAGTCTTATAACTTTTTATTGTTGTCCCCACTGGCCTCCAAGTTTTCTAGGATGATGCAATGTCCAGCCATCAACACATTTGTGAAGGAATTTTTACTCGCCAAAAGAGCCCCCCCCCCCCCCCCCATGGCAGGAGAAAAAAGTCCATTTTTTCTTGTCCCCTAAGGTGAAAATACACATTGTTGAGTGTCACGCCTGAACGCTTTGTCATATTGACAAAAAAATTGACAATCATATGTATCTCAATTAGATCTACGAAAAAGTCAAAGAGCGCGTATCTGTATAATGTACGGTTAAAGGGCTATTTCGCATTTTTTGCCGATTCGCACACATTGGAATGTGGCTATCTCCTCCTAAGGCTTTCGTCCCACCGATACCAAATTTGCTCAGGGCAATCTACACCCCATGCCCATTCAAAGTTGTAAAAATCATGACGCTGCACCCCACGGTTTACGTTCTAGGGGGCGCCAAAGATGACCCAAAAATCTACATTCTTAAAAGTCATTTTGGCCACTGCAGGAGTACAGAGTACAGCAGTTCTAGGGGGCGCCAAAGATGACCCAAAAATCCACATTCTTAAAAGTCTTTTTGGCCACTGTAGGAGTACAGAGTACTGCAGGATACACACACATATACACACACGCCAACACACACATACACACACACACACACACACACACACACACACACACACTCAGAGTCTGTTTTTTAGCACCTGCAAAAACATGCTGTTTACATATTTGACAAGAATGCAGAGGCTTCCTTTTGCCCCTGAAAAAAATCAAATTTCAAACACAACTTGACTGTTCATTTCTCCAAAAGACAACCATGAAGCTCCATCCAAACCTGAAGCAGATAGTTGGTGCATGTGTACAGTAACCTGAGGGGAGTGAGGTGACTATTTCTGAGGAGAACATGAGCAGTGAAGATTCACCTTGGAGCTAGAACAGGGACGTGCACATGATTATACAGGGGCAGGGGCTCAAGTTTTTTCCAGTCATTTATACAATATGGAAATTAATGTGAAATTAAACCACAAATATGTGTGATGAACTGTTTTTAAAACTTAAACTTCAAATAAAAATTGTAAACTTCAAAACATATGCAAATTTTTAACAAAGAACATAGTAATTTACCTCTATTTACATCAAAATGCAGGCAATGGCCCAGGCATTCTTTGTAAAATTATTTACAAAACACTGTATAGTCTCACAAATGTCACTTTTTATTTATGCCACTACAAAAAAACATGATGTAAATGATGCATGATGTAAAACATGATGTAAAAAACTTGTGTAGATCCTCCTCTATGTCAGTCCATGTGTAATTTTTCCATAATTCTTTGTTTTTTGCAGCATTTTTGTTAGTGTAACTGCAGATTGTGCTGACAGTGTCTATGGCAAAAAAAAAAAAAAAAAAACTGAAAATGCCTCAACATGAACCCCTGGTGGTCTCTGAGGGTGAAACCTGCTAACTGCTGCAGCTCTGTCAGCTTTAGTCTCCCATGCAGAGCTCGGAGCGCATGTGTGGCTCTGCACCCTTAGCAGCGTTGCTAACTCCTCAGTAAGGAAAGCCTGCTTCATGTCAGAGTCTCTAAACTCCAGAAGAAGTCGATAAAAGTCCCTTTCTTTCTTAAAAAAAAGTCGTTAGGGGGTCTGAAAAGTCATTGAATCTAACAACAAAGTCGCTAGGTTTGCAACTACGTGTCCCAGACTGCATCCCTGCTGAGAGTTCCTCCCTCCCTTCTCATGTTGCAGGAAGAACGTAAGCGCCCGCCCCTTGTCAATCAGTCACCATATAATTTTGGATTGGTTGTTGTGGTGAAGTTTTCCACCAATAGGAGAGATGTTGTGGTGTGTTGTTTTTTTTCTTTGGCAAGCCTTTTCCGCCTGTAAGACCTGTCGCTAATGTCTGCATGCTATGTTATCCTGTCTCATACAGCGCGATCGAGCGCCGAACGTGATCAAAATAAGCAGAAAAAAAGTATCGCGGACATAATTTATCATAACTCTGGTTTTATTTGGCCTATCAACACAATTTGAAAACTGGTGTATAGTTTGAGGTCCTCACTTTTGAGATAAGTTGAAACGGAGAGTCAACGAGGCTCCGTCTTGCTGCTACATCCGGTTAAATATGTAATGTGACTTGAACGCTGGGGAGCGTCAATCGACTGCAGAGCCAGCAGACAAAGTAGTTGTGGCCACTGAAAGGCACATATTTGTCATATGCTATAATCCTAACATATTTTAATGCTTTTTCTATTTAAACCTAATGGATCTAAGGTTTGACCTTCAAAATTTAGGAAGGATATGTTTTTGCAGTAATGACCCCCTTAAACAACCAGAGGTCCTTTCCTAAAGTTTATGGAAATTTTAGTGAAGGCCTTGGTTTCTTTCCTTGCAAAATGTATAGAAATAATAAAGCTAAATACCATAAAATGGTCTTGGCGTATTAGCAGTGATATAAAATAGTGGTTTGAATATGAATGAACAACAACAAAAAAAACCATCAACAGAGCCTTTTTGAGTTGGGATTCTTTCATTATCACACAAAAACAGACATAGACAGACATCTAAAGGGTAAGGGAATAATCAGCCCTCCTAACTCTCAGATGAATCTTCAAAATTCACCTCAGAAATATGCTTATTATTCTTCTCAGAGTACTGCAGGATATACACACACACACACTCAGAGTCTTTTTTTTAGCACCTGCAAAAACATGCTATTTACATATTTGACTAGAATGCAGAGGCCCCTTTTTGCCCCTGAAAAAAATCAAATTTCAAACACAACCTGACTGCTCATTTCTCCAAAAGACAACCATGAAGCTCCATCCAAACCTGAAGCAGGCAGTTGGTGCATGTGTACAGTAACCTGAGGGGAGTGAGGTGACTGCTTCTGAGGAGAACATGAGCAGTGAAGATTCACCTTGGAGCTAGAACAGAGACATGCACATGATTATACAGGGGCAGGGGCTCAAGTTTTTTCCAGTCGTTTATACAATATGGAAATTAATGTGAAATTAAAACACAAAGTATTAATAGAAAGGTAATGACTGTCCTGTGTAGGTGACAGTGATATCCAATAGGCTAGGCACTCACGAGGCTGGCTGTGGCAAGTGTAAGTGAAAGCAACATGCACTGGCAGGAAGAACAGCAAACGCCGATGAAGGAAAAGGGTCTTTGCAGTGATGGGCGTTACCAGAGAGGGCGATGGCCAGAGGACACAAATGGGACGGGGAGGCAGCACGTTGGGGGGGGGGGGGCGACACGGCTCGGGCCCGCCAGTGCCCCAACGGGGTCCTAGTTAGGGCCCGAGCGTAGCTGCTAAGCAGCTGCGAGAGCCCTCTTGTTCCTGTAGTTTCCTTCTTTTGTTATTAGGGCCCGAGCGTAGCTGCTAAGCAGCTGCGAGAGCCCTCTTGTTCCTGCATGTTTCCTTCTTTTGTTATTATTAGGGCCCGAGCGTAGCTGCTAAGCAGCTGCGAGAGCCCTATTATTCCCCAAGTGGTTTTTCTTTGTTTCTTTCTTTCTTTCTTTAGGGCCCGAGCGTAGCTGCTAAGCAGCTGCGAGAGCCCTCTTGTTCCTGATGGATTCTTCTTTCGTTATTTTTCCTCCGCTTTAAACTGGAAAATGGCCCACTTCCCACTGGCGAAAACTCATGAAATTTGGCAGGACGACCGGGCCTGGTGAAAAATTCGATATTCTGAAGTCGCCCAAACAAAAAAATGAAAAATGGCTCCATAGCGCCCCCTATGGTGAAAACTCACCTGACGCCTGTACGCTTTGTCAAAATGACACAAAATTTGACACACATGTGTATCTCAATAAGATCTACAAAAAAGTCAGTGCGGGCGTATCTGTCAAATGTACGGTTAAAGGGCTATTTCGCATTTTTTGCCGATCCGCACACATTGGAATTTCGCTAACTCCTCCGAAGGCTTTCGTTCCACCGGCAACAAATTTGCTCAGGACAATCTACACCCCATGGCCATTAAAAGTTGTACAAATCATGACGCTGCACCCCACGGTTTACATTTTAGGGGGCGCCAAAGATAACCCAAAAATCCACAGTCTTAAAAGTCTTATAACTTTTTATTTTTGTCCTCACTGGCCTCCAAGTTCTCTAGGATGATGCAATATCCAGCCATCAACACATTTGTGAAGAAATTTTTACTCCCCAAAAGAGCGCCCCCCCATGGCAGGAGAAAAAAGTCCATTTTTTCTTGTCCCCTAAGGTGAAAATACACATTGTTGAGTGTCATGCCTGAACGCTTTGTCATATTGACACAAAATTTGACACACACGTGTATCTCAATAAGATCTACGAAAAAGTCAAAGAGCGCGTATCTGTATAATGTACGGTTAAAGGGCTATTTCGCATTTTTTGCCGATCCGCACACATTGGAATTTTGCTAACTCCTCCGAAGGCTTTCGTTCCACCGGCACCAAATTTGCTCAAGCAAATCTACACCCCATGGCCATTAAAAGTTGTACAAATCATGACGCTGCACCCCACGGTTTAGGTTCTAGGGGGCGCCAAATATAACCCAAAAATCCACATTCTTAAAAGTCTTATAACTTTTTATTTTTGTCCTCACTGGCCTCCAAGTTTTCTAGGATGATGCAATGTCCAGCCATCAACACATTTGTGAAGGAATTTTTACTCCCCAAAAGAGCGCCCCCCCATGGCAGGAGAAAAAAGTCCATTTTTTCTTGTCCCATAAGGTGAAAATACACATTGTTGAGTGTCACGCCTGTACGCTTTGTCAAAATGACACAAAATTTGACAATCACGTGTATCTCAATAAGATCTATGAAAAAGTCATGCGCAAATATCTGTAAAATGTACGGTTAAAGGGCTATTTTGCATTTTTTGCCGATTCGCACACATTGGAATGTCGCTAACTCCTCCTAAGGCTTTCGTCCCACTGACACCAAATTTGCTCAGGCCAATCTACACCCCATGGCCATTCAAAGTTGTAAAAATCATGACGCTGCACCCCACGGTTTACATTCTAGGGGGTGCCAAAGATGACCCAAATATCCACATTCTTAAAAGAATCCACATCCCCCCCCCTCCCCCCATGGCAGGAGAAAAAGTCAAGTTTTTCCTGCCCATCGCTCAATGGCTCAATCGCATCGCTCTCTCGGCAAAAGCGAAAGGAGGAGCAACTTGCCATTTGGATATATCCTAGCTGTGTTTGTGCCCTCACTCATGGTCCAGACTTTTTTCAAATAGGACATGTAGTTTGTCTGCAGCGAGTGTTTTGGTAGAAACTGCGCCTCCCATTCATTATAATGGGAAATGACCACAGACAAGTGCGCACTCCATCTTTGGACCTAGAGTGTGACGCGATCGGGAGGTGGAGGCGGTCGCGCTGGGGGCGGCGCGACGCGGCTCGGGCCCGACAGTGCCCCACCGGGGCCCTAGTTCTTTCTTTCTTTCTTCTTTTTCCTCCCCTTTGAACTGGAAAATGGCCCACTTCCCACTGGCGAAAACTCATGAAATTTGGCAGGACGACCGGGCCTGGTGAAAAATTCGATATTCTGAAGTCGCCCAAACAATAAAATGCAAAATGGCTCCATAGCGCCCCCTAAGGTGAAAATACACATTGTTGAGTGTCAAGCCTATACGCTTTGTCAAAATGACACAAAAATTGACACACACATGTAACTCAATAAGATCTACGAAAAAGTCAATGCGCGCGTATCTGTCAAATGTACGGTTAAAGGGTTATTCCGCATTTTTTGCCGATCCGCACACATTGGAATGTGGCTAACTCCTCCTAAGGCTTTCGTTCCACCGGCACCACATTTGCTCAGGCCAATTTACACCCCATGGCCATTAAAAGTTATTCAAATCATGACGCTGCACCCCACGGTTTAGGTTCTAGGGGGCGCCAAAGATAACCCTAAAATCCACATATTTAAAAGTCTTATAACTTTTTATTTTTGTCCTCACTGGCCTCCAAGTTTTCTAGGATGATGCAATGTCCAGCCATCAACACATTTGTGAAGGAATTTTTACTCCCCAAAAGAGCGCCCCCCCATGGCAGGAGAAAAAAGTCCATTTTTTCTTGTCCCCTAAGGTGAAAATACATATTGTTGAGATTCACGCCTATACGCTTTGTCATATTGACACAAAATTTTACATACACGTGCCTTGCCTGGTATCATTTTTTTCAGCACAACCTCACCTGTGCGAATTTACAGTTATTTTATCATGTTGACATACTGAATTTACACAATGGACCCAAATTCACACACAAAACATAAAATCCGAGTGGAAAAAAGTAACATTTTTACTGTGAAAACCACAAATATGTGTGATGAACTGTTTTTAAAACTTAAACTTCAAATAAAAATTGTAAACTTCAAAACATATGCAAATTTTTAACAAAGAACATAGTGATTTACCTCTATTTACATCAAAATGCAGGCAATGGCCCAGGCGTTCTTTGTAAAATTATTTACAAAACACTGTATAGTCTCACAAATGTCACTTTTTATTTATGCCACTACAAAAAAACATGATGTAAATGATGCATGATGTAAAACATGATGTAAAAAACTTGTGTAGATCCTCCTCTATGTCAGTCCATGTGTAATTTTTCCATAATTCTTTGTTTTTTGCAGCATTTTTGTTAGTGTAACTGCAGATTGTGCTGACAGTGTCTATGGCACAAAAAAAAAAAAAATTAAAATGCCTCAACATGAACCCCTGGTGGTCTCTGAGGGTGAAACCTGCTAACTGCTGCAGCTCTGTCAGCTTCAGTCTCCCATGCAGAGCTCGGAGCGCATGTGTGGCTCTGCACCCTTAGCAGCGTTGCTAACTCCTCAGTAAGGAAAGCCTGCTTCATATCAGAGTCTCTAAACTCCAGAAGAAGTCGATAAAAGTCCCTTTCTTTCTAAAAAAAAGTCGTTAGGGGGTCTGAAAAGTCATTGAATCTAACAACAAAGTCGCTAGGTTTGCAACTACGTGTCCCAGACTGCATCCCTGCTGAGAGTCCCTCCCTCGCTTCTCATGTTGCAGGAAGAACGTAAGCGCCCGCCCCTTGTCAATCAGTCACCATATAATTTTGGATTGGTTGTTGTGGTGAAGTTTTCCACCAATAGGAGAGATGTCGTGGTGTGTTTTTTTTTTCTTTTGGCAAGCCTTTTCCGCCTGTAAGACCTGTCGCTAATGTCTGCATGCTATGTTTTCCTGTCTCATACAGCACGATCGAGCGCCGAACGTGATCAAAATAAGCAGAAAAAAAGTATCGCGGACATAATTTATCATAACTCTGGTTTTATTTGGCCTATCAACACAATTTAAAAACTGGTATATAGGTTGAGGTCCTCACTTTTGAGATAAGTTGAAACGGAGAGTCAACGAGGCTCCGTCTTGCAGCTACATCTGGTTAAATATGTCATGTGACTTGAACGCACACACACACACACACACACTCACTCAGAGTCTGGTTTTTAGCACCTGCAAAAACATGCTATTTACATATTTGACAAGAATGCAGAGGCTCCTTTTGCCCCTGAAAAAAATCAAATTTCAAACACAACTTGACTGCTCATTTCTCCAAAAGACAACCATGAAGCTCCATCCAAACCTGAAGCAGGCAGTTGGTGCATGTGTACAGTAACCTGAGGGGAGTGAGGTGAGTGCTTCTGAGGAGAACATGAGCAGTGAAGATTCACCTTGGAGCTAGAACAGAGACATGCACATGATTATACAGGGGCAGGGGCTCAAGTTTTTTCCAGTCGTTTATACAATATGGAAATTAATGTGAAATTAAAACACAAAGTATTAATAGAAAGGTAATGACTGTCCTGTGTAGGTGACAGTGATATCCAATAGGCTAGGCGCTCACGAGGCTGGCTGTGGCAAGTGTAAGTGAAAGCAACACGCACTGGCAGGAAGAACAGCAAACGCCGATGAAGGAAAAGGGTCTTTGCAGTGATGGGCGTTACCAGAGAGGGCGATGGCCAGAGGACACAAATGGGACGGGGAGGCAGCACGTTGGGGGGGGGGACGCGACACGGCTCGGGCCCGCCAGTGCCCCAACGGGGTCCTAGTTATTTTTCCTCCCCTTTGAACTGGAAAATGGCCCACTTCCCACCCGCGAAAACTCATGAAATTTGGCAGGACGACCGGGCCTGGTGAAAAATTTGATATTCCGAAGTCGCCCAAACAATAAAATGCAAAATGGCTCCATAGCGCCCCCTAAGGTGAAAATTCACACTATTGACTGTCACGCCTGTACGCTTTGTCAAAATGACACAAAAATTGACACACACATGTATCTCAGTAAGATCTACAAAAAAGTCAGTGCGGGCGTATCTGTCAAATGTACGGTTAAAGGGTTATTTCGCATTTTTTGCCGATCCGCACACATTGGAATTTCGCTAACTCCTCCGAAGGCTTTCGTTCCACCGGCACCACATTTGCTCAGGCCAATCTACACCCCATGGCCATTAAAAGTTATTCAAATCATGACGCTGCACCCCACGGTTTAGGTTCTAGGGGGCGCCAAAGATAACACTAAAATCCACATATTTCAAAGTCTTATAACTTTTTATTTTTGTCCTCACTGGCCTCCAAGTTTTCTAGGATGATGCAATGTCCAGCCATCAACACATTTGTGAAGGAATTTTTACTCCCCAAAAGAGCGCCCCCCCATGGCAGGAGAAAAAAGTCCATTTTTTCTTGTCCCCTAAGGTGAAAATACACATTGTTGAGTGTCACGCCTGTACGCTTTGTCAAAATGACACAAAAATTGACACACACATGTATCTCAATAAGATCTACAAAAAAGTCAAAGCGCGCGTATCTGTCAAATGTACGGTTAAAGGGTTATTCCGCATTTTTTGCCGATTCGCACACATTGGAATTTCGCTAACTCCTCCGAAGGCTTTCGTTCCACCGGCACCACATTTGCTCAGGCCAAATTACACCCCATGGCCATTAAAAGTTATTCAAATCATGACGCTGCACCCCACGGTTTACGTTCTAGGGGGCGCCAAAGATAACCCAAAAATCCAAATTTTTAAAAGTCTTATAACTTTTTATTTTTGTCCTCACTGGCCTCCAAGTTTTCTAGGATGATGCAATGTCCAGCCATCAACACATTTGTGAAGGAATTTTTACTCCCTAAAAGAGCGCCCCCCCATGGCAGGAGAAAAAAGTCCATTTTTTCTTGTCCCCTAAGGTGAAAATACACATTGTTGACTGTCACGCCTGTACGCTTTGGCAAAATGACACAAAAATTGACAATCATGTGTATCTCAATTAGATCTACGAAAAAGTCAAGAGCGCGTATCTGTATAATGTACGGTAAAAGGGCTATTTTGCATTTTTTGCCGATTCGCACATATTGGAATTTCGCTAACTCCTCCTAAGGCTTTCGTCCCACTGACACCAAATTTGCTCAGGCCAATCTACACTCCATGGCCATTCAAAGTTGTAAAAATCATGACGCGGCACCCCACGGTTTACGTTTTAGGGGGCGCCAAAGATGACCCAAATATACATTACAGTAGACAAAGTAGTTTTGCCCACTGAGTGGCGCCAAAGGGACTTGTCTGTGGAGTCTGTGAGTCACTATTGGCCGTTTTTGACTACTTTAGATTTTACCTTTATATTTCCTCTTACAAAATTTTTACCTTGCCTTGCCTGGTATCATTTTTTTCAGCACAACCTCACCTGTGTCAATTTACAGTTATTTTATCATTTTGACATACTATATTTACACATTGGACCCAAATTCACACACAAAACATAAAATCCGAGTGGAAAAAAGTAACGTTTTTACTGTGAAAACCACAAATATGTGTGATGAACTGTTTTTAAAACTTAAACTTCAAATAAAAATTGTAAACTTCAAAACATATGCAAATTTTTAACAAAGAACATAGTAATTTACCTCTATTTACATCAAAATGCAGGCAATGGCCCAGGTGTTCTTTGTAAAATTATTTACAAAACACTGTATAGTCTCACAAATGTCACTTTTTATTTATGCCACTACAAAAAAACATGATGTAAATGATGCATGATGTAAAACATGATGTAAAAAACTTGTGTAGATCCTCCTCTATGTCAGTCCATGTGTAATTTTTCCATAATTCTTTGTTTTTTGCAGCATTTTTGTTAGTGTAACTGCAGATTGTGCTGACAGTGTCTATGGCAAAAAAAAAAAAAAACTGAAAATGCCTCAACATGAACCCCTGGTGGTCTCTGAGGGTGAAACCTGCTAACTGCTGCAGCTCTGTCAGCTTCAGTCTCCCATGCAGAGCTCGGAGCGCATGTGTGGCTCTGCACCCTTAGCAGCGTTGCTAACTCCTCAGTAAGGAAAGCCTGCTTCATGTCAGAGTCTCTAAACTCCAGAAGAAGTCGATAAAAGTCACTTTCTTTCTAAAAAAACGTCGTTAGGGGGTCTGAAAAGTCATTGAATCTAACAACAAAGTCGCTAGGTTTGCAACTACGTGTCCCAGACTGCATCCCTGCTGAGAGTCCCTCCCTCCCTTCTCATATTGCAGGAAGAACGTAAGCGCCCGCCCCTTGTCAATCAGTCACCATATAATTTTGGATTGGTTGTTGTGGTGAAGTTTTCCACCAATAGGAGAGATGTTGTGGTGTGTTTTTTTTTTCCTTTGGCAAGCCTTTTCCGCCTGTAAGACCTGTCGCTAATGTCTGCATGCTATGTTTTCCTGTCTCATACAGCGCGATCGAGCGCCGAACGTGATCAAAATAAGCAGAAAAAAAGTATCGCGGACATAATTTATCATAACTCTGGTTTTATTTGGCCTATCAACACAATTTAAAAACTGGTATATAGGTTGAGGTCCTCACTTTTGAGATAAGTTGAAACGGAGAGTCAACGAGGCTCCGTCTTGCAGCTACATCCGGTTAAATATGTCATGTGACTTGAACTCACACACACACACACACACACACACACACACACACACACACACACACACACACACACAGACACACACACACACGCACACACACACACTCAGAGTCTGGTTTTTAGCACCTGCAAAAACATGCTATTTACATATTTGACAAGAATGCAGAGGCTCCTTTTGCCCCTGAAAAAAATCAAATTTCAAACACAACTTGACTGGTCATTTCTCCAAAAGACAACCATGAAGCTCCATCCAAACCTGAAGCAGGCAGTTGATGCATGTGTACAGTAACCTGAGGGGAGTGAGGTGACTGCTTCTGAGGAGAACATGAGCAGTGAAGATTCACCTTAGAGCTAGAACAGAGACGTGCACATGATTATACAGGGGCAGGGGCTCAAGTTTTTACCAGTTGTTTATACAATATGGAAATTAATGTGAAATTAAAAAACAAAGTATTAATAGAAAGGTAATGACTGTCCTGTGTAGGTGACAGTGATATCCAATAGGCTAGGCACTCACGAGGCTGGCTGTGGCAAGTGTAAGTGAAAGCAACACGCACTGGCAGGAAGAACAGCAAACGCCGATGAAGGAAAAGGGTCTTTGCAGTGATGGGCGTTACCAGAGAGGGCGATGGCCAGAGGACACAAATGGGACGGGGAGGCAGCGCGTTGGGGGGGGGACGCGACACAGCTCGGGCCCGCCAGTGCCCCAACGGGGTCCTAGTTCTTTCTTTCTTCTTATTTTTCCTCCCCTTTGAAGGGGAAAATGGCCCACTTCCCACTGGCGAAAACTCAGGAAATTTGGCAGGACGACCGGGCCTGGTGAAAAATTCGATATTCTGAAGTCGCCCAAACAATAAAATGCAAAATGGCTCCATAGCGCCCCCTAAGGTGAAAATTCACACTATTGACTGTCACGCCTGTACGCTTTGTCATATTGACACAAAAATTGACACACACATGTATCTCAATAAGATCTACAAAAAAGTCAGTGCGGGCGTATCTGTCAAATGTACGGTTAAAGGGTTATTTCGCATTTTTTGCAGATCCGCACACATTGGAATTTCGCTAACTCCTCCGAAGGCTTTCGTTCCACTGGCACCACATTTGCTCAGGCCAATCTACACTCCATGGCCATTCAAAGTTGTACAAATCATGATGCTGCACTCCATGGTTTAGGTTCTAGGGGGCGCCAAAAATAACCCAAAAATCCACATTCTTAAAAGTGTTATAACTTTTTATTTTTGTCCTCACTGGCCTCCAAGTTTTCTAGGATGATGCAATGTCCAGCCATCAACACATTTGTAAAGGAATTTTTACTCCCCAAAAGAGCGCCCCCCCATGGCAGGACAAAAAATCAATTTTTTCTTGTCCCCTAAGGTGAAAATACACATTGTTGAGATTCACGCCTGTATGCTTTGTCAAAATGACACAAAATTTGACACACACGTGTATCTCAATAAGATCTACGAAAAAGTCAATGCGCGCGTATCTGTAAAATGTACGGCTAAACGGCTATTTTGCATTTTTTGCCGATTCGCACACATTGGAATGTGGCTAACTCCTCCTAAGGCTTCCGTCCCACTGACACCAAATTTGCTCAGGCCAATCTACACCCCATGGCCAGTCAAAGTTGTAAAAATCATGCCGCTGCACCCCATGGTTTACGTTCTAGGGGGCGCCAAAGATGACCCAAATATCCACATTCTTAAAAGTCGTTTTGGCCACTGCAGGAGTACAGAGTACTGCAGGATACACACACACAGACACACACACACACAGACACACACACACACACACACACACACACACACACACACACACACACACACACACACACACACATACACACTCAGAGTCTGTTTTTTAGCACCTGCAAAAACATGCTATTTACATATTTGACAACAATGCAGAGACTTCCTTTTGCCCCTGAAAAAAATGAAATTTCAAACACAACTTGACTGCTCATTTCTCCAAAAGACATCCATGAAGCTCCATCCAAACCTGAAGCAGGCAGTTGGTGCATGTGTACAGTAACCTGAGGGGAGTGAGGTGACTGCTTCTGAGGAGAACATGAGCAGTCAAGATTCACCTTGGAGCTAGAACAGGGACGTGCACATGATTATACAGGGGCAGGGGCTCAAGTTTTTTCCAGTCGTTTATACAATATGGAAATTAATGTGAAATTAAAAAACAAAGTATTAATAGAAAGGTAATGACTGTCCTGTGTAGGTGACAGTGATATCCAATAGGCTAGGCACTCACGAGGCTGGCTGTGGCAAGTGCAAGTGAAAGCCACACGCACTGGCAGGAAGAACGCCGATGAAGGAAAAGGGTCTTCGCAGTGATGGGCGTTACCAGAGAGGGCGATGGCCAGAGGACGCGAATGGGACGGGGAGGCAGCGCGTTGGGGGGGGGGGGGGGGGGGGGGGCGACACAGCTCGGGCCCGCCAGTGCCCCAACGGGGCCCTAGTTAGGGCCCGAGCGTAGCTGCTAAGCAGCTGCGAGAGCCCTCTTGTTCCTGATGGATTCTTCTTTCGTTATTTTTCCTCCGCTTTAAACTGGAAAATGGCCCACTTCCCACTGGCGAAAACTCAGGAAATTTGGCAGGACGACCGGGCCTGGTGAAAAATTTGATATTCTGAAGTCGTCCAAACAAAAAAAATGAAAAATGGCTCCATAGCGCCCCCTATGGTGAAAACTCACCTGATGCCTGTACGCTTTGTCAAAATGACACAAAATTTGACACACATGTGTATCTCAATAAGATCTACGAAAAAGTCAGCGCGGGCGTATCTGTCAAATGTACGGTTAAAGGGCTATTTCGCTTTTTTTGCCGATCCGCACACATTGGAATTTCGCTAACTCCTCCGAAGGCTTTCGTTCCACCGGCACCAAATTTGCTCAGGCCAATCTACACCCCATGGCCATTAAAAGTTGTACAAATCATGACGCTGCACCCCACGGTTTAGGTTCTAGGCGGCGCCAAAGATAACCAAAAAATCCACATTCTTAAAAGTCTTATAACTTTTTATTTTTGTCCTCACTGGCCTCCAAGGTTTCTAGGATGATGCAATGTCCAGCCATCAACTCATTTGTGAAGGAATTTTTACTCCCCAAAAGAGCGCCCCCCCATGGCAGGAGAAAAAAGTCCATTTTTTCTTGTCTCCTAAGGTAAAAATACACATTGTTGAGTGTCACGCCTATACACTTTGTCATATTGACACACAATTTGACAATCACGTGTATCTCAATAAGATCTACAAAAAAGTCAATAGGCACGTATCTGTCAAATGTACGGTTAAAGGGCTATTTTGCATTTTTTGCCGATTCGCACACATTGGAATGTGGCTATCTCCTTCTAAGGCTTTCGTCCCACCGATACCAAATTTGCTCAGGCCAATCTACACCCCATGCCCATTCAAAGTTGTAAAAATCATGCCGCTGCACCCCACGGTTTACGTTCTAGGGGGCGCCAAAGATGACCCAAAAATCCACATTCTTAAAAGTCTTTTTGGTCACTGCAGGAGTACAGAGTACTGCAGGATACACACACATATACACACACACACACACACACACACACACACACACACACACACACACACACACTCAGAGTCTGTTTTTTAGCACCTGCAAAAACATGCTGTTTACATATTTGACAAGAATGCAGAGGCTTCCTTTTGCCCCTGAAAAAAATCAAATTTCAAACACAACTTGACTGTTCATTTCTCCAAATGACAACCATGAAGCTCCATCCAAACCTGAAGCAGGCAGTTGGTGCATGTGTACAGTAACCTGAGGGGAGTGAGGTGACTGCTTCTGAGGAGAACATGAGCAGTGAAGATTCACCTTGGAGCGAGAACAGGGACGTGCACATGATTATACAGGGGCAGGGGCTCAAGTTTTTTCCAGTCGTTTATACAATATGGAAATTAATGTGAAATTAAAAAACAAAGTATTAATAGAAAGGTAATGACTGTCCTGTGTAGGTGACAGTGATATCCAATAGGCTAGGCACTCACGAGGCTGGCTGTGGCAAGTGTAAGTGAAAGCAACACGCACTGGCAGGAAGAACAGCAAACCCCGATGAAGGAAAAGGGTCTTTGCAGTGATGGGCGTTACCAGAGAGGACGATGGCCAGAGGACGCGAATGGGACGGGGAGGCAGCGCGTTGGGGGGGGGGCGCGACACAGCTCGGGCCCGCCAGTGCCCCAACGGGGCCCTAGTTATTATTTTTCCTCCGCTTTAAACTGGAAAATGGCCCACTTCCCACTGGCGAAAACTCATGAAATTTGGCAGGACGACCGGGCCTGGTGAAAAATTCGATATTCTGAAGTCACCCAAACAATAAAATGCAAAATGGCTCCATAGCGCCCCCTAAGGTGAAAATTCACACTATTGACTGTCACGCCTGTACGCTTTGTCATATTGACACAAAAATTGACACACACATGTATCTCAATAAGATCTACAAAAAAGTCAGCACGGGCGTGTCTGTCAAATGTACGGTTAAAGGGTTATTTCGCATTTTTTGCCGATCCGCACACATTGGAATTTCGCTAACTCCTCCGAAGGCTTTCGTTCCACCGGCACCACATTTGCTCAGGCCAATCTACACCCCATGGCCATTAAAAGTTGTACAAATCATGACGCTGCACCCCACGGTTTACGTTCTAGGGGGCGCCAAAGATAACCCAAAAATCCACAGTCTTAAAAGTCTTATAACTTTTTATTTTTGTCCTCACTGGCCTCCAAGTTCTCTAGGATGATGCAATGTCCAGCAATTAACACATTTGTGAAGGAATTTTTACTCGCCAAAAGAGCGCCCCCCCATGGCAGGAGAAAAAAGTCCATTTTTTCTTGTCCCCTAAGGCGAATATACACACTGTTGACTGTCACGCCTGTACGCTTTGCCATATTGACACAAAAATTGACACACACATGTATCTCAATAAGATCTACAAAAAAGTCAGTGCGGGCGTATCTGTCAAATGTACGGTTAAAGGGTTATTTCGCATTTTTTACCGATCCGCACACATTGAAATTTCGCTAACTCCTCCGAAGGCTTTCGTTCCACCGGCACCACATTTGCTCAGGCCAATCTACACCCCATGGCCATCGAAAGTTGTACAAATCATGACGCTGCACCCCACGGTTTAGGTTCTAGGGGGCGCCAAAGATAACCAAAAAATCCACATTCTTAAAAGTCTTATAACTTTTTATTTTTTTCCTCACTGGCCTCCAAGTTCTCTAGGATGATGCAATGTCCAGCCATCAACACATTTGTGAAGGAATTTTTACTCCCCAAAAGAGCGCCCCCACATGGCAGGAGAAAAAAGTCCATTTTTTCTTGTCCCCTAAGGTGAAAATACACATTGTTGACTGTCACGCCTGTACGCTTTGTCATATTGACACAAAAATTGACACACACATGTATCTCAATAAGATCTACGAAAAAGTCAATGGGCACGTATCTGTAAAATGTACGGTTAAAGGGCTATTTTGCATTTTTTGCTGATTCGCACACATTGGAATGTGGCTAACTCGTCCTACAGCTTTCGTCCCACTGACACCAAATTTGCTCAGGCTAATCTACACCCCATGGCCATTCAAAGTTGTAAAAATCATGACGCTGCACCCCACGGTTTAGGTTCTAGGGGGCGCCAAAGATGACCCAAATATCCATATTCTTAAAAGTGTTATAACTTTTTATTTTTGTCCTCACTGGCCTCCAAGTTTTCTAGGATGATGCAATGTCCAGCCATCAACACATCTGTAAAGGAATTTTTACTCCTGAAAAAGAGCGCCCCCCCATGGCAGGAGAAAAGAGTCCATTTTTTCTTGTCCCCTAAGGTGAAAAAACACATTGTTGACTGTCACGCCTATACGCTTTGTCAAAATGACACAAAATTTGACACACACGTGTATCTCAATAAGATCTACGAAAAAGTCAATGGGCACGTATCTGTAAAATGTACGGTTAAAGGGCTATTTCGCATTTTTTGCCGATTCGCACACATTGGAATGTGGCTAACTCCTCCTAAGGCTTTCGTCCCACCAACACCAAATTTGCTCAAGCCGATCTACATCCCATGGCCATTCAAAGTTGTAGAAATCATGACGCTGCTCCCCACGGTTTAGGTTCTAGGGGGCGCCAAAGATGACCTAAATATCCACATTCTTAAAAGAATCCACATCGCCCCCCCCAAGGCAGGAGAAAAAGTCAAGTTAACCCTGCCCATCGGTCAATGGCTCAATCGCATCGCTCTCCCAGCAACACCGTAAGGAGGAGCAACTTGCCATTTGGATATATCCTAGCTGTGTTTGTGCCCTCACTCATGGTCCAGACTTTTTTCAAATAGGACATGTAGTTTGTCTGCAGCGAGTGTTTTGGTAGAAACTGCGCCTCCATTCATTATAATGGGAAATGACCACAGACAAGTGCGCACACCTTCTTTGGACCTTGAGTGTGACGCGATCGGGAGGGGGAGGCGGTCGCGCTGGGGGCGGCACGACGCGGCTCGGGCCCGACAGTGCCCCACCGGGGCCCTAGTTCGTTATTATTTTTCCTCCGCTTTAAACTGGAAAATGGCCCACTTCCCACTGGCGAAAACTCAGGAAATTTGGCAGGACGACCGGGCCTGGTGAAAAATTCGATATTCTGAAGTCGCCCAAACAAGAAAATGCAAAATGGCTCCATAGTGCCCCCTAAGGTGAAAATTCACATGACGGCTGTACGCTTTGTCATATTGAAACAAAAATTGACACACACATGTATCTCAATAAGATCTACAAAAAAGTCAGTGCGGGCGTATCTGTCAAATGTACGGTTAATGGGGTATTTTGCATTTTTTGCAGATCTGCACACATTGGAATTTCGCTAAGTCCTCCTAAGGCTTTCGTTCGACCGGCACCACATTTGCGCAGGCCAATCTACCCCCCATGGCCATTAAAAGTTGTACAAATCATGACGCTGCACCCCACGGTTTACGTTCTAGGGGGCGCCAAAGATAACCCAAAAATCCACATTCTTAAAAGTCTTATAACTTTTTACTTTTGTCCTCACTGGCCTTCAAGTTTTCTAGGATGATGCAATGTCCAGCCATCAACACATTTGTGAAGGAATTTTTACTCCCCAAAAGAGCTCCCCCCAATGGCAGGAGAAAAAGGTCCATTTTTTCTTGTCCCCTAACATGAAAATACACATTGTAGAGTGTCACGCCTGAACGCTTTGTTATATTGACAAAAAATTTGACACACACGTGTATCTCAATAAGATCTACGAAAAAGTCAAAGGGCATGTATCTGTCAAATGTACGGTTAAAGGGCTATTTTGCATTTTTTGCCGATCCGCACACATTGGAATTTCGCTAACTCCTCCGAAGGCTATCTTTCCACCGGCACCAAATTTGCTCAGGCCAATCTACACCCCATGGCCATTAAAAGTTGTACAAATCATCTTGCTGCATCCCACGGTTTGGGTTCTAGGGGGCACCAAATATAACCCAAAAATCCACATTCTTAAAAGTCTTATAACTTTTTATTTTTTTTCATACTGGCCTCCAAGTTTTTTAGGATGATGCAATGTCCAGCCATCAACACATTTGTGAAGAAATTTTTACTCCCCAAAAGAGCGCCCCCCCCATGGCAGGAGAAAAAAGTCCATTTTTTCTTATCCCGAAAGGTGAAAATTCACGTTGTTGAGTGTCACGCCTTTACGCTTTGTCATATTGACAAAAAATTTGAAAATCACGTGTATCTCAATAAGATCTATGAAAAAGTCAATGGGCACGTAAGTGTAAAATGTACAGTTAAAGGGCTATTTTGCATTTTTTGGCGATTCGCACACATTGGAATTTCGCTAAGTCCTCCTAAGGCTTTCGTCCCACTGACACCAAATTTGCTCAGGCCAATCTACACTCCATGGCCATTCAAAGTTGTAAAAATCATGACGCTGCACCCCACGGTTTAGGTTCTAGGGGGCGCCAAAGATAACCAAAAAATCCACAGTCTTAAAAGTCTTATAACTTTTTATTTTTGCCCTCACTGGCCTCCAAGTTTTCTAGGATGATGCAATGTCCAGCCATCAACACATTTGTGAAGGAATTTTTACTCCCCAAAAGAGCGCCCCCCCATGGCAGGAGAAAAAAGTCAATTTTTTCTTGTCCCCTAAGGGGAAAATACACATTGTTGAGTGTCACGCCTGTACGCTTTGTCATATTGACACAAAATTTGACACACACATGTATCTCAATAAGATCTACGAAAAAGTCAATGCGCGCGTATCTGTCAAATGTACGGTTAAAGGGTTATTCCGCATTTTTTGCCGATCCGCACACATTGGAATTTCGCTAACTCCTCCGAAGGCTTTCGTTCCACCGGCACCACATTTGCTCAGGCCAATCTACACCCCATGGCCATTAAAAGTTATTCAAATCATGACGCTGCACCCCACGGTTTAGGTTCTAGGGGGTGCCAAAGATAACCCTAAAATCCACATATTTCAAAAGTCTTATAACTTTTTATTTTTGTCCTCACTGGCCTCCAAGTTTTCTAGGATGATGCAATGTCCAGCCATCAACACATTTGTGAAGGAATTTGTACTCCCCAAAAGAGCGCCCCCCCATGGCAGGAGAAAAAAGTCCATTTTTTCTTGTCCCGTAAGGTGAAAATTCACATTGTTGAGTGTGACACCTGTACGCTTTGTCATATTGACACAAAATTTGACAATCACGTGTATCTCAATAAGATCTACGAAAAAGTCAATGGGTGCGTATCTGTCAAATGTACGGTTAGAGGGCTATTTTGCATTTTTGGCCAATTCGCACACATTGGAATGTGGCTAACTCCTCCTAAGGCTTTCGTCCCACTGAAACCAAATTTGCTCAGGCCAATCTACACCCCATGGCCATTCAAAGTTGTAAAAATCATGACGCTGCACCCCACGGTTTACGTTCTAGGGGGCGCCAAAGATGACCAAAAAATCCACATTCTTAAAAGAATCCACATTCTCCCCCCCGATGGCACGAGAAAAAGTCAAGTTTTTCCTGCCCATCGCTCAATGGCTCAATCGCATCGCTCTCCAGGCAACACCGTAAGGAGGAGCAACCTGCCATTTGGATATATCCCAGCTGTGTTTGTGCCCTCACTCATGGTCCAGACTTTTTTCAAATAGGACATGAAGTTTGTCTGCAGCGAGTGTTTTGGTAGAAACTGCGCCTCCCATTCATTATAGTGGGAAATGACCACAGACAAGTGCGCACACCATCTTTGGACCTTGAGTGTGACGCGATCGGGAGGGGGAGGCGGTCACGCTGGGGGCGGCACGACGCGGCTCGGGCCCGACAGTGCCCCACCGGGGCCCTAGTTATTAGGGCCCGAGCGTAGCTGCTAAGCAGCTGCGAGAGCCCTATTATTCCTGATGGATTCTTCTTTCTTCTTCTTCTTCTTATTATTAGGGCCCGAGCCAGCTGCAGAGCAGCCGGGCGTAGAGCCCTATTATTCCTGTATAGGTTTTTCTTTCTTCTTTCTTTCTTTCTTTCTTTCTTCTTATTTTTCCTCCCCTTTGAAGGGGAAAATGGCCCACTTCCCACTGGCGAAAACTCAGGAAATTTGGCAGGACGACCGGGCCTGGTGAAAAATTCGATATTCTGAAGTCGCCCAAACAATAAAATGCAAAATGGCTCCATAGCGCCCCCTAAGGTGAAAATTCACACTATTGACTGTCACGCCTGTACGCTTTGTCATATTGACACAAAAATTGACACACACATGTATCTCAATAAGATCTACAAAAAAGTCAGTGCGGGCATATCTGTCAAATGTACGGTTAAAGGGTTATTTCGCATTTTTTGCAGATCCGCACACATTGGAATTTCGCTAACTCCTCCGAAGGCTTTCGTTCCACCGGCACCACATTTGCTCAGGCCAATCTACACTCCATGGCCATTCAAAGTTGTACAAATCATGATGCTGCACTCCATGGTTTAGGTTCTAGGGGGCGCCAAAAATAACCCAAAAATCCACATTCTTAAAAGTTTTATAACTTTTTTTTTTTGTCCTCACTGGCCTCCAAGTTTTCTAGGATGATGCAATGTCCAGCCATCAACACATTTGTAAAGGAATTTTTACTCCCCAAAAGAGCGGCCCCCCATGGCAGGACAAAAAATCAATTTTTTCTTGTCCCCTAAGGTGAAAATACACATTGTTGAGATTCACGCCTGTATGCTTTGTCAAAATGACACAAAATTTGACACACACGTGTATCTCAATAAGATCTACGAAAAAGTCAATGCGCGCGTATCTGTAAAATGTACGGCTAAACGGCTATTTTGCATTTTTTGCCGATTCGCACACATTGGAATGTGGCTAACTCCTCCTAAGGCTTCCGGCCCACTGACACCAAATTTGCTCAGGCCAATCTACACCCCATGGCCAGTCAAAGTTGTAAAAATCATGCCGCTGCACCCCATGGTTTACGTTCTAGGGGGCGCCAAAGATGACCCAAATATCCACATTCTTAAAAGTCGTTTTGGCCACTGCAGGAGTACAGAGTACTGCAGGATACACACACACAGACACACACACACACAGACACACACACACACACACACACACACACACACACACACACACACACACACACACACACACACACACACACACAACACACTCAGAGTCTGTTTTTCAGCACCTGCAAAAACATGCTATTTACATATTTGACAACAATGCAGAGACTTCCTTTTGCCCCTGAAAAAAATGAAATTTCAAACACAACTTGACTGCTCATTTCTCCAAAAGACAACCATGAAGCTCCATCCAAACCTGAAGCAGGCAGTTGGTGCATGTGTACAGTAACCTGAGGGGAGTGAGGTGACTGCTTCTGAGGAGAACATGAGCAGTCAAGATTCACCTTGGAGCTAGAACAGGGACGTGCACATGATTATACAGGGGCAGGGGCTCAAGTTTTTTCCAGTCGTTTAGACAATATGGAAATTAATGTGAAATTAAAAAACAAAGTATTAATAGAAAGGTAATGACTGTCCTGTGTAGGTGACAGTGATATCCAATAGGCTAGGCACTCACGAGGCTGGCTGTGGCAAGTGCAAGTGAAAGCCACACGCACTGGCAGGAAGAACGCCGATGAAGGAAAAGGGTCTTCGCAGTGATGGGCGTTACCAGAGAGGGCGATGGCCAGAGGACGCGAATGGGACGGGGAGGCAGCGCGTTGGGGGGGGGGGTGGCGGGGGGGGGGGGGGGCGACACAGCTCGGGCCCGCCAGTGCCCCAACGGGGCCCTAGTTATTTTTCTGCCCCTTTGAACTGGAAAATGGCCCACTTCCCACTGGTGAAAAGTCATGAAATTTGGCAGGACGACCGGGCCTGGTGAAAAATTCGATATTCTGAAGTCGCCCAAAAAATCAAATGCAAAATGGCTCCATAGCGCCCCCTAAGGTGAAAAATTCACATGATTGAGTGTCACGCCTGTACGCTTTGTCAAAATTACACAAAATTTGACACACACGTGTATCTCAATAAGATCTACAAAAAAGTCAGTGCGGGCGTATCTGTCAAATGTACGGTTAAAGGGCTATTTCGCATTTTTTGCCGATCCGCACACATTGGAATTTTGCTAACTCCTCCGAAGGCTTTCGTTCCACCGGCACCAAATTTGCTCAGGCCAATCTACACCCCATGGCCATTAAAAGTTGTACAAATCATGACGCTGCATCCCACGGTTTACGTTCTAGGGGGCGCCAAAGATAACCCAGAAATCCACATTCTTAAAAGTCGTATAACTTTTTATTTTTGTCCTCACTGGCCTCCAAGTTTTCTAGGATGATGCAATGTCTAGCCATCAACACATTTGTGAAGGAATTTTTACTCCCCAAAAGAGCGCCCCCCCATGGCAGGAGAAAAAAGTCCAGTTTTTCTTCCCCCCTAAGGTGAAAATTCACATTATTGAGTGTCACGCCTGTACGCTTTGTCATATTGAAACAAACTTTGACAACTAGGGCCCCGTTGGGGCACTGGCGGGCCCGAGCCGTGTCACGCCGCCCCCAGCGCGACCGCCTCCCCCACCCGATCGCGTCACACTCAAGGTCCAAAGATGGTGTGCGCACTTGTTTGTGGTCATTTACCATTATAATGAACGGGAGGCGCAGTTTCTACCAAAACGCTCGCTGCAGAAAAACTCCATGTCCTATTTGAAAAAAGTCTGGACCATGAGTGAGGGCACAAACACAGCTAAGATATATCCAAATGGCAAGTTGCTCCTCCTTTCGCTTTTGCCGAGAGAGCAGTGCGTTTGAGCCATTGAATGATGAACAGGAAAAACTTGACTTTATTCTCCTGCCATGGGGGGGCGCTCTTTTAACGAGAAAAAACTCCTTCACAAATGTGTTGATGGCTGGACATTGCATCATCCTAGAAAACATGGAGGCCAGTGAGGACAAAAATAAAAAGTTATAAGACTTTTAAATATGTGGATTTTAGGGTCATCTTCGGCGCCCCCTAGAACCTAAACCGTGGGGTGCAGCGTCATGATTTGAATAACTTTTAATGGCCATGGGGTGTAGATTGGCCTGAGCAAATGTGGTGCCGGTGGAACGAAAGCCTTCGGAGGAGTTAGCGAAATTCCAATGTGTGCGAATCTGCAAAAAAATGCGAAATAACCCTTTAACCGTACATTTTACATATACGTGGCCATTGACTTTTTCGAAGATCTTATTGAAAGACACGTGTATGTAAAATTTTGTGTCAATACGACAAAACATACAGGCGTAGCACTCAACAATGTGTATTTTCACCTTAGTGGACAAGAAAAAATGGACTTTTTTCTCCTGCCATGGGGGGGCGCTCTTTTGGCGAGTAAAAATTCCTTCACAAATGTGTTGATGGCTGGACATTGCATCATCCTAGAAAACTTGGAGGCCAGTGGGGACAAAAATAAAAAGTTATAAGACTTTTAAATATGTGGATTTTACGGTTATCTTTGGCGCCCCCTAGAACCTAAACCGTGGGGTGCAGCGTCATGATTTGAATAACTTTTAATGGCCATGGGGTGTAGATTGGCCTGAGAAAATGTGGTGCCGGTGGAACGAAAGCCTTCGGAGGAGTTAGCGAAATTCCAATGTGTGCGGATCGGCAAAAAATGCGGAATAACCCTTTAACCGTACATTTGACAGATACGTGCGCATTGACTTTTTTGTAGATCTTATTGAGATACATGTGTGTGTCAATTTTGGTGTCATTTTGCCAAAGCGTACAGGTGTTACACTCAACAATGTGTATTTTCACCTTAGGGGACAAGAAAAAATGGACTTTTTTCTCCTGCCATGGGGGGGCGCTCTTTTGGGGAGTAAAAATTCCTTCACAAATGTGTTGATGGCTGGACATTGCATCATCCTAGAAAACTTGGAGGCCAGTGAGGACAAAAATAAAAAGTTATAAGACTTTTAAATATGTGGATCTTAGGGTTATCTTTGGCGCCCCCTAGAACCTAAACCGTGGGGTGCAGCGTCATGATTTGAATAACTTTTAATGGCCATGGGGTGTAGATTGGCCTGAGCAAATGTGGTGCCGGTGGAACGAAAGCCTTCGGAGGAGTTAGCGAAATTCCAATGTGTGCGGATCGGCAAAAAATGCGAAATAACCCTTTAACCGTACATTTGACAGATACGCCCGCACTGACTTTTTTGTAGATCTTATTGAGATACATGTGTGTGTCAATTTTTGTGTCATTTTGACAAAGCGTACAGGCGTGACAGTCAATAGTGTGAATTTTCACCTTAGGGGGCGCTATGGAGCCATTTTGCATTTTCTTGTTTGGGCGACTTCGGAATATCAAATTTTTCACCAGGCCCGGTCGTCCTGCCAAATTTCATGAGTTTTCGCCAGTGGGAAGTGGGCCATTTTCCAGTTCAAAGGGGAGGAAAAATAACTAGGGCCCCGGTGGGGCACTGTCGGGCCCGAGGCGCGTTGCGCCGCCCCCAGCGCGACCGCCTCCCCCTCCCGATCGCGTCACACTCAAGGTCCAAAGATGGTGTGCGCACTTGTCTGTGGTCATTTCCCATTATAATGAATGGGAGGCACAGTTTCTACCAAAACACTCGCTGCAGACAAACTACATGTCCTATTTGAAAAAAGTCTGGACCATGAGTGAGGGCACAAACACAGCTAGGATATATCCAAACGGCAAGTTGCTCCTTGTTACAGTGTTGCCGGGAGAGTGATGCGATTGAGCCATTGAGTGATGGGCAGGAAAAACTTGACTGTTTCTCCTGCCATGGGGGTTGGGGGATGGGGGGGGGGGGGGGGATGTGGATTCTTTTAAGAATGTGGATATTTGGGTCATCTTTGGCGCCCCCTAGAACGTAAACCGTGGGGTGCAGCGTCATGATTTTTAAAACTTTGAATGGCCATGGGGTGTAGATTGGCCTGAGCAAATTTGGTGTCAGTGGGACGAAAGCCTTAGGAGGAGTTAGCCACATTCCAATGTGTGCGAATCGGCAAAAAATGCAAAATAGCCCTTTAACCGTACATTTTACAGATACGCGCGCATTGACTTTTTTGTAGATCTTATTGAGATACATGTGATTGTCAAATTTTGTGTCAATATGACAAAGCGTACAGGTATGACAGTCAACAATGTGTTTTTTCACCTTATGGGACAAGAAAAAATGGACTTTTTTCTCCTGCCATGGGGGGGCGCTCTTTTGGGGAGTAAAAATTCCTTCACAAATGTGTTGATGGCTGGACATTGCATCATCCTAGAAAACTTGGAGGCCAGTGAGGACAAAAATAAAAAGTTATAAGACTTTGAAATATGTGGATTTTAGGGTTATCTTTGGCGCCCCCTAGAACCTAAACCGTGGGGTGCAGCGTCATGATTTGAATAACTTTTAATGGCCATGGGGTGTAGATTGGCCTGAGCAAATGTGGTGCCGGTGGAACGCCAGCCTTAGGAGGAGTTAGCGAAATTCCAATGTGTGCGGATCAGCAAAAAATGCGGAATAACCCTTTAACCGTACATTTGACAGATACGCGCGCATTGACTTTTTCGTAGATCTTATTGAGATACATGTGTGTGTCAAATTTTGTGTCAATATGACAAAGCGTACAGGCGTGACACTCAACAATGTGTATTTTCACCTTAGGGGACAAGAAAAAATGGACTTTTTTCTCCTGCCATGGGGGGGCGCTCTTTTGGGGATTAAAAATTCCTTCACAAATGTGTTGATGGCTGGACATTGCATCATCCTAGAAAACTTGGAGGCCAGTGAGGTCAAAAATAAAAAGTTATAAGACTTTTAAATATGTGGATTTTAGGGTTATCTTTGGCGCCCCCTAGAACCTAAACCGTGGGGTGCAGCGTCATGATTTGAATAACTTTTAATGGCCATGGGGTGTAGATTGGCCTGAGCAAATGTGGTGCCGGTGGAACGAAAGCCTTCGGAGGAGTTAGCGAAATTCCAATGTGTGCGGATCGGCAAAAAATGCGGAATAACCCTTTAACCGTACATTTGACAGATACGCCCGCACTGACTTTTTTGTAGATCTTATTGAGATACATGTGTGTGTCAATTTTTGTGTCAATATGACAAAGCGTATAGGCGTGACAGTCAATAGTGTGAATTTTCACCTTAGGGGGCGCTATGGAGCCATTTTGCATTTTCTTGTTTGGGCGACTTCGGAATATCAAATTTTTCACCAGGCCCGGTCATCCTGCCAAATTTCATGAGTTTTCGCCAGTGGGAAGTGGGCCATTTTCCAGTTCAAAGGGGAGGAAAAAGAAGAAAGAAAGAAACAAAGAAAAACCACTTGGGGAATAATAGGGCTCTCGCAGCTGCTTAGCAGCTACGCTCGGGCCCTAATAACTAGGACCCCGTTGGGGCACTGGCGGGCCCGAGCCGTGTCGCGTCCCCCCCCCCAACGTGCTGCCTCCCCGTCCCATTTGTGTCCTCTGGCCATCGCCCTCTCTGGTAACGCCCATCACTGCAAAGACCCTTTTCCTTCATCGGCGTTTGCTGTTCTTCCTGCCAGTGCGTGTTGCTTTCACTTACACTTGCCACAGCCAGCCTCGTGAGCGCCTAGCCTATTGGATATCACTGTCACCTACACAGGACAGTCATTACCTTTCTATTAATACTTTGTGTTTTAATTTCACATTAATTTCCATATTGTATAAACGACTGGAAAAAACTTGAGCCCCTGCCCCTGTATAATCATGTGCATGTCTCTGTTCTAGCTCCAAGGTGAATCTTCACTGCTCATGTTCTCCTCAGAAGCACTCACCTCACTCCCCTCAGGTTACTGTACACATGCACCAACTGCCTGCTTCAGGTTTGGATGGAGCTTCATGGTTGTCTTTTGGAGAAATGACCAGTCAAGTTGTGTTTGAAATTTGATTTTTTTCAGGGGCAAAAGGAGCCTCTGCATTCTTGTCAAATATGTAAATAGCATGTTTTTGCAGGTGCTAAAAACCAGACTCTGAGTGAGTGTGTGTGTGTGTGTGTGTGCGTTCAAGTCACATGACATATTTAACCAGATGTAGCTGCAAGACGGAGCCTCGTTGACTCTCCGTTTCAACTTATCTCAAAAGTGAGGACCTCAACCTATATACCAGTTTTTAAATTGTGTTGATAGGCCAAATAAAACCAGAGTTATGATAAATTATGTCCGCGATACTTTTTTTCTGCTTATTTTGATCACGTTCGGCGCTCGATCGTGCTGTATGAGACAGGAAAACATAGCATGCAGACATTAGCGACAGGTCTTACAGGCGGAAAAGGCTTGCCAAAAGAAAAAAAAAACACACCACAACATCTCTCCTATTGGTGGAAAACTTCACCACAACAACCAATCCAAAATTATATGGTGACTGATTGACAAGGGGCGGGCGCTTACGTTCTTCCTGCAACATGAGAAGCGAGGGAGGGACTCTCAGCAGGGATGCAGTCTGGGACACGTAGTTGCAAACCTAGCGACTTTGTTGTTAGATTCAATGACTTTTCAGACCCCCTAACGACTTTTTTTTAGAAAGAAAGGGACTTTTATCGACTTCTTCTGGAGTTTAGAGACTCTGACATGAAGCAGGCTTTCCTTACTGAGGAGTTAGCAACGCTGCTAAGGGTGCAGAGCCACACATGCGCTCCGAGCTCTGCATGGGAGACTGAAGCTGACAGAGCTGCAGCAGTTAGCAGGTTTCACCCTCAGAGACCACCAGGGGTTCATGTTGAGGCATTTTAATTTTTTTTTTTTTTGTGCCATAGACACTGTCAGCACAATCTGCAGTTACACTAACAAAAATGCTGCAAAAAACAAAGAATTATGGAAAAATTACACATGGACTGACATAGAGGAGGATCTACACAAGTTTTTTACATCATGTTTTACATCATGCATCATTTACATCATGTTTTTTTGTAGTGGCATAAATAAAAAGTGACATTTGTGAGACTATACAGTGTTTTGTAAATAATTTTACAAAGAACGCCTGGGCCATTGCCTGCATTTTGATGTAAATAGAGGTAAATCACTATGTTCTTTGTTAAAAATTTGCATATGTTTTGAAGTTTACAATTTTTATTTGAAGTTTAAGTTTTAAAAACAGTTCATCACACATATTTGTGGTTTTCACAGTAAAAATGTTACTTTTTTCCACTCGGATTTTATGTTTTGTGTGTGAATTTGGGTCCATTGTGTAAATTCAGTATGTCAACATGATAAAATAACTGTAAATTCGCACAGGTGAGGTTGTGCTGAAAAAAATGATACCAGGCAAGGCACGTGTATGTAAAATTTTGTGTCAATATGACAAAGCGTATAGGCGTGAATCTCAACAATATGTATTTTCACCTTAGGGGACAAGAAAAAATGGACTTTTTTCTCCTGCCATGGGGGGGCGCTCTTTTGGGGAGTAAAAATTCCTTCACAAATGTGTTGATGGCTGGACATTGCATCATCCTAGAAAACTTGGAGGCCAGTGAGGACAAAAATAAAAAGTTATAAGACTTTTAAATATGTGGATTTTAGGGTTATCTTTGGCGCCCCCTAGAACCTAAACCGTGGGGTGCAGCGTCATGATTTGAATAACTTTTAATGGCCATGGGGTGTAGATTGGCCTGAGCAAATGTGGTGCCGGTGGAACGAAAGCCTTAGGAGGAGTTAGCCACATTCCAATGTGTGCGGATCGGCAAAAAATGCGGAATAACCCTTTAACCGTACATTTGACAGATACGCGCGCATTGACTTTTTCGTAGATCTTATTGAGTTACATGTGTGTGTCAATTTTTGTGTCATTTTGACAAAGCGTATAGGCTTGACACTCAACAATGTGTATTTTCACCTTAGGGGACAAGAAAAAATGGACTTTTTTCTTCTGCCATGGGGGGCGCTCTTTTGGGGAGTAAAAATTCCTTCACAAATGTGTTGATGGCTGGACATTGCATCATCCTAGAAAACTTGGAGGCCAGTGAGGACAAAAATAAAAAGTTATAAGACTTTTAAATATGTGGATTTTAGTGTTATCTTTGGCGCCCCCTAGAACCTAAACCTTGGGGTGCAGCGTCATGATTTTGATAACTTTTAATGGCCACGGGGTGTAGATTGGCCTGAGCAAATGTGGTGCCGGTGGAACGAAAGCCTTCGGAGGAGTTAGCGAAATTCCAATGTGTGCGGATCGTCAAAAAATGCGAAATAACCCTTTAACCGTAATTTTGACAGATACGGCCGCACTGACTTTTTTGTAGATCTTATTAAGATACATATGTGTGTCAATTTTTGTGTCAATATGACAAAGCGTACAGGCGTGACAGTCAATAGTGTGAATTTCCACCTTAGGGGGCGCTATGGAGCCATTTTGCATTTTATTGTTTGGGCGACTTCAGAATATCGAATTTTTCACCAGGCCCGGTCGTCCTGCCAAATTTCATGAGTTTTCGCCAGTGGGAAGTGGGCCATTTTCCAGTTCAAAGGGGAGGAAAAAGAAGAAAGAAAGAAAGAACTAGGGCCCCGTTGGGGCACTGGCGGGCCCGAGCTGTGTCACGCCGCCCCCAACACGACCGCCTCTCCCTCCCGATCGCGTCACACTCAAGGTTCAACGATGGTGTGCGCACTTGTCTGTGGTCATTTACCATTATAATGAATGGGAGGCGCAGTTTCTACCAAAACGCTTGCTGCAGACAAACTACATGTCCTATTTGAAAAAAGTCTGGACCATGAGTGAGGGCACAAACACAGCTAGGATATATCCAAATGGCAAGTTCCTCCTCCTTTCGTTTTTTTCCGAGAGAGCGATGTGTTTGAGCCATTGAGCGATGGGCAGGAAAAACTTGACTTTTTCTCCTGCCATGGGGGGGCACTCTTTTAGGGAGAAAAAATTCCTTCACAAATGTGTTGATGGCTAGACATTGCATCATCCTAGAAAACTTTGAAGCCAGTGAGGACAAAAATAAAAAGTTATAAGACTTTTAAATATGTGGATTTTAGTGTTATCTTTGGCGCCCCCTAGAACCTAAACCTTGGGGTGCAGCGTCATGATTTTGATAACTTTTAATGGCCAAGGGGTGTAGATTGGCCTGAGCAAATGTGGTGCCGGTGGAACGAAAGCCTTCGGAGGAGTTAGCGAAATTCCAATGTGTGCAGATCGGCAAAAAATGCGAAATAACCCTTTAACCGTAATTTTGACAGATACGGCCGCACTGACTTTTTTGTAGATCTTATTGAGATACATGTGTGTGTCAATTTTTGTGTCATTTTGACAAAGCGTACAGTCGTGACAGTGAATAGTGTGAATTTTCACCTTAGGGGGCGCTATGGAGCCATTTTGCATTTTATTGTTTTGGCGACTTCAGAATATCAAATTTTTCACCAGGCCCGGTCGTCCTGCCAAATTTCATGAGTTTTCGCCAGTGGGAAGTGGGCCATTTTCCAGTTCAAAGGGGAGGAAAAAGAAAAAAGAAAGAAAGAAACAAAGAAAAACCACTTGGGGAATAATAGGGCCTACGCCCGGCTGCTCTGCAGCTGGCTCGGGCCCTAAAGAAAGAAAGAAACAAAGAAAAACCACTTGGGGAATAATAGGGCTCTCGCAGCTGCTTAGCAGCTACGCTCGGGCCCTAATAATAACAAAAGAAGGAAACATGCAGGAACAAGAGGGCTCTCGCAGCTGCTTAGCAGCTACGCTCGGGCCCTAATCACGTGTTTCTCAATAAGATCTACGAAACAGTCAATGGGCGCGTATCTGTAAAATGTATGGTTAAAGGGCTGTTTCGCATTTTTGGTCGATTCGCACACATTGGAATGTGGCTAACTCCTCCTAAAGCTTTCGTTCCACTGACACCAAATTTGCTCAGGCCAATCTACACCCCATGGCCATTCAAAGTTGTAAAAATCATGACGCTGCACCCCACGGTTTATGTTCTAGGGGGCGCCAAAGATAACCCAAAAATCCACATTCTTAAAAGTCTTATAACTTTTTATTTTTGTCCTCACTGGCCTCCAAGTTTTCTAGGATGATGCAATGTCTAGCCATCAACACATTTGTGAAGGAATTTTTACTCCCTAAAAGAGCGCCCCCCCATGGCAGGAGAAAAAGTCAAGTTTTTCCTGCCCATCGCTCAATGACTCAAACACATCGCTCTCTCGGCAAAACCGAAAGGAGGAGCAACTTGCCATTTGGATATATCCTAGCTGTGTTTGTGCCCTCACTCATGGTCCAGTCCTTTTCAAATAGGACATGTAGTTTGTCTGCGGCGAGCGTTTTGGTAGAAACTGTGCCTCCCATTCATTATAATTGTAAATGACCACAGACAAGTGCGCACACCATCTTTGGACCTTGAGTGTGACGCGATCGGTAGGGAGAGGCGGTCGTGTTGGGGGCGGCGCGACACGGCTCGGGCCCGCCAGTGCCCCAACGGGGCCCTAGTTTAGGGCCCGAGCGTAGCTGCTAAGCAGCTGCGAGAGCCCTATTATTCCCCAAGGGGTTTTTCTTTGTTTCTTTCTTTCTTTCTTTCTTCTTTTTCCTCCCCTTTGAACTGGAAAATGGCCCACTTCCCACTGGCGAAAACTCAGGAAATTTGGCAGGACGACCGGGCCTGGTGAAAAATTCGATATTCTGAAGTCGCCCAAACAATAAAATGCAAAATGGCTCCATAGCGCCCCCTAAGGTGGAAATTCACACTATTGACTGTCACGCCTTTACGCTTTGTCATATTGACACAAAAATTGACACACATATGTATCTCAATAAGATCTACAAAAAAGTCAGTGCGGCCGTATCTGTCAAATGTACGGTTAAAGGGTTATTTCGCATTTTTTGCCGATCCGCACACATTGGAATTTCGCTAACTCCTCCGAAGGCTTTCGTTCCACCGGCACCACATTTGCTAAGGCCAATCTACACCCCGTGGCCATTAAAAGTTATCAAAATCATGACGCTGCACCCCAAGGTTTACGTTCTAGGGGGCGCCAAAGATAACAGTAAAATCCACATATTTAAAAGTCTTATAACTTTTTATTTTTGTCCTCACTGGCCTCCAAGTTTTCTAGGATGATGCAATGTCCAGCCATCAACACATTTGTGAAGGAATTTTTACTCCCCAAAAGAGCGCCCCCCCATGGCAGGAGAAAAAAGTCCATTTTTTCTTGTCCCCTAAGGTGAAAATACACATTGTTGAGTGTCACGCCTATACGCTTTGTCAAAATGACACAAAAATTGACACACACATGTAACTCAATAAGATCTACGAAAAAGTCAATGCGCGCGTATCTGTCAAATGTACGGTTAAAGGGTTATTCCGCATTTTTTGCCGATCCGCACACATTGGAATTTCGCTAACTCCTCCGAAGGCTTTCGTTCCACCGGCACCACATTTGCTCAGGCCAAATTACACCCCATGGCCATTAAAAGTTATTCAAATCATGACGCTGCACCCCACGGTTTACGTTCTAGGGGGCGCCAAAGATAACCCAAAAATCCACATTTTTAAAAGTCTTATAACTTTTTATTTTTGTCCTCACTGGCCTCCAAGTTTTCTAGGATGATGCAATGTCCAGCCATCAACACATTTGTGAAGGAATTTTTACTCCCTAAAAGAGCTACACCACAAGGCAGGAGAAAAAAGTCCATTTTTTCTTGTCCCCTAAGGTGAAAATACACATTGTTGACTGTCACGCCTGTACGCTTTGGCAAAATGACACAAAAATTGACAATCATGTGTATCTCAATTAGATCTACGAAAAAGTCAAAGAGCGCCTATCTGTATAATGTACGGTAAAAGGGCTATTTTGCATTTTTTGCCGATTCGCACACATTGGAATTTCGCTAACTCCTCCTAAGGCTTTCGTCCCACTGACACCAAATTTGCTCAGGCCAATCTACACTCCATGGCCATTCAAAGTTGTAAAAATCATGACGCTGCACCCCACGGTTTACGTTTTAGGGGGCGCCAAAGATGACCCAAATATACATTACAGTAGACAAAGTAGTTTTGCCCACTGAGTGGCGCCAAAGGGACTTGTCTGTGGAGTCTGTGAGTCACTATTGGCCGTTTTTGACTACTTTAGATTTTACCTTTATATTTCCTCTTACAAAATTTTTACCTTGCCTTGCCTGGTATCATTTTTTTCAGCACAACCTCACCTGTGTCCATTTACAGTTATTTTATCATTTTGACATACTATATTTACACATTGGACCCAAATTCACACACAAAACATAAAATCCGAGTGGAAAAAAGTAACGTTTTTACTGTGAAAACCACAAATATGTGTGATGAACTGTTTTTAAAACTTAAACTTCAAATAAAAATTGTAAACTTCAAAACATATGCAAATTTTTAACAAAGAACATAGTAATTTACCTCTATTTACATCAAAATGCAGGCAATGGCCCAGGTGTTCTTTGTAAAATTATTTACAAAACACTGTATAGTCTCACAAATGTCACTTTTTATTTATGCCACTACAAAAAAACATGATGTAAATGATGCATGATGTAAAACATGATGTAAAAAACTTGTGTAGATCCTCCTCTATGTTAGTCCATGTGTAATTTCTCCATAATTCTTTGTTTTTTGCAGCATTTTTGTTAGTCTAACTGCAGATTGTGCTGACAGTGTCTATGGCAAAAAAAAAAAAAAAAAAAACTGAAAATGCCTCAACATGAACCCCTGGTGGTCTCTGAGGGTGAAACCTGCTAACTGCTGCAGCTCTGTCAGCTTCAGTCTCCCATGCAGAGCTCAGAGCGCATGTGTGGCTCTGCACCCTTAGCAGCGTTGCTAACTCCTCAGTAAGGAAAGCCTGCTTCATGTCAGAGTCTCTAAACTCCAGAAGAAGTCGATAAAAGTCACTTTCTTTCTAAAAAAAAGTCGTTAGGGGGTCTGAAAAGTCATTGAATCTAACAACAAAGTCGCTAGGTTTGCAACTACGTGTCCCAGACTGCATCCCTGCTGAGAGTCCCTCCCTCCCTTCTCATATTGCAGGAAGAACGTAAGTTCCCGCCCCTTGTCAATCAGTCACCATATAATTTTGGATTGGTTGTTGTGGTGAAGTTTTCCACCAATAGGAGAGATGTTGTGGTGTGTTTTTTTTTTCCTTTGGCAAGCTTTTTCCGCCTGTAAGACCTGTCGCTAATGTCTGCATGCTATGTTTTCCTGTCTCATACAGCGCGATCGAGCGCCGACCGTGATCAAAATAAGCAGAAAACAAGTATCGCGGACATAATTTATCATAACTCTGGTTTTATTTGGCCTATCAACACAATTTAAAAACTGGTATATAGGTTGAGGTCCTCACTTTTGAGATAAGTTGAAACGGAGAGTCAACGAGGCTCCGTCTTGCAGCTACATCCGGTTAAATATGTCATGTGACTTGAACGCACACACACACACACACACACACACAGACACACACACACACACACACACACACACTCAGAGTCTGGTTTTTAGCACCTGCAAAAACATGCTATTTACATATTTGACAAGAATGCAGAGGCTCCTTTTGCCCCTGAAAAAAATCAAATTTCAAACACAACTTGACTGGTCATTTCTCCAAAAGACAACCATGAAGCTCCATCCAAACCTGAAGCAGGCAGTTGGTGCATGTGTACAGTAACCTGAGGGGAGTGAGGTGACTGCTTCTGAGGAGAACATGAGCAGTGAAGATTCACCTTAGAGCTAGAACAGAGACGTGCACATGATTATACAGGGGCAGGGGCTCAAGTTTTTTCCAGTTGTTTATACAATATGGAAATTAATGTGAAATTAAAAAACAAAGTATTAATAGAAAGGTAATGACTGTCCTGTGTAGGTGACAGTGATATCCAATAGGCTAGGCACTCACGAGGCTGGCTGTGGCAAGTGTAAGTGAAAGCAACACGCACTGGCAGGAAGAACAGCAAACGCCGATGAAGGAAAAGGGTCTTTGCAGTGATGGGCGTTACCAGAGAGGGCGATGGCCAGAGGACGCGAATGGGACGGGGAGGCAGCGCGTTGGGGGGGGGACGCGACACAGCTCGGGCCCGCAAGTGCCCCAACGGGGTCCTAGTTTCTTTTTCCTCCCCTTTGAACTGGAAAATGGCCCACTTCCCACTGGCGAAAACTCATGAAATTTGGCAGGACGACCGGGCCTGGTGAAAAATTTGATATTCTGAAGTCGCCCAAACAATACAATGCAAAATGGCTCCATAGCGCCCCCTAAGGTGAAAAATTCACCTGACGCCTGTACGCTTTGTCAAAATGACACAAAAATTGACACACACATGTATCTCAATAAGATCTACAAAAAAGTCAGTGCGGGCGTATCTGTCAAATGTACGGTTAAAGGGTTATTGCGCATTTTTTGCCGATCCGCACACATTGGAATTTCGCTAACTCCTCCGAAGGCTTTCGTTCCACCGGCACCACATTTGCTCAGGCCAATCTACACCCCATGGCCATTAAAAGTTATTCAAATCATGACGCTGCACCCCACGGTTTAGGTTCTAGGGGGCGCCAAAGATAACCCTAAAATCCACATATTTCAAAGTCTTATAACTTTTTATTTTTGCCCTCACTGGCCTCCAAGTTTTCTAGGATGATGCAATGTCCAGCCATCAACACATTTGTGAAGGAATTTTTACTCCCCAAAAGAGCGCCCCCCCATGGCAGGAGAAAAAAGTTCATTTTTTCTTGTCCCATAAGGTGAAAATTCACACTATTGACTGTCACGCCTGTACGCTTTGTCAAAATGACACAAAAATTGACACACACATGTATCTCAATAAGATCTACAAAAAAGTCCATGCGCGCGTATCTGTCAAATGTACGGTTAAAGGGTTATTCCGCATTTTTTGCCGATTCGCACACATTGGAATTTCGCTAACTCCTCCGAAGGCTTTCGTTCCACCGGCACCAAATTTGCTCAGGCCAATCTACACCCCATGGCCATTAAAAGTTATTCAAATCATGACGCTGCACCCCATGGTTTACGTTCTAGGGGGCGCCAAAGATAACCCAAAAATCCACATTTTTAAAAGTCTTATAACTTTTTATTTTTGTCCTCACTGGCCTCCAAGTTTTCTAGGATGATGCAATGTCCAGCCATCAACACATTTGTGAAGGAATTTTTACTCCCCAAAAGAGCGCCCCCCCATGGCAGAAGAAAAAAGTCCATTTTTTCTTGTCCCCTAAGGTGAAAATACACATTGTTGAGTGTCACGCCTATACGCTTTGTCAAAATGACACAAAAATTGACACACACATGTAACTCAATAAGATCTACGAAAAAGTCAATGCGCGCGTATCTGTCAAATGTACGGTTAAAGGGTTATTCCGCATTTTTTGCCGATCCGCACACATTGGAATGTGGCTAACTCCTCCTAAGGCTTTCGTTCCACCGGCACCACATTTGCTCAGGCCAATCTACACCCCATGGCCATTAAAAGTTATTCAAATCATGACGCTGCACCCCACGGTTTAGGTTCTAGGGGGCGCCAAAGATAACCTTAAAATCCACATATTTAAAAGTCTTATAACTTTTTATTTTTGTCCTCACTGGCCTCCAAGTTTTCTAGGATGATGCAATGTCCAGCCATCAACACATTTGTGAAGGAATTTTTACTCCCCAAAAGAGCGCCCCCCCATGGCAGGAGAAAAAAGTCCATTTTTTCTTGTCCCCTAAGGTGAAAATAGATATTGTTGAGATTCACGCCTATACGCTTTGTCATATTGACACAAAATTTGACAATCACGTGCCTTGCCTGGTATCATTTTTTTCAGCACAACCTCACCTGTGCGAATTTACAGTTATTTTATCATGTTGACATACTGAATTTACACAATGGACCCAAATTCACACACAAAACATAAAATCCGAGTGGAAAAAAGTAAAATTTTTACTGTGAAAACCACAAATATGTGTGATGAACTGTTTTTAAAACTTAAACTTCAAATAAAAATTGTAAACTTCAAAACATATGCAAATTTTTAACAAAGAACATAGTGATTTACCTCTATTTACATCAAAATGCAGGCAATGGCCCAGGCGTTCTTTGTAAAATTATTTACAAAACACTGTATAGTCTCACAAATGTCACTTTTTATTTATGCCACTACAAAAAACATGATGTAAATGATGCATGATGTAAAACATGATGTAAAAAACTTGTGTAGATCCTCCTCTATGTCAGTCCATGTGTAATTTTTCCATAATTCTTTGTTTTTTGCAGCATTTTTGTTAGTGTAACTGCAGATTGTGCTGACAGTGTCTATGGCACAAAAAAAAAAAAATAAAATAAAATGCCTCAACATGAACCCCTGGTGGTCTCTGAGGGTGAAACCTGCTAACTGCTGCAGCTCTGTCAGCTTCAGTCTCCCATGCAGAGCTCGGAGCGCATGTGTGGCTCTGCACCCTTAGCAGCGTTGCTAACTCCTCAGTAAGGAAAGCCTGCTTCATGTCAGAGTCTCTAAACTCCAGAAGAAGTCGATAAAAGTCCCTTTCTTTCTAAAAAAAAAGTCGTTAGGGGGTCTGAAAAGTCATTGAATCTAACAACAAAGTCGCTAGGTTTGCAACTACGTGTCCCAGACTGCATCCCTGCTGAGAGTCCCTCCCTCGCTTCTCATGTTGCAGGAAGAACGTAAGCGCCCTCCCCTTGTCAATCAGTCACCATATAATTTTGGATTGGTTGTTGTGGTGAAGTTTTCCACCAATAGGAGAGATGTTGTGGTGTGTTTTTTTTTTCTTTTGGCAAGCCTTTTCCGCCTGTAAGACCTGTCGCTAATGTCTGCATGCTATGTTTTCCTGTCTCATACAGCGCGATCGAGCGCCGAACGTGATCAAAATAAGCAGAAAAAAAGTATCGCGGACATAATTTATCATAACTCTGGTTTTATTTGGCCTATCAACACAATTTAAAAACTGGTATATAGGTTGAGGTCCTCACTTTTGAGATAAGTTGAAACGGAGAGTCAACGAGGCTCCGTCTTGCAGCTACATCCGGTTAAATATGTCATGTGACTTGAACGCACACACAGACACACACACACGCACACACACACACACACACACACACACACACACACACTCAGAGTCTGGTTTTTAGCACCTGCAAAAACATGCTATTTACATATTTGACAAGAATGCAGAGGCTCCTTTTGCCCCTGAAAAAAATCAAATTTCAAACACAACTTGACTGCTCATTTCTCCAAAAGACAACCATGAAGCTCCATCCAAACCTGAAGCAGGCAGTTGGTGCATGTGTACAGTAACCTGAGGGGAGTGAGGTGAGTGCTTCTGAGGAGAACATGAGCAGTGAAGATTCACCTTGGAGCTAGAACAGAGACATGCACATGATTATACAGGGGCAGGGGCTCAAGTTTTTTCCAGTCGTTTATACAATATGGAAATTAATGTGAAATTAAAACACAAAGTATTAATAGAAAGGTAATGACTGTCCTGTGTAGGTGACAGTGATATCCAATAGGCTAGGCACTCACGAGGCTGGCTGTGGCAAGTGTAAGTGAAAGCAACACGCACTGGCAGGAAGAACAGCAAACGCCGATGAAGGAAAAGGGTCTTTGCAGTGATGGGCGTTACCAGAGGGGGCGATGGCCAGAGGACACAAATGGGACGGGAAGGCAGCACGTTGGGGGGGGGGACGCGACACGGCTCGGGCCCGCCAGTGCCCCAACGGGGTCCTAGTTAGGGCCCGAGCGTAGCTGCTAAGCAGCTGCGAGAGCCCTCTTGTTCCTGATGGATTCTTCTTTTGTTATTATTATTAGGGCCCGAGCCAGCTGCAGAGCAGCCGGGCGTAGAGCCCTATTATTCCTGTATAGGTTTTTCTTTCTTCTTTCTTTCTTTCTTTCTTCTTATTTTTCCTCCCCTTTGAAGGGGAAAATGGCCCACTTCCCACTGGCGAAAACTCATGAAATTTGGCAGGACGACCGGGCCTGGTGAAAAATTCGATATTCTGAAGTCGCCCAAACAATAAAATGCAAAATGGCTCCATAGCGCCCCCTAAGGTGAAAATTCACACTATTGACTGTCACGCCTGTACGCTTTGTCATATTGACACAAAATTTGACACACATATGTATCTCAATAAGATCTACAAAAAAATCAGTGCGGGCGTATCTATCACATGTACGGTTAAAGGGTTATTTCGCATTTTTTGCCGATCCGCACACATTGGAATTTCGCTAACTCCTCCGAAGGCTTTCGTTCCACCGGCACCACATTTGCTCAGGCCAATCTACACCCCATGGCCATTAAAAGTTGTACAAATCATGACGCTGCACCCCACGGTTTAGGTTCTAGGGGGCGCCAAAGATAACCCAAAAATCCACATTCTTAAAAGTCTTATAACTTTTTACTTTTGTCCTCACTGGCCTTCAAGTTTTCTAGGATGATGCAATGTCCAGCCATCAACACATTTGTGAAGGAATTTTTACTCCCCAAAAGAGCGCCCCCCAATGGCAGGAGAAAAAGGTCCATTTTTTCTTGTCCCCTAACATGAAAATACACATTGTAGAGTGTCACGCCTGAACGCTTTGTCATATTGACACAAAATTTGACAATCACGTGTATCTCAATAAGATCTACAAAAAAGTCAAAGGGCATGTATCTGACATGTACGGTTAAAGGGCTATTTTGCATTTTTTGCCGATCCGCACACATTGGAATTTCGCTAACTCCTCCGAAGGCTATCTTTCCACCGGCACCAAATTTGCTCAGGCCAATCTACACCCCATGGCCATTAAAAGTTGTACAAATCATCTTGCTGCACCCCACGGTTTGGGTTCTAGGGGGCACCAAATATAACCCAAAAATCCACATTCTTAAAAGTCTTATAACTTTTTATTTTTTTCCATACTGGCCTCCAAGTTTTTTAGGATGATGCAATGTCTAGCCATCAACACATTTGTGAAGGAATTTTTACTCCCTAAAAGAGCGCCCCCCCATGGCAGGAGAAAAAGTCAAGTTTTTCCTGCCCATCGCTCAATGACTCAAACACATCGCTCTCTCGGCAAAACCGAAAGGAGGAGCAACTTGCCATTTGGATATATCCTAGCTGTGTTTGTGCCCTCACTCATGGTCCAGTCCTTTTCAAATAGGACATGTAGTTTGTCTGCGGCGAGCGTTTTGGTAGAAACTGCGCCTCCCATTCATTATAATTGTAAATGACCACAGACAAGTGCGCACACCATCTTTGGACCTTGAGTGTGACGCGATCGGTAGGGAGAGGCGGTCGTGTTGGGGGCGGCGCACCGCGGCTCGGGCCCGCCAGTGCCCCAACGGGGCCCTAGTTATTATTTTTCCTCCGCTTTAAACTGGAAAATGGCCCACTTCCCACTGGCGAAAACTCATGAAATTTGGCAGGAGGACCGGGCCTGGTGAAAAATTCGATATTCTGAAGTCGCCCAAACAATAAAATGCAAAATGGCTCCATAGCGCCCCCTAAGGTGGAAATTCACACTGTTGACTGTCACGCCTGTACGCTTTGTCATATTGACACAAAAATTGACACACACATGTATCTCAATAAGATCTACAAAAAAGTCAGTGCGCGCGTATCTGTCAAATGTACGGTTAAAGGGTTATTTCGCATTTTTTGCCGATCCGCACACATTGAAATTTCGCTAACTCCTCCGAAGGCTTTCGTTCCACCGGCACCACATTTGCTCAGGCCAATCTACACCCCATGGCCATCGAAAGTTGTACAAATCATGACGCTGCACCCCACGGTTTAGGTTCTAGGGGGCGCCAAAGATAACCAAAAAATCCACATTCTTAAAAGTCTTATAACTTTTTATTATTTTCCTCACTGGCCTCCAAGTTCTCTAGGATGATGCAATGTCCAGCCATCAACACATTTGTGAAGGAATTTTTACTCCCCAAAAGAGCGCCCCCACATGGCAGGAGAAAAAAGTCCATTTTTTCTTGTCCCCTAAGGTGAAAATACACATTGTTGACTGTCACGCCTGTACGCTTTGTCATATTGACACAAAAATTGACACACACATGTATCTCAATAAGATCTACGAAAAAGTCAATGGGCACGTATCTGTAAAATGTACGGTTAAAGGGCTATTTTGCATTTTTTGCTGATTCGCACACATTGGAATGTGGCTAACTCGTCCTACAGCTTTCGTCCCACTGACACCAAATTTGCTCAGGCCAATCTACACCCCATGGCCATTCAAAGTTGTAAAAATCATGACGCTGCACCCCACGGTTTACGTTCTAGGGGGCGCCAAAGATGACCCAAATATCCATATTCTTAAAAGAATCCACATCCCCCAAGGCAGGAGAAAAAGTCAAGTTAACCCTGCCCATCGGTCAATGGCTCAATCGCATCGCTCTCCCGGCAACACCGTAAGGAGGAGCAACTTGCCATTTGGATATATCCTAGCTGTGTTTGTGCCCTCACTCATGGTCCAGACTTTTTTCAAATAGGACATGTAGTTTGTCTGCAGCGAGTGTTTTGGTAGAAACTGCGCCTCCCATTTATTATAATGGGAAATGACCACAGACAAGTGCGCACACCATCTTTGGACCTTGAGTGTGACGCGATCGGGAGGGGGAGGCGGTCGCGCTGGGGGCGGTGCGACGCGGCTCGGGCCCGACAGTGCCCCACCGGGGCCCTAGTTAGGGCCCGAGCCAGCTGCAGAGCAGCCGGGCGTAGAGCCCTATTATTCCTGTATAGGTTTTTCTTTCTTCTTTCTTTCTTTCTTTCTTCTTATTTTTCCTCCCCTTTGAAGGGGAAAATGGCCCACTTCCCACTGGCGAAAACTCATGAAATTTGGCAGGACGACCGGGCCTGGTGAAAAATTCGATATTCTGAAGTCGCCCAAACAATAAAATGCAAAATGGCTCCATAGCGCCCCCTAAGGTGAAAATTCACACTATTGACTGTCACGCCTGTACGCTTTGTCATATTGACACAAAATTTGACACACATATGTATCTCAATAAGATCTACAAAAAAATCAGTGCGGGCGTATCTATCACATGTACGGTTAAAGGGTTATTTCGCATTTTTTGCCGATCCGCACACATTGGAATTTCGCTAACTCCTCCGAAGGCTTTCGTTCCACCGGCACCACATTTGCTCAGGCCAATCTACACCCCATGGCCATTAAAAGTTGTACAAATCATGACGCTGCACCCCACGGTTTAGGTTCTAGGGGGCGCCAAAGATAACCCAAAAATCCACATTCTTAAAAGTCTTATAACTTTTTACTTTTGTCCTCACTGGCCTTCAAGTTTTCTAGGATGATGCAATGTCCAGCCATCAACACATTTGTGAAGGAATTTTTACTCCCCAAAAGAGCGCCCCCCAATGGCAGGAGAAAAAGGTCCATTTTTTCTTGTCCCCTAACATGAAAATACACATTGTAGAGTGTCACGCCTGAACGCTTTGTCATATTGACACAAAATTTGACAATCACGTGTATCTCAATAAGATCTACAAAAAAGTCAAAGGGCATGTATCTGACATGTACGGTTAAAGGGCTATTTTGCATTTTTTGCCGATCCGCACACATTGGAATTTCGCTAACTCCTCCGAAGGCTATCTTTCCACCGGCACCAAATTTGCTCAGGCCAATCTACACCCCATGGCCATTAAAAGTTGTACAAATCATCTTGCTGCACCCCACGGTTTGGGTTCTAGGGGGCACCAAATATAACCCAAAAATCCACATTCTTAAAAGTCTTATAACTTTTTATTTTTTTCCATACTGGCCTCCAAGTTTTTTAGGATGATGCAATGTCTAGCCATCAACACATTTGTGAAGGAATTTTTACTCCCTAAAAGAGCGCCCCCCCATGGCAGGAGAAAAAGTCAAGTTTTTCCTGCCCATCGCTCAATGACTCAAACACATCGCTCTCTCGGCAAAACCGAAAGGAGGAGCAACTTGCCATTTGGATATATCCTAGCTGTGTTTGTGCCCTCACTCATGGTCCAGTCCTTTTCAAATAGGACATGTAGTTTGTCTGCGGCGAGCGTTTTGGTAGAAACTGCGCCTCCCATTCATTATAATTGTAAATGACCACAGACAAGTGCGCACACCATCTTTGGACCTTGAGTGTGACGCGATCGGTAGGGAGAGGCGGTCGTGTTGGGGGCGGCGCACCGCGGCTCGGGCCCGCCAGTGCCCCAACGGGGCCCTAGTTATTTTTCTGCCCCTTTGAACTGGAAAATGGCCCACTTCCCACTGGTGAAAACTCATGAAATTTGGCAGGACGACCGGGGCTGGTGAAAAATTCGATATTCTGAAGTCGGCCAAACAATAAAATGCAAAATGGCTCCATAGCGCCCCCTAAGGTGAAAAATTCACATGATTGAGTGTCACACCTGTACGCTTTGTCAAAATGACACAAAATTTGACACACACGTGTATCTCAATAAGATCTACAAAAAAGTCAGCGTGGGCGTATCTGTCAAATGTACGGTTAAAGGGCTATTTCGCATTTTTTGCCAATCCTCACACAGTGGAATTTCGCTAACTCCTCCGAAGGCTTTCGTTCCACCGGCACCAAATTTGCTCAGGCCAATCTACACCCCATGGCCATTAAAAGTTGTACAAATCATGACGCTGCACCCCACGGTTTACGTTCTAGGGGGCACCAAAGATAACCCAAAAATCCACAGTCTTAAAAGTCTTATTACTTTTTATTTTTGTCCTCACTGGCCTCCAAGTTTTCTAGGATGATGCAATGTCCAGCCATCAACACATTTGTGAAGGAATTTTTACTCCCCAAAAGAGCGCCCCCCCATGGCAGGAGAAAAAAGTCCATTTTTTCTTGTCCCATAAGGTGAAAATACACATTGTTGAGTGTCACGCCTGTACGCTTTGTCATATTGAAACAAAATTTGACAATCACGTGTATCTCAATAAGATCTACGAAAAAGTCAATGCGCACGTATCTGTTAAATGTACGGTTAAAGGGCTATTACGCATTTTTGATCGATTCGCACACATTGGAATGTGGCTAACTCCTCCTAAAGCTTTCGTTTCACCGGCACCAAATTTGCTCAGGCCAATCTACACCCCATGGCCATTAAAAGTTGTACAAATCATGACGCTGCACCCCACGGTTTACGTTCTAGGGGGCACCAAAGATAACCCAAAAATCCACATTCTGAAAAGTCTTATAACTTTTCATTTTTGTCCTCACTGGCTTCCAAGTTTTCTAGGATCATGCAATGTCTAGCCATCAACACATTTGTGAAGGAATTTTTACTCCCCAAAAGAGCGCCCCCCCATGGCAGGAGAAAAAGTCAAGTTTTTCCTGCCCATCGCTCAATGGCTCAAACACATGTCATGTGTTCAAACTCCTCCGAAAGGAGGAGCAACTTGCCATTTGGATATATCCTAGCTGTGTTTGTGCCCTCACTCATGGTCCAGACTTTTTTCAAATAGGACATGTAGTTTGTCTGCAGCGAGCGTTTTGGTAGAAACTGCGCCTCCCATTCATTATAATGATAAATGACCACAGACAAGTGCGAACACCATCTTTGGACCTTGAGTGCTACGCGATCGGGAGGGAGAGGCGGTCGTGTTGGGGGAGGCGCGACACAGCTCGGGCCCGCCAGTGCCCCAACGGGGCCCTAGTTCTCTCTGCTGCTGCGGATATGGTTGGGACAATGCTGGGGGGGAAAGCCAAAAAAGTTATACAGTCCATGCCCTCATCAAACAACACAGTTTCTCGGCGCATCAGTGACATGGCAGAAGACGTTTTGAAACAGCTTCTACATCGCATTCGAGCCAGTGAATTTTATGCACTACACCTGGATGAGTCGACAGATGTAGCTGGTCTGGCACATTTCCTAGTATATGTGCGCTACATTCATGAAGAGACAAGGAGGACATGGTCTTCTGCAAATCTTTGGAAACAAGGACAACTGGAGAGGACATTTTCAAAATACTGGGCATCTTTGTGACATCAAATGGACTTATGTGGACACAGTGGCCCTCATTTATCAAGCGTACGTTACGACCAAATCTCACGACAGGTCTGACATCGTGTACGCAAGTTTGAGTCAGTGGAGCTGTGGTGCAGCAAATGTCTGTCTGAAAATAATTGATAAACAAACCTCAAACCTGTCATTAAGCACAATCAGCCAGATTTCATGAAAGATTAAGACGTAAATCAAATCAAATAAAATAAATTTGTTATGTCCTTGGTGAATAGGCCTATTGGATAACTCTGCCAAGAAACACTGCCACAGAGCAGGAGCGCTGTTTCAACATTGCGCGCAAACGCGCCACTGTGGAGCGCTGTGTTTGACTCCTAAAAGGCAGGTGTCTCTGTCTTGGCCCAGCAGCGGGGACATTGTTGTACACTCCTGAAAGGGTGTGGGACATCATTTGGGCCGGTACAGTTTTGCACAATGTTGCTCTGGCGAATGGAGTGCCATTGGCTGTGCCGGTGCAACGTGAGGACCCGATGCCCGGAGAACAATAACGAGGAGAGACTCCACAAAGGTGCTGCATAGAGGAGACAGGACCTTATCCATGGATTCTGATGTAAAGTATAAGTTTAGAAAGTGCTCTTGCAATTAAATCAGTAATAAAATCCAATAAAAATTCATGAAAATGTGCCTCAGTGGCAGCAACACACCGTTTAGTGGCGTTAATAATTACTTTTGTTCAGCCTCTGTCAGACTCTCCAGTCTGCTCTACATTACAAAGACGCAACAAATTAAAACTAAATACTTTCAATAATAGGAGCAATGTATCCTATGTCATACCAATAAAAAATATGAGGCATTTATGAGATAATAATTTATCATCATGAGCAACTTATTGACTAATGATGTATTCAAACTGTCCGCTATTCCGCGGCAGCGCTGTTCAGCGCCACCATAATCCTGCTCCAGACAGGAGTTTTCTGGACTGCTTTTATACCAGTTTTGATGCTTCCAAAGAGCAAATCCTTGTTAGTTTCCTCACAGATGTGAGGATATCCACTTTCAGCTCGGAAAAGTTTCTAATATTTCTAATATTTCTCCTCTTTCATGTTTGACCTCAGTGGGCGAGGCTTCTACCACATCACATTACTGAGCACCTAAAGTTGTCTGTATATCTATCACCCCATCTGTAATATTTCGCATTTCATATTTATTACTCATTCCAATAGCCCACGTTCTTCATATCTCACTTTTATCTCTCAGGATGTTTAGTATATTTAGTCTGTATTTATTGTATATACTTAGTATTTTTAGTCTGCATTGTACTTACTTCTTCTTATATTTAATGTTATTTTGTATTTTCTTTTTGCTGCTGTAACAAGAGAATTTCCCAGTTTGGGATCAATCAATCAATCTATCTATCTATCTATCTATCTATCTATCTATCTATCTGTCTATCTGTCTATCTATCTATCTATCTATCCGCATTTACTAACACCCGATCATACGTACGCTGGGATTGGTCAGATACTAACCCTTTCATAAATCTCACAAGTGTCCTATTATAAGATGAATCCTGCGCTCAGATCTGCGCAAGATTGATAAATGAGGGCCAGGGTGTTGGCATCTGTACTGACGGGGCAAAGGCTATGACCAGGAGACACAGCTGAGTGGTAACGCATGTACAGGCAGTTGCTCCTGATGGCACTTGGTTACACTGCAGCATCCACTGAGAGGCTCTCGCTGCCAAGGGAATGCCTGCCAGCCTGAAGAATGTTTTGGGCACAACAGTGATAATGGTGAACTTTGTGAAAGCCAGACCCCTGAATTCTCACATATTTACTGCATTATGCAGTGAAATGGGCAGTGATCATGAGACATTACTACTTTACACAAAGGTATGCTGGCTATCAAGAGGCAAAGTATTGACACGTTTCTTTGAACTGAAAGATGAACTGAAGATTTTCTTTAGTTACCATAACTTTCCAGTGTCTGAGAATTTACATGATGAGGAATTTCTGACATGCCTCTCTTATCTGGGTGACATTTTTTCTCACCTGAATGAACTGAATCTCAATTTTATATGGAGTTTCAGAGACAATAGTCAATGTGTGAGATAAAGTAGTGGCCATGATCAGGAAATTTAATCTCTGGTCAAACTGCATCAACAACGACAAAACAGAGGTCTTACCATTGTTGCACGATTTCATGTGCCCAAATGAGCTCTCCATGAAGGACAATGTGAAAGATGACATTACCGCGCATCTCAGTGAGCTAGCTGCACAGCTGCGCAGGTATTTCCTCGAAACAGACGGATCAGACAGTTGGATACGTCATTCATTTACAACTGTACCTGCTTCTTTATCAATATCTGAACATGAGAGCTTAATTGAGATCACAACAGATGGATCACTGAAAACGGAATTTAATCAGAAGCCACTGCCAGATTATTGGATCGGACTGCGCACAGAACAGCCTGTGCTGGCGAAACGTGCTCTCAAGACTTTGATGCCCTTTGCCACAACGTATTTGTGTGAGAGTGGATTCTCAGCTCTGACCGCTATGAAAACAAAACACTGAATGAGACTTTATGTGGAGGATGATTTAAGACTTAGACTTTCTCAAATTCAGCCAAACATTGCAGAGTTATGTGCGTTCAAGCACACCCTTCTCATTAAAGCTGAGTTTGTACAGTTTCAAGTGGATTCATAACTAAATATGTTATAGAAATGTTTGGTAGATTTTTTTTTTTTTTTTTTTTCAAAAGTGAATTGGTGTTGCTCACTAAAAATGTTTGGAAATAAACTATTTTGTGAGAAATAATTAACTTAAAGAGATCTTGTTTGTATGTTATACAGTAGAATAGATATAGGGTAGGGGGTACATGGCTGGAGGTCAAATGTCTAAAGGGGTACGCGCTGTGAAAAGTTTGGGAACCAATGCTCTATGTGAACTGTACCAGAGCATAAATGATGTACAACTGTCTTTTGTAGTTATGGAAGAGAAGTACAATGAGGTTTCTGCTTACTTGTCTGAGGGGTCATATCCACAAGGTTATGACAAAGCACGTAGGCAAAATGTGGAGTATGCCTCAAAATTTGCACTGAGATATCAGGAGTTTCCATAAAATCGTAATAAATCAGATATGTACTTCAATGCATCAGTAATTAATTAAATCGTAATTTCTATTATTCTGATTCTTGTAATTATTGTGATGTTGGTGTCAGCTCTTTTTTGGAACTCGGCGAGCTGTAGAGACAAGGCAACTGTTTGCAGAGTTCCAC